AGTGATCAATTCTTGTGCAGAAATATCCTAGCCTCGTCCCTAAATCGATCCACGATGATGATGCGGTGCAAAGCAACCTCCAGCACCGCAATGTGTGAAAAGTATCTGCGTTTTGCTTCGATCTACTTGCTAGCTGTGTTGTGCAGCATCGGCATTGTGCCGGTGGGTGCTCTGCGGTTGAAGGAAGGCAGCTTCCTAGCATGGTTTGCGCAAATTTATGGCTCGGGTGAAGTGTCACTTTTTGTTAATCTAAATGGAGTAGTTGGAGTAGTGCATCCTTTACCTCCAGCACGGACAACAAGTTGGAAATTCTTTGATGATGAAGTTGTATGAAGATGGCAACCTTGTTTATCTTGTTTCTAAGAAATGCTGCACTCTGCGCGTGCCCGAAAGGTGAAAAAAAGTGGGAATGGACCTCCAACCGAGAAGGTGGAAAAGTGTCCGGGGGACACTCGATCGCCATATACCTGCAACCAGGATTTCACGCATGTGGTGTGCGCAAAATTGGTCGAGGTACTTGAATACTTACACGACTGTAACTGAATCACATTCATCATTACCATTACAGTTACTTAGTACAACATCGCAGTAGGAATGCTGGACTAGGAATTTTTTTCCTCGAACACGGAACAATCATCGTCCTCATCATCATCCTCTGCATATAGAGGAAGGAGACTGAAAATTAGCTTCTTGACACCACCTTAATGGATTCTGAGCGCGTCGGAGGGTGACCTATTGTTTCACCATAATATACAGAAAAGCGACGACACCTGCAAGACGATACAATGGGGCGCAGGCGACTTTTGGGCTATCAGTAAACAAGTGACATGGTCAGACTATGGCTGGGAGATACATACTACTTTCTGAATTATTGTTGGCATTTCTGACATTCATGCTTAGGAATCATGTTCATGAGTCTTTGTCCTATGAAAAAAGCAGTACGTAGCTAGATCACTCGATTGGGCAGACTGAGCGATTGACTGGTACATGCTTTCGACTAGTGTTTTGCTTCTTCGCTTGCTATGAAGATGCTATGTCAGTCATGCCCGAAAAATGTAATGAAGATATTCACTCTATTGCGTCTTTTCGTCAAAGAAATGAAAATTAAGAAATTTATTTGCAAAAGCCACAGCCACTAGCGCCATCCAAAAGCGGCAGACCGTCCTCTAATCGCCCGAAATCTGCAACAATACCGTCAATCCCGGTGGAAGCTGGTGCATTTGCATGTGGGCGTTTCAAACGTACTTACATTAGTGCGTGTTGTTCGAATTTAGTTTTAGATACGCTGACTGTGTCTGAAACTTTCCAATTCTTCTCCGTGCTTATGATTTGTTGAACTGATTGTTTCTACCCTTGCTCCCAACCGAGCCGGGCTCCCTGTGATGCTTAAGACCCTCAACCTTGAGCCTCGAACTTCTTGCTCTTCCTTTTGGAGTGATCCTCTACTACCTTGTTTTCAAACATGATGAAATGAAGGCTGGTCGGAGAGGCGGGCTGTGATAACGTGCACTTGCGCTGCGAATCAACGGCTGTGCATCATCTGCTGAGCAACTATCATGATGGCGGGGTGGGATTGCACGATGCCCATAGCTGTATCAAGACAAATTAAGGCTTTTGTCAATAATTTATTTCCCAAGACGAGAACCCAGACGCTACTCTTTTCTCTTTTCTTCAGCGTTTTTCACATTAAGGACGATGAGAAGTAGATGAAACTAGGGAATATATCATCGATAAATCATCTAAAAAAAGTGTCCGGAACAAGCGAAGAGCTGGGTCCCACCGACACAAGCAGCGGAGCCGAAAAAGGCGAGCTTGGGGTGCTGCTAGTTATGCAGAACATCAAACAGAATGTTTTTATTACGTAGAAGGGGGAAGGGGAACTACGTATTCATCTACTACATCTTATTCTATTCCAGGACAAGAGTTGCATGGAAGTCGCACTACAGGAACATACACAAGAATAGATGATACATGAGAACGATAAACAAGTAAGTTGTTGTACAACTTGCTTATCCACCTACAACCTATTTTGGTAATGGGGTGGACTCAGTGCCTCATACACAATCCCGTAGTACGATGAGGAGGTGCGCCGGGTAAAGTACCACGAAGATATTTCCATGGGTGTAGAGGTAGAATAGGGAGTTCCACGAAGAAGGAGGGAGGAGGTGCAAGACAAATTCAGCCGGAGCAAATAGGGCCTTTTCTGTTTCTGCTTATTGGCTTGTTTCTTCCTAATCCCTGAAGGAACAGGCGAAGCCCAACCAGCGACTACAGGACCACCAAATTTCATGCCTAGTTAAGATTAGACATGTTCAAATTTCGTTTTCTTTTTGAATGTGCTGTTTTTCAATTTCAACACATCGCTCAAGGATCAAGAAAATGCCATTCCCTTGACGGTCAGTTGTGATACTCATTGCATCACTTCCACGCCATTTATCATCGTTAAATGGAATAGTGAAGAACTTCTACGTAAATGGGTGAGTCTGAGTGAACCAAAAGGAAATCGAAACTACATCAGATTCACGCACTGGTAGTGATCGTGGTATATGCTTCATCTTACATCATTAACATTGCACAGTTAGCATCATCCTTAAACGAAGACTATGTAAGCCTTCCATTATACTTATAGCATTATCATCATCATTCTCTAAGTAAGTGAAGTAAAGCAAAGTAATGCCAGTCAGCAACATAACTCAAAGAGTACTCTTCAAGCAACAACAACATCATTACAAAAGTCCACATCATGTTCGTGTGAAGAAACACAGGTATTGCATTACGAATAGCTGAAATGCATATCTCATCATGTGTATGTTGTGCATTTGCAGTAGAAAACAAGGCACATAGTAATCTGAACAAGACGGAATATTAGGCTTAACGCTTTTCATCTTCTAACTTCTAGGGATATCTATGTACATATTTGTAACGCGTCGTTAAGTTTGCTTGACTTCCAAGAACTACTTATTTGTTGTGAATAAGATAACTTGTTGTAGTCGTCAATGCCCATGAAGAAAAATTATTGGTAGCGTGTAGTATAGGAGGTTAATGTACTCCCAGCGTCGCCGGGTAGCGTCCTGGAAAAAATGTGGGCCATACTTTCAATTAGTATACCATCCACCATGACCCCCCCCCCAAAAAAAAAAAAACTTATAATCGTAATTGGTGGGGGAAAAAACTACAAATCGGAAAAATCACCGATACTTGGAAGATGTCGTCTGTGATGCTGGGAATCGGTCTAAATGTTGCATGCGTAGTAGAAATCCACTAATTACAATCTAGTAACGACGTCCTCACTAGAATCGTTCAAGGCAATCACATTGAGAATCGAGTTGGCTCTTCTGCAACTGCAATGCGTATCTGTACAAGGAATATAAAATCGACCGTGTGAAGAAGACAAACCGAGGAAATTGCCCGCAGATGATCATGATCAGGAGTTTCTTGGGGTTCTCATTGATGAAGAATGCAAACCCTAGGTAGGAGAGCAGCGGTGCACAGATTAGCAGTCAATCTACAACCGATCTAGCGGACGCTACGATGAATCATGTCAAGAAGCTATTATAATCATGTCTCTCAGTCACTCCCGGTTGTGTGTGTTGTGTTTTGTCGCTGATGTGATCTTATGCTGTGACTGAACCGGAGCCATTGAGAAAGCTGCTTTTTATCGGATCCGTTCACTGTTGATGCGTATTCACTCCGTCGTTCATCTTCTTCTTTCACCAATAAAATAGAAACGAATCAACGCCTAGAATCGAGAAACAAGCAGTCGAACAAGTATCTAGATTTTAGCAACAGCGACAGATGCTGAATCGAGAAATTCATATTTTAATCTTCTTTGTAGGCAAAGTCGGCGCGCATACGCATCCCTTCGTATAGACTGTTGCTGCTCCGTGTAGTTCCGTGTAGTGGCGCCGCCCGTTGTTCCGAGTGTCCACCGCTTGAAGCGTCAGATCCTAGCTAGCCAATGGCCACATCAAAGATCTAGGTCCCTCCGTGTTTCATTCGTGAGGGTTTAGCTTTTGCCGTTCGGGGTACATCAGATATGCTCCCTCATTGTTTTACTTATGAGCCGTTGACTAATTTGCCCGCGCTGGGGCCCAGGCTCTAGCTTTTCTGCAGCGGTGGCCGTTGTGCTTCGTCGGTTGGTAGTTTTAGGTACCTGGCCGTTGTGCGTCAGGCTTCTCGCAGGGTAATTAAATGGTCGGATCGCGAGAAAAGTAGACCCAGGCACCAAAAAATAAAAGCTGCTAGGTGGCAGCGTGAATGAATGGAAGAATTTTCTTTGATGTTTACAAATTGATATGAAAATGCCAGCCGCACAAGTGTCCTTGGTCGTATGATAAGAGGAGATGTACGTAGCATTTGTTCGAGGATTGCAGGTACGCTGTAGCTTTCCGAACACAGCAGTCTGTAGGGTACTTAGATGAATGAGTGTGTGCGTGAAGGGCCTGTAATTAAGTGGAAACAACGCTTATTTACTCAGAAGCAGAGCCTCAACCTAGATGTGAATAAAGCAAGCATGGCGCGGTCCTCGTTCCACAGTGGTTTATCCACATTTTTGCAACACTGTGGAGATTGCGTCTAGGTATCTACGCGCATTTGGAGCGACTGAAGCGACCTTTCTCGCTGTTTGCACATCCCGTCGAGTACAAGGACTTACTTGATGCGCTTCTGTTGCTGCGAGCAGCTGGAAGGATCTTTCTTATAATTATCTGGGCAGAAGGACAAGATCCCCGATTCTCTCCGCATTTCTGGGCGGCGAAAAATAGAAGACCAGTTATTTTGAAGCACAAAAAGCTCCCAGGCGTACCAAGGCTATCACCTCCTTTCCGCCTCTATGGTGTATGTTGTGCCTTGATGAAGGATCGGTCTATTGGCCAAAGGAGCAAGCAAGATGACGACGTCCGGTGGGGAGCTTAGCGATGTGGACAAGGTATCCTTGGCCTGTCGTGCGCTCTACAGTGGGGACAACGAGAAGCTGAAGGAAGCGAACGCCTTTCTGACAAATTGGCAGCAACAGGAAACAGCATGGGAGACAGCCAACCAGATCCTAGCGCAGGCCGATGTCAATGATACGGCAAACGCAAGCACACCGTACTTTTTTTTTGCAGAATAAAGAATGTAATCGGTGACTATTCTCGCTCTCTTCACGCACTTCTATGACAATTTTTTCCACAAAAACATTTAACCAACAATGTGATAAGAGTTTAAGATGAAGAGAGTCATAGTGAATAAATCTTTCTCCTAAAAATCCTGTTACCCTCATATCCATTAGGTCCTTCGCTGCTCAGACGCTACGGACAAAGATTTTGTACGATGTCAACGATCTGGACACCGAAGCAAAGATGAACTACGTGAAACAGCAAATTTTCGCACACCTTGCTAAGTTTCATCAACATCCCCAGCATCATGCACTGCTAAAACAGCTGTGTCTTGCCCTCGTGGGCTTAGCGATACAGATGGACAGGTATTACCTACAACTAACCAAGTTCGATTTCAAGATGGATGGAGTCCTATTCCGATATTGATGAATTGACGAGAAAAGGTGAAAATCAAAATCTTAGTGACAACTACTACTACAACACGATCATCAGCTTGTGGCCGAATCTAGTGGACTCACTGCTGGAAAGCTTCGGACAGAGTGTGACGACGTATGCAATTCTGTTAGACCTCCTGAAATTTTTGCCAGAGGAAAACAGAAATAGGCGGCTCCTTACAGATACTGCGAAGAGAAAGAACAATGCCCAGAGGCTGGAAGACGGCATGCCGAAAGTTTTCGCGTTTCTGCAGCAAATACAGTACCAACACTTGTTTTTTTTAGAAGTTGGCATCTCTAACAATGCTTGGTTTGGTTCTGACGGCTAATGTGGTGATTCTCATTCGTGTAGCGGTTTGATTATCAGATAGTACTCATGTGTAACTATATTGTTACTCAGGTCACCCATCATCCTCGGAGTCAAGTAGGTGCCGGGGGTACTCGATGTGCAGGATTCATAACCTAACCTAACCTTTTTCTCATTAAACTCGTCATTTTCAGGATGCCGAACAACACAGCGAAAAGAAAAGTACTAGAGTGCTTTAGTGCATGGGCACAGTTCTTTAAGCAGCCAGAGAGCCTCTTTCAGAGTCGAGACTCGCTTTTGTTGCCTTGCTTTGGCTACTTAAGCGACAATGAGCTCGGAAGCATTGCCGCAGAAGTGATCTCAGAGGTGCTGGGATTGTTCAGGCCAGACGAGATGGTGCAGCAAGGGTAATAAGTTTTTTTCATTTTTTTTGACATAATTAATTCAGCTTGTTCATGCAGCTTTGATTTCAGATGTTTCTACAAAAAAAGTTGTGGTTAAACCTATATAATGTTGATTGCCGCTGAGGTTTTAGTAGAAGTCGCTTCTTTATCTTTTCCTATCCCTATCTCGTTTTATCATACATTCATTAGCTTTATCAGGAGTCCGCAGTCGATGTGCGTGCAGCCTCTGCTGAGTTGTGTACAGAGTATCGAGGGATCCTTTGTAGACCTCCTGAAGGGTCCGTCGACGCCGGACGAGGAAAGTATGAAGCGTTTTGTGCGGGTTTTCTGTGCTGCAGGATTCGCGCTGCAGGAGGTTATCGTCAAGCACCCACAGGCGACCGAGGGCCTGATCTCGCCATTGCTGCTCTCGCTGCGCGCGCCGAATGCACCGGCGCTCCAGACGATGGCCGCGAATTGCTGGCTAGATTTGGTCGAGTGCGTGGGAAGGACTTTCGGGACAGAAAATGGCGCCGGCTATTTCGGACCTGCATCATTGCCACAGGACCTAGTCGCAGTGATCAAGCGTATGTTAGGGGTGCTCGTAGAAGCAGTGGCAGTTCCAGAGGACGTGCGGAACCCAGTAGAAGAAAGCGAGGAAGACTGGGAGGACTGGAGACGGGAGGCGCAACTGCTGGCGTGGGAAGCCTCGCAGCGGGTCTTAGGAAACGGAGAAGCCCTGTGCCTGCTGATTCAGTCCCTGCAGAGCGTGAACAGCCAAGGCGAGCTCGCGCTCCAGCAGCTAGGCGGTGCGACGAGTAGCAGTAGTTCCAGCTCGGGCGGTGCCAATGCGGCGCTGCTAGAAAGACGACGGGCTGCGCGAGCAGCACTGGTTCTGCGACAAGAAGCGCACTTTTACCTCATTGCAGCAGTGGGGTGGAACTTCGAACCGCCAAAAGCAACAAATGCTCAGCAGGAGGAACCCATTCGGCGGCTGAACTTCTTAATCACAGAACTTTTACGGCACCTTTCAACAGTCGTAAATCAAGGACCACAAGAAGGCGACAATCGCTACATGCTGGAATTTTCACAAGCCACTGCGTTGACAGTGATCCAGTACCTGGCGCAATACGTTTTAGAGGCAGACCCGCCACCACCAGCGGAGGCTGTAATTCTCAAAGGGATCTTATCGTGTCTGGCGCAGCCGCTTATTGGCGGGGGCAGTGCCGCAGGATCTTCAACTGGAAGTTCCTCTTCCTCGGGAAGCAAGCAGACCAATGCGGCGTACGCGCTCAAAGAGGTGTGCCGCCGCAGTCGGGACTTCTGCGCCTACGAGCAGGACGCCAACGGCAACGAGATGACAGGCTCGCCCTGCGGTCTGTTGGCGCATCTCGATGCGCTCCTAGTGGTCTATGAGCGCAGCCTTCCCGTGACCTCGGCGCGGGCACACGTCCAAGTGACCGAAGGCTTGGCAGAGGTCTTGCGGCAGTGTAAAGTGGGCCAGGTGTTCCGCGCTGCGCTGGAAAGGCTTATTGTGCCACTCGTGCACGGACTCCAGTCGCCGCAGGTAACTGTCCAGCAAATAGGCGAGGTCATGGATCGCCTCACCGTGATCATGGATCAACTTCGGTATGGCATTCGGCGAGAGCTCGACCCCAGCGACCAAGAATGCAGACAAGCACTTGGCGACGCCTTTTTGAACAGCCTCTTCCCGATTGTAAATCAGCTCTGCCTCAGCCACGCAGAGGACGCGAACATGATTGAAAAGAGCACCCGCTTCCTCAAGCACTCCCTTCGGAATTTTCCAGACATCTTCCAGAATATCCTTCCAACATTCATAGAAACCATCGCGACCTGCTTCGACAAAAAGCACCTCTCCTCCTGGCTCTACGCGAGCGAATACACCGTCAGCGAATACGGGGATGTACTATATTGAACTTTCTTATGTAATCCTGCAGCAGGATCAGAGGATGAAGATTTTCTTCCTGCGATAGAGGATATTGAGAAGTTAGTGATATCCTATCAGCATCGAGACTAAGAATTAATGCTCATTCATGGTCAAATGGCGCATTCGTCGTACTACTTATTTTGTTTGAAAGATTTAGATTTTTTCTTTCTTCATTTGTTTCTTAATCCCAACACCAACAGATCCCAGAACATCGCGCTATGCTTGGGCAGTTATTCAACCGGCTTTCCGCCTCCTGCGTCGTTACCCTGCAGGCCATGCCACCGAATGACCTTAACGCAGAGCTCATCGAAGACTACTACGGCATGTATGGAAGATACGTCAAATGCACGCCGGAAATCGTCTACAACTCGGCACACTACCCCGTAACCTTGCAGCTAATGGAAAAATGCTTCGTGGTACTCATACTCTCTCAGATATTTTCAGGACGCCTTTTTTACTATTTATTTCTGATTGTATCGCTATCTCCAATGACCTTCCTACGTGCAGCATCTTTTAACAACGTGATCATACCTAGGAGATTCAATTAATTTCGAATTCTTGGCGAGCACGAGAACTACTAAGTAAGTTAGTACTTGTTCATCTCAAAATAATCAATCAAGGTTCCCTGTCGCGAGAGCATCGATTCGATTATGGGTTTCGTGGAGACTGTGTTGCGCTGTGGGAGTTCGGAGGTTGCCATGCATTTGCTGACTAATCATGCGGAAAGTTTGGTCGCTGCGTGTTTTCGGGTTGCCAATTGCAACTGGAATGACGAGATTCGAGACTGCTTCCCCACCTTTCTCCAGGAGATTCACGGGGCCTGCGTTTTCTACAAATTACCCCATGTGTACCAGACGGCAATAGCGACGCAGTTTAACGCAATTATTCAGTGGCGCAAGATTGCGTCGGAAAACGAAGTAAGCCTCTGGGTGAAAAATTTGCAGGACATATCTCACTTTCGCGAAGGCAGCGGCGGTCAGCCGGGACGCAGCAACAACGGCTTCGGCGATGGGCGCCCAAGAGGGTACGTGAGTGGGGACGCACGACGAAGCTGGGATACGATATGGTACAGACTCGGCCAGTTCCAGAATCGACGGGCTGCGGCGGTACAGGACAGCAAGGCACAAGGAGACGCAGAATAGCGTCTTAGACTTTTTGTCTGTGTGCTCAGCGATCGACGCTACCTAGCTTTACTCAGGTGGTTTACAAAATTAGTAGTAAAACCTGGGAAGGGTCAAATAAAAGTGTCTGTTGTGCTTCTAATCGACTAATGGAAGTTTTCGCATGCGATTGATCAACACGTTTGTAACCCCTTACATCTGGCGATTCACGTTGTTTCCCACGTAGTTCATAAAGTCTCATTTTTCACATGCTATCGTTTCACTGTAGCGCAGTTTCTCTTCGCGCCACGAAGAGGCATCGTTTTAATGCTCGTAGTCTCGAACGCTTTTGTTGATACCACAGAGTGAAACTCAATGAAATCACAAGGAATGTCATATAACATCGACTGAAGATTGGAAGATAAACACCAAACCTGTTATATGCGGGATATATCCGCTGGGGCCATAGCATGGGCCTATGCGATGCGCCGTTGAGTACAACTCATCGATGGAGGCGCAGGTGTCTCATATGCTCGCACGCAGCACAGACTGGCTGCACATCGAAATCCTTCTCGTCGCGCGAGCAGCAGACCTCACTATGATCATAATTGATCCGTTCTTGAATAGAAGAATGATCATTGTGAAAGACAAATATCGAGGTTTTACACTAGCGCAACCCAATGTTGATTAGAATGAGATGGAAATAACACGAGCTCGAGGGAGTTGGAAAGCAATTGTTGATGAAAATATGCTCCACCAACTAGAGCAGCTATATCGGATGTTCGCTCTAATCTCAAAAGCAGTGATCTCGCATTAGCAGGAGATCTGTTCCATGCTCAAATCTGTCGGGTCACCGTCCTTTACTGTAGGTATCAGTCCTCTACTGTCACCGTCTTCAAGAAAATACTGGCCGCATTCAAAGTTGTGACATGTGTGTTCTTCACAACTGCAGAATGGTCCTTGTTTAACGACGACCGAGATTAACACTAGTATGTATCAATGATGTGGTGGATAGACATTTCTTACTGAAGTTATTGCAGTCTCATTTTGCGTTGCTTAATGTTCTGAAATTCCGGCTTCCAGAGGAACGAAAGATGAAGTGGCGCTAGGTGCGGTGAAAATCAATAGACATTTGAATATGCCCGTCACCGTGATATCTTTTTACGTCCCCTTCTAAGAAATTGAGTTCGTTGCCCCGCGCTGAAGTGAATACGTATAAGTAAGCTAATCCCGTGCAATATTGGGGACTCTTCGAGCCTGACACTTTAATCGTTGGCAGGAGAAGAGGCTTTTATAATAGATATAATGTCCTCTAGTCCGATTTCATCTCCTAGTCGTGGTGGTTCAGATAGGAAATGGTTTTTAGGTAACGAAAATAAAGTCATCTGAGAAAGCGCATTCTGGTCGTGGTATGGCAAAGAATACTTTTGAGAGATCGGAACAAGCTAGTTCATCTTCATCTATGGAACATCATCAAGCTAAATCATCTATGCAAAATCAAGGCAAGAAAACGTCTTCATTAACTGTTTCACCGAAAAAAAATCATGAAGAACAAGAAGCGTCCACGTCCACAGACAAAGCTGCTAGGAACGGGACAGCAACGAGTGCCACAAGCCCATCAAGTGTCCACAAAGGAGACGATGTGGAGAAGAAAAGAGCGCAGCAGCATGACCCAGTGGCGCTGCGGTGTAGCTGCAAATGCGGATCTTGTGTTTTTGTGGTCGATAACGTGAATGGCAACTTGGCAAAGGGCGTCCAGATCTTGAACTGCCACTGCCGTGGATGTCGAAAACACGCTGGCGCGGCTTGGGCCTCCTATCTCACGCGAAATGGACAGCCGTTCGACTTCGCGACCGATATTTCTGTCGCATCGGAGGAATTTGAGGAAATCGAAGTAGTCTGTAGTACGCTGAATAAATTTCACGGTGAAGATGCATCAGAGGACGCTGAGGGAGGTCAAGAAAATGGCCAAAGAAACGGTGCTATTAATGCAGAAGGAGGTGCAGCTACAGACGCCTCCTCTGCCAACGGAGAAAGCCACATAGTTTTAAGGCAACTAGAGGGTCTTTCCGTATCGCACGACTTCACTTACAGATCATCTTCCGTCACACCTATAACAAAACAGTTTATAGCACGCATGGTGCATGGAGTAGCATTGAGGGCATGGAGCGCAGACCTCTAAGGGACGCAAGAAACGCCCCCTTTAGCTCCATGCAGCTCCACGCGATCCATGCACTCCATGCCATACGAGCTGGCAAACCTTACGAATTACTCTGCTATATAGACATGGATAAGCAGCTTTACTTAGGAAGGTGATCCAATGTGACTGTAAAGTATATACTATACATAGGACGCTGTTCATCTTTCTGATTGTCAGACGCTGTCTCTAATATGTGCTTCAAAGGTTTTATGCAAATTATGCCACTCGGTTTTGATGATGCGTTTCGGTCCCGACAAGAGCCGTGTGGTAGTAGCCGCAGGTGCCATAGATGATGGTGACTATGAGGATGACGATGCAGGTCGCATACCCTGCGAAGAACGATGGCCTGAGAAAAAGTAATTAGTATGCTTGTAGGACTCTCATCATTATACATAGCGCAGCTAGACTGACCTCGTCGTATGATGTGCTCTTCGTACACGGGACTATGCCATCTTGACACCCAGTACCTGATCAAAATCAAATAGAAACAAGTAGAAGTTGTACTTGTATGGCTTTTTTACGATGAAAAGTCCAAATCACTTGACAGGTATCCTCTCGTACTGCGTCCCTCTGCGGTAGTAACGCGCAACGTTTCGCTAGATGAGCGCGCAGGCTGGTACGTGAACAAAGCTGGGATCACTGAAAAAAAGTATAAACAGCGGGAAAAGGAAGTCCGGCAAGCAACAGCAACGTCCGCTGGATTGCCATGGTTAAGAACACTGGTTTTTCATGAAAGGAAAATTGACTTTGACTTGTTGATTATTGCAAGCGGTCCGGCTCCGGTTTTTTATGAAAAACTTTGGAGATTTTTCTAACTCTAGAGGACCCGGAAGTCACGGGTTCGTGCTACTGCGGAAGCTGCCGTTTCGAGGCGCGCATTTTCCCGCCAGAATTGCAGCATTGCTACTGCAGCATGTGTCGAAAACTCAGCGGCGCTGCATTTCAGACTTGGGCGTGGGTGTATAACAAGAACCTCCGCTGGGTCGACGGAACGTCGAAAGGGACGAAAAACGGCGCAAAAGCAGGAGGTATCGTCTTGTAGTGTTAGTTTTACTAGCTGCAGGCAATCAATCAATCAATTTCTATTTCATTTGCTCGTCCTGTGGGTTATCATGTACAAGCATTCGTTGCGGTATACTTGTATGTAAGAACTACCTTAATCTTGACTTCATTAGGTCGTTTACCTCCGTCGCTGGCCTTCGAGCAGACATCAGATGAGGGAGGACGGCACTTCTGCAAGACGTGCGGGACATGTATGTCAATCGTGTATGACGATGAAAAGAAGACGACAACGTGGCTCGCAGCCGGATGCTACGATGACGACAGCTTGCGGGAAAGGTCTTCTTCTACAACCGTCAGCATTGCACAAAATAAAAATGTTGTGGCGAATAAATCAAAATCAAAAAAGTCAGGGCAAGAAGTAAATGGCAGCACTAACAAATCGCAGCCGAATGGTAACTACGGGAAGTGGAAAGTCGACACGACAGATGAGGAAAATTTAGTAGATTCCCAGCAAAAGGAGTTGCAAGAGCAGCTGGAGTACGTTTGGAGGCGCGTACATTTCGTAGGCCATATATGCTGTCTTAGCGTGCAACCATGGTACAAAGTCCCTGATGATGTCGGATCGGCACGATTTGACCATGCTGGGTGATTGCTCTTCTTCTAGTAAATGCCGATGTTCTATTTCTACGGGGCAACACAAAGATCATGTAAGAGCAGAAGTATGCAGCTAGTAAGATGGAGAAAGAGGCAGTCTTGCTGAACATTTTGCGCCATATCGACCCAGTGTCAAACAGCGGCATGAAATGTCGAATCAACATCCTTTATTTCAAAGTACATAACAGCTTTTACGCTCACGACGCATAGTTGGTTATAGAAAAGTCTTGGTTTACTTCGCTTCGACCGTTTCTTTAAAAACGTGAATGCAGCGACGCCAGCTGCCATAGCATCTACGAAAGTGCGAATTTGGCGCTCCTCTCCGTGCACTTCGCAGATATGTTGGAGAGTGCGTTGCTTGAGTAAAGCTGAGGACCATCTCAATTTCTGTAACAAACATTCTCATCAGCCATACAAGGCTCATCGATACAACTTCTGGCGCAAACACCAATCCTTGTACTATTCGCGTAAGAGAGCAGAAAAGAAACCACCTTAACTTGAACAGCGGCATTCGATCCGCAAGTGAAAGCGCTTACACAAGGATGGCTGCTATGGAGAAAATGTTATGTTATACTAGAAGAAGCACGAAGTCGATGTCGAAGAAGATACTTCTTCACAAAAAAATGCGTCCTTGGCCAAATAGGCAAACGAAACAGGTCTCTCACGAGCTGGCTCGATAGAAGAAGTTTTGTAGACAGGACAGGTTCTAGTACTGATTATTATGGCGTAAGCGTCTCGATTTGTATTTGCTTGCAACTGTAGTTCCTATACACATACAGGAGGTGGCGGTGGGTATCTATTGGTTTCTGTTTTTTCGGGTTAAGAGAGTTCCACAAAATGCCATGTATTTTCCGAGTGGGAATCCTCCTGATGCTCGTCAGGATTTTAGGGGCTTCTGCCTCTATCGACAGCCGTAGACCTAGACACGCCGTGGACGACACGGCTACAAATGAGGGCCCTGCGAGAAATATCCTTCATATAATGAAGTCAAGAGAGACCGGTGAAAAAGGACAAGCTGCTGAAAAGACTCATGACTTATAAGGAGCGGGAGGTAAGATATTTCGCGGGTGCGAAGATTACTCGACCTGTGTGAGCGGAATGAGAAGTTTTGGTGGGAGATCCAGTCTCACCTGTTGCAAAGGTTGCATCGCACGTGGCGAAGAGGAGCGACAAACAGACTTGCGACACTATTTGGTGGACACAAGTGAAGTTGGTGCGGAGGACAACAGCTTGTGTTTATTACCGCGTCAGCACGAGGATGAAGGCACGAGAAAGAGAGCACGTCCAACCCCACCTCCGGAAAAAAGTAGACGTAGAGCCGCGGTGACAGCATTATCTGTCAGCGGCGATGAAGTGTGGAAAAATGACCTTATGAAGGAGACAGGCGTACCTGCCTACGTCGTCAAAAAGTGTGTGCCCACGGATAGATCATGGGAGTTGCTGTTCGCTTCGGGAAAACAGCTCCACGATTTTTCGGTTAAGGCTACTATATTTTTGAGTATGTTGGCACGGCTAAGGCTTCTGCTTTTTATCATCATGTACTTCGCTAAATTCCCGGAACGGGGAAATTCCTCGACGTAATGCTCATATATGATTAAGATATTAGTTTTTCAATGTTGACGAAGGAAACTCCGCAGAAATCGTCAGTAATCAGCGTCAAGTCACCATGAAGAACTAGATCTAATTTGGATCCTTTACTGCCTGGTCAGACGTACACAGTAGTGGCGCGAGAGAAAGAGTCAGATGAACGCGAGCGTGCGCTTAGTGACTTGTTGCAGAGGTCGGCGGCACATCCGGTTGCTCCTGTAATTGAAGCGGATCACCTAATGCTGCCTCAGTACTAAGATACGCAAATACGTAGACGTTTTGTCGAGCTTTCCGGTCGATTCTTGTTCCTAAATACGAAATGCGGCGGCTCCTGCTGGGTTTGAGATAAGTGATAATGCCCTTAAATGGTTACATTAATAGCGTATGCGAACGAAGAGGATAGAAAGGGCTAAAAAGAAGATAGGCATACGCAAAAAAATGTCTGAATGGGCAAACTAGCTACAGCGATAAGGATAACGGCTGGACAGCGTCAGAGAAATTGGCAGCTGCTGTGGGCCGAATCATGAAAAATCACCAAGATAAAAAGTGCTAGTCCTAGTATACCTCCTTTTTTTGAAGGCAAACCATGTGACTTCGGGTTTAGGTCCAGCGGCGCTCAAAGCACTAAAATAAAACAACGGGTTAGTTTTTACCTCTGGCACGTAGATGCATCCCTTCAAGCAATATATACAAGGTCAGTACAGCAGCAGCACAAAAGTAAGGACTTCGGTTTTGGTTCGGGATGGTGGCACTTGGTCATCTGGCGTATATCAGCGCCAATTATTGATGTGATTAGAGAAATGAACTTGAACAATTATTATCTGAGGAATCTGTCTCTGTCTGAGCCCGAGGAAGATCGTAATCGGTCTTAGTTTGCTAGAGTAGAAATGTAGTTGATCATCGAAAGAACTCCAGCAGTCGGTCTCAAAGTCCTCGACGACCTCAGAAAACGTTAGAATGCCTGTGGTGATGAGCGTGGGGATAGGGAAAGCCGCGACTTCGTTCTTCGAGTGATGTGTATTTCGGTTTGAGAGGAAGGTGAAGAGGACCCTTGACTTTTTTTCGTACTAAAAAAAAACGCATACCAGTCTTATTCTTTAAGGTCGTGAAGAAGAAAGTAGCAAAAATCAGGAAAGTAAGTGATGTGTTTGACTGTCCTTTTATCGACTGTCCACTAACGAAATCAAAGACGATTTTCCAAAGGTATACATAGAAGCATAGGGTTATCAGCTTTTTTTGACACAACAAGAACGGCTTGTAGAAAATAGGCTTGCGAACGCATGGGGCGGGAGGCGCGCTTCTTGGCCCGCGCGGCGCGTGATAGCGTTTCGTGTGGCTCACATCGCGGACCGCATTATTTGATGTGAACGTTTGCGAGCAAGTCGAGACACACATCGACGCGCGATCCTCCTTTCCGTAGAGAGGTGCGATTCCAGGTCGAACACAATCTTCACTTGTGACTAGGTGGAGGCTACTTTCCTAGCGACGATAGACTAGACATCTCACAGCATCATCCGTGAGGCGAACCTCCGCGGACTCGCAATAGAACGAAAAGCACGACTTCGCCGGAATTGTCCACTTCTTGCTAGCGACGAACGAACGAGATTTTTCTTGCGAAAAATAGACGTCTGCAGCCATTGAGTCTCCGAAAGCGAGGCGATTCGGATTCGATGGGCAGCAGTAAACGGCACAACTGACGCTCGGCATAGCTGACGCTTGTGAGAAAGACGAAGGAGAAAAGAAAGTGGACACAACAGCTAGCGGATACGGCTACGGTAGTACAACAAGCACTACATCAATGAACTTCAAAATAAGCAGACAAATATCTTCACAACCACAGGAGAGTATAAGAGCAAGTAGTAGCTAACAGTTGATAGGAACGCGAAGATGTCTTCCTCTGTAGCCGCTGCACCAGCGCCGGCACCGACGGCCGCGACCATTTCGGCCGCGTCGTCCAGTGCGGCTCAGGGTGGAAGTCCGAACGGGAAGCCGCGGCGCTTTATCGTGGCGCGCAAGGTGAATGAGCAAGAATTTGTGGAGTTTGCGCAGAAAATGGACATGATCAACCTGGATCCTGTTTTCGACGCCGCTCCTCCAAACTTTCAGCATTTCACGGTTCCGCCAAGAGTACCACCAGAACAACCTCCAGCGGCGACTGAACAAAATGTCAGGATCGCAAATGCAGTGGAAGCAGAAGCAAAAGCGGTATTGATTCGACGCTGGATGAAATAAAATTTGATGAGCTCACTACAAGTCTATTCTTTCTTGTTACTTAAATGCATCATTTTCTTATCCATTTTCTCTTTCTCCATCAAGATCTTCGATAATTGCACTCGCCTCGCAGCATTTTATGTCTATCGAAACAATACAATCCCCAATTACCCTATGCCATCACTCCCTCTGCAGGCTGCCAGGAGGTCGATGAAAAGTCCATTCACGAGGTGGGATAGAAAGATAAGCAACCTCCATAACCTGACCATCGGGGAGAAGATAAACTCACAGAGACATGAAAGTATTACTTAGATTCATCTGGATATTTAGCATTGGATAGCTTGTTTTGGCGGTAGAACAAGCAGATCTTTCACCATCGGATGGACTTCAGTGCTGCGAGCTCCTTTCAGGTTTTTATTGCACATCTCTGCGCACCACAGATGCTCTAGCGCGATGGGAGAAGATGAAAAAGGAATGGGAGCGATTCCGGAATGTTGCGAGCAAAGTGACGGAGAGGCCGAAGGAGATGTTAACGATAACAGGTGCGGAGGAATACAGGGAAAGAGTAGAGCTGATGGACCTGATAGATCGAGCAACGCCAGATTTTATAAAAAGCGGTGGATATGGATGGTAGGATTTTTTTGGAGAAGAAGACGCAGTAGTAGAGGTCTTGAAGAAGTAGTTTTGTTGACAATGGAGGCGTGGGGGTGGGCGTAGAAAAATTTATAGTCGGTTTGTAGCAGGCATGCAGGTAGGGTGTGCACTGACGACTGAGTCAGTAAATGGGTGATTGAACAACAAGTGAGCCTACTGTTCTACTTTTGTTATATCTCGGATACAGCGACAGGCTGCCATTTTGCTTTTAGGTCAAAGAACTGATAAATCTACAACCACTCCAGGTACCAGTCACTGAGAGACTACGGCGCACGGCTGATCACGATAGGAAACCTCTTTAGCGGACTGTATCTTTACATCAAGCTCAAACCGAATGCCAATGGTCAGATAATACGGAAACCGTGGCTGCGAGAGCTCGCCTATTTTCGAGCGAAAAACCATACTCACACATGGCGGGATAATCCATTTCTAGTCAAGAGGAAAAAAAGGTATCCATAAGATTTACCTCATGAATCTTCGGTAACAAATGAAGGTGGTTGCATTCATCTGCATCCAAGAACATAGCAAAAGTGAAGAGCTTGGTTGATGTTTTTGCATCCAACATAGAACCAAATCGAGAGAAGAGGCTGTTGATGACACTTATCAATCTACCATCGAAAATGTGCCACAATTTCTAGGTACCATGCTGCCATGGAGATGATGAATCCCGGGAAGCTGGGCATCGATGAAATGCTGGAGATCGAAGGCATCAATGCCGAGAGGCTAGCGGCGATAAATGAGATGGAGGAACCGGAGGAAGTCGACGAGGATCTCGACGTCCGGGAAGATGAGGAAGTGGAGGAGTCCCCGGTCGGCCCAGCATGCGAGTTTGAGCCCTCCACACTCGAATTCCACGCTTTAACGGGGCAAGCAGACACGACGCATGTCACACTGAAGAACACAGGGTCAACAGTCCTGTTCTGGGAACTGGAAGAACTACCAGCAATAAAGCACTTCAAGGAGTCGGTATGAAAATTCTGTTTGCTACAACTCTTATTTGTTTAGACTTAGAGAAGCCACGATCAACATGAAACTCCTTGACCTGGTTTACTTGCGTACTAGGTTGTAAGTACGGATTACTTAGCATCTAGCTCTGACGACCCAACCCCAAGAAAACATGAAGTAATTTTTCCTCCATGCACCGCATATCTATGCTTTAGAACAATTTGAATTTCACACTAACAAAATTAGGTTTGCCCCTCCGACCCATCACGGCGTTTCCAAGCGCATTGCGTGAAGGGCAAGATATTTCCTGGTGCAGAGACTCAGATCTACGTCACTTTTCTCTCCTCTACAGCGGGAAGCTTCACAAGTAGGTGGCGTCTGAAAACGAATCCGTCCATACAAACGGAGGTATAATTGTGAAGAGGCTTCTTGCTTTTGTTTTTTCCTCTCGATGGAAGTTCACATTGTTGTTCTCTATCATGATTGATGTGCACTAAAAATGCACAAAGAGCATCCATGTTCTATCATCTGCATGCTTTGTCACTCAGGACTACGTAATGCACGGACTCTCGTACTGGCGACATGCTGACATTATTAGCGAGTTGCAAGTGAAGCTGCATGACAATCAACTCGAGGCACAGTGCAAAGCGCAAATAGATGACATCTTCGACGCAGTGGAAGTCACCCCATTTCCAGAGCTGGACTTCGAACAGGAAGGTAATACCGACGTACTTCTACTTAGCTGTTAGTTGGTGAATTCCGAATAGTTGCAGTCGGCTCAAGATCATTCAGTGAAGCGATGCTCTCAGTCTTATACTGAACAAGTTACTTAGTAGTAATCGCAACTCGGAACAAGACCAAGACTAAACAAGGTTGTTCTACTCGTAGTCCTATCTTTTTTCATCTTCCCACCAAAAATACAGAAATTCGGCAGTTGTACTTCGAAGAGCGAAATCCGGGTCTCCATTACATACCTGGTTACTATGACCGCGTAGCATCACTCTTAGGGGAATTGCGCGAGTTCGCGCGATCACAAGGCATGCACAATCAGGTTCTATGGAAAGACGATAGAGGCAAGGTGTTCGCTGATCACGAGTATGGAGATCACTGCCACTACACAGAAGAAAACCATGCAACTTGCAGAGGCCACCTGCCAATGACCAAACCACTAGAGCCAATGCGTACCACTTATTTGTCGTTGTATCACTATTACTACAAGAGAATGTGTAAAGGTTTTTTCCGTAAAGATCCAAGCAAAGAACTGAGTTTTTCTAGATTTGAGTAAGTTCGAAGATATTTAATATCGATTATTTCGCGTCACCCCTCAATTTGAATATGATCGATCCCACTTTACAACATTTTACAACAACGAACTACAGCTATCACCTTCGGCCCTGATTTCGAGTGGGATCTTCGGGTGCAAGAGTTGAAGGACATCCTCCGAGACGTCGAGCCGGCGAACCCTGATGGACCGGAAATGATCCTTGCGCGCAACATGCGTGCAGAATTAGATCGCCTAGTGCGGTTCTTCACCAAACGCCCACTTGAGAGAAGTCCCGTGTTTGGAATACTCGAAGAGGAGACGCGAAAATTCACTTCACTCGTTGTCGATGAGTGGACCACGGTACAACTACCCAAATTGATATTTTTCACACTCGTGAGTTATTGATTTTGCATTTCTCTTGGCGATTCCAGTTGCATCTTTCACTTCTTCCACCAACAAATTATCTATAACAACTAGGGTAGATGATTTATTCTCTTGCTGCTGAAGATGATAATCATAATCCTTTTGCAACAATCATCAGGCTCGCGCAGCGCTTCCCGAAGGCGCGGACGCCGATGCGGTTGCTGCCGCAAGTGAGGAGTTTTGCAGCGGCTTTTCTTTGTTTACGGAACGGAAGAGGCCTTCTACGACGAACGAGGCTGGCGAAGCCGTTGAGGGAGAGGCATACGTGAGCGACATCTTAGACTGCGAGCAGACCATGAAGACCGCTTCCCTGATGCACACTGGGCCGAAAACCATGAGCGAGGCCGTAGCGGCATACCGGAATAAGATGACCACAGAAAGTGCGGATCCGGCAGGCCAAGTGGTCTTCTACGAGATGGATTTGACATCCATCGTGCATGTTGAAAAGCAGAGCGGGAAAAACGACGACGGAGAAGACATCGAAGAGCTAGGCGTGGAAATTCCAGATCCCCAGGAGCTCGTAACAAGAATGGAGAACGGTCTGAACGAGCTGATATCCGCGAATCCAAAGGCCGTTTTTCTATCGGCACATATCGATAGCACGCAGGTGGCCTCAATGGCCGGCGCCGAGGAAGGAGCAGGTATTCTTCGAGCACCAAGCCTTGCGAGATTTTTTAGTCTGTCTTGTTTCCCTAGGTGTTAGTTTGGAATTATGCTTCTGCAATCGAATGAAAGAACAGCAAGAATTTATGAGATCTCGTTAATTGTTCCGTGCACCTGCACGAGTGAATCTCTCTGACCGCCCGCAATCTCCACAGAACCTCCAACAGTCGTGCCTGGGAGCGTGAGCTTCCGCAACAGTAAGGTTGTTGAGGTTATTCAGAAGGCGCTAGGCATGAATGTAGAGGTTCTATCGCTTGATGAGATAGCGGATCCCGAGTTTCGTGCGGAGATCCGCAAAGAAACGGAGGAAGAGGAAGAACTCAAAGTCCTGTACCTCATAGACAACCTCTCGTCCTCGTACAAGGAGCTAGGCGTCAGAAAAGTCGACGCCAACGTTCAAAGGTTTACATGGGCGGAAAGAGACAACTGGGTACTTACATTTTCGTCTACGTTTTATGGGACAAGCATTTACACTTGTGAGAATTTATTATGATAGATGACCTCTGATACTGATTCGTTTGCAGAAGGTTTTACCCTTGCGGGTTTTATATACGTGTCCATATGAAGATTTTAATTTCTACCGCTTCTCGATTTCAGGCCGACAGAACGTTTTCTTTCGGGTTCGACATTTATATCCAAGACAGTTTCGGTGTAGCGGTGCGGGATGATTACACGACACAGCGGTATCAAAGTTGGGATAGACCAGCGTTGCCGATACGCGTGATCGGACAGTTTTTAGATGCTGAGATGCAAAATCTTTTCGCGGAAGTGCTCAAGCTTGGAGAGGGCGGTGAGGAGAGCGGCGGCGCTAGTTCGGCCGCGGGCACAGCAGCAGAAGACGACGAGGCGGGTGCTGGTGTCCAGTTGCAAATATTAGGTGGAGCTGTCGAGAAGGGAGAAAAGATGCAGTCATGCGTGTCAGAGAAGCTGAGTTTTGCGAGAAATATGCTCGAGGAGGTGTCGCAATTTGTTTTCGTAGGCGGCGACTTAGCGCTCGTGCTACTCAGGTACGTGTTCAACTGCGGGCCACTGTGGTTTGACGGCGGCGATAGTGCCGCGGCCGCAGCAAGTGCCGAGACACCAGACGACATTGCTGCCTTTCGAACGAGTCCGGACCTCGCATTTTCAGCCTTTTTGCGTGAAAGAATAGCAAACGTCGTTGAGAACAGGAACAAAGTGCTGCTTTTGCCGGTAGATTTCGTCGTGGATGTCACTTTGACAGCGGAGGAGGAGGCCGCAGTCGCTGCCGCAGCTGAGAGCGAGAACCCTGCTCCACCGAAAAAGCCCTTCCGACTGTGCGTCGGCGGCACAGCAACCAGCGAAGGCCGGAAAGTGCTAGTTCGGTCGTCCGAGATCGTGTACGGTCCGCACCAGGGCAAGTGCCTCATTTTGGAAACGCAGGAAGAGTCTGTGAGCGGTGTGTGGTCTTCGTGTGGCCGCGTGTCACTCGTAGATTGCGCGGAGCTAGATGCTGACATCGCAGCAGAGAAATGGCGGTTAGTAGAGATGGAGCGGCTCGCCGCGGAAGCAGTAGCAAATGCAGAAGCGGAAGGTGAGACCGCAGAGGCCGCACCCCCGGCAGTAGCCGATGCAGAAGGCGGCGATGCAGCGGCGGAGGAACCACCAGAACCGGCATTTCAAGATACTTGGGTGTCTTCAGTCCCAGCAGAAATTCTATCCGGAACCGGTATTACATTTAGAGATATTGGCCCGGCATCGGTGGCGCAGATCAAACGCGTGCTGTTCAAGGGCAAGAGCGTGATAGCGATGGACCGACTAGCCACGTTTGGCAATGATCCAAAGGCCTACGACGGAACCCGAAAAACTAGTGACGAAGAGGTCTGGGATTACGTCGACGAGCGAATGCAGCCCGTCGACGAGGAAGAAGAGGAGGAGGAAGAGGAAGAAGAAGAGGAGGACGAGGAAGGAAACCGTACGGAGAGCGTTTTTAGTTCTTGCAAAATATCAAGCAGTAGTTGTAGGCTTCATAGCTTTCACGGACGTGGTAGTTGCTTGTGCATGACAGGGTAAAAAATTTCGATCCCACGCAAACCTTATATGTGATATTTTAGACTCCAGCATTCCCGTTTCCCTGAATTGATCCATCTTCATCTCTGCCGTCGAGAAGAAGGAAAAGCCGCCAAAGAAGGAGAAGCCAGCTGAGTTCGAGGCTTCGTTTTTCGTTGGGCAAGGCCTAGGAAAGAGCGTGGTTGCTTACAAACCGGAGCATAGCTACACGCTTGTCGTGGATAAGATACCAGAGAGCTTCTTGAGCCGATTCCTGGGTGGCGGCGCGCTTAAGGGCATCGATTGTCTTGGTGATAAGCCAGGAAGGAAGCGCGGACTCAAGAGTGGCAAATGATTGGCATCTCTCTGGTTTATCCGTGTTGCTATGTATGGCGGGGCGCGTCGGAAAGGTGACGTCATGCTAAGGCGGTAGAGCAGAGGCGTTGTGGTCTGAATTATCATAGAGGAGCAGTAGGTTATACTAGAGCGGGGGGACTTTCACGTGGGGGGATTGATGCCTCAAGTGAAGAAAACAGCATATTCACGAATGGCGGTAAATATGCTTCATGTGCGTACTTATTCAATTGGAATTGAAAAAACTAATGACTCCGCTCGTGGCAAACGTGCAACCGTTTCCTCGCTAAAGCTTGCAGTTTCTTGTTCCCGACAAACAACGACACATATTTATTCTCAATAGATCCTACCAGAAATTGAAATCCGTTATAAGTACTAGTATTGACTTACTACATTGGATTCAAGTGAACAGTCTTAGCCATAAAAAACAGGCTCAACTTTAAGATTAAGTAGACTCAGTTACGAAAATTATTATTTTTATTATGATTTAGGGTCCTAGCTTATGCTTTCTTGTACCAGAGCGAAGTTCATCCTCAACATCGTAAGGTAGACAATCAAATGTTGTAAGAAATGCGAGTTTCCAGATATGAAGGGTCTCTTCTAAGGTACAGCGGAATAGATAACGGTAACTAGTTTTTACAAGTCAGTTATTGGGCTTGAATGACGATGACAGCAGAACGAATATTGAAGTAGACTTGACAATCTCCGAAATACAGGTGGGGCAAGAATTTAACCGGATTCACAAATCGAAGCACAACGGACTTGTTACTTGATTGATATCACTACAGTTCAGATTTTCTTTTTTTTTTCGAGACCCAGATGCCAGGTTCCGTCAGAAGCGGATTTTTGCGGCATTAGGACCAGACGCTGCCGCCAAGAGAGGCAAGTAAACTGAAAGCGCCTGGCGGCAGAATCTAGAAAAATAGGCAGATGATGACACCGCCCCGTGTCAGAGACGCTTTCGTATTCTAAAGTCTACAAGGCTACACAAACGCCGAAGGTTAACGCTGTTGCTGATTCTCTTGTTTGATTGATTAATTCTGTATCATGCTCTTCGAGTGCAGCATCGATGTTATGCAAAAGCAAGTCAGTGCTTTTTTTGCAGCACTTTGCTTCCACTTATCGTTGCAGCCTTTCTTACCCCGCCAGGTCTTCTGGAGTAGCTAGCAGAACACTGCGAAGGTGATAGGTCAAGAACACATGTACTAACCATCTTCAGCTGTTCATGCCTGGGACGAGGCACCCCTCACCTCTGTAATTAATTTCCGGTTTTTAGGTATCTTCACCGCTAAATTATAGTATGCTCTTGCGCCAAGCAGAGGCGACTGAACATTGTTGGCTAAGTATTAACTATCGATTACGAGTTCGAGTGATTTTGTTCCTACTTCTTACGTGCTCTATTTGTTGTTTTTTGATATTTTCTTTTACTGTCTGTGTGTGAGACACGTATACACAAGGTTAGATTGAACGCACTGAATGCTTTATTTTATCACAAAAAATTGCTAATCAAGAAAGCTTAGATGACAATCGGACAAAGTTATTTCTAATATTGATTTGGAAACTGAAGCGAAGGGCGCGATGATCAGCGTGTCAAACACACCGGGAAAGACACAAGGACTTTTTTGGCGTGGATGCGCTGTGACGGAGCGAAGAGCATCAAATCTATTCGCATATACGTAGATTGCACGCTACTGAAAAAGTTCAGCATTATGAGTGAGCGTAACATTGTGAGAACGGCGAGAGTTACAACGGCATAATGTGAAAGAGAATGTGAGCACGTGAGAAAAAATGAAAATGTAAGAAGGGGGGTGAATCGTATTTTTTTTTATTGTGTCTGTTATGAGTGGCAACAAAAAGAAACAAATACTACTCCGGAATCAACGATACTTCTTTGTTTCCGGGTCGTTCACTTCAGCGGCAGAGCAGAGAGAAATGGAGTCGACCTATTACAAGAGAAAGATGAGTTTCACTCCAATTTTGCCGTCTCCGGGGGCTAAGAAGTCCTCAAAAAATGACGCGGCGTTACCGCAAATTGGAGCCAAAAAAGTCGGCGTTGCAGGAGCTGCATTTTCCACGTCCTCGGGTGTGGCCGCGTCAGGTTCAGCAGCTCTCGGAATCGGGATCCTCGCACAGGAATCATCGGGTGTTCCATCACACGCGGCCACACCATCGACGTCCTCGACAGGAAAGGTTGCGCAGAAGCCATCTACAGGAAAGCTTACAACGCCGCTGGGAACATCGCCTCGCAGTAAGAAGGCACAAAACGGTGGTGCAGCGCGTGGTGTTGGGGGAGACACGACCGCAAAAAGTAACCAAAGCAATAGGGCGGGCGGGAGCGCGAACATTATTTCCGCAGACGGAGTGGGTGTTGCTGTCGGGAATTATGGTGTTGCCACATCAACAGAGGACAAAGGAGCAACGAACGAAAGTTCCCGAAAGAGCAGTGTGGAGCAGTCCAGGTCTGCGTCGAACTCCCAGAGTCTACGACAGCATGCGCCAGGCGGTCCGCGTAATCGAACTTTTTCTTCAACGTCGTCCATAACGAACGTTAGCACGCGAAGGATGATGAACAGGAGGTCACCGGACCCAGTTGTAGGTGATACAGGCAATTTTAAGGCTACCGCTGAAGCATCCTCAGCATCATACTCCTTCTTCTAGCAATTTTTTCTACTTGAAAAAAAGCGAAGGAACAATGCATACACGGTAGCTCTAACAAAAGTAGCTCCGTCGCTGACCTCGTTCCGAGTCTGATGGTTGCGGGCATCAAAGCAGGCTCTGAGGTGAAACGAAACCTCGTGAGGAGTTCCTCTAAGTCTTCGGGAGTGGCGTCCGCTTCGGTGTCCGCTTTCGTCTCTGCTATGCGCGAACAACAGAATCCTCCGACTCTGTTGGCCAGTAGTGACATGACAGATGCAGAGCTTGACATGACAGTAGATAGAGAAGATGATACGTCGCATAACAAGAAGCCGGTCGAAATTACGAACGAAAAAACGGGGATCGGTATGGAGGGCTCTTCATCCGAAAAGAGCGCAGAGGCACACCCAGCAAAATCGGAGATAGAGGTCGAGCTTAAGAACGGGCATGAAGATTCTGTCGCTGCGGCCGCAGAAGAGAGCGAGGTTTTAGTTCTTACTGAAAACGCAGTGGAGCAGGAAGTGGCTTCCCCTGTGCCAGACACCGCTTTCGCTGTGGATGCTTCGACGAGCGATAAAAGAGACGCTACTTCGACAACCGATAAAAAAGATGTCACTAGTCCGGAACCAAAAGCAAGCGGTGGCACTTCACCTACCGCAGGCGAAAAAGCAGCTGCCTCATCAACAAAATGCAGCACCGCACAAGTAGCAGCATCATCTGGAACTACTCCACAAAATAAGTCCGAGGCGGGCAGTAGTGGAGTTCCGAAAAACAGGAACGAGGCCAGCGAGCGAGATACTTCGCCGAAACTTCAAAGTGAAGGAGAGTGGCGGCAGAAAACAAAGTCCGATAAAGACACACCTCTCCCATTCGCAGCCGCGCAGAAGCCGCCAGCTTCGGGAGGACGAGCTGCGGCGAAGGATTTGAGTGCGGATTCAGCGAGAAAGACGGAGCAGATGCATGCGTCGCGAGTCCTTGCGGGCATGGCGCCTATTCCTCCACCAGTGCACCGGCAGCTGGTAGGTCCGCAGTATGATAACCAGAACTGGCTTTTTGAAAAGCTGCGGCAAATAGCGGTGCTACGTGAGGCCGAGGAGACCTGGGAAGCAGAAGCGGGCAGTAGCGTCGCCGGAGCAGAGCCGCAACTCGGTTCCCCGGTTGGCAAAGGGACTCATGGAGCTGACGTCTCAAAAGAAAGCAAGGACGCAAAGTCACGGTTTCGCAACAGGGCAAGTCCATCCAGCACTGCAAAAGGAGAAGGCCTAGAAGTTCCGTCTACACCTGGCAGAGCGTCTTCTTCTACAAAGGTAGAGCCTGCTGACAGCAGTGTCGGAACTACGGCTCCCGTGAGTCGGTTGAATGCGCCAGGGAAGCCGCAGGGAATTCTTTTGACGCCGGATGATACATCAAGCATGCCTATTCCACACAATTCCCTACGCAATTCTCCTGTCGCTTCGTCAGCCAATGTGGTCCTGTCTTCGAGCACCCCGGTGGACTCAGTGATTGCCTCAGTACAATTCATAGAGGAGGACGAAGTCGTACATCCCGCTCCTGGCGGCGATTTCGGGGGTGGTGGTGGCAGGCACAAAGGGAGTTTGACCAACAACCAAGTCCGACCAGCGGATCCAAGCGAGCAACATTGTAGTCCACCTTCGGCCTTCAGCAAGAGTCCGGTGGAGGAGGATAACTCCAGACCTTCTGGCGGCTCAGCATTGTCGTCGCCGTCTGCGAGTATGTCGGTTGGTACAAAGCGCGTGCTGCGTGCGGCGACGGACAAGTTCGAGCAAAACCGCCCAAAAGCTGAAGTTCCAGTGAGGAGGCGGTATTCTGAAGTTGTGCACACGCAGATTCGCACGAACATCCCCGAGATTGCCTCGATCAGTGTCATTCGTGTTGAGTCGCCGACAAGCAGCACGAACAACAAAGGCTTTCAGGTACTTGCTGGCATCAAGGCGCACGCGCAAAACCAGCGCGAGGAAGGCGGTAGCAGCCGCGGTCTCGGAGGAGGGCAAAGAGATGCTCGTGACCGCCAGCCCAGTATCATCGTGGAGGAGGACGAGGAGGATCTTTCGCTCCCTTCAGGCACGAGTATGCTGGCGGCAGCGGTGTACTCCGGTGCCTCATCCAAGGATCCGAGTGTGTCTGTCGACACTATCTGCGAAAAGTCTGGTACTAAGGGACGTAGTCGTCAGGGAGTGGGGGAGGGAGGAGCAAAATCCGGCGCAAGTGTAGGAAACAATGGTGCTGCCGAGACGTCGTCTTCGGACGAAGACGAGGATGGATACTACAATACGGGAGCAGCCGCGGAAGTGTATGGATTGACAAATCACCAATTTGGCGGTGACGCCGGACCGAGCGTCGATCTGCTTTCGAACTCGGCTAGCGTGAACCAGCAGCCACAGGCGCCCCCGCGGTCTCCCATCGCAACGCCGTCGCACCAATACCCAATTCACACACCAGGAGGATCACCGTTTCCGGTGCCCTCCTCTCCGCGCATGAGCATCGCGGACGTGATGTCTCCGAACGCGCAACATCGCATGTCGCTTATGCATCGCGGCATGACAGGAAGTGGTGTGGCAAGTCCGCGGTCTCCCGGGTCGCCGAATTACAATCACACCTATACGCCTGGGGGGGGTTATCAGCAGCAGCAGGGTAACGTAGCATCTGGTCCTGGTGATCACCAAATCATGCATCCGGGAGCTGTGCAGAACTCTCCGCCAATAGTCGGCGGCGCACCCGGTGGTTCGCCAGGCGGCGGACAACCACACGCGCAGCAGCATATGCTGATGATGATGGCGCGATCGCGGTCGGGAAGTCTCCTAACTCCAGGCGCAGAACAAATTACCGGCAGCTCGGTAATCATGTTCAACACTGGCGCGCCTTTGATAAGTCGTAGTCGGAGCGGGAGTCTCCTTACGCCAGGAGGCGCGACGACAGGCGGGAGCGGGGGCGGTCCGGGCGGGGCCACGGCGGGCGGCGCGCATGCCATCAACAGTGGCAGTTCCTCGACTGGTTTAGCGCCGCCCTTCACCGGAAACGGAGGTGCAATGCTCACGGTCGCAGGCCAACACCACGGTGCCAGTGCCACGTATATTTCACAGTCGAGTGGAGCTACCGGAAGTTCCGGACCTACAGCATCTGGCCATTTCGGAAACGCTGGCCTAGGAGCAACTGCAAGTGGTGGCAACAATCCCGCAATCGCGTCCGGCACAAGCACACTGGGAGGAGGTGTGCCGGCCCGAAAAGCTAGTGGAGAAACAACTAGACCTCACGATGGCACAGCAGGGAGTACTCTCACGCCTCCGAGCGGCCCAAGTGAGGCGTCCCGTGGGGGAGCTAGTGCGACTTATGCGCCCCCTAAGGCCGCTGGGCAAACTGGTCAAGCAGTAATGGGACCTGAGACAGCGCTTGTTACGGTGCACAATGAAGGGAAAATGATGCGAGAGTTTTCGAAGCGCAGTAAGACGCGTCAGGATACCACAAATCGGACAAAGCAACCCGTTCCGCCGAGGCAGTCTCAGCGGGGCAATGACGACACAGCAAATGCGGCAGATCCTTCTGCGGGCCATAATGCGGCGAGATCGAACGCGCAGTACCAGGGTGCGGCTGGCAACGGTACAAGTCCCTCAAGCAAGACCAAACTGGCATTGCCTGGCGCAAATCAGGGAGGAGGAAATGCAGTAGCCACAGCAGCTGGCGGTAGTGGCGGCGGACCGGGCCACTTACCTATGACGCAGTCGGAGCCGGCACCTGGTGCACTACTGGGGCTGCCGTCGAATTCAAGTTCGCGACGCTCTTCCATCGCGATACCTTCCAACTCGAGTTCTCGTCGATCTTCGATAGTATCAGGCGGCACACAGACAAGCTCCCCAACCATTTCTCGCCGAAGCTCTATTTGCCCGGATTTTTCTGGTACTATCATTAGTTGAGTTGTGGTATCTGTCTTTGATCTCGAGCGCATTGTAAGAGAATATGTGAGTGCTTTCTTGGTTTACAACCTCCGTTGAGCTCACTCAATCAAAAATTGCTTAGATATCAAAAATCATCAAAACAGGTTTGCAGTCCCCAAGCGATCTTTTGGTTCCGCCGCCACCTCCTCGGCCATTTGACATGTTGGACATCTGCTTCCAGCGAGACCTGAAACCTGGGAAAACAATCGGTCTGGGTCAATTTGGTCGTGTCTTCCTAGCAATGGAGAATGAGACTGGTTTTCTCATCGCGGTAAAGGAAATTTTGCTGCCGCCTCCGCCAGATCCGAATGACCTGGCGGCTATTGCCGAGGACGACAAAAACTTGGAGAGCCTGGAAACCGAGTTGCGTCTTTTACGTGGTATGTCGCACCCGCACGTTGTCACTTATTTAGGCCATGAGGTTCCGGGCACACGATCGGCAGGCAACGGGGCTGGGAAAGAAGATGAACAAGATGGTGGCAGTTCAGGAGATACGACAACTGCTCGGGGAGAAGACGGCGCTTCCTCTGCGAAAAAAGCTCCTGGCGGATCGGTGTCGCCCCATACGACTCCTCTTGTTCTTGATGATGACGTAGCCTCAAAACCGAATCATCACGATCGCTTGTACATTTACCTGGAGTACTTGGGTGGAGGCTCCATCAAGCAGCAACTTGCGGATTTTGGAGCGTTTGACGACAGGCTGACAATGAAATATACCCGACAGTTACTCTCTGGGGTTGCGTATTTGCATGCGCACGATGTCATTCACAGGGATTTGAAAACAGCCAATTTGCTGCTGACGCAGGTACTACAGCCTCGAATTAGTTTTTCATACATATGTTCTTCAATAGACGAGCTTATGTAGTATAGTGAAACGTTGCTAAATAAGATATTCTTATCGATATTCATTTTCGCTTTACTGATCGATGACAAGAAAAATTTTATCGACCATTTTTCGTATCAGGATGGTACTCTAAAAATTGCCGACTTCGGTTGCAGCAAACAGCTTGGAAGCATTTTTCTCGAGAATAATTCCATAATTTGCGGAACCCTGCCTTATATGGCACCAGAAGTCTTCGCTGGACCTAGCGGAAGTCCTGCACCTCCTGTACCTCTTCCCATTGACAAAAACAAAAGTGCGGCTCCTTCTAGTGATGCGAATAACATTAACAAGGGTGAGGAAGATCAAAAAGCGCCAGAAAGTAAGGAGAGTGACGTAAGAAAGGGAATTCCTGAAGATGGCGCAAAGGGCAACACCTCCGACAAAATAAAAGTGAATGACCAAAATGCTGCCGATCATGCCGGTGATGGAGAAGTAGATCAGGGACAAGGTGAAGATCAAAATTCTGATCAAAATGCTGCCTCTATTACAGCTGAAGTGAGCTGCAAGCCTCCTCGAATGCCAACACCCAGTTCAACTACTTCCATGTCAATTAGTCACCTTGCTGGAGGCGGCCACCAGGACACAAAATCCAATCAACATCAGCAAGGCCATAGTACTACAACCCGGCCTGCAGGAGGAACATCTGGTACTGGCGGACATGGAGATGTAGAAAATGTTGGTGTCTCAGGTGGAGAAGCACATCCCGCGTCTGCCCGTGTCGTGGAACAACAACCACGGCAGGATCCAACGAAAGTGGATATTTGGTCTATGGGATGTTGTGTGCTAGAAATGGCGACCGGAAAGCCTCCTTGGCATCAGTATCGATTCGACAACTTGCTTCATGCCTTTTTCGTCATATCTCAGAGGCAAGAAACGCCTGAGATACCAGAAGGCAAGAAGGCATACGCTTTCGTGCGTAGTTGCCTTGTGCGCGACCCCCGAGAACGACCCGGCGCTGTGGAGCTGTCGAGGCATCCGTTTGTACAGTGATGTGCGGACACTACTCGAGTAGAAATCGACATAATCAAACATGATTTGAAGGTAATAAATCAAAAGAAGATGAATAGCGCATTGAATAGCCGTTGCTCAATTTATTTTGGCAGTTGCATTAACTTTAACATCAATAGTGCAAGTACTGGATTTATTGAGGCCTTTTTTGATTTGTGCATAGCAACATAAGAATGACAAAGAAGCCTTTTTCCAATCATAAAACTAGCGTAGTTAGCATCGCTAGAAGTCATTTTGTCTGTAACTCCATTGTATATCCATTGTTGCACTTTTCGTTCGCCAGGTATTGCCCATTTCATTTCGACTAAGAAAGTAGCTGTATTCGATATATTTGTGAGTACCTATTGACTCCTCTGCATTTCTTTGCTAGTAATTCTAGTTGTTTTACGCTACTGAAAGATAGAAAGGAACAGTAGGAGTCCTTTGTTTCGAGTAAAAACGTGCACATTCTTTTCCTAGCATTTAGTGGACGGTATTTTTCAATGCATATGCACAGTCTTCGCCTATGTGGGCTTATCATGGTTCTTGATTTTCGGCACACTTGTCACTTATCAATCTTCATGTTTTAGCTTTTCATGGTTTTCATGGTGGACTTGAGAAACTCAATTTGCCGGGCTCCTAACACTGCAAGAAAATTTGGTGACCATTGACCCTCGCACACACCATAAGGAGACCGGAAATTTTGCCAGTGCTAGGTACATACTCGCATTGTCGGATCGCAGTGCAGCCGCTTAGACCACCCCCCTGGACCTTCCAACGTACAACTGGAGTTTCGGTTCCGATCGAAGGCGCATTGCGATTGCATAGAAGAATCTTAACTCTTATGTACGTCATCAGCCAACGCCGCTAAATTTCATAGACTTCGGATTTATTTCCACCTGTATTTACTGAGTATTCAAAAGCAGCAAGATCATGACGTGTCGACCAGCGGCTTCGTGCCATCTTCGTTACGAATTTGGTGCTTTTCCTCAACCTGAAGGACAGGAGGAGATGAAATGTGCCGCGTCTTCCGAAGTGGATATGATCCTAGAACAATCAGTGTGTGTACAGGACTCTGCGCAGTGTACGTACTTTTGCGTAATCCAGTTTCCGCCTGCGGGTTATTGCGGTATTCAAGAGCGCGAATGGGGTGAAAAAATAGCAATTTTTTCGGTCTGGGATCAACGCGAAGGGGATGTCGAGGTAGAGGAGGCAGGCCCGAGGGTGATATCAGAGCCGTTTGGAGGCGAAGGGACTGGACAAAAACTCTGGCGACCTTTTGATTGGAAGAATGGGCAAGAAGTGACATTTCGTGTCCATGTGCGACGAAAAAGCCCAAATGCCTTGTGGCAGATTGCTTGCTTTGTTACCTATGAAGAGGAGGAGGAAATACAAGGCAAAAACAGAATAATGAAAACTAAAAGTTTTTGTATGGGATCTCTTCGCGTGAAGGCGACGGCTGCTGCGGTAACGGATATGCTCTCGTTTGTCGAAGACTATGACCGCAGACAGGAAGCCAGAGGACTCTTTATGTGTCGGAAAGCGCTGTTTGGGGGTCAGCCGCAATGGCTTTGCAGAATGCCTACTACTGGTTTTGATGCGCGTCCACTAAAGAAGATCCGTTTCACCAAAGTAACCCATGGCGCAGAACAGGAGGGAGCTGAAACAAGGTGTAAAGGGTGCAAACAAGAGTGTGAGCAACAGACAGTAGGGTGGAACAATAATGATGAGAGCGGTGAAGGTGACGCAAATTCTTCTTCGACAGCAGGGACATCTAACACTACAGGCACGAAAAGCCCCTCGCGTAGCTCGAGCGGTTCGAAAGATTCGATCGTCTCATGTCTGCCCATTGAAGCGCTTGCAAGCGTAGCGGCATCACCACTCCGATTTTTTTCGTTTGTATCCGCGTCCGATGCCGAAGAGCAAGGTACAGTGGGGAAGCAGTACGACGAAGCAAATGATCTCGCTAGTAAGAAAGATATTCAAGCAGTCAGACAGAAAAGAACGCAGACGCAAGTCCAAGGTTTTATTCTACAGACCGGTGGTCAACAAGCCTTCCAAGAAGTGACAGTCAACCACGCCGCGCTGACACCCTTCATTTAGGGAATAATGCGCTGCTGAATTTGCAAAGGCTTGTGCGAGCAAGAGAATATTGCTCACTCTATATTTTGTTGATTCGATGATGCCTCCGACAGAAGGGGAACCTCTTTTAGCTGTTTGCTGACGCGTGCTCGAGGAGAGGACTGCTCGCAGTGTTTTATCGCTATTCGCAAAAAACGATCGGAGTGCTACCAAATCCAAAGTTCTTGCCTCTAGCTCATGCGCACTGCAGCTTACATTGTGTGTGATCCATTTGTTGGATTGCTCGTTGAAGAGTTGTACTAGAGATCTTGAATGATCTCTCCTCATGGTCTGAACACGATCCCGACGTTCTGGATAAAGGATCATGTTGAACCAGATGGCTTCGTCGCATATTTTAGTTAGACTTATTCAATTGATGTCTCTTCTTTCATCCGAGAACGAATTTAAAGTAAATATTTGTGGAGAGCTCTGGATGATTAACGAAAAGACTGTCCCTGTGCCTAGAAATTTTCGTCATCAATTTTTTTAGTTTGAATGGTTTTATTGTTCCGTTCTTGTGTGTGCAGATTCACTGACTTGGAAAAACAAATTTTTGGATTCTACTTGTACGACCGAAGATATCGGCGACTAACTTTTCCTCACCTTCGTTCCTTGAAAGCCGATCACCATGCCATTGGCCATGTGGCTCACTTGGTCTCTAATTGCTCTGGTGCGGGCCGCGGCACCGGACACGACGATGAATGGTAGGTGTCGGCGGCTTGTGACCCTAGATGTCGCGAACGGTACCTTGTCGTCGGCATCTAATACGTCAAGCGAGTTTGTTCCCGACGTTTCGGGAGTTCAAGGACCATTTAGTAGCACCAACGGCGAGCACGGTAATGTGATGAATATTTCTGCGCTGTTTCTCGAGGAGGAGCATCCGACGGATTTTTACCTTACGCTTGGATTTTGAAAGACTTGGTCTAGCAGCATATTTTCATTTTGATGAAAGAACTGCATTGACGTCGTCTAGGCACTTCCTTCTAACCCCTAATCAACCACTGCTACGAAATGCATACAGAAGGCAGACGAAGTAGAAGATCAAATACTTTCTGTTGCTTGATAAATCATGGCTCTAACTCCACTGCTTATTCTTCTCTTTGCCGCAGCTGCGATCGCTATGAGGGAGGTGGGGATATCATGCGGGTTTATCGGCTCCCCTCGCGCGAGCAGTCCAGTGCGCTCCTTGTCATATACGGTTTTGTTGATTTTGAGAACATGTGGCTGGAGGACGAAATGCACGCACAAGATCGAGACCTGTGGAATCCCGTGACACTGCGCTACGCGGACAAGAAGTTTGCTTTAATTGCTTTATCCCTAGATGATCTGAAACACGCGGAGTGCGGCGGCCCAGGCGGCTACGCAGAGGCGTCCTATCACACATTTGTTACGTCAAAAGGCGACGCAACCGTAGAGCTGGACCTAGACGTGGATCGAGATCTTCTTCAAGCACTAGATTATGATTATGTAGAGAAGGATCACGTGCATGAACGGGATGAAGTTTGTTTTTCTTGCGTGGTTGCATCAATTATAAATTAGATGTCTAATGATCTATGTCCTCCTGCTGCAACACCGTGAAAAGTGATGCACGTAGACACTCTATTTGTTTGGAGGACTGAGGTACCCTATAAAGTTTTCACCTTGAAAAAAAGGAGGCACTGCGCACTGGAAAATTGTCGATGAGCTTATGTTCGTATACGACCAGGTAGCAATCAAATTTTCCTTACTAATGCTATCGAAATGACGGCGGCCTGAGTACGAAAACAGAGCGTATAACCCGCAGCCTCCGAGACCCAAATCAGATTCTTCAAGTGCCGAAAATTCCAAGTGTAAAAACGTTGATGCAACGGGCTATTCTCGGGGACAATGCGGAACATGAGCGAGCTAAAGACAACGCGCGGCGTGCGATCGCTGTAGGACGCCAAGTTTTCGGCTTTCCACGCCATCCGACTCCAGCCGTAATTCAAACAAGCGTAAGTGCTGCAGAACTAGGCCGTCTTTTGCCGGATCGCGAGACTGTGAGCTACACCTTTCAGGCGCAGCATATGGTACTACTCCCAAAGAAATTGACTGAGAGATTGGTTTTGTTCTTAAATTCATTCCATTTTGGACTATAGAGCAGGGACATCCAGATCCTTATCTGATTCTTCACATCGACTTGTATGTACTAGAAGGATATTTTGTTCTTGACTCAACATCAGGGCAATCCAGTTGTGTTGGTAAAGACGTTGTTTGCAGCAGTAGGGCGGGACGCCCGGGAAGCTGGGTGGCACCCGGGAGGGGCGCTTGAATCTCACCTGCCGCCAGAGAGTCGCATTAGCGGTCTACGAGATGGATCGTCGCCGATGCAGACCTATTACACCTCTGGCGTGAAGGCGACCCTGCTTGACGCCCCTTGGAACTGGGCACGAGATGAAATCGCGCTTGGACGACCCAACGATGAGGTGCTGCAGCTCAGAGCTGTTGTTCGTTTTCCCCTAGTAGTTTGCATATCATTTCCTCTTACACCTAGTTTGCCATCACGATCTTCTTCTTCACATCCAGAATAAGACATCTTCATCTTTATCTTAGCCAATAGATGTAACACAGGAGTAGACCTCCACTGAAACACTGGTAATCGTGAAGATAAATAAGCAGTCTTCGATTTTTTTGGTTTTACTGAGTCAATAGATTCGGGGGGTTCGTTCCGCAAAATTACTTCCAATCGACCTCAAAAATCAGGATCACAATAATAGGGAAGACGATCCAAACGAGTATTTTGCTGCGCCGTTGAAGCGTTGGGGGTTCGTGCCGGTGTTGAAGGAGTACTCACCGGATGCCCAAGTGTACACCGATGCTCCCACGCAGGTGCTGTGGAGTAGCAAAGACGAAACCATGTCTGAACCTTGCGCTAAATTGTCAGGAAAAGCCGACTCGGAGGCGCCTGCTGCAAGTGGTTCGGCAAATGATGCAAAACCTATCCTGGCACGCCAAGCACGACTCCGGTTAGCTTGTTCGGAGGAGGTCGTAGGCAGGGTTACTACATCTACTGAGGGCAAAGCCTTCTCTACGGAGATGGACACTACATCTCAAGAGAAGGGTGAGGTCAAGATTCAGGCGAAAAGTGGCACGACGGAAACTTCTGAAGAGAAGGAGGAGACCGCTTGTTATCAGGCAAATGATACAAACAGTCCTGTGTCAGGTCAAAAACAACATCAGCGCAAGGTCTTTTTTGTAACGGGAGCAACTGGAGGAGGCTTAGAGCAAGCGATCACGGAATTGCTACTCGAGGATGAGCGCAACGTCGTCTATGCCGGTGTGCGGAGTAGCGAGAAGCTGTCTAAAACATTCTCGAATCTAGTAAATGAAGATCGGGTGACCATGACCAAGCATATCGATGACAACGACGATGAAGAGGAGGATTGGAAGACAAAGGGACGCGCAAGTAATGTGGATGAAGACAGCAGAAGGAGCCCTCGTCTGCGCTTTGTGAAACTCGACTTGACAGGATCTGACGACGAAATTTTCGAAGCAATTCAGCTTGTGGAGGAGGCGGAACGAACGGAAGCAAGGAGCCATGGCAGAGACCCGGATATGGATGATGTTTTTTCTCCCAGCTTTAACAGATGACCATGCTGATCGTGGCTGACCCTTTTCCATTTGAATGTGTATTGGTCAAAGGGGGAGAAAAGACACCATTTATACAGGAGATGGCCGGAATCGATGTGCTGATTTCTGCTGCTGGCATAGGTCGTAACTGGCCGCTGGAGTGTGAGACGACGGAAACGATTGCGGAATGCCTGCGCATCAACCTCTCAGCGCCAATCACGTTGAATCAAGCTGTTTTGGCGAGCATGAAGAGACGTAGCGTGTTGCTGAAGAAGAGACAGAGCAGTGTGATAAACAAAGACACGGAGATGCTGAGCACAAGTTGCTCGCCAAGCCATTTTGAGGGAACGGAACAGCAACAAGATGAACATGAAGTAGCATCTTCTGGTGCTCAGGCGTCAGCTCTTCCTCAAGTGGAGCAAACAGCAGCCTTACCATCGACAAGTCTGCTTCGTCGAAAAAATGAAGAGCAAAGCACAAGCAGTACCATGACGCGGCAAATAACATGTGCCAAAAATGGCGTGCAGAGCTATGAGTCCTGTTGTGAGAGCGTGCAAGAACGCGACAGGTTTCACATCATCAACGTTTCATCCATCAATGGTCTCGTCGTGGATACAATGACAGAAATTTACGCCGCAGCAAAATTTGGCCTAGTAGGCTTTTCTGCGTCCCTGCGAAAAACGTTGGAACTAGGGTATGCGGACGGCCCGAAGCCGATTTATATCACAACAGTGTGCCCAGGGCCCATGGACACTCCTGCTCTCTGGGAGTCAGCACAAACGATCACCGAGTACGAACAGCAGAGGAGAACTTTAAATGCCGATGGCAACAGAGAGTTAAGCTATAATCAACCGTCAACTTGTAAGTGCGACTTCGCCACTCCAATTTTGATTTTTCGTTTCGATCTCGTACCTAGATTGTTCTTTTCTCTCTGCTGGATGAGTCATCATGATCCGCGACGCTGGACTTTTGACCATATAACTGCGCTAATTTTTTCGCACATCCAAGAAGTCGACGACATCACGAAGGCCCTGATCGCAGAGAAGGAACCGCTTTTCAAAATGTTGAAAGAACAAAAACTTGCTGTCCCACCACGTTATGCGGCTGAAGAGCTAGTGCGGAAAGCTGTCAACGCGGAGGATCCACCTGTCATCTTGCCAATGACATTCGGCTTTCTAGAGGAGGACCTGGCAGCACGCTACTCCCCAGGATTTTTGCAAAGAGGGAATAAAAAGTAATTTACAACTTTGGTTCGTAATTTTTGCCTCTTCAAGATACAAGAACTAATGGATTTGGAAGCGTCGATGAACTTTTTGATAAACACAGGAATGACCGACAGCAATTCCATTGTATCTATTAATATATGAATATGCTTGTAAAAATAAAGATGTGGCAGGTCGTTGGTCAGAAGGCTTCACTTTCTTCTCTAGTCTGTGAAGGTGGAGAAACTGCTTCACAAAATGTATTGCTTGTCGGGTAGTGTGAGGCCACGCGATGCGTGTTCTTTGCTCCCCAACGCGCTCTAGGAACGTGATTACCGCATCTCCTGATATTTCGCGTATCGTCGGTAAACACGACTCCTACTTTGCATCTAAAAATAGTTGAAATTATGTGGATGACTGTGTAAGTCTTTGTCTTTGTTGTCATTATGCACAGTGGCTTTGTTGTCAACATTGGCAGTTAGTCTACTAAATCTGGTGAGGAGAAGGTTCTTGTCAGTACCTAGGAAGATCACTTCGTTGGGATCTATTGCTGACTAACATCTAGCGACGATTGCAATGCATGTTTCATTGTACTTTGAAAAGAATAATCAAAAAATGTTGGCGGTGATTTGCATTCATGATTCCTTTGCTGTTGTCTATTGGAATGTGATATAATGATACGTGCTGTAACTATGCAAATGCAAATCTGTGGGGGGGGGCATGCTTAGACCAACGAACGTAACTCTGAAAACAGAGTTTGAGAAGTAGAGGTAGATGCACTGCCCTGTGAGAGAATGATGTAATGGCCAGTGCTATTGAGAATTCACCCTTTGCTGCCAATCGGGAAATGCGTTCGTTGTGCTCTTCACACAGGGAAACGACGGAGCACGTGCCACTCTTGGGAAAGTGGTCTGGATAAGCGACTGTCGGTGAACCATGTCCTTACGACGTGAGGTGTGGGAACGCAAAAGGATGGAATTGTAAAAGACGTGGAAGAAGAGGAGAAAAAACTGCATGGTCTTCTAGTGGACGAGAACTGCAAAAGTGGAACGAACTTTTTCTGAAGTTCTTCTTCTTCGCCGAGTTTCATACAACAAGCATAAGATTACAAGCATGGATGGTAGATTCTGGATTTCACGATTCGATCGTATTGTCTTATTTTAAACATAAGAACTTCAACACTTCCCTACGAAAAATGAGCGACGACGTGCCAACGCAGCCGACGATCCGTGGGTCCGACGGGCCGACGCTTCAGCTTGGCAACGCGAAGGTGTTTGATTTCACAGGTACGGCGGCGAGCCCAAGCACAAAAGAGTACTTGGACCAAAAGTTACCGGGTGGTCTTGAGGACACAAAGAAAGTGGTACTGAAGAAATCAATTGATGAGGAAATCGCATCGCAAGTGCAACTCCTGCCCATCGGGGAGGTCGCAAAGCTGCTGGGACTCACGGATGCGGAAGTTGATCCCTACGGCAAAACGAAAGCGAAAATCAGTTTGGCGAACACTGTATGAAAGGAAGCCCAATGAAAATGGTGCTCGATAATGACATTTCGAATTCTAGAAAGCACAAGGATATTGTCTTTATCACCTGTTAATATCCGTATTTCGTCATTATACTAACGAATAATGATGTTTTGTGCCTTATTGCATTCTCAGGTATAATCAATCCCAATATGTGCTATTATCTAGAGGCTCATCATGATCATCTTTCATATCTCGGTCTTGACCGGAGAAGCCTTTCATAGCAAGGGAACTCTTGCAGTAGCAAGGCACCAGGTAAGCTGATCCTGGTTACTGGCATGACACCGACAAAGGCAGGGGAGGGCAAGACCACGACGACTGTTGGCTTTACGGACGCTCTGAGATTGTTGGGCAAAAACGCAGTGGCCTGTCTGCGCGAGCCCAGCCTTGGCCCAGTGTTCGGCATGAAAGGAGGCGCGGCCGGTGGGGGGTGGTCTCAGGTATAATCAATTTCTCCTACAACTCCTCGTTTTAGTGTCCATGCATAAGAATGTCATAGATACGGATCTTCAAAAGAAAAAGTTTATTTAGGTTACAAGCCTTCCACCCTTACACTCGCTATCCTCGATATACTTAATCAGGTAGTCCCGATGGACGAAATCAATTTGCATTTCACCGGCGATTTTCATGCAATCACATCCGCGCATAACTTGTTATCAGCTATGGTGGACAATCACATGTATTGGCAAAAGGAGCCGATCCTAGATGCCAGACGGATAACCTGGAAAAGGGTTCTCGATATGAACGACCGCGCATTGCGAAAAATAAACTGCGGGCTCGGCGGACCGGGAAATGGTAAATCAAGTCAAAAATACTTCTTTAGGAGTCGAAATACTTCTTTAGGTATGCGAAGTCGAAATACTTCTTTCGGAGATCGAGCGTGCCTCGTGCCTCTAAGTCCAACTACCTTAAGGAGCTCCTAACATTAATGTATTTGAAATAGAGATAGCGAATTCGAATTCTTGCCTTTATAATCTATCGCCAGGCTATCCTCGAGAAGACGGCTTCGACATCACAGTGGCGTCGGAAGTAATGGCAATTTTATGCCTAGCAACCAATTTTCAGGATCTCGAGAGACGCTTAGGGAATATCTGCGTCGGCTACACACGAAAGAGGCAAATGGTCACTGCAGCTGACTTAGGGGCCGCAGGCGCGATGGCGGCATTGCTGAAAGGTACGCTTCTTTGTATAAATGTTTTCAGAGCTGAAATTGACAAATGAATTCCTTTTTCCGAAGAAACAAATTACAAGCTTTCAGCTTTGCTATTTCTGTATACTAAACGGGGCAATATCATGACACGTTCCATCCATCCTCCAGACGCCTTCCGTCCGAACTTAGTTCAGACGCTGGGACGCTCGCCGGCTTTGGTGCACGGAGGGCCGTTCGCAAATATAGCGCATGGATGCAACTCAGTGCAAGCGACGAAGCTAGGATTGCAACTCGCGGATCTAGTGGTAACCGAAGCGGGATTTGGCGCAGATCTTGGCGCAGAAAAATTCTGTGATATCAATTATGAACCGTGGTGGACTGCAAAATCCATGCACTTTTCTGGATTGTTAGTAACAAAAATTGAGTGACGTCGACGTGACTGATATGAAAATGAAACGCTGCGCACCTGTTTAGGTTTCGAATCAATGTCAATCATTTTTCGACACAAGCAAACTCTAAGCTCAATGCCGGCAAGCGGGTCTGACGCCGAGCGCAGCAGTTCTCGTTGTCTCATCGCGTGCCTTAAAGCTTCATGGCGGTGTGAAACAAGACGATTTGAAAATCGAAAATTTGGAAGCCATCAAGGAAGGTCTTGCGAATGTTAAGCGGCATTGCGAGAATTTGCAGAAGTTCGGACTGAAGATATTTGTGTGTGTCAACAAATTCCCGACAGATACACCTGCAGAGCTCGATCTTATTTGCTCTCTGTGCCAAGGGTTCCCTAACGTAGCTGCAGCCGCGGTTGGTGATCATTGGGCGCAAGGCGGCGAGGGGCTAAAGCCTTTAGCTGCAAAGTTATTGGAGTATCTTGGTACTTTGTTCTGATCATTCTTCGTATTCTGTCTTAATCCATTTCCATGGAGTTTGTTAGAGAAAGTTTTCTTCTCGCTGTCGCTCTTGCTACAGTGAACTATTCATGGTTTTTTAGAAGGTACTCTGTGAAGGTGGCAATCAATGCTTTACACTCTTTGGATAACAACATTATCAAACAAAGTCGAAAGAAACCACGTCACTCAGATTCCGAGACGGCATCAGCAGATGGGTTCCGTCCGCTGTACCCCAGAGAGATGCCCTTGAAGGAGAAAGTTTCGACGATCGCAACAGAAATCTATCGTGCTCGAAGTGTCGTCTACAGCGATGAGGCTGCTACGAAAATAAAGCAACTCCAGGATAATCCCATCCACAGAAACTTTCCGATCTGTGTAGCGAAGACGCAGTACTCCTTCTCGGACGACGCAAAAAAGATCAACGCCGCGGTCGACCACGAATTGCACGTCTCGGAAGTACGCTTGAATGCAGGTGCAGAATTCATCGTCGTAATTTGTGGGGCGATCATGACCATGCCTGGGCTGCCGGAGAAGCCTGCGGCGGCGAGCATCGGGCTGGATAGCGACGGAAACGTCGTGGGGCTTTTCTAAGTCCCTAAGGCAACTCTGGCATGTCGCTAAACATATTCTACTAGCTTGCTACATTAGGTGAATCTAGTATTCCAAAGTTACAACTTGCTTACTCAAACTCTGCGGTCCTCTTCATTCTTTTTCACCTGAAGTTATAATCCGTAGCCTTCAGGAGCAGCTTGACTTCAAGCTAGTGCAGACGACTATCTCTAGGCCCGTGTAAGAAAGTATCGCTGATGCAGGATCAGTGTTCTTTTGTTGTAGTACCATTTTGCCGAAAGCCAATGAACATGACTATGCATAGCCCGTATCAATCTTCTACGTACTTGCAGTTTTAAGCGCATACCTCATCAATGAACTTCTACGGGTACGGTGTCATCTCGTCTTTAGAAATGATAGATAATGAACAGATTTAGAATTAGATCAATAAGCTTCATTTTCGTCTTCCTGCTTGTTAATTGAGACTTGCTTCACTTACAGCTTTGCGATGTTAAAAAGAAACTCTGGACGTGGGGCTAGGTCTCTCTGCTAGGGCATTCATTGCGTGCTTAAGAGCCACCAGGGAGCATTGTGGAAAGAACCAGCGGACCCGATATTCACGATGAGTTGCCCCTCAATTTCATATTTCACGAAGCACAACTTTCACATGGCGAGACAACATGACAAATGCGGACTGTTTAATATGTTTGACATTCGAATCTATCGAAGAATCATGTCAAGAAAGCAAAATCGGGAAAGGTTAATGCGTGTGGACTGACGTGTTTGTTTTGGGTTGGGGCGGCTTAGTTTTAACTTCCAATTCATTGCATGCTGCAGTCGTTTGGTCCCGCAATCATGCGGGTCTTCCTTAGCGCAGACCTCCCACTGAGTTTTGAATCTGAGAGCGGAAATGAGGGCTAGAAGTAAAAAAATGGCAGAAAACAAGCGAAAAGGCATCTGCCTCACCCCGCTGTGAGCACTAAAAAGGGTCGAGAACGTCCCAAAAGATGGTAATGGGTTTACTTAGATAAAAAGCTGTGCTTATCCTTATCTTCATTTGGTCAATAAAGTTGCCGAGGAGGTTTCCGCAAAAAATCCTCTGTTTTTGAAAAAGGGCAAGGTTTTTCTGAGACAATCTATCTCTTCTTTTATCATCAAAAGAATCCATTGAACTGCGATGGATAGTGCTCTCAAATTCAACTGGTTTCCTTACTCTCGCGCAGCCCCCTAGTGGGCCTGCCCGAAAATGATGGACCTTGGTGGGCGATTTTTCGCCCGTCTGGCGCCAGGCGCACTCTTCCTCGGTCGGATGACCGCTGAGGGCGCGAAGGTGACACGAACTGCCTTGCTTTCAAGACAAGAGAAAGCAGCTCACAACGCGAGATCAAAAGCAAAGAATATGTCACGATTGCGATCTAGAGGCAAAGCACAAGCACCGCTTGCAGACAGCGTGAAGCACCTTGAGGAGACACGGGAAATGAGCCGCTGGCCGTATTTGGACTCGCTAAGACCAAGCGCGCCCATGGACTCACTCGGGGATCCAGTGAGCCCAAATAGCATTGCGGGAATGTGGCAAAATGCACAAGTTTTTCCTCCTTACATGTACCCGGAGCCCTTTCCGAATGACGGGAACAACAAGGGCCATTATGTTGAGAATTGAAATATGGTGTTGTTCTTGGCTAGTAGAGTTGTACATGCAACTGACTAGAATTATTCATCGTACTTGTAGTGATGACCATGAACTGATTTTATAATGCAAATAAAGTGCTGTTGTAGAGGAACTGAGCGCCTATAATTGCACTCACGGGGTGCCTAGTTTGGTATTGGTTACCCCGCTCTCCCAATGCAAATTTTACTACCTCGAATTCTTTTCATTCGCGAGACGACACAGATGCCTTTGCGAAAAACACGATGTACACTAAAAGGGTCCCAAAGGTTATTCGGTACCAGAAAGGAGGCCATCAAGTGCTCGACTACGACGTTGAGCCCGCAGATGGAACCTGGCCAAACGGGGATGTCCTCAGCCCAAAAGTCAGCGACCAGTCCATCGGGGCAGGTGGCCAGAATGCAGGTATTGTTTGTACTGCAGTGCTTACCCACAATTTTTCAATAAGTTGTACTTACCTTTGTTGATGTAAACCAGTATTTGTGATAGTCATTGAAGCATCAAAACATTTTTATCTACAATCCACCGCAGGTGGTGTGAAGTCAACAGTGATAACTGGACCGGCTGAACGTATACCCTGGGACCAGATTCCCATTTTGCCGGCGACGGAGCACTCAACGAAGAACTGGGAAAACTGGATGGTTATGCGAAGGAAAACTGAGTAAAGATATTGGAAATCATGGTAGAACTGATCGATGGATCCGAGTTGTGTTTAGTATACAGTATTAACGTATTTATGTTGTCTTAGTGTCTGTGTTAGTGATAGATTAGATTTAGAGACTCAACATTGTTCACATTTGTCGGACTTCCCATGGCACCTTCTAAGCAAAGTAAGTTGGACTATATTCCACATGCTGTAGCGGAATACTTGGACCAGGTGCATGACGCGGAGCGAAGCTGCGAATACGACACTTTCCGAGGTGAGTGCGTCACACGTGATTGCCCCAGTAACAAGCCGGCTCTCACCCTCGTTATCGGAAACGTCAAATACGATAACGTCGAACTCCTAGAAAAAGGAGTGGATGGCTTTTTCAAAGTGAAGGTATAATTGTGGAGTTGGTCTAGATGTTTTGAAATCTACCTGTACGCTCGTTTTCTGATGTTACTTAGTTTCATCTGGTACTTTTCTCTTTGTTGACCATGACACTTATTATAACTATACTAGACCTAGAAAAGAACAGGTAGTAAGTACTAAAACATCTTCAAACTCAGATATCGGCCGGTCTAGTGCAAGGCGGGAAGGACTGCAGCGAAGATGGATGTACATTGCTGCGCCAGTGTTATCACGGTAAAGCGGGTCCTTATGACCAAGAGGGATGTAGTGAAATCACGACGCATGCAAAATTCGATCCCTTTGACTCGCTGGAACACCGATTTGAGTGTCCGGACTACCATGAGCGCTGCTCCACCCTCGTCCAGATGGTTCCAACGGGAGCGCTGAAAGATCACGCTGGGAAATCGTGCGTCTGACGAGGAAGAAAATGGCGAAACAGACTACTGACAGAAGACGCACAATGAATGTGTAGGAAAGTACTCTGGGTCGGCGAGGAACATTCTTGCAATGCGCAAGAAGGATGAGCAACCATGATGAAGCATAGGTTTTGACACGAAGTACTCCAATAGGTTCGTTGAATTTATAGCCTGCATAGGCGGAGGCTTCCAAGGAAATTATGCGTCATTCCTTACCGGATTTCGAACGCGGTCTCTTTTTTTCCTACCTGTCTGGTCTCGCAACGGGACTGACATGATGGGGCATACAGCGTTGATTTCATTTACTCTTTCAGGTGAAAAGCATTTATGTATATGTCTGTGCATGAGAAACGGAAAAAGGGAGGGAGAGACGCCATTCCTTAGCAATGGCTGAGTGTCGGCGTGAAGTGTTTGTGGCAACTTTTTTTTTCGATGAGTCCAGTCGTCAAGGAAGAAAGCGAAGGAAAACAAATAAATTGACAAGGTACAACAGAGGGAGGGACATCTCGTTTTTACTTCTAGACCAAAGTAAAAGAAATTCGCAAAAACGCTGCAGGAGCAAGAACAGGAGACCATCAAAGTTAAGAAGCGTGCAAAGTAGAAAGTTGAAAGGAGAACTGAAATTAACGACAGTTGCAGTCTTGCATAGGCTGCATTGTAGGAGAGCTCAAGAGCTGCAGAGTGCGGGAAAAACGTTTCTTGACGAAAACGTCCGCTCCGACGAGACACATACTAGACGTGAACGATCCAAGGACGACCACCGCAGATCGATGTTTGCTGAGTTTGTTTGGATTGAGTTTTCATCAGCAAGCAAAGAATACTAAGTAGAAAGCTGAATGTTAATATTTGAGAATACAGAAAATATGACGTCGACCTTTATCGACCAGCACGGCGACCAACACCATGCGTCCGCATATGATGCTGCAGCTTCGGCGGGTTACTTTGTGAGTAGTTCTTCGAAGATGGCGATGGCGGACGGAGCACAGGCACAGCAACTACCGGCGCAACCTCTCGGAGCGCCGCAGCTAGCACAACAGGCAGTGCAGTACAGTATACCGCAGCAGCTGGGATACGGATATGCGCAGTTACCTCAGCAAATGCACAACTCGCAGTTACCTCAAGCTACGCCGCAACACGTGCATCAAGTATCGTATTCCTCGCACGGGCAGCATCAACAGCCATTTAACAACGCATCCAACGTCAATAACTATGGAGGGGGCGCGTACATCAATGCCGGCGGCGCCGGAGCGATCCAACACGGGACACCTTCAGGGGCAGGAGGTGCTGCACAGGCGCAGCCGGTCTCACACCCGTACCATAATGTTCTGCCGCAACCGCAGCAGCAAGGAGGTGTAGGGTCGACTCGGGTGGACCACCGTGCAAGTGCAACCGGAGGCGCTGCCAACAATGTGCCGCAGCAACAAACGCAAGCGTCAGGTCCTGGAATTAGCGGTCCTGGACAGCATCAGCATCTTCATCAACAGACCGGACATCAAGGCGGGGCAACGACGACGCACCTGCAACAGCACCAGGCGAATCCGAACCAAGTCTCTTCGCACCAGCCCCACTCGAATCCACCCCCGATCCGCCGAACACGGCCGCACAGTCTCGCAAGTCCATTGGCAATTGTGCGGGACGCAAAAGAGTTTGTGGGCGACGGGGAGTTCGTGCACACGCCGTCCAACGGAGGCCAACCTTCTATATCGTCCTCACACTATGGCTATCACACGACGCTAACGACAAGTCAGCAGAAACGCCAAAAGAACCTGCAGAAGTTATTGCGGCCACTGTCATCCTCGCTCTGTAACGCTGCAGCCGCGACAAAGGTGCCGTCGCCAGCCAAAACCGAACCTTGTAAATCGCCAGCCGGCCGGTTTTACCACATTGCGTCAACGGGCTCGATCGCATCTGGCAGTGGAGGTGGCACGAGTGGTGGGACCACACCAGGAGGGGCGGCGGCGGCGGCTCCGCCACCCTATCCCTTGCCGGGGCAAATGGCTGGGGCTCCCCAAGCGGGCACGCTCAGCGTCGGCGTACCAGGTGGAGCGCATCAAAATCCTCCATACACGTGGGCGGGCGCTGCACTCCAAGGTGCAGCTGCAAACGTAACGGCTAGAGATCACAGCGGACCAGCACCTCGGACCCCGGGAAGTTTTAGTGCATCCAAGCAGGGGACACGAAATTTTCATCGCGGCCTTTCTTCAACTTCGCGATTTTACGCGCCGCCGAGTTTAGATGGCGACCCGACGGGAACACCACAGTCAGCCTCCCGCGCGAATCTGATATCGTTGCTCCATCGGCGACGGCAGCTACAGTCGTCGTCCGCGCGTAGCGCGACAGCACGGACAGCTGGAGGGTGGCTCTCTGGGGGCCACGGGCATAGTGGGCCGCTTGCCGCAGATCATGGGGTCGTGACGCCTTCCGCCCTAAACGCAACCGCATCCGCAACCTACTACGGAGGTATATCATCAGGAGAGGGGCAGCACCCACACCTGCACGCGCCCACCGCTTCCCGCTCTGGTCATCCACACCACCTGAATATGGCAGCGACGCTGGCTACGATTCCAACCCCCGGCTCAGGCCTCCTGACAGCAGATCCGGACCTAAAGTATCACGAGTCGCACCAGCAGTACACCAGTGATCTCATAGACGAAAGCGATCGTCGCACGCCGCAATTCGACCTGCCACCTACTGGGGACCCAGGCACGTGGGGACCACATGGTCCAGCAGCGCCCTTGCAACCTGGTAATGGCCCGAGGATCGGCGGCGAGACAAGTGCGAGACTCTTGCGTCTACCCCATCCTGCAGGAACGGCTAAGGCGCGTGTTTCCGATAGCGCTGTAACCACACTGGCGGCAGCGCAAGAACAGCATGGCGTGCCTGGTGCAAAAATTGCGAGATCGAGCAGTGTGGGTGCAACTGCCAGCTTGGAACCGGCCGTGGCACCGCGACCGCAGCAGAGCCATTTGGGTCTCGCAGCGGAGATGAATATTGTGGGCGGTCATAATAATGCAGCGCAGGTCCTCCTACCAATGTCGGCTATCCACACAACCCAGCATGCTGCCTCGTACTCATCGACTGCAGGACTCGCGTCCCACGACCCCTTCGAGGAGCCGCCACTAATGTCCACGTCCGAGCTACACCACGTAGGCACTGTGGCCCGACTCGGCGGAAGTAATAGGAGCAGTCCCGCAAGTCTTCATGGGAAAAGCCCGCGCGTTCTTCGCCTTGATATGAAAGACGCGGTGAAGAGGAGTCCTAGTGTGCCTGCTGGGACCATCGTCGGTGCAGAACATCGGGGCCAGGAGTACGAGGATGACCCCAGTGTAGAGGAAGTGAATGAACCGTCCTCGAGAGGTGACGCGCTAAACGCCACACAGTTCCATCCGGAGTTCGCGGACACGCTAAATGGGAGTCCCTTGGCGTCTTTTGTGCAACAAGACCGAGGTGGATCGTCTTCATCCCATACCCAGTTCCGTACTCACGTTCTCGCGACACAATTTCATGGGCAAACGCAACTTCATGAAGCCAGTGCCTTTTGGAGGCAGACTGAACAAGACGCACGACGGCGTAAAAGTCTCGAACAGCAACAGGATCAGCATGCGGAAAACATGGCAATATTGTTGCAGAATGACTCAACAACAGGAGGAGGAGCGACTGGCGCTGTGCCAGTTGCGTTTCATTCTCATCATTCTCAAGCTGTTCCACTAACGACCGTGACGCAGTTTCCGCCACCTCAGTTCGACAACAAAGGTCAGCATCAGACTTTCCCCACTGTTGCGCCACCGACTGCAGGCGTCTTGCCTCCGCTCGGATCTTATCAAATCGGCGGGTCGTCCTCTTCCACGGCACCCGCGGGCTACCGTGGCATCGAGCCACCCGTGGTTCTCTTGCCAGTGGACGACGAGGAGAACAGTGATTCTGTCGACGACAAAGATGTGATGCGGCGGTCTATGGAAACGGGAGAGGATGTCTTCTCACAGCTTCAAGTCTCCCTATGGGACGTGCCACCAGCGCCTGTAGTTGCGAGTAGTTTTGGCAGCAGCGGTATAATCGGGTTGACCACAACGTCTAATCACACCCATTTCATAGGCCACCAGCAACAGCAGCAACCCTTTGAAGTATTCGGTGCGGAAGGAGGAACGAACACAGCAGAGAGTAGAGGCGACGCCTTTGAAGAAAACTGTGCTAATCAGTTTCGCTTTCCGACGGGACCTCCACTGGAAGAACCTGTTCTAGCTTCGAAGATTGAAGGGTCAAGCAATTTCTATCACCAGCAACTAGCGTATGACGTGAGTCCGGCCCTGCAGCGAAGCGGCGCTCTTGGAGAGCGACCGCCACCGATTCGCACTGACCTCGGTAGCTTATATGCTCCTGAACATTCAGAGGCTCTACCGCTAGCTGCAGTTGCTGCTGATGGTCCATCGCTTCCAGTTGTCGTTCCAGCAAGAAGCGTGCCTGGCGAAGAGATTCTTGAACAAGGGGACAGTGCGAAAGGGCTGCTAGTTGAACAAGGGCTCGCAGCGCCGTCTGCTGGTGGTGGAGTAGAAGTAGACGCAGCAGCTGCATTGCCTGCTCCGAGTAGCGTAGCGCCAGGACCCAATGATACCGGCCAAGCACACGGACAGTCACTTTTACCGCATTTACCTCCTACCCCACCTGCTGTCGCCACCGGAACGGCGACAAATGGGGTGAGCCCTGCGCCTTTTTCTGTTGTGGGATCAAGTAATGGCGGACGTTACCTGCTTAAAGAGCTGAGAAAAGGCAGGCGCGAACAGGCTGACAGCTCAGGGCACAATCCGGCGGACGAGACCGAAGCGACCACATCGAGAATGCTGGAAGAACAGAGAAATGAGCTCACAAAATTAGCAGTTGAGGGTATTCCTCCAGCTATTGAACCGGTGCCGGGGACAGGACAGAAAAACAATAGTACTAAGGAGTCAAAAAGAAAGTATCACCGTCAAAAGGCAACGAAGCGGAAGGATCCGACCTCTCTGTCTCACGGTGGAGAGGTGACGGAGACGCAACGAGGACAAGACGCTGCAAGTAACACCACACTTGGCAGCAGTGCCGCATCGGCCGGGCTTGTAACAAATTCACATCTAACGACTGCAGGTGAAGGGCATTTTCATGTTGAAGCAACTACAGGGCAACAAAGCGCATATTATACGGGTAATGCTACAACTACGACGGGTGCCGCTGCCCCTGAATATACAAATCAGGTTGTAACAGGTCGTGCACAGGAGAATTATAGCAGTCTTTACGGCCATACGGCTCAGCCTGAAAGTTCTGCGCAAGATGAACAACCACGAGAGTCGCCCGATAGTAGTCACAGCTTGGCGTCATTCCCGGTCATTGCGTCGCCAGAGCGTGGGAAATGGGAAGAGGAAGGTCCACTAGATCACGTTGGAGATCAAGAAGCTTACTCTCGCGGAAATAATAACGCTTCTTCCACTGGTGGAGCCGCGTCGTTTTCCGACAATCCACCTTCAGGAACCAAACTCCGATCACCGCTTACAACAGCCACCTCTACCGCTTCTCCGCTGTATGCTCCGGTCACGCGCTCTCGAGCTGGCGGGGTCGATTACAGCCGCAACATGGGGGCAAGTTTACATGCGCCGCCGCCGCAGTTAGCCACACACGATGATGATGCAGGGCTAAGCCCACCGGGGGCTCCGCAGGGAACTCTCGGAGGCGGCAGCACGCTTAGAAGTGGGAGCACGTCTTCGACGCTTCCTCATGAGCTTCAGGGAAACAACACTGACACGAGTTTTGGAGGAAAGAGCACGAATTTGATATCGCACTCGAGTCCGATGCCGCACGGCAGCCCGACGGACGAGCCGATGCGTCGCACGCGCATACGAGCGGTGAAAAAGCCAAGTCTAGTTTTGAACTATACTACGTCGCCGATGGACGAAGGAGGATCATCACTACGGGGTAGATGCGATGATGAGATATCGAATAACGAAAGAACACTGAAGGTGTCTCCACCAAGAGGGGCGCTTTTAGCGGCAGCTGTAGGCGTGAACGTTTTTGGAACGGACTCAGGAATAGCTTCTGTGCAAAGCTGCGAAGATAATATCGTGAGACCACAGGGTTTGCCCACAACGACTTCCACAATATTGGGTAGATACGACAGGCACGCGAATTCTTCGCCGCGCGTGCTGTCGTCGCTTGAGGTAATGCGAAGTGGCCCTGAGATAGACGACGAGGTAAACATACACCAACCGGAGGAAGAAACAGCATCTACCATTGCTCAAGATCACAACGTCGCCCTTAACGGTGGTGGTGAAGGTGGTAGTAGTTCCGGATTAAAGGACGCGGATGCAGCTCATGAGGTGGCAGAAGCGAGTGAAGAACGAGAAGATGCGAAGCGACTTTTTTCTGCGACCACGTCGTCTTCCGAGAGCTCTTCCGAGTCAAAGCGGCCCGATGATAGTAGCCTCTTTGAGAACAACCCTCTAGACTCAAGTTGGGGATCAAACAGCGTCGCACCTCTGCTGATGAACCTCAGTACGCAGCAACAACAGTTGCAATTAGCCTCGTCGAGAGAGGAGCACTTAGCTTCGTCGAGAGAAGATTTCGTCGACGCAGGTGCGATTAAAAATGGAGGCACTGGATCCTCTCCTGCTAGTGGGGGAGGAAGAAATGGGGAACAAAGGTCGTCAGAACTCGACGAGACCACACACACGAGTGAAGCGGCAGCGATCGACCTTTTGCAGATGGGTGATCAATATCGACCTAGCCGTCCAGCAGGGAGTCATTATGACGAAGGTGCAAAGAGCGAGGCGCAGAAATTAGAGGACGTGGATAGCCGACATCCGAAACGCAAGAAAGAAGCCGCTATAGATAATGATAATCACGTACTAGCGTCTACAGAGCAAGTTCGTCATCAAAAGGGGGAGGCAACGGCACCAATCAGAGGAGGACGGAAGCGGCAATTAAGCCTCGAAACGACCTATTTTGATGTCAATACTGCGCATGCATGGCCCGTTGAAGACGTAAAAGCAGCGAGCCACGGCGCGACTGCAGGAGAAGAGCCGCAAAAAAGCGAGGGCGGCGAAGAAAGCGCACCTGCCGCCGCACTAGGTGCGCTTCATAATAACGGCACCGATCCCCTTTCGCCGCGTTCGATAGGAGATGATGTGAACCGAGATCTAGATTTCTCGCCAACATCCCGACCGCGGCTCATCAGCCCGACGAAGCAGAATTTCGAGAAAAGAGTACTCAAGATGAATCACTCACTGTCATCCCCAGGCGATCATTCAGCATCTTCTCCAGAGGCAACGGGACCAAAAGACCTTGAGCTCATGCGTATGACACGGACCGGTGGTCAACTAGAAGAGGAACAGGAGATCAGCGGGAACACTAAGAATCGTGATGGCGCAGAGGCGCCTGGTGCGTCAAAGACACCGCTAGAACGGGATGCACAGGATGCGTCAAGAGGCGCCGTTGGCGCTGGCTACGAAGAAGCTGATCCAGGTGGTGACGAGCACATCCCAAGAGGAATTTTTGAGTGCACTTCGTCTAAGGAAACCCTGCACTTGACAACTAAGAGGAACAAAACGATGGAAGGAAAGATATTTCGCTGGATTAAGGGGGATCCTCTCGGATGTGGAAGTCTTGGAACAGGTACCTATAGTATAATCATTGAAATTTGCGTCGCCGTCTTCCTCTTCGTCTTGTGTGTCCTAGACAGGTCCATATGTTGTACGTTATATGGAGGGGTCGAGGATGCGTTGCATAGAAATGACAATGCTTAGACGCTACAGTTGTACTTGCAAAGTTGACCTAATATTTCTGCCATCGAGAACACAACATGTTTCTTGAGAAAAACAGCCTCTGCGGATCCAGCAACTTCTTGTTTAGTGCTCACCACATGAACATTGATTCTTCTATGTTTTATCACGACGACAGCCTTCCGTGCATTCGATGTATCGACTGGGCAAATGCTGGCAGTCAAGGAGATATCTCTTCAAGATGCGACAGAAGAAACACGCCTTTCACTGCAGCAGGAGCTAGACAGTTACAAGAACCTAAAACATCCGTCCATCGTGTCTTATCTCGGGCACGAGGTTCTGCGAGACCATCAAGTATGGAGCAAACTCTAGTTCAATCATTACTTGCTAATCCCGTTGATGCATTCGATATTCATTGTTAGCAGCACGATAGGTCGAGGAATTCCTAGAGCCACTAGATGATGAGGAACGCATCTTCTAAATGAATACGAAGTTCCCTCTACCCACATTTCCCCGCCTCTGCCCCAACTACCCCTTCTAATTACCACCAGCGACAGTTCTTCGTTGTACATTTATCTCGAGTACATGGCGGGTGGGTCCTTGGCTTCAGTGGTTTCTACCTTTGGTGCGCTGGACGAGCCTCTGATTGCGACCTACTCGCTGCAACTGCTGTCGGGACTTCACTATCTACACGGGCGCAACTTCATTCACCGAGATGTAAAAGGAGCTAACATTCTCGTCGGGCTCGACTGTCGCGTGAAGCTGTCTGATTTCGGCTGTGCTAAGCATATCATCGGCCGCGGGCGCCAACGGGAGTCGCTAGAGAATCCAATGGAGTCACAAGATCCAATAGTGTACAACAACATGCGCGGCTCGTCTGCGTACAACACCATGAGTGTCTGTGCGCAAACTATGACGGGGTCGGTTCCGTGGATGGCGCCTGAAGTGATACGCGGTGACGGTTACGGAATGAAGGCCGATATTTGGTCGCTCGGTTGCGTCGTGGTGGAAATGGCGACGGGCAAGCCTCCCTGGGGCGAAAACGCTTTCGATAATAATGTCGCGGCAATGATCAAGATCGCGATGACGGACGCAGTGCCAGAAATTCCGTCAGAGTCGCATAGCGCATGCTGCCAGGCTTTCCTCAACCAATGCCTCATCCGCCGCGCGCACGAGCGACCGTCGGCAAAAGCCCTGTTGGCGCATGAGTTCGTCCAAAATGCACATCCCGGTGGGGGTCTTCCGATTTTTGTACAGGAGTAAAACGGAGGTCCGAGAATCACCAAGTAAGTGGTAGTAACGAAAGCATTTACTTACTTAGAAGTAGGTTTGAATGCTAGATGAATGTGATGCAGAGGTGTGTAGATACTGTGCAAACTTACCATCATCTTTGTTGTTAGCGAAATTCAGGCGCTTTGGATCTTCAGAGCCCGATTTTGCTCATTCCTTAGAAGCGTCTTCTTTTCAACTCAGTGTTCGGCGATTGAGATCGTATCGAATAGCTAGGTGGGGAAGACGACTGTCTACCTCGAGACATGGGCCAATATGGGTGATGTTTAAACAAAAAGTATTCATATTGGGGCTGCTCGGTTATAATTGTGTATTATTACGAATTCTATATGATTTATAGTCCTAATCTAGATCAATTGAGCTTTTTTTGAACGTTTGTGGATTGTTCGGACTGTTTGAGTGTAGTCCTATTTTCCATTTTTTCGTAGCTAGTACAACTAATTAAAAGCGAAGCTGCGATTGCGTTCGTTATTATTCGCGGAACGTTTGTTGACGAAAAATCCCGCTCGAGTCCAGTACTGTACAGTCATTATGATCTTTTCTTCATGTGTTGTTTCTTTTTACGTTGAACAATAAGCAACCACCGTCGGCTGTTTTGGAGGTCGTTTACTGGGTGCGAAAGATGCTCAAGCGACTCCGAGCCCGAGCATGGCGACTAGCATAGAAACATTGGCCTATTCTTTTATGTATTTACGGGTTGCCCTAATACATCTGCAGAAGCATCTTGGAGCTGTCCCATAGGGGGACGAAAACAGGCCCAAAATGAATCCCGAAAAGGATTTGGGTGCGCTCTAATTTACGCTTGATACGACTATTTCACATCGAAGAGCACGATCATAGAAGTTTATACGCGCATTAGGTCTGTCGCTGCCCAGAACGAAGTCAAAGCATGTGGTGAAATGAATTAGTGGTCATGTTGGTAGTTCCTTATCCTGCGTTGTGATCGTTGAACAGTCATATTTACTATGCTTGTGCCATATTAAGTAGTGATAGTCATTCTAAAGTTTTACTTTTAATACATCTAGAAGCATTCACAACTTTTTTTGTGTTTCATAACGTCTTCAGTACTGTTTATTTGATAATTGGTGACATTCTTTCCAAAGACCCGCAAAGTTCAATGTTGATTGTAACCACATGCTGTGTTGTCCCGTTGTCCTCCTTAACAAAACATTGTTGATCATCGCGAACCTCAAATGTAACTCGTCTGTCCTTTTTATGATTCATCATAGCAAAAAGCTGAATCGTCTTGCTCCTTCTGTTTCCGTACCATGTCAACGTCACAGAATGAAACAACTTAAGTAAACTTTTTTACGTTTTCCATCAACAACACCTACCATACAATGCCAACAACAACATTCTTTCTTAGTCAATTTTATTTGCAGAGTGCGTGTACTCGAGGTCCTCGGGGACACCAGACACATTTTTGAGACTTAGATATAATTACATGTTTACTAACTCTTATATGTCGATGGGCCAGGACCATGATCTAGAGAATAATGAAAATCCGTAGGCAAGAACATTTTTCAACAAGGAAGTAGAAGGAATTATATGTCTCGACCGTCAGGCAGGTCCCTAGAGCCCTCACATCGCCGTCCTTAGTGACAGATGGTAAGGGCGCCGCGAGCGCGTCACGTGCGAGACGACAGGGCCGCGCGCGAACATAATAAGAATAGTAACACACCCTGAATGAATGAATGAACACACCGTTCACGGATTCAGTTCCGCAACCTGTAACATAAGAATGAAGATACTTACATCTTGTGAAGATACTTACATCTTGTGGAGAAGAACGCGCTTATGGCCCATGTGGAACGATGTTGCAGTGCAGCATCATGTCCAGTTGTTAGATTCACCAACTTTTTGGAAACTATTCGCTCTTCTTGTCAACTTAGAGTACTACAAGCACGTTAAGTTGTTGTAGGATTTGATTTTGTCTAGTCTCAACAACATGCAATGTAGCAAACTAATGAGGTTTCCGTATATCTAATTTAAATTTCATTTGATGCGCTTCTGCGAGTCACGCGGTCGGAAAGCAAAAGCATGAAGCGACGCACGCCCAGTAACAAAGACGAAAGCTCCCCGGACTCTCCCCACGACAATCATCGTGGACAAGAATATAGTTTCAAGGCTTCACCCAACTATAAAAACATCGGTGTATGATCTTTGTTTTCTGTCAGTCTTGGTTGATCTTGATAAGGTTACTCAACATGTGGTGCAGCAAAATGAATTCGTTTTTGTCACGAGGAAAAATGGAAAACAGAAAAACTACGTCCCAAAGTGATGCGAACGCCACGTCATGTGGCCTGGGAACGCGACATCATGTGGCCTCCGTAGATATGTTTTGTGTTTACCACAATCGCGTGCTCGTCCCCGTTCGGGCGAGAGAGGACATCGCGGCTCTCATGGATCATTAGATCATTGATCCGAGGTCAAGAATGAGACGACAATGTTAGTACCAAGCAGGCGAAGTAGTTCATCATCTTCAGTCTCTAGGTAAATGTGGATCACGACTTCAATCTCAACGATGACGAAAAGAAAGAGGAGATCCGATTCAAGATCAATAGATCTTCACTCGATCGGAGCTTGGCGGGAACGCTCGGCCACGAGTTCTAGTATCTGAGAGAAGCGAAGAAGAGCTAAAGTTTCGTATGCCATGGAGCGAAAATGAGCAATAATTACTAAGTACTTCCTACATCAGTTGTGAGGTAGAAAGTAATATCAACATGATGATGGCAATAGGATACCGCAACGGCGAGGAAGTTTCTCACGCCGCGATGGATATGCCACATGATAACTTTCGCGCGTCTTGTGAAAGCGAACAGGCAGGCCCATCCTCTACAACTGGCTGCTCGAGAATTACAGGGAGTAAGCAGACTCGCCCACTAATGCTGGGTCAAATGCGGCAGCCTTCTCCTCGAAATAGAGGATCATCACCCTCGACTACTCAGGTATCACCCTGTCCCGCCACGACTCAAGGCGGACATGCAGCAGGTGTAGAGAATTCAATAAGGAGTCATCAAGAAGAACATTCAAGAAGACATCGAAGAAAAAGATTAAGACCCTCTACACCTCTTTTCTGGTGGTGCGTACACAGCATATCGACGTATGATTCGCCATGCAGCGTCTATCTGGACTCGTCGTCAAGCTGTGGCGCTCTGTCTTCCTGCGGCGCACCTTTTGTCGAGGCGGCTCCATCCTCGAAGCAGATAAAGAAAGCGAAGAAGGCATCCGAGAGTGACAAGGCACGACCGAAGCAAGGAAGCAAAAAGGCTTCGAGCAAGAATAAGAACAAGGCCTCGGAAGAAAAAGGCAAGCAGGATAGTGCTAAGAAAGGAAAGCCAACATCAACGCAGCCTAAAAAGAGAGCAGAACAAATATCCAAGGTGCACGCTAACGAGAAAAGCGAAACTAAAGAGAAAGAACCAGGGGCGAAAGATGAATCGGCTATGGGTAAGGCAACTGCCGACGCTAAGCAGGGAAGTCCTTCTGGGCAAACATCGGTAACTTCCGCATTATGGGACGCTCCAGACTTTCGGGATTCGGTTGTCGCGAAAATGACGTTAGAGGGAGAAAAAAAGGTTGCCTGGTTGGGAGGACAAACGACTCATTGCTCTGGCATGCTCCTTGGCGGTAGACTATCTTTCTCTTCTGGTCTTGTTGAACCCCATTATTTTGTAGGGAGGCAGTTACCCGTCAACACGAGTCGATCGCAGTTCATCTTCGTGTCAAAATCACCATGCAACCCCCTACTAGAAATACAATGGAGTAGTTCACTTCTTTTTTGATTCTAATACTGGAGCCACTCTCGAACTCGAAACAAAATGATACCTCTGAATATGGCGAATCCTTCTGGCATAACAACAGGTGATACAAGCGGTTGTGGCATGATATCAGAGATAAAATCGCAAAACGACTACGCCCGACTCGTTCTCCAAGCACCGCGGCCATATCACCTCTTCATCCTCTTTTCCATGAATGGCTGCTGCAATTTACGCAAGGGCCATTGCAACGGAGACTGTGGAAGAGCCGAGACAGCATTCCGAAAAGTCGCCGCAAGGTAGCAGTATGTACTTTAAGTATGTAAGTTGAATTTTCTGTGTACTACAACTACTAGAGATCATGGTCACGTAATTTTCATTTTGATTTTCGGCCATTGTCGGCGTTGTTGTTAATGTCAAGAATTTGAATTGGGTTGTTTCTGTACTTCAAAAACTTTCAACTACTACACTCAACAGTTATCATGTCATTGGTGAGCATGCAGAGGAGCTTAGGCCGTCTGATGGTAATGTCGCAAGAAATTTAGAAGAGGAAGGCGCAGAAGAAGAGCAAAGATTGAACCAAAGGGATGTAGCGTCGAGTGCTAGTGAAGACGACGACAAGGATGAGCGCATAGGAAAGCTACCAGCGTTTTTCGCCATAGTCCATTGTGATAATGAAGAGATGCGTGGCGTTTGTATGAAAGGTCATAAGCTCGATACTGTGCCAAAAGTCGTACATATTCGAGGCCGTGGTTCGCCCGTTTTTAGAAAAGCGAAGGGATCTGCAGGATTACTTTTAAGCTGAGGACGCGATGTACTAGGTGTGTGTAGTTAAGCTTAAGTACCAAGCAAGTGAATATTGCGCTGGTGTGAGGTCTTGCATGCACAACATGACATGAAGCCACCCTCTCAGTTTCAGAAACGATTTCTCCGGTAGGTCACAACAAAGTGCATTCTAGCCATCGCAAAACTTGTTTTTATATTGATTCTACAACACCCAAACAGCAGGAATGGCGATGCACACAGATGCGGAACTGAAGAGTCAGCTGTTGGACTACATCTAGACTTCATGAAATAAGGGGCAAGTAGTTATAGTGTTCTCAATTATATTGATTCTAATGTTCGTGCGAAAAGAGCACACTTTCCCGCAGCCAGTAGACTGGAGTGACGGTGAGGAGATGTTGCGTTGGGCGCAAAGTTTTGCATCAAGGGGTCCGCAATTGAAACTTTATCAAGATCTCGTTGCTAAACTACGTCTGATGGCGCCGCTTCTTGCCATTGGGGTCGGGGCGATTGCAGTCCTCCTTCTCGGAGCAGCTCTAGTGCGCCTTATGCCTTTTCTCATGGTAATGGCAGCTTGCGGGGTGCAGTGGTAAAACTCAATTTGTTGAGCAACGCATTGGTGCAGAATGCTTCTATTTAATGCTTTATATATAAGTATTTGTGGGACACAGTCGTTGTTAGCTACAATCGGAAGAGAAATGGAAACCAAAATACGTACACAACCACCAGTAAGCTTGCAACCAAATACACAACTCCCACCAGGCTCGGATGTTCCGGACTGACTTACAACTTGCTCCATGGGATGAATTGGCGTGGAGAGCGGGGCGAATTCGTCAGCAATAATAGCCGATCGCAGTACCTAACAGAGGGTCTTGCATGTAGTGGACTTTTCATGCTTGGAGGATTCTCGTTCGTCCTTGCGCTGAAACTGGCAAGCGCGTATTCTTTTATCTCCCTAGACTGGCAAGGACGCTATGCGCCCAATTTTCATCGACTGTGAAGCTCCTACATGTACGTAGCGACTGCCGGCCGGACTGCAGCCACGGATACACAGCAAGCGGAAACATGCAAAAGGGCCGGGCGTTCTGCGTGCCGCTGCGACCAGGACCGGGGCGGTCGCTGGGAAAAAAGAAAGGAAAAACGTGGCGACGTCATGAGTACGCCCGGAATGGTGCGCGAATGGTGGAAGAACACGACGGCGGGGGCAGGGCTCAACCCTCTGCGCCTGGAATCTAATCCGCGACGACTGCGCGCGGGAAAGTGGAAAGCGGCGCACCGCCTGGCCGCGTCTGCTCAAAGCGCAGAGCTTTCGCGCAAATTGGGCAGCGTGCTGAAGGCTGGGCCACATGCCAGCAAGAAAGGGCTACCGGAGTGCTTGAAGGTGATACAGAAAACGTGGCGCAGGCGTCGACCGATGGGAGGGGGTGAAAGCAATGCGGCCAAAATTCTTGGGCAGTAGGGGAGCAGGGCTGTACCAGCTGGAAAGTTATACCAAACGGCAAGCAAGGGGGGCGCACCAAGGAAGTGAAAGCGGGCCGATGTGTGCTGCGAAGGAGTGGCGGCAATGTTGTATGGCGCAAAGGATGCCCGCGAGCCGTAAAGGGAGCGCCTTGCAGAGGCTCGCGGCACGGAAGCGCGCCTGCCTTATCTGGTTGCTTCTTTTTCGACGTTATCCATCGCGCCGGAGTTGATTCGTGGAGGCAGGCTGGCCGCCCTCCCGTCGGTCGTTGATGAACCGGCGCGCGAAGCTTCTGGGCCCAGTCTTGCTGACAAGGGAGCAGCGGGCAGAAGATCCAGTTCCAGAGAGAGAGGACACAAGGCGCCGGGACAGGGGGCGCCTGTGGAGGTTTCTGCGGAAATGGAAAAGGTGGCAGGCTCGTCCTCGTCCTCGTGTGTAAACCAAGGCCGAAGATTGGCGCTTCGCGCTTGTGGTTGTGGGTTTGATTTGCATCGGGGTCGGCCGGCGCCCGTGGGTCAACCTATCACACTGTGATAGGTTGAAGGACTTGACTTATGAGGCGCAGCATCGGCATGAACGCAGTGCAACCCAGGCAGCCGCGTGCTAAGTTAGTAGAGTAAAAGTGGGCGCGCGCGCAGTTTGCGCCACCAGTGTAAGCGGGTGGGTGCTTCAGGGGCCGCCTGCGCGTGTTATGGTGGAAAGGGTGCGCACTGATTTCCATAAGGGAGCAAGATTGGCGCCGCAGCCATTTGAAACTGAAAAGCTGCACCCTCAGCGACTCCAGTGGCGGCCTGGCTCACTCGCTTACCTCACTGCGCAAGAAGTGGCTAGATCTAGAAGCCACAGCCAGCTGAGGGGCCAGCGCCAGCTATCGCGGCAGGCTGGCTCAAGACCAAGAGACGGCCCCCGCGTGGCGGAGGCTTGTCTTTCCAAAAACAAAGGCAGGCGGCAAAGGCTTCTTTGGGTGTTCTGACTGTTCGGGAAGGCTGCATAAGTAAGGCGAAAGAGCAAGAGGACAAGGCGGGGAGGCGGGGTGGGGTGGCGCATAGCAGCGCTGAAGCCCGCAAGGGCTGGGCGCGAACGCAGTAGCCCTAGCTGCCCAGGCCCAGGCACAAAGAAAGGCCTCCAGGCCAAAACGTGCCAGGCCCTCGCGTGTCATGCTCGTGTTTCTTTGCTTCGTTCGGGTGTGTGTTCTCGTCTCGTTGAGTATGAGTAGTTCAAGGAAATGGAAGAACCGGCGCCAAGGTGGTAACACTAACAACTACGGAGCAAGGCCACCCAATGTTGCGCGTGTCGCTGGCGTCATTCGTGGAGCTGCCGCAGCAGCTGGCGAAGGAAGCGCCCGCGGCTGCAGCTTTTCAAAATGTGGCCAAGCTCGACGCCAACACTGCCCGCGCCTTCTTCTCGTCCAACTACTCAGTTTTACTGCAGGCGCAGCTTCTACATGTTCGGAAGTGGTCGGCTGATGCCGCACGCCTGCGAGCTTGAGTGTTGTGACTGTGAGCTAGCCGGCAACGGCTGCGCAATCTCGTGCTGAATCTATTATCATAAGGAAGCAAGCTCGGGGCCACAGCTGACCACTTGGCGCCCGCTTGTCCATACCGCGACGATCCGGGGCCGCAGGGAGATTGCGCACGCAGGCAAAGGCAACGGAAAAAAAAGAAGGCTCTGAAGGGAGAGAGGCAGGCGGACTGAATGCCCAACGACTGAAGGCAGGACTATCGAACTTCGAGGCAGACAATCAGGAGACACAACCACAAAGCAAACAGTTTCGATATGTGGCGAAACCACTTCGATCAAATTGCTTTTGTGGTGCTGCTTGTTTGTTCGGCGTGTGCCCACGGCGCTAGCAGTAGCCAGCGTGCATGGTGTACAGTGCATGCGGATGCGCAAGGGCATTGGCGGGCGTGCCGTGTGGTTCGTTGGTCTTGCTGACGTTGTTGGTCGTGGTCTATAACTATATTTATCTACTGGTATCTATTTCTACTGCGCTTGGCCTGGCATGGATTTTCATCTTCATGCGCCACTCAGGCTCAGCCGTCGGGGCTTATCGGATCGGGCTCGTCGAACTCGGAGCGTAGTACTAGCGTAATCTATATCCGAAAAAACAAAATTCTCTAACTATTACAAACACCTCAGGTCTTATAAGACAGCGCGCGCGGCGTCGGCCGGGACCGCTGCGTGTGCGGTGGCTATCCTACTCTCGATGGGTGCGATTTCGTCCTTAATGGAAATCTATCGAACCTACAAGGCCAACTGGCTCCAAGAGCCGGGAATGATGCCTCCTGCTGGATATAAAACGGGACCCGTGGAGATCGATCGAGGGCTTACAGCATTCGGTGACATCAATCAACCAGCGCGACGCAGTGAAGCTGATACTATATTTAAGGCTAGTAGTACTGCAAGAACCTACTACTTGGCCTACCCCTAGAGATGATCTCTATCTTATCTTTCGAACTGTTCTTTTTCTATTGGAGAATCGATCCACTGGGGAGTCGCAGTGATGTCGTGAGTACAAATGAATCAAGATAAGGAGATATATAAATATCTGATAAATAAATATTATGAGAACATCGATAAATATAAAATATTTCAGGGCCATCTGCTTCATCTTTTCCTTTTGCTCGTACCAGTTCTTGACGTAGCTCTAAGTTGGCTGGCACACGAAGCACGTCCCTTTTGCAATCACTGGCGCCCGTCTTGCATCTGACCGCTAGAGGCTGGGCATGGGGAGGCAAGAACTGGCGGACAGTGGCAAAGCAGGGTCGCAAAGTCTGGAGAGAAAGTCACGCCGTAAAAATGAGCCACAAGGTACTCACTCAAGTGTTCGACTACCTCGTGTGCTTTCCAGTGGAATCTTTTGCATCAGCGCTTGCGAACATACTGATGCTCCTTGGTTACGGTCCCAAGGCAAAGGCTGGTGATGAAAACGGAAAAGCTGATAGTGTCACAAATAAGAGGGGATCAGCGAAATCGAGAAAGAAACGGAAGTCACACCGGGGGAGGTGAGACGGTTTCGGAAGACTGGAAAGATTTCTTTCTTCTCAAGATCTGGTCTCACTTTTAAGGCAAGCCAAAGGATTGCACGCAACGAACGATGTGCAACGCAAACGATTCGTTTTGAATACGCAAAAAATCTAGCGATGGAAGTCGGTGCTAGTAGGTACACCAAAGGACATTCATCATCGTTCATTTCTTGAATTGGGATCTAAAACTTTGTGCGCATGTGGGATTACGTGGGTTTTTAGGGAAGAGAATATAATTTATATAATAGCACCTCATGCTGTTAGTTTGCTACAGTCAGATTGTAGTACTTGTCGCTACGGACTCAGTTTGATGAATACAGACTGCTCGTTTACGACGAAATAAGACAAAGTCGAAAGTAGATCCAAGGATGCGCTCCGAGGACACATGCAACACAGGATCATGATACTCGTTGGATCTGAACTGCATGTAGTGTGGAGCAAAGCATCTGTCGTGGATCTCAGTTGACATCTGTGATAAATTTCAGCTCGGTCCGCACTGTCTAGTCTGTTGCATTATAAAATCGGTACAACTACAACATCAGAGATTCTTGACAAGGGCAAGTATTTAGAAGTTCTGTATCTCTATCAATCGGTCTATCCGCATCGGAGGTCGTGCCTTGTTATGTGTCCTCCATCCTCCGTTTCGACATTACCGCATATGCTAGCTTTCGTACATCACGACCTCCGTCTTAGACAGTGCAAGTGCTCCGAGGAATCTGAATTACTTTTACAAAATTACTCCCACCTCGTTGCACTCAGCGCTTACGCAGCGCTTTCACTAGGACATACTTACTTACTTCAAGAAGCGTAGAACAATATGGCTGGAGCGGCCGGGCAGAGGCCCGGGCCGCCGTCGTTGACCACAGCGAATCAGTACTTGTTTAACACCAGTAAAAAGGTGTACCTCCACGAGGGTGACTTGGGCGTGCACACAGCTGGGGCACTCACCTTTGCCACAGTCTTGCCCACAGTATTGGGTAGCTGATGCTCATGGCCTATGCTCATGCTCGTTTTGGGCTCAGGCCTGCTGAATTGCGGAAACCCGAAGTCAGCCGCAGACAAGGAAAAAGCAGAGTTCATCTGCGCTGTAGTCGTTGGAGTTTTCAATCTCGCTGTGTTTATGAGCAAGAATGGAGCAATAGCACACAACTTATTGTAGTTTTTTATTACTTCTTTGGCAACAAGGGACAGGGAGAAAACTACAGCAAGCCTTCTAATAGAAGTATCATCTAGATCTATGTATGTATGTTATATCATAATATATGAGGATAGTTCGTTGTCGTATCTTCATCGGATGCAGACTGTGGTCGCTGGAGGTATACTAAATGAGAGTGTCGCGCCATCTAAGTAAGTAGCCTTTTCCTCTAATCCCAACACGAACATTGCGCAGTATATGCTTCGACGAGGAACCGAGCTAGGACGCAAGGGTCCGAATCCAATGATACGACCAACCCTACTTCTTCTCATAGCCATGGTCCTGCTGTTAGTGGACCAGTTTACTACGACAATGAAGTTTATTGGGTGGCAAACATTTTCTAACGAGTACCTCCCGAGATTTGAAGCCTGTGATGGACACGGGCACTGCCAAAGGCGGACTTGGTGTACTGTTTCCTTTACTTTTGACGTAATAGTTATATATAGTAATTCTTGCATATTAGTGAGAAGGAGATCGATGGACCTAGTCCTAGCAGTATTTGATCTCTGTATTGGCTCTTCTTCTTCACAATGAATCGTACATCATGCTTCGTAGGATGTCCATCGAGGACACCAGTCTCAATCTCGTCCTCGTACAGAAGCATGATGAAACAAAATGAAAAATCTTTATCTCCTTTTTTCAGTTGGATGGTGCGTCTGGTTGTGCACTGTGCTTGGGGTCGTGCTTTTGTCCATCAGTATGTTCTGGTTTACTGTCCTCACCGGAAAGAATTGCGTTGTCAAGGCAGTCGAAATTACCAAGGAAAAACAGCGGGAGAGTGCGATGCAGAGCCGTCAAGGTCACGAATCACCCACACAAGAAATGGGACAGGTAATCAACGAATGAGCTAGTACACCTAGGAAAGTGTACAAGCTGTAACTCTTGAATAAAGTGACACATTGCTCTTCCTTCATACAAGAACAAGACCAACGAACTATCATCAATTTAATAAATAGTGATTGCTTCGTCCTGACCCTGACTGTTTTAATTTTTTCAATGAGGATCGTAGAGATTCAGATTGTTGTAAAGTGATCCTTTCATTCTTACGTATCTTCTCAGATCTCTGACGCGCATGGTATTAGTGGGATGCATCGTCGGGTTGAAGGATCTACTTCAGATCCTCTAGCGAGAGACATCGAGACAGGATCAGCGGAAGAGGTGGAGGCGGAGCCACCGACGGGGCCGCTAGAATACATGCCCTTCGATTACAGGAAAGCACTGGACCTACTAGGTCATGAGGAAGAGGAGGATATACTCAGTACGTCAGAAAGGTATTTTCGATTAATTTGTTTGTACGCTCTGTACAACCATGTGAATTTATACCACAGACAAATGAAATAGATGTGTTTATATTTTTGTTCAGCAGTAAATACAGGTTCAACTACTGCAACACGATCATGATGTCTAAAACCCGTTGTCGAAAAGAAGGTGAAGATGAAACTTTTCATCCTCACATCACTGATTCAGGTTATTCGATACAGTAGGAGGTCGAGCGCCGACTTCACCTCAGCAAGATGAGGATATTTTCGATAGGAATGAAAGGAGGATCATCGGCAGTGGACCTCACGGGATGCAGTACACTTAACTTTGAGCTGGTACGTAGAGGAGGAATTTTGGTGGGATATTTGGATGGCCATCTGAGGGAATGGAGAAGAGGAAGGGTAAGGAGGTGAAGAATATAACTGGCCACGGAGAAGAACGTTGTAGAGGCATTGTACACCATGTGGTACATCCATGAAATTAGCATATGAGATCATGATACTGAAATAGAATGCGACGTGAGTCTGCCTTTGCATAGTGAGAACCATGAAACATTTGTGAACTAAACTCATGGCCAAAACGACAGTGCATGTGCATAGTTGCAGCACGGCACGCAAGTAGCCAGCATTTACGACGTAGCTTAGCATGAACATCATTATCACATGTAAGATTGTAAGCGTAGGAACATCGACATCTCTCAGGAAATGAATTTCTTCGATTGACTTTTCATTAGCATCATTACTTAGCATCAACGCATCATTTACACTTTCGATTCCCATATTGACACTAGCATCCACACACAACAAGTAGCATTGTCGATACAGCGAGATACATCAGGAATATCGAGGTCCAAGAGAATTTCATTGCATTCGCGACATTCATAGCTTCCAACAAGACAGTTACATGCATCAGTACCAGGGAGTTAGGCCCAATTAGGAGAGCTCTAAGTTGTCCATACTCCTAGAGGAGAGCGTTCATCCTTCATGATTAACATGAGCATCAAATTATTCAATCATGGTAAGGATGCAGTAGTACGAGGCGAAGCACCCAAAGCATCAAAACCAAGTTATCATAGCGATAGAGACACTCCCGAACTCCAGCGATAAAAGGGTACATGGATGCTTCTGCACCCGAAGGAATTTGATTTCGTTATTTGTGACGAGCAACTGGTGTGTCCCTCACTTCTCAGTGGAGTTGTGATGGAACATTGGTTGACTCTGATTTCTTTATTCCAAGACGTAGAAGTATATACGCAATATCATCTTTCTGTTTTTATCGAAATCGGAGTAGAATGAGTTACCGCTCTGGCGGTGTGGGACGACCGCACTATGTGGAGTGTGTCGCAAAGAAACCTTGATGTACTTAGCTCATTGATTCTTGCCAAGTACGGCAAGAAAGCAGAGCTGTTGGCTCCACTAGGGTCGGGAAGAGTTGAAGATAGGGAAACGAACAAACACATGAATAGGCATCAGACAACTTCTACGTTCTCATGAGTGAGTTTTTGCGTCAAAAGATGAGGTGTTCGCGAGTGACGACGGAGCCGGCAAGCATAGCAAACACAAAGGCGACATCCTGGTCGACTGAGGTTTTGTTTGGACTGACATTGTGCTTTCGACGCGCATTCAGCGCTAACGAGAATTACAATTTAAGAGCTCGCGATACTGCCGCCTGCACCTAATCTGGCATTTTCTACAGACCGCACATTCTCTTCACTCAGTTCTAGTAGGGTCGTTAGACCGATAGAAATCGAACACCCGCGAGCGATTACTCAATTGCCGCTTTTCTCAGAGTCTTTTTGCGATGTCAAGACTCTTGGATACACATTAAACACGAAGATATCAGCATCCAACGCGATATCGATTGTGTCACATTCATTGACAAGTCAGTCGCGGTCGTGTCTCTGTCCTCTCAACGCCCACCACCTCCCCCAAAGAGACCTGAGAAGAAACGCTTCGCGCCGTCTTTCTGCTTGTACCACCATATCTGACTGCTAAGCTTGTCGCAAAGAACAAGTGGCCTAAACCTCCGGTTGTACCAATCATACACGTAACGGTTGTAGTCTTTTACTGCTGCAATGTAGTCGTCTGTTTCCTCGTACCAGTTGGGAAGATCACGCCAATAAGGGTCCTTTGTTGCAAGCTGGTAGGCAATACGTTCCTCAGCCATGTGCTGCGCGGCGGACACAAAACCTGCGTTTTCATCAGTTCCTTTTTTGTAGCTGAAGCTTTGTTATAGGTGTTGATTAGTAAATATAGCCAAAAAGAGGTTTAGATAATCTTCAACACAAGACAGTAGACTCTAAAAAAATTAGCGTCTTGACGCTAAAAAAATAGCGTCTTGCCAAGAATCGAGCTCTTGCAGAAGAATTTGGATCTTGGTAAGACGCACCTTTAGTTTTTACTTAATTACTTAGGTATAAGTCTAAATACGGCAGGAATCGCACTATCATCTAGTAACGAGATATCAGCTGTACGCTGTCGGTCGTGTACTTAGAAGCCAAAGACCAAGAAGTACCCTCTGCTGCCGCCGTCCCAATGCTCTGACTTTCTCCACTATTCCGTCGTTCAGGTGACGCAGCAGGCGATGGCGATTCTCCTCCTAGCAATCCGCTGTTGCGCCCCAAGCCCAACAGTTCTTTGACCATTTTTGTGGCGTGAAACATGATCAACGGCTCTTCGTCTATGCTATCCGCAATCACTGTGTTGCACCCGGCCATGCGTGCGATGTGAATCTCTTCGCAGTACGTCACGAATGTGTTTCCCGCTTTGAGAATCTCTTTCTGTTCGCTTTCCAAATCGTCGAGGACATCGAGGCCGTTGATTTCGTTTCCTAGAGCCTTATCCAAGTCGTTGTAGTACTCTACGACGTCGTCGTCTTCCGTGCACAGGTTGATCGTCAGCATCACCGAAAGGGAGGTCCGAAACGTATTACACAATAACTTCAGCTCCGTTTCAAATTGCACGCGGTTGTCTGGCTCCCCGTCCGTAATCAGATTAAAACATATCGGCATCGCATGCTGCGGAGTTGCACTGGTGTTTGATGTAATATCGTTGTTGAGTTCTTCACGATCGTTATTTTGCGCAGCAACACCAACAGAGTCTCTCCCAGATGGGGCAGCAGATGAGGAAGTCGTCCTCGTCTCTCTTCCTCTTGCAAAGCCGCCTGGGCCGCCAAATGAGTTACTTTCTAAGCTGGAGACGAGGTGCGCACTGAGATATTGCGTCACCTTGTGTAGCGGTGTAGAACCACGAATATTACTTGCCGACAGAAGCGTGAAAAAGAGAATCTCAAGCCTCGTGGCAATGTCGCTATTATTACTCCGTCGCAAGATCTCCATTAAATCCCGCATGCGGTCAGGTGTGGTACCAAGGCGCAGCAGTTGAGGCAGCAGAAGTGTGCCTGTGGTACGAGCTATATTAAAATTTGTAATACTAACTATGCAAAAGATTGGGATCTATGTATTCTTCGAGACGAGCGTAGCCGTAAAGATGAACAACCAAGCAGCAAGTAAGTAGCCTAGAGTACAAAATCCATTTCACCTACACCAGAGACGCCACAGCTTTTTTCACACGCCAACAGGGAAACCAATAGCCTGCCATGGAGTTGATACCTGGACAGCCTCTAGGCAATCGCGCGCATTGCTTTACACACCACAGGCGTAACTTTATTATTTTTACTACCATCTCGCAATCCTGCATTCGAGCCTGACGTTGATCTTGTAGGGCTCGAGCTCGAAGATGAGCCACCGCCGGTAAACGACACAGCTGATCCAGCTTCGTCAAAGTGCTTTTTCAGTTCTCTGCTTAATGCTACGAGGTCAGCACCGGTACAATCCACTACCACTTGGTCACGATTGTCCAGCCATTGGTTCTTCACAGTTCCTGGATTCAACAGGAAGTAGACTCCGCGCATTTTCCGTCTCAAATTGTAGAGCGCAATCTGCACCGTCTTGTGCGCGGCCTCTTGCCATCGCGTAACCAACCCATGCGCTTTTTTCTCGAGCCGGCCGTCCCTAAACTTGCCCTGAAAGAGACTTAGACAGGGCAAGAACAAGGTTCTCGTAGTTATCTCATTTCTTTCAAATACAACAGCAACACTGCTGCAGGTTCTATACGGCAACAATGAATAAATACAGAGCTGCGCCCGCGCCATTGAGCATTTCGTATTGTTATCAAAAAGCACTCTAGGAAGTAGTTTTGCTATCATTGCCTGTATTTCCCGGCTCTTCTCTCTCACTTACCAGTTGTTAAAAACCACTCTATCTTCAGCTCCACCCCAACCCCGCCCATAAAATCTTTCCGTCATTGCGGCCCATCGAACCGCTGTTGTCAATGACGTAGAAGCAGAAGCAGCTTTTCTCTGGCAGAATTTCGTGAACGTTGCTATTCTTCGCTGTGCGACTGGCCAGCGTGATTGAGGAGCCATCGGGAAGCGTAAACATTCCTGTTTCACTAGGTAGAGGGAACTCAGCAACAGAAGAATTCCTCGACGATGCAGTTGACAGCCGAATTCTTTCAGGATCAGGTGCCCTGGTACTCGAAGATGATGCTGACCCTGATTCTTGTCCCTCTGCTCCTGTTGTCGTGCTGCTTTGATGAGGACCCCCTGCTCCAGCACTACATCTTGATCCGGGCGCAAAGGGGTAGGGGAAATTCACTGGTTCTCCGACTGGCAAATCATCTGTAGTTGTAGTCCTCATTCGCGTAGTACCGGTACTGCAGGACGAAGCTGATGCGCGAGCAGCGCGATTCGCTTCGACGACGTCCATGAGGGACCAATTTCGCATTGTTTCGGTTACGCGTGCGCGACACAATGGACACGTGAGGCTGCTGAAGAACGAGCCTTGGCGGCGCCAAGAATCCAGACAGGGTTCGCACACTACATGGCCGCAGGGAACACAGGACATCGGCGGATTCAGATCCCGCACGAAGTCCTCCCAACACACGGCACACTGAATGCTGGACGGTCCGCCCCCACTCATTTTGTTTGTTATAATTGTTTCGCGCGCGAGCAAAACTCACGAGGGAATAAATACAAGACGTTGAATGAAGATGTAGGTATGTTCTCAGGTAGAGATGAGACATACACTAGCCTGAGGAACGAGGCAATGTCACTAGCAGCATCAGCATACAGGCGATTTAGAAGAAATTGCGTGTAGTGACCACATGGTTAACCTCACTGCGCAGATCAACAAGAATGTTAGTGTTACAAAAAAACTTCAACAAGCAATTGCCTCCACGCGAGGAGCTGCTCCGGATAACGGAAACTGATAGACCTTATCCAGATGAGTCTTCATTCAAAAACAAAATCAAAGACAAATCTAATCTTCTTAAATGATCATCGGTAAAAAAAATTGAGGAAAATAAATCCAGGGGCAGGGAAAGGGAGACGGCCGGGTAGACATGTACAGCATCAGCAAACGCTGCGGGAATTACTAGTTCAGAAGGTGCTGCTATTCCTATTTCTGTTTCTCCTTGCCCTCACCCTCACTTTGAGGCCGATATGACAGGACAGATCTTGCACGTGCTTTTGCTTACCGCTTTTTTCTAGAATGAACGTCCGACATGCTTTAGACAATAGAATTAGAAGCGGGTGATATTTCTACTAATTCGTCTGTTGCAGCATGTAAGTAGTTTACGGAACACAGCAATGCTCTACTCCTCGTCTGCTCAGTTGGTATAGTCTGCTACTGGGGCGCTACTCTGCTGCACCTTTTTTCAGCCAAACGCGCTTCAAAAACGGAAAAAGTGCTCCCTTTCTACTGACACAGCAAAGAAAAGTAGCAGCTTTACCTCTAACAATTGAATTGTATTGTTGGTTGCTGTCTTTCCGCCGATAAAATCCTGTCATGATTTTCAAGATTTTCGTACTCCACCCACCAGAGACTGTCATAGGGTGTCCGCGCCACTTGGGAGTAGTGCATCCACGGCTTCCGTTTTTCGCCGGGCCAATGCAGAAGTTTCGCGTGAGTCTCGACTCGCGAAACGACTTTGTACACCAAATCCGCCGAGTTGGAGTAGCGCTTGGGGTACCGCACTAAGCGGTGAACCTGCGGATACGTGACAGCGAAGTGGTACTCAAGAGGCAGGACGCAGATTTTGTAGCTGCTTGTAGAGGCACCTGATGAAGACGGGTTGCTATCTGATATTTTACTGCTGCTCTCATGCTTCTCCTCGTGGTCCTCCTTATCCGGAGTTTGAGATAGGAGGTTCTCTTTCACTCCTTCACCACTTTGCACCTCCGCGTCTGCTACAACTACTTTGTCTGCCTGATATAGCGGATGATCCTCGGTTGAGTTGTAGTCACGTAATTTGTCGCCGCTAGCTGCAAATTTTGGTGGTTGCAAGTATGGCCTGTTGTTCACCCAGATCCTGCGGACTCCGTTCTCGCCTTTGTTCTCTTCACCATGGTCCACTGCATATTCTGTTGTCCTCGGACCTTCCTGGTCTTGCGTAGCTCCTGCTCCATCTGGCATATTCACTGCCGCACTTCGGCCTTTGTCCGTCTGTGCATCAGCTTCTAGTACCCAATCTTCGTAATAGCGCTGGTCGCAGTGTAAAAAGGTACCACTTTCGTCGAATACTGCGTATCCTGCCTCCTGTAGCCCAGCTCCGAACCAGAAAGCATGCTGGAAGGCTTGATCGACGGAGCGCAAGCGCGCATTAACCCTCTCTGCCTCCGCCCCAAGCTCTGCCAGCATGTGATTATAAGTGTCCACATTCGGGCGAATCACCATCAAGCCGATCACGCTGTCCTCATACAGCGGTAAAGCGAAATCTGCGTCGATACTGAAGTTAGCGCGAGTAGGTCGAAAACCATTTCTTTTTACACACACACAGATAAGCTCCACGCTCCTACTTTGCTTGAATCTACTGAATGGAGATTGAGAGAATGTTGAGGATAATGCTCTTGAAAACAGGAACGAATTCACAATCGTTCAGAGTGGTCGCCATAATAAAGAGTGGCTCCAGATTCTGCATTGCGAGCATGTCCGCGTCTAGATACACGATTTTTCGGTACTGTGTGAGCTGCCACAGCCGAATTTTGGACCACCATGACGAAGTTAGAGTTTGCCGCCACGAGTCGTCGTCGGTAAACTCATCGTCTCCGCGGACTTTCACGGTACGTGGCAGGTGCTCGACCTCCGGTGGCGGCACGTAAACAGGAGTCAGGCCATCGCGTCGCAAAAGGTCGAGCAGAAATGAAAAATCTTCTACCTCGTTGTCTTGCTTGTGTGAAAGCCTTTGCTGTTGCTTGCCTGTTGTACTAGTCGTTGGCTGTAGCTCACCTTGTTTTCCGCTGCTTTCGCATTCGTGCTGCCGGCGTTCTGATGCGCTAAGAAGTCGCTTACTCGTGTGCAGAACAAGAAAGGGACGACGCACTTTGGCACGCTTCAGCACAGAGCGAGCAAGAACACGAATTGCGGTGATGTACACGTGCAGGTTGCGGAGGATTTTCTTGAAATCTTCATTCTCCATCCATGATCTTTCTTGTTTCGTATCTGCGCCTCCAGTCTCGTCATCAGGGAGACCCGTTAATACCACTGCCCACGCTTCTTCTTCGGTGTCAAGGTCGAATGGAATCCAGGATCTCACTTGCAGATCTCGGTGAAAAACGTGCTTATGCGACCGGAAAGACGCAACTTGATCTTCTATAATCGCACTGGAAGAACTGTAACTTTCTGCATTTTTGTTGGTCATCATTGCCTTTTTTGTTTTTCTCCAACGATCAGCACTCTGATTTTTTTCCGCGTTCTCGTTCTCCTCCTGCTCCTTTGCAGCCAACTCTCCCCCGACGTCTGCAACAAAGCGAGCGAGAAAAACTTGCTCGTGGAACCACTCCACTTGATGTGGAAGAACACCGCACGGCGGGCAGACCTGCCCTCGCAATTCTTGACCACCAGGTGTCAGTAAAGCTTCCTGCTCTTTGCATGCCTGCGGCAGCCTCCATGGCATCTTCAGAAATTCTGTGGACAACCAGTCGAAAACTTCTGCAAATGGCAAGCCGCCGAGTAACAGAGGAAAAAGGTTGTAGCTCACAAGCCTGCCGCTCAGCGGGTTCTTGAACAGTCCGTCTCGGAGTTCGATAGCGCTCGCTTCGAATGGAATTTGAGCCATGATGTCGTGGATCTGTTCGGATGACGACCGCTTTTCATGATCTACCGCTTGAATATTGTGCTCGCCATGCAAATCCGCCTGCTCCGTCGTGGTTGCCGGGGGTATGAACAGACCTCGTCGCCGATACTCCGTAGCTTTCATCATGTGCCACCACACAGTTTCAGCTATGATGCGCTCATCGAGTGTTCCGCTTGCGAGTTTCAGTGTCACGTAAGCACGCACTATCTCCATGAATGCGAGATGGTAGAAACAATCTGGACGCGGCGACTCCTCTGTAAAACGTGCCTCGGCCGCATTCCGAAAATAATCCAAAAGGTACTCACTGTCACGATCCAGCTGCGCAAGAATCTAAAGAGAGTATGGCGAGAGGGGCCTAAAATAGTGTGTTTAATCACAATGAATGTCGATGAACATCAACATTCGATTTGGTCGTGGCGCATGTCACGGACGGGGACCGGCCTCACGCGAAAGAGAGAACTAGGTAAGGTGATGAACTTGATTTTGCTGTCAACAACGGATAGGCTGTAGTTAGTTAGTACTTGAGTGATGGCGTGAGCAGTACTTTCGCGTCTGGTGCCGGTTTCGGAAGTTCATGGAGGTGCCAGATCAAAGTCGCCAGCCTCTCCGAAACGCCCGGTCTTTGCGTTGGTTCGACACAAAATCCAGTCGCGGCAGCGTGCGCGTAGCTAGCTTGCATCTGCGCCAAAGCGTCGACGCTGGTTGCTGAAGCATTCGTGGCAGTAGAGTCAGTAGAAGTCGCTGCGCCACTATGCTGTGTGTTTGCCTTTCCTCGTGTCGAGTAGGACTCTGTTGTAGTTCTTGACTGGCCGACTTCTATCAGAACTTTTCTCAAAATTTCGCGGACACTATCTTGAATTTTTGCTTGGATCCTCAAGCTGGGCCATCCGCTCCACAAAATCATGCTCATGTCTAGCCTCTGCCAAAAAAGTTCTTCGTAGTACAAGAGAGAGTCGATCAAGTGCCAAATCGCTCTAGGTATGCGCATATTAGTCGAAGTCGCCAAAATTGGAACATAATCTTTGATATTAATTTTGAAGTTCTCTGACTCTGGATACGAGTTACTTGAAGATGAATCCTGCACGACCTCCTCGGAGTCCGACTCAGAGCGGTCAGGCTGCGACGCAACGCCAGGGTCCACGTCTCTTTCTATCACTCTTCGCACATCATCTCCATGGAGGTAGAAGCTATCGCCGGCGAACATTCCAGGCTTGCCATCGATCGTCAGCAGCGCGCTTTCGTCGTCCTCAACTTCATCGTTTCCATCACGAGGCAGAACAACTTTATGGTGCATGCGTATGTGGGTGTCAGTGAGAAAATACGTGAGGAGCCCCACGGGGCAGAAATCGAGGTCGGGATTATGCATGAAGAGATGCTTTTGCCACTGCCAGCCACGTGCGCCCTCCGGGGTCATGTACAGTTGTCCATCCGCATACTCTGTCAACATCCGCTTCATTTGCGGCCAATCGGTGATCCGCCGTTCGCAACTGTGTTCCGGATTGTGTGAGGGAACCTGATGCCTTGCGAGGAGCGCGACGAAAGACGCTGATGATTCGTGGTTCTCATTATCTTCTTCTTCGTCCTTTTTGTCTAGTGACGGCTCATCATGATACTTCATCTCCATGTGCGTATTGCCGACATCGGACGCCGACGTCAACTCATTGTCACTAGTTGCGATGTTGTTGTCTGCGCCATGACTGACCTCTTGGATGCGCGCGACCTGTCCATTTACAACTTGAGGAAAAAGGCAAGATGTAAATACCAGTATGCACACAAACGCAGAGTGTCGAAAGCGATGCGACGAGCATATCTGAGCATCAGCGCCTTCCTGTACCAGCACCAATTTTTCGCACCTACAAAACTCTATCATCTTGTTATTTCTAGGTCCTGAAGAACATCTCTTCTACTTTGCGGTTGGTCTCGATGCTTTTTCGCTACTAACTCTACATCTACAAAGCATGCAATTGGAAAATTGTACACAAGTGAGAGATTGATAAGGTCTAGAAGTCAGTGCCTAACACTATAACCATATTGCATATGCGATCTGTAAACATGCTCTTGGACCACATCTGCTCGACTGCACTCCTTTGCCACTCTCAGTTCATGATTTCCAGTCGAAATTGAAGATTCAAGGACTTCTTACCGATGCCGAGTGATCACTTTTAAAGGCCATTTTCTGGTCGCGAAAGCCGTATTATGATTGAACAGCACGAGCGTAGCTTCTAAACTAGCACAACTGTCAACTACACTGTTGGTGCTGTGTGAAAGTCAAACGTAATTTTCATGTGCGCAGGATGATCGCTCCGATAGCAGCTACCCCTTCGCCGTCACTTACAATGCAAAGGGGTGGGTTTCTTTCTCTAGGTTGCGCGCGTGCGAGATTCTTCTCTTTGTCCAAAGAATAACGAAGGACAGGGATACGTGTTTGCGGATATACTAAAAATACATGTTGCGTCCTTTTTCCTCGAAAAAACTTGACTACCCCACAGCTTGTGTTTGACAGTTTATCGATATCCGTCTTACGTTTGGTCGGTCTGCTCAAGCCGAAATCTTTCCCAAGAAGTAAAACAACGATTCTGTATTTATGCTTTTGAGTCGGTGTAATCCCGCGATCATTGTGTTTCGAACACAATAAATTAACGAAAGTATAAATAATGCAAAACTTCTGTTAACGATTTCTGTCCCCGGCTTCTATAGAACCAGTTGGTTCCAAATCCAAGACTTGACCAACGGTGATCATCACTAAATTTCACCCCAATCAGCCAATCATTCCCCACGCATTTGATTGTCGTTCCCTTTGCTAACATATACTTATAGATAGATACATCTGTTTTCTGTTCGTGAAAGTGTGTTCCACGCATTTTGATGTTTCAGTCTTCCTCAACGAACTCATGTTTTTTACTTCCAAGCTGTGACTGCAAAAAAGTTTTTTGTCCTGTCTCCACTGCTACTTTTTACATCCCCCCTGCTACTGTTCGGAGGCGCCAATGTACTACTTGACGGATCATTTCGTTTTCTCAAGCCACAAGAGGGCTAGACATGAGAAGATACGTAACCATGCACACTCACAGGTGTAGCAACCACGTCGGCACTTCGGTGACGATCGTGATGGTCTTCTTCATTACGTCCCTTGCAATCTTCATCTTCTTGTTGTTCCTTTCGAATTGCATCTTCGAGAAGCTCTGTTGTCTCAGAGTAATATACCTCTTCGTGGTCAGGTTCAGGGCAAGAACGGTTCGAGTGCGATGCTTGGGACTTGGATGCATTCCTATTCGGCGGGAACTTTCCGTTCTCACCCAGCAAGCTTGTTGGTTGAGCATCAGAATGCTGATAACCTTTCATTTTCTCTTCAGCAGAAGAAGTTGTGCACGTCGCGATGGAAGCGTGAAATCGTTCTTGTGATTCAGATTTTCTCGTAGGAGAAGAGGAGCCTGTGCGTGCCATGGAATGGAATACGGCGAATACGATCAAAAGTAGTAAGTGACCGCAAACGAAAGCAACATAAGGGGCCGAATGAACAATGTCTCGCAATTTTGTGTCCCCATGCACGATTCGTTCGGGACTCAGATCACGGGCCAAATGCTGCAAGCGCTGCTGAGAATGCCGACGTTCTTCTGGATTGTACGGAAATGAAAGAAGATGAAGATATTTCTAGTCGACGCGTTCACCTTCACGTCGACACCTACTCAACTTACAAATATGGCCTTTCATCGCCGTTAAATCAACTTGGGAAAAACCACGATGTGGCAGCAGGAGAGTGATATGTCAATTGGCAACGAACACGACGCCTTAAGACTACTTCCTCGGTCGAGCGGTCTGCTTGATCCCTAGAGGCCGCGGCGCCTCTATCGGAAACTTCCGGATGAGTGCGTCCTTCCTCGGGCACTGGTGGCCGTTGCTCGCTTGGTCGAGCAATGCTGACAACTGGCAAATGGTCAGATATCACAGCCAATGGCTGTCGGTTTCGAATGCTGTCAGACTCCCGTTCTTCAGGATGTTGATGTTGTCCACTGACGTTAGGGTTAGCATCCGTCCTTTCGACAGGTGCTTCGTGCTTTGTCACTAAGTTCGCCCAGTCTACATACACCTCTTCCGTGCGCCAAAACTTCGCCTCTTCAGCTCTTTCGGGTCTATTCGTAGTTTGGTCTCTTCCTCCTGGTGCGTAACGCGGGAAAAGGGCTACATGGTCCAGGTCTTGCATTGTGAAATGGTTCACCTTCATGGCGTTCTTTTGTAGCTCCTCATTCCACGCAATGTCAACGACCCCAGAGCCACTGCAAGGAGTGCTGCGACGCGTCTGCGGATCATACAGGCCTAGAGTCGCGGCATCCTCCAGTGTGCGAAGACTAAACCTAGTCAGTTACTTTCAAATTAATCGATGCTGATCGTCTGCGGTTGAATTCAGTTCATCCTCCATGCTGGTCGCCATTCACTTACTTCTATTCCATCATCGACATTTACCGACGAGAATTTCAATCGGTATCAGAGGATGGTATGAATTTGCATGAGCAAAAACGGCAAGAATGACCTCTCCCAGTTGTAAGGACTGAATGAAGTAGAAGACAATACCAGCCTAAAATCAAAATATGATTATAGTGACAGATGACTAAGTTAGAATCATTAGAAAATAGAATGCGATTACCAGGCGTCGAGGCCTGGCGAGGATCCACGACGAGGGACCGGAACGAATCTACCATCGTCGAGCCGATTGAAAGCTCTAAGTGAATGCCCCCTAGCACGTGGTGGAGCCGCGATCGCGCTTCGTTGCTGCTGTACTTCATGACGATCCAACTGGCCCGCAACAAGTGGAGGTACAATGGCACTTCGTTGCTCCTGCTGTTCTCCATGAGGACATGTGATCTCGCGTACGAGATAAAGCGCATGAAGAGATGAACTCTGAGTTGCTGCTTGTTGACCTGGATCTTGTTGGTCTACATCAAGCATCTCCTCATGAAATCGACAATGATTGAGCGCAGGATGTTTCGATCCGAAGAGTTCTTTCTGGAATTCTCGTGACGACCACGTAAAGCCAGTCGCGAGAAGAACAGGATCCATGGCTGTTTGAAATTCGGGACGTGCATGATCAAGCAAGTTTGGTCCTCTTCGCGGGTCATCTTGTTGTTGTTCGAAAATCTGAGAAGAACTACGCATTTGAGCTCGACGCTCCTGCTCTTCTGCCTCAAATTCTAGAAAACCGGGGAGGCCATCAAGCATTGAAGTTTCTCGAATCCCTGCCCTGCGACGAAGGTGCTGGTTCCAAAAAGAGACAAGGCTGTCGTGGACTGAACTCGCGTCTTCGTCACCCTTTTGTTGTTGCTCTGCATTGGGAATGTCTCCAAACACTTCCGCACCTTCGACCTTCGCCGCGTAGAACATGTTGTTTCTCGGAAAATTGAAGTCGCCACTGACTTGCACGTGCAGCCCCTTGCCTGGAAAGCGTTCACGCACGTGCGCAACGAGGGACTCAACGAACAGCGCCATCTCACGGTATTCCTGATGTAGAAGACGATATCCTTGCTTTTCCCCGTCCGTCAGTAAAGAAGTGTTGTCCTCGCAGGTTAGAAGCTATAGCTCTTCGTTCCGCAATGTGTCGTCAGTCTTCAACATAATAACAAGCAAGCTGAACACCATTTTAATTTTTCGTTCATCTACTTGACGGAATTATTATCGAGAAGCAAGATATTTCTCAAAGGTCATCTAGATCTAGCCCATTTGCGGATTTGAAAGAGCCGTAAGTAGGGAATCCGGACGCGGGAATGCGAAAACGCACCGCACGCAGTACGATGATTACGCGAAAATTTAGAGAGGCCATTCGTCATCTCATGGCTTGGAATTGGATTGCATCATTTGGCACTGTAGCCGAAACATCCGTTATCAAGCTTGGCGAATTTTTTACGGAGTTGCTGACTAGCTTCTTCTAGTTTTTACTAGTACTCTCAAGACTCTTCTAAGTACTAAGTATAAACAATACATGCGAACAGAACAATTATGTTGGAGGGCTTTTTTGGATACAACAAGATGTGCAGGAAGATGCCTCAAAAGTATTCCGAGCCTCGTTTGACGAAGCAGCGCTTTGGTGAAGGCATGAATACGCCTTTGCTTTGGCGAAGATGGTGTAACTGTCATCTACAGCTTGCGAGTTTTAGAAGATCCTTCTGCGGAGTGAAAATAGCAATCCATTTTGGTGGTCATACTCTAAATGCAAGAAGAGGAGGTTGGTCCCTTTGTATAAGTAACTGCCTGTACAAATTTCTTGAATCTTTTTACGAAGAATGATGCCAGCGAAATGCCAGTGATAAGTGGGATGGACGTCCTCTCAAAGCGGCCTTAAATGTGCGTGTTGAAAGCAAGTAAGATTCCATCTCCGTTTGGTAGGTCCCATGCTGTTGCCAGGACCCCTTTGTTAGCGCTCTCAGTGCAGCCGAGCGAAGTAAGTACAGATATGATGCTACTGGAACTGATCGTGCAGGTTGTGATGAAAAGTTATACATTGTTGTGGAGATGATAGAAGAAGAACCACTAGTGAAGTGAAGGCTTAACTTTTGCAGAAATCGCGTCGTCTCCGCGAGTTTCACGAAATTTATGGAATAGGAAGCTCGTTTTTCCACGAGTCTCAACTGTAGCAGTTGTTTCTCCTGCAGCGAAAAAAGCACGGGCATCGCTTCGTGGTCCTCTGGACGAGTTGTGCATCTCGTTTGCTGGTGGCTTAGAGCTACCCCTAGTCTATCCCTGTGCAGTATTGTACCTATGTGTGCGGTTTCCGCCCTTGTTGTATATGTAGCTACAGGGATCCTTCCTTTCGAGATGGATTAGAGGTAGCCTTAAGTGTCCTGGAGCTGGAGGTAGAGCTCCACCTGAACGACCAACCGCTGGGCTCCGTAAACCAGTGATGTTGCAATGAGAAAGCCGTCACTATGAGCGCAAACCCGCATAGGAAAAGCGCAAAGAGGATAGGCATGACACAAAAGGTTTTCACCGCAGCAGCAAGACTGAGCTCGGAGCAGAGCGATTCATTGTTCTTGTCCTCCTTTGATTCATGTGAGTGTCGTGGAAGATCTTCTTCTTCGTGATTCTTTTCGTCGAGAGCCTTGTGAAGCGCTTTCTTGGTTCCGGACGTCGTTCCAGTAGTTTCGTTGCTGCGAGAAGTTCTTAGATTTTTTCGCGCAAACAACTTTTTCGCCAACAGAGACCCTGTGAATGCGGCAAGTGCGCAGAACGCGCAGGCAGTGAGAACAATGAACAGTGCGCCGTGCGGTGCGTGGCGCTGCGTGCGGAGCCAATGGGAAGGTAATCCCAGAAGTGAAAAGCTGAGGTGCGAAAACGTGCTTGCGCCAAACTCACTCGACGCGACGTTCAAGACGGCAAAACCCGCTAAAAAAACGCAGGCAAAGAAGCGCCGAAAGTACCACAAATTGCTCCTGTGCGCGGCATTGTTCTCCTCGTTGCATATTTTGCGTATTTGCATAGCCTTTGCGGTCCGAATTGTTGACGTGCCACCAACGTCGTTATTGCAGTGTTTATCGGATGCAACGGGAGCGGGAAGCGCTGTCTTCTGGAGAAGACCTTGTTTGTGTTCTGCTCCCTGCATCACTTCAGCAGCGGATACTACAACTAGGGCACGTCCCCTGTGATTGGTTTCCTCGACCGTATTTGATGCAACGTGATCTGCATCGTCGTTCTTCTTGTTCGATTCTTTGTTGTAGCTGCATACACAGAGACTCAGCACGATATAGATTAAAATCACAAAGAGAAAAAGGCCATCTTGTCCGACAACCGGGGCTGTGAAAATTCTAGGCCAATACCATGCTTTCGCTCTCAGCACGTTGACCCGAAAGTTCCCCCGGCTCTCTTCACGCATTCGCTTTTCTTCTACTTCGGTGTAGCTGATGCCTTCTGCCGGGATGCGGTTTGCGGCAGCTTTATTTTCCGCAAAGAACGTGTGCAGGGCAATCGCGTCAACTCGCCGGACGAGGTTGGAACAGGTGAGCAAGCCGCTGTTCATTCCGCTGCCAGTGCGACTGCCTAGCAGAACCGGAGAGCACCATTTGAAATGTTTTTCCCGCAGAAGCCGCTTCTCAAACGCGTGGGCTGTTGCGGCATCCCAGCGAAAAGCCCAGATTTCTTGAAAATGTGCTATATCGAAGGCCTGCTTGGGAGCTCGCGCTTCCAGGGTCGCACGATCTGGTAGGTTTCCCCGGAGGCTCAGAGAAGCTGCTGCAGATGGTGCCACACCCACATTTCCTTGCGAAGTTGCAACTCCAACTTCTCCACTTTCGACATCATTTACGACGACGCGAAGCGGTCTTTCTTGCTCTTGATGCTGCTTAGTCTCGTAGTAGTTCCGCAAGTACACGTCGAAGAAGAGGGCCAGACGATCCATGCCGAGTACTGACTTGGGCCGCAAATAATCCGGAAAGAGCTGCATGTTGTACGAGAGTGATGTCAACTCTTGCTTTGGGCTGGAGGTATTGTCATTTTGTCCGTTGGTCAGGATACTCGTGCCTCCGCCGCGTCCATTGGTTTTTGCTGCTGCTTTAGGGCCTCGCTCTCCCAAGGCAGCAATAGATGTCGTTGAGGCATAAACCCAACGCACCTCACCCAGCACATGGATTATGATATCGAACTTGATGAGGAACAGGAGAAAAAACAATGAAATTCCAGCACGGGCTCGGTTTTTGTTACCTTGCGTATTAGTATTTTTCCACTCTCGATGCCGAGCCTGGGGAGCGACATGGCTGCACTGCTTAGCAGACATATGGGTGGAAGCCACTGTCGACCAAGCGCGCCAGAGGAGCCCCATCATGATGATTTGTTCGTGATAGATGTTATGACAAAAAGGTCTGTAAATTCTTGCGATGCTTTATATATACCGTTGGTGGAGCAGACCTAACTAGAAAAAACAAAAACCGAAACAAGAAGGAGAGGCAAGGCCAAGCGAGCACTTATCTATTAATAAGTAAGCGCCGGCGCCGGCGTGGTCCTGTCAGCCCCAGAGGTCTCACCTTCAAAGGCAGGCCGGAGCCCTGTGCAATACTTTATATATCACGGTATTCGAAATTCTACTCGAGCTCTAGGTTGCGACGGACTATGCAGACTATATATAATCATAATAATAATACGTTGAGGCAATACAATTATGCTCTTCATCGAGACGTCGTGCGTTAAGTGTAGTCGCTGTAATGAACGTTCCGAATGATCCATCGTAACTCGAGTACAAACGCAGTAAACAAGTGGAAAAAGTTGCTAAATATATGAGTAATTCAATATTACTACTTACATAACTTTTCCGAATCAATGTTGCCGCTAGCGTCGAGAAAACTTTTGCTTACAACTTAGTTGCTCTCGCTAAAGTTCCTTTTTGTTTACTGTGAAGATAAAGAACGATATTGCAGCAGGTGAAATAAATTATGTATCTATAAGATTGCTGTGGTTGTCCTATGAAAAGACAAACTGCGTTTGGATACAATTCCCAAACCCAAAAAAGCCAGAACTTTCTGGCTTTTTTCGCTTTTCTTCTGGCTTTTTTGGCTTTTCGGGCGTTTTTCGTGCCTTGGCGTTTGAATCAAAATCGTGCCAAAACCCAAAAAAGCCAGAAAAGTCGCGCTTTTTTGGCAATTTTCTGGCATTTCGCGGGCTTTTTTTGTTTTTTTGGGACACAATCCGACGAAAAAACAGAGGAAACCGGCGAAAAAGCTGGGTTTGCCATCTTTTTTGCCCTTTCGCACGGTTTCGACTAAGACACCAAAAAGCCAAAAAAGCTTGAAAATTCTGGCTTTTTTGGGTTTGGGAATTGTATCCAAAGGCAGTTTGTCTTTTCATAGGTTGTCCTAGTTGTCCCTTTATCCTTGTCCTCGGGCCAGTTCATGTCCACGCAACGACAGAGCGAGTTGCTAGGTCTGCGAAAGAGGAAACTGCATTTTTAAGGCTTTAGTCTACTTGTTTAGCTTATTAGAATGGAAAGCACTGATGTATTTTTTAAGATAATGTGGGGCAAGGGACGTATAATGAGGTAGAACAAAGACAGCAAATGGAAATAAGTACCTTGTTGAATTATGGAATCACCCCGACCTGTGATAAAGACGTCTACCACGGACGCGCCAGACCAAAGTTAAATGTCAGTGCATGAAGGCGGAACGAGATCGGACCTCTTTTGATCGAGTAGCTTCGGCTTCGCGACCATTCTGCAACGAAACAGGTAGATCCTGATACACAGACATTGCTCACTTTCGCTTTACTTGTAGTGCTTGCGGCGCCACGACGCTTGCTCCCAGAACACACAAAATCAAAACAACTGTATTCCGCAAAACCGTTTATCTCTTACTATGTTCATCCTTTTGGACCAGGGAGATTCGAAACTTTAAACAGAGGGAAACGTGCACCTAAATGTGCCAACATTCCGCAAAGGAAAGATGTAAATGAATTCAGGACATTGCTGCCTGCTCTTTGCTGCAGTACCTTTGAGTGCAGATACGAGGAAACGTCTCTGGGATGAGTCGCTCCTGCCTTGGGAAGGTAGGAGATTAATCGCCTGGTGGCTGCGGCATATGAAATACGTTTATACGGTCTGTTGTAAGTTGTATGGATGTTTGAATTATGGCTTCTATGACGTTATTCTTATCAAGGCGTAAGCGTATGCAGAAACAAGGCAACGAGGACAAACTTTGCAATGCTATCATTATTGATAAAATCATGAATTTCCTCTACAACAACATACATGACACATATACGTAACCGAGACTTCAACATGATCAACATGACTATGACGAAGAACTAATGCTCGGAAGAAAAAATATGAATATCTGGATTCCGCCGCTACGATAGCCTTCCCTCTTTTTTGCGTTTGCAGATGACGGAAAAAGAAGCCCTGAGTCTTTTTTTCTCTTATGGCTTCATATGCCTTCGGAGGGTAGAGAGAAAAGTCATTTCCTTTCTTGATCGACAAACGCACTGCACACTGCGAAAGGGGAAGGCCCGCTGATCAGTTAAATCTACGCAACTTTAGTTTGTCACATATCAACATTATACATATAGGGAACCACATGGAGTTCTGGATTTTCTTCTACCCGCAAACATAGCTCATCAAGCAGAGTGTATCTTTCTTTCTTCTTCTCATGTGTCAGTATGGTATTTCATTGTTCTGGTATTTGGTAACCTGGATTTGATCACAAGGATTCTCTTCTTGTTTTCCTTGCGATCAAAATCAGCTTACCAAATACCAGAATTATGCAGGTATGATAGTCGACCACTCACTGAATCTGTACACTTTTTCTCTACACTTGGATGGTGTTTTTTTTTTGATAGACTTTTGCTTGTTCTGTCTATCTTGAGTTTCTCTTGTTTCTTTAACAATAGCGTAAGCTGATTGGTCTCATGCAAGACATGTCTTTTTACACGGGATTTAGGTAACTTCAAAGGTGACTACAGGGGTGGGGCGGGTTTGGAACATAGGCTAGGTGAAGTACATAAGAACTGTTATGTATCGTATCTTGCAATACCTACAGACGATGCGCAGTATTTTTGGTAAATCAATCACACCGAGAAGAATGACCTCGGATATTAGAAGTGCCTTGGATTCTCCTGCGGTTGCGGAAGATAGGCAGTTGAATTTTTGTTGACGCAGAAGTAGCAGGATCAGCCCAAGACCGAGATGCTTTGTTACAATTACCTCAGTCAAAAGCAATGCATCTTCTAATCATTTTCCACGACCTAATCCTAAATTGGAAAAATGTTATATATATAAGCGAAAATAATCTAAATCGATGTCATCTTGTTGTACATCTACCTAGGGTCGTGTACGATTATTCTGATGGTGCTCAGAGACGCGAGTAGGGTAGTTCGACCGCAGACTCGAAAGAAGAACGCGGCTGCGGTCGCGTGACGATGGAGACGATGAGAAGTGCGGTGAGGAGCATCAAGAGGGCACTCTGAATGCATATGATAGTCTCATGCGAGACCCCAGTGTTGATTGTCGACGATGGAGTCTCTTCGAGTAGGAGCGCTGACGCAGCAGCTGGACCTGCCTTGTTGCTTATTTGCATGTTCTTGAGATTCTTGTCAGCTTGATGCCTCGTCGTCGGTTCATCTAGTTGCGAAGAGGAAGATAGAAGTTCACCACTAGTTGCTTTTTTTGATTGTTTCTTGGTGACTGAGGACGTTGTTGGTGCCGTATGACTAAGGAGGGTAATGTCCTTGCGATTCGCGTCGTCATCTTTGTGTTGTGAGGAACTGGAAGTAGTAGCGTCCTCACCGGTCATTGTGCTCGCAGTTTTGTGCACACCCGCAACCACAGCTGCGGCTGCGTTTGGAGGTAGGTGCGGGGACTCCGGAGGAAGATCCTTGTAATCCACTAGCGACGCGTCCAGTCCGTGGGGCTGCGGTGTCTGCAGCACCACGCGAGTTCCAACGGCAGAAGCATCGAGCGCCGCGCCGATAAATGTGTCGTTGAGCGGAGCACCCAGCATGTCTGGGTTCGCAGCGCCATATTTCACGAAGAACTCAGGTGGCATAAGTTAGAGCGATGCACCAGAACCAGAAGCAAAAGTAACAGTCCCGCTACTTCTTTGCTTTTGCCTCTGTTTTGGCTTTCAATGATTATAATACTTGCATCCGGTTGAGGTTGTAGTTGTAAAGTGCAACGATTTGGCAAGGGTTCTTGCTACACGAAGCAGCACACGCACCTATATGTCTTCACGACAGTCAACTTCCTAGCATGGATGCTGATGCAGTAAATAATCTTAAGTTGATGCCAGGCACAGCTTTCTTTATGTCGATGACTTCTAAACATTTTTCGTGCCATAATGCAAAGTTGGTTGTGCCTGGACAGGGGCCCACTTTACTGTCGGCTCCACATTCTCACCTGCCATCTGCAACCAATATGCTGGATATCCGAAGGGCTTGCCCAGTCTTTCCATTGTGTTCTCGGTGCCATCGAGATATTTCACCGTCAGCTCATCGGATAAGCGAAACCAGTCCTCGGCGAGTTGGGTTTGGCTGCGCTTCTGCCAGAGTGTAAGTCGTTCGCTCAGATCCGAGTCACCGAGAGGACAATGGAGGGTCTGTTGGAGGGTTACGAAAGAGGATTCTGGAAGGTGATGGAGGAGGATTCGGGTGTCCAATTCAAGAGCACACAATCTATCAACGAGAGGGAAGACAAAGAAAGTCATCACAGACACAGAAGTTCACAACATAAGCATTTATCATCTTGTTCCTGTACTAGTGCTGAAAGCTTTTCAAATCTTCACTACATGAGATGTTGGAACCCTTCTCCTGGAATGCACATCCACATGCATCGCGATGATGAAGTTGGGGTTATTATACCTCACTCCCGCACAAATGTGCAAGTTCAACGCTAAGCTTCTTTTGCCACAAGCGTCTTCGATGCGAAACCTCCCTGTCCATGCGGTTGTAGTAAAGCTGCATTTGGTTGCCGACAAGGTTGAAAGCCCACCACGTAGAACGGCGGTCCAATTCGTAGCGCGTTCCGACCATAAAGGCTTTCGACAGTTATTTCTTAGACAGATCATAGAGGCACGAAACTGTATGGGCAACAAAGGTGGAAGAAGCGTGACAATGGAGGCAGGAAAAGTTAAGGGCAGAAAATTCATACTCAGAGGATTCGAAGCGCTGTGAATGCTTCATCCAATCCATGGGCCATAATCTTAGTCCCCTGAAGGATTGGCACGTAGACACTACTGGCGGGTTGATCCAGTGCGAGCCACAGGATACTTCGGTAATTTTTGTCCGCAAAAGATTCGCCGACCTGGCCGTAAATCGTGCGCGGAATGGAGATTGCTCTTGGAACCTGTGAACCGGTCATCAGAAGACCAGTACCACCTTCGAGAATATTGGGGTTTCCGAACGGACCAGCAAGCATCCCCGCCGACTGATCATAAGCGCTGCCCTCGAATCTATGAAAAATAGAGAGAGATTAGAAGATAAGGATGAGCAGTAAATAGATCAAGCGTTTGACTTATGGAGGGATTTGCTGAACGCTTGATGATGTTAGATAAAATTAAAGGAGCATACATGATCGACAAATAGATACGAAGTAACAAATCGAAATCCAGCGTACTCAATCAAGGTAAGGCAGGATTGCATCTTCATCATGAAGTATGCTCCATCTCGTCTAATGAGATTCAGAACCTCAAAAAGAATCAGTAGATTTAACGGCAAATCCTTGTACCTGTCAGCGTGGATCGCCATCATGTTTTCGCGCGTGACTCCACGGTCTACTGGAACCGAGAAAGGGTATGTGCGTGTGTCATTGGTCAGAGGAAATTTCAGCGAGGGTGCAAGCAGCTCGTAGACTCGAAACACACGTTGCGTGTTGTAGTATGGAATAGCGATGGACCCACGGGGCAAATACAGTCTCGGATCCGGTGAATAGATGCGCTCGAAGTCGAAAGCTATATATTTATAAGAACAACATCAACAACAAGTTCAAGTAGTTAGTTGTAAGTAAGTAGAGTAAAATAGTAGTTTTAGTTTGAGTTTTTGTGTTGAAAGAAGTTGATAGGGAAAAAAAAATGAAAAGATGATCTTATCATGCGCACACGCAAATTCGAGCTTTACTCTACGCGTTCCCTGAAGTGCGAGTTATGCTCTGATTGGAATTGATAAACATCACAAACTAACTTAGAGAATTAATATCCTTCTAGTACTTACTCGTCTTTCCGTCCCAAAGGTTTCGTTTCTTTGCTGTACTGAACAGGTTTTCGCCGCACAGAAAATTCGCGGAGTCATCGCAGTCTACGTGATGAATGACGAAATGATTTGCAACGGGTGCCACATGACCATCCGGAACTCTCTGCGCAACCCAAACGGAACCTTCCTCGCCATCCGGGAGAATATGGAAAACCCAAGCCTGTTAGAAACCAGGCGGGGGTCTTGGTTGTCAGGTTAGGAAAAGATGAAAGTGAGTATGACTATGGTATCCAAAGCTTGAGCCGCAAAACATGGGAGCAATTGCAATAGGAGAGCGTTTGGATTTGCATACCTGCTACAGATCGCGCATGATTTTTTCATACCACCATTGTTTACACAAATTTTAAATACTTATTCTAAAATATGCTGAACGAGTATCAGTACCTCCTTCCCATCACCAACTGTGACAGCCTCGCTCGATCCGTCCATACCAGTTTCTTCGGGGGCGAAACCATACAACTCGCTGAGGCGGCCCATCAGCTTAATGGCACAGCGTGCTGTTCCACAACGCTCCATCGCTAGCTGCATCAAATCCGCGATCTGAAGCAGCCCAGGTGCGTGAATGAAGACAGGGATACAACACGGCACACCACAGTCCTAGGATTATCATCATGATCAAGAACAATGGGATGTGGACGAAGTAGATCTTCGAGAGATGATCACCATAATCATCATCATGATTGATGTGTCGTACGCCGTGCACTGTGATTATCCTATTCATTGCAAAAAACCAGGATAATAAAGACGGTCATGGCATCAACTGACTCCAGGTATCAAGGCAATCTTCGGTATCCGCGATGAAAACAAATAAATCCTTCCTCTAAGTACTAGTACAATAGTTGTAGTCTACTTACACTTAGTCGCATCAAGCGGCACCATTATCAATTGCTTAAAAAAATTGCGACTTTCCCCGGCATACATTTGTTGTGCAAAATCATCGCCGTGCAAGTGCTCTCGCCCATGGTGAGACCGGCATCGTTCAGCAATGGATAGAATTCCTCATAGTAGCCAAACGTCTTGCTCACCTTGAATTCGCGGAGTTCCGGATGCTTTTCTGAAATTAGAGGAACTCTGTTTCCTTCATCATTCAGTTATCTATATTTCCTAGGCCACCTGCAGAGGGTAGGAAGTAAAAGTATGCGGCGATTTACTCCTGTTGACATCTTAATAGTTTAGTAGTGTACCCAATCCATCGTGGGGTATGAAGGAGTATGGACCCATCTTGAACTTGCCAATAACAAAACGTTGAACAATATGTAGTTCTAGCTACGTCCCTCAGACGGAAACACAATCAATACCAGAGGTAACTGTAAGGGTGGAAGTGTGATTGAAGGTAAATGAAGCGGTTTCTCTACTCAGTAACAACTATGAATTTTTCAAACTTGTCTCGAATTTGTCAAGTACAGGATTACGTACTTAGAAGTAATAGCAAGCAAGAAGCCATAAAAAGAGGTCTTCCCAGTCTAGGACCTTCACGGGATCCCGATGCTTCACTTTCTCTACATTTTTGTCCAGGAATTTCCGAATGCGCTTCCTCTCATTCTTTGCGTTTCGTGCTGGATAGTAAACGTCCTTACTCGCAGCTTTTTAGGAAGAAAACAACCGAGAGCGAAGCTGAAAGAACTGAGCGAAGATTCGAATTCAATTCTTCTCGATATACAAGTTACAGTTAGTGATTGGGTTATACAACTTACGTCTTATCAGTGTATTAAAGCTACATAACGCTGCCGCCATCTTGTTTTTTTTAGAGCAAAATGAATGTACTACCTGTAACGAATTTGTAGGTCAATACAAGAAAGCGTATTCTCAATCTCAAACAAAGGCATTCTCGTTTGCAAAATGTCAGCCGTAAGCCTCGGAGCCATCCCGAAAGTAGTCGTCATCTTCCTCAACATGTTGTTCTTCAGTGTGGATCATGTAGCCCTGGTAGGTTTCACCGCGGTCGTCACCTACGTAGCGCGGAAACGTACTGTGGGCAGCAGAAATTAGACCACAGGGTAGAAAAAGATGAAACTCATCAGCTTGGTTTTTAGCTTTAGGTGGCGCAATGGTTATCTACGACATTGTCTTCTAGTTCGAGAGCACTGAAGTTGTATTGTCGCTTTGATTGGCTTGAGGAGCAGTCATTTGGCTCGACAAAGGGAAGATCATGACTTGGGTCTTGTTCTCCTTATGAAGGACCATCGATGAAGATTTTGATTAACTCTGAAAAGAAAGACGACGAAGCGCGGAGAATGAACTTGGGATACATGAGAAAATATGTGTATTTGTTGCGTAGTGTGGAGGTAGAGGGAAAAAGAAAATCAAAATGAATGATAACCAGACGTAAATAGATTGGTTTCCGTCTTGCGAGCTTTTCACTGGCGGGTACGTACGCCGCACGTACGTCGTCGCTGGTGTCGTCATCGTTGTGCGACAGAATTTTAGACAGGAGAAGCACTAATGTAACTACCTGTACTTGTTGTTGTTCGGTACCTCTTACACACCAGCCTGCTATTTGTATTTTTTTTCCATGCGAAAGAGAGAAAGGAGGACCCCTGAAACTTATCTTATTCATAGGTAGCCTATGTATGTTGTCATTACAGAATTTGATGAATGTATGTGCAAATGCAATATCCTCATCCAGGAAAATTCTTTTAGTACTAACCATGCATAACAAAAGTGCGGTCTTTCCCCTCCGTTGCACCGCGAGAGACAGCAAGTGCTGTGCATCCTTCAGCCTGTCTGGTCCCCTGTCCAAAAAGGAAGAGGGCTAAAATTTTTGCCCTAAGGGCGCCGCTCGACGCGGTCATCTTTCTGTGAGTCAATGAAGACCGACAAGAATATCGGTTCTCTATATCATTACAAAAACTATCCTTTCTCCTTTGGTAAATTTGATTTCCTTGTTTTGTGATGTCGATTTTGTTTTTCATCCATGTACTAAAAGCTTGTTAATGTTCTTATGTTCTTTCAAGTAAGATGAGAAGCAGAGGCTCATTGCAAGGATGAATCGGCAGGGATAGTGCTCAAATGCACCGGCGCCTGAACTTGCCTAGACAAAAATACTCATCTTGGCCAGAGCTTGACAGAATCAATCACTTGAAAATATCAAAATCAATTCATAAACCTGGATATCAAGGAGGGGAGGAAGAGGAAAAGTTCACTTCGGGACTCATGATCCCGTGGAGCCCGGGTTCGAAAATAAAAACGGATTTGATATCAAACTCTACTCTTTATCCCCCAAATAAAATGACGTTCCGCTCTCGGTTTCCTGTTCTCGCTCCTCTCGTGCCGTGGTAATTTACTGGCAACAGAAGGGTGTTGATCTAGTGTGTATCCCTTGAATCCCTTTCTCTCTCGTGATGCAATTTTGTTGCAGAACTGCCTGCTCTCTAGCAAACCACCTCTGGAGGAGGAGGTAGGTAGGTCGCCAATCAATGAAAAATTTATTTCATTCAACGGCCTCGAAATACATAGCAGGACCCTTCCTCAATATGAATATTTCAGTTGATCTGCGAATGCGAGTCACATCGTTTAACAGACAGCAGTGAGTATGAGTTTATGGAAACAGAAAAAAGCGCTAGATGTTTCATGGTGTCTCTTGATGTTTCCTCAACGAGTGCATCACGGTTTGGCAGACCGTCAAAAGAGCCTCGAGCTCGACCGATAGAGAAATATAATCCAAGTGGAAGCAGAGCAACGCATCTTCATGGAAGCGCGTGATCTTCCCCAAGCTACGGGTGGAGGACTTTTATCTGGAGTCTGCTTGCTAGTATTTACTCAATCACATTGATACAACGGGACGTCGGTATGCTGCACAGCTCAACTTCTAATTATCATGCTGTTTGCATGATGTTCGCAGAACTCAGTACTTTCAACATGATCACCATGGTAAGCAGGTTGATAGTAACTATCTTCAGCATCGCAACATTCACGACTTTACATCTTCTTCGTCTTCGATTTCGCAGGCGCCAACGGAGGTGTATAGAGGACCGGCGGCGCAGCGGAGCTCAGAAAGACTGCTTGCTGCATTCGGTCTGGTTGGAAGGGTAGTGGATCGTGATGTTGCTCCAGTTTTAAACCAGTAACAGATTCTGCCAAAAATTGATCCACATCCAAGCCGAACATGTGATAATGCTGTCGACTCAGATGAGTCTTCTTATGCGTCTCGTACTGGTTGCCTCGATAACCAGACAATTCAGCAAGTCGATATCCTTGTGCTGGCAGAATAGTTCCATCCACTTGTGGTCGCTGTTGTTGTAGTTCATTATGATATTCTCTACCCAGTGCACCCGGACCCGGTAATTGTGGCGCTGCCTCATGATCAAGCATGTATGGGGCACCTCCAAGTTTTGCGCTCGTTCCTGTCTGGTGGCGTTGGTCACGGGTTTTCGCGAGTTCTAGTGCCGCTTCATGACGCAGATGTGGCGGGAGCGAGGCGACTCTTGCAAGGGCACGCAGCTCTTCGCGTTCGCGAGCTTGTTCTGCTCGCTTCTCGGCTTTCAACACGGCTGCCGCTTGGCTCCGTGACAACGTTTCGCGACTTTGTGCGATTTTTGTAATGAACTCAGCCACCTGGTGGGCATGTTTGAGTTTGTATCGCAGCTCTGCCTCATAATTATTGGTCGCAAATGTGACCCCACGAGTATTGATATTGTTCTGCTGGAAATTAGTGGTGTCTTGGATATCAGGAGGGTTGGTGTCAAACGCGGAATAATTCGAATTCCCCATTCTCGATGCTTGCTCAGTGGCGCCAAAAGGGCCTTCTTTTGTGTAATTATTTGCGGACGACCCGGATGGCGCGTTTCTCTGATCCAGCATGAAGGACGAGGATGACGGAGGCAAAAATCTCGTCTGATTGGAAGCGGAGTCGAACCGTCTACTTCCGCTTTCCCCTGTTTCTGAAGCTCCCGTACCTGCATATGGTGGAGGACGTGGAGAATCGCTACTGCTGCGAAACATTCCAGCTTGTTGTTGCTCTGCGCGAGCAGCAGCAAGTAATGTAGTGTTGACCCCTGTGCCCATGGACTCCCGTAGGTCAAGGCAGCGCAGTGCTGATACGCCGAACATCGAGGAGGCCAGGATTTCAGCTCCATCGCGTCCGATGGCTGGGTTATGTTTCAGTGACAGCAGTTCCAGACTCTGTGGACACGCACCGGCCACTGGCTCGTATTCAGGTAGCGCATCCGCATCAGGTTCTTGTTCGTAGCGCGCACCGTCACTTCCGGTTCTAGCAGTGCCGACGTCAGACGAGACCACCAGACGCACTTGCGCCATTCGTGAGGCGAGAATGCGCGCGCCGAGACTCGTGATGCCGTTGTCGTCCAGCCGCAACTCCTGAAGAAAGCGGGAACGTCCCCAATTCTGAGCGAGCACGATACATCCCGCATCCCCGAGACCATTTTCGGATAGAATGAGTTTCTGTATCACTGATATAGGGTGATCCAAAATGCCCAACTGTCGTCGAGGAAAGCCTGCGAGTGGTTTTCGGGCGCGCCGCTCCAGCTGAATTGCTCCACGATCTAACATCTGTCTGCTCTTTTGGTTCGCGGTTTTTTTCTCCTGTTGCAGTTGAATCAAGTCCTCCTCCGCCATGAAGGGCGTGCTGTCGTTGCCGTACCCGTAACCACCTTGTTCGAAATACATTTGTGTGCTCATAGCTTCTCCCTCTGCACCTTGTCCGGAGTAGGCTCCGTTATTCATCATCATATCAGGACTCTGTCCCTGTGCAATTCCTGAAGCACCTGGCAAACCCGAATGTGTGAAGGCACTTTTTGTTCCATAGTTTTGAGCGAACTCATCAAAACCTTCTCGAGCGCCTGCTCCAGTGGGACTCATTCGTTGCTGAAGTTCAGGCCTGGCCTGCCAGTCTCTGATGAGAGTGCTAGTTTCAATCTCCTCCGCGGCTGGCGCACCAAGCAAGTTCGCTTGCGCTTTGGTCAATATGTGACCTCCCACGAGCTGCGTCTGATGATGCAAATTTGTCGTAAGCCCATGCCTTTCCGCCCCCACGGCCGCTGTCCCTCCTGGTGATTCTGGTCGTGAAAACATGTTCTGGTTGTAGTTGTCGTTTAAGCCTCGTCCATTATCCTTACCAAACGCCATGGGGCGGCTAATTGCCTTTGCGTTGGAGTATGGTGATACGACACCATCTCCTGAGGTCTGCGCGTTTCCTCCAGCGGTGCCTGCTGAAGGAGCGTGCGCTAGATGGAAAGCCTCATGCAGTCTTCGCTGTTCCGCCGCCTCGGCGGCTGCGTTTTCTAACACACCGGTGACGATCAAATTTGTGTCAGTCGCGCCAACACAGGCGATTTTGATTCTTTGCAGCAACTGTTCCAAGTCCGTTTGTGCGCTCAGACGGTGAGCCCCCTCTTCTGCAATTGCCTGCGTTGTGGTCTGACCACGCTGATTATATTCGAAAAAGTTCGAATAGTAGGCGTTTCCACCGGCGTCGGCGAGATCATCGATAGTACCTGGACTTGCGCCGCCTGCTGAGCTGACGCCAGCAGTCTTTTGCGCAGGAATATTCCCCGTCCTAAACAGCGTCGCCACGTTGCGCCCGCCAGTGGCTGGCGTCGCTGGGGTCGTCGCACGCGCACCAGTAAGCTGACTCTCCGCCGCAGAGAGACGAGGCGTGCTCCGTGAGTCGCCGCCGAGGAGAAACGCCAGTTGGCCAGCGCCTATTCCGTTTCCCCGCAGCTGCAGCTTCCGCAGCACACCGTTAGGCAGGAAAGTAAGCAAAAAGCTCACAAGCAAGAGCCGTTCCAGTGTTTCGGAGAAGTGCAAGGACAATTCTCTAAGGTCCGCGCCCTTGGCACGGGCCAGCCCCCGTGCCAGCAGCTCCATATTCTGTCGCCCGAGGCGGCAGTTCGTGAAGGTCAAAGACTGCAGGCACGTTCCCAGTCCATCTTTTACGGCACCAGAGCGCACTTCTCGCGAGAGTTGTCGCGCGATGAGCGTGTTAATCAGCTTTTGGCCGGAGTCTGCGGCGACTTTTTGTCTCTTGATGTGGTGATGATCCTCGTCCTGCTCCGCGCTTGGTTGCAAAGTAGGGCCTGCGGTTAGGGCCTTGGAAGTGACCGCACTACCTGGCTGGGTGGAGAAGTTCTTGCCAACGGCGCTGTTCAATGGTGTGCTCTGTGCGGTAGCGCTATGCCGGCCTTCTATACCGACCATGCCGCTTCCAGCTGGTCGATTTTGAGCACTCAAAGCAATCTCTCCGCGTTGCATATTGACAGGTTGCGCATTCGGGGATCTATAAAATGTCGCGAGTGGATCCACCGCAGACGCATTCTGAAATGTCGTCCCGGGTTCGTTTTGTGCCGTCCCGCCGACTGATGGGGATTGCGTGGCTGATTGTTGTGTTCCTGACGCGAAGAGCCCCCCACCAAAAAACAGGTTACCTAGGAAACCGGATGTAGATGCTGATGCGGCGCCTGGACCATTATTCGGTGTTGGATTTAGGAAGCCATCAAGTATGTTGAAATTCAAACTGTTGCTAGCATCTTGATCTTGAGGGCCTACTTGTGTTGATGCCGTCAGTCCTCTGCTTGGAGCACCGCCTCGATACGCGGCGTCACCAAGGGCGCGGCCCGTAGTACGCCCAGAACGCTGGGTCTCGGCGTCGTCGAAGAGAGCCTCGTAGGGTGCACGAAGAACCCGCTCTACTTGTGCGCGATCGTCCTCATGGTGCTCTAGGTCATCTAAAGGGAGATTCTGCAGACGCAATCGCCGCAAAAACGGTTCGTGCAGAAGAAACTGCTGCAGGTAGTTCAGAAGACATTCTAAATTGAAGCGTCGGATGTGCGCAGCAAGTTCCACCGCTAGCTGCCGCTCTTCTTCTTGCATCCGCAGAAGACGTTTCTGTTCTGCAGGGCTGATGTATTTCGCGTACGCTCGGTCCCTCTGACCCGCGTGGTTGAGGACTTCATGGCGATGATCTGCCGGAACAATAGAAAGATCACTAATCTGTTGAATATGCTGCGCGTCATGAACAAGAGCTGCGTCTAACACTCCACGAGTTACAGCTCCAGCATCTTGGTCTTCTGGAAATACTGTCACAGCATGGAGTTCCTCATTGTCCATTTCCATGCTCCGCTGTTTTTCTAGCGCTTTTTCCCGCTTCCCTCGTTTTCGATCAAGACGATGGTGCGTACTTGAATGCTGAGGCTCCGGAACGAAAGTGTTGAAGAGTTTGGAGAAGAACGTAGCCTGCAAGCGCTCTGCGAGGGAAGGTGCGGTGGGTTTTGCAACGGTGACCTCTGGATTCTTTTGTTTTTCGCCACGCTTTGTTGGAAACATCTCCAAACGAGCGACAGGTCTCGGAGGTGATTGAGACTTTGTCGGTTTTTGCTGAGCGTTCTTCTCTTCTTCTTCACGACGCGCTTGTGAGGCATGTCCACCAGGAAAAACGCCCTTCATATTTTTGCGTCCGTGAAAAAGAACAGCTTTCGTTGCAGCTGCCTCCCCGATACGAGTGAAGTTGACGACTGAGTTCTTGTCGCCTTTCTTGCCTTTTTTCTTCAAAGCTTTCTTATCACCCCCTGGCTTTTTCGCATTACTGGAGCCCCCGCCCACATCTGTGTTTGGTGAGCCTCCTTTGTCGTCATCATCCCCGTCTGAGGATTCCTGGCCATTCAAAAAGGTTTCTTCGAAAGTAAGCTTTAAAGCTGGGTTAAGCTTCGTCAAAAAATGTCTATTTTGGAGATCTTCACGCGGGTCATCGCTCAGACGCAAATCTAAGTCGAATTCCTGCTGGCCGAAAATAGTCCCTTTCATCAGTTCGATTTTCCGTTCCTGTTCAGCCATTTCCTTCTCTACAAACGCGCGAACTTTTCTCTCGTTTGTCGCCAGTTTTCGCTGCTCTGGTGTCACCGACTCTAGCGCGGTCTCGCTCGATACCACCTGCATTCCGGGCGACGTGGACGAAAAGGCTTTTTGGCTAGTTTCTGCTGTATTTTGTTGATTGGCATCTGCATTTTCCTCCTCTTCGTCGGTCGCAGCATCATCGTCAGTCGCTCGAATTAGCGCGGGGAGATCGGACCGACGCACACGCTCCAAAGGCCGCACGTAACGTTCCGCGTCTTGCTCAACACGCGCAGCATGATCAACAACGAAGTGCTCCCAACCAGAGACTGCCACATGTTCTTTTGCTACAAACTTGACAAAGACTTCGGCGATTTGCGAGCCCACATCGGTTGTGTAAACACCGGGGACGCCGTCCGCCCATCCATAAGCATCGTCGCGCAATCGGAAAAAGTCGAAGTTACCCTCTGGCACACGCCGACCCTCGTGGAAGAACTGTAGCCGCCACGGCTGCGAAAAGAGCAGTCGCAAATGCTCCTGCTGGCGCTGCTCCCGCCACTCTTCATATACAGCCTGCTCCCGTTGCTGGGGAGTGAGCTTGCGTTCTTCACCTTTTCGGAGGAGTTTCGCCTCGTGCCGATGCGCCTTGGGCGCGAAGCTGAAGATGCTGGTAGCAGGATTCAGCTCGTCCGCGTGCTGCCCATTCACGACACTTATGGGGACAGGCAGGTTCGTGCCACGGAGCCGGCTCATTCGCACGCCTCCCGGGGTGCCCTCGTGGAAATGGCGATACAGCAAGTCTCGGCTTTTTGAAGCGAGAAAGCGGAAGATATGCTTTCTAAGCACCTCTGTTGTCATCGGAAATTCTTGGATCATGTGTTTCATAAAAATCTGCGACGTTAGCATTTCTTGTGCCGTGATGCTCAGAAAACTTGGCGGTGTCGGTCCTGCCTGCGTCATCTTACGATATGGCGCGGATGGATCGTATGGAAGATTCGATGGATCTTGTGTGTTGAACATCATCCTGTTTTTTGGATAGCCCTGAAGACGCATCATATTCTCGACCGCCTGGTCTGGGTTATTTGTCATCACGCCGCCGGGCATCCTTGTCTTGGAGTTCAGGGGCGACATGGCAGGCGGGGGCATAACCTGACCTCCGGACTGCAGCATAAACTTCGATGCTTGTGACAGCTTCTCAGCCCTTTGTCTAGCCAGCGATTCGGGATCGACATCTTCCCTCTCGTTTTCTTCATCGCTTGTGCGGTCGGGAAACTGTTCTGGGTCAGATCCTGAAACAGTTGATGGCGTCAGCATGTCGTCAGGGTCTTCGTTTCCAGCTTGGCCGTCCTCAAGGGAGAGCTGCTGGCCATTCATGAAGCCAGCTTTTGCGGCCTTGCGTCTCTGTTTTTTGGCCATTCGCTGCGCTTCTTTCATCTGCTGCTCCCAAGACAGGTACTGCTCGAGCCGAGCCACGTGCATGCGGACCGCCTCCCCGACGCTGGGCCCGCTCGCTAGCGCCGGCACATCCAGAATGAAGTTGCCTTCGAGATCCCGTACTCGGTACAGCGGGCCATGCTTGACGCACAGCTGATCTGTGACACTGTGGTAGGCACCGCAGATGCAGGCGCAAAGCGAGGAAGTGTGCGGGTGGCAGCGCACGACGCAGTCGCACGCGCACCGCGGTCCGGGGAGACACTTTAACGAGCACGGAACGCACACTTGGCACAAGCCTTCTCCACATTTCACGCAGGCTTTGCAGGCGCCTTTCGCACAGAGGTAGGGAAGGTGCAGGCAAACGGTAGTGGCACTTTCGGCCAAACAGTGGCAGCAGCGTCCGACGATCCCGCGTTTTGGAGGGCGATGTTTTCCGACTATCTCTTCGCGCAGTTTCGCCACCTCTCCTGCGCCCACCTCCACATCCTCGCCGCCCTCAATTTCTGGATTCGCCGCCTCCCCTTCGCCTTCTATATTAGTCTGTTTTTTCTGTGCAAATTTCTGCGTTTGCTCTTCCTCCTCGTCGACTGGTACACAGCAATCCATCGGGTGACAGCCCAGTAGAAGCATGTCGCAATCATCACGAAACAAACCCGGGAAGCACTCGCAGCAGTAGACGGCCCTCCGCTTGCTTTCTTGCGCGTGATGGTGATCTTGTTCCTCCTCTTGGCCTAATATGCGTCTCTTTGCGCCCCTCACGTCTCTGACTGTGGTTACAGGTGGCCCTTTGCGACCGTGTCGCGCTGCGAAGCCTGCCTTGGCTTTTGCCGCCTCGCGCTCTTTTTCTCTCTCTGCCTCTAATTCGAGTTCCTCCTCGACCTTGTGCTGGTGTTTGATCCAGTACGGTGGAACGTCCTGGCGCTTGGCCTTTTTGATAGTCCTATAATCGTACTCCTTCAGGGCTTCAGGGTCCACCTCCAATTCGTCTGCACCACGAGCGTGGGAATTGCCACCAGGGCCTGCGTCCAACACAGTGTCGGGACCGAAATAAACTTGCTTTCCCTCCTCGTCCGCACTTCCGGGACTTCCGCCTTTGCTTTTAGACGCTGCCCGACTCCACCCTTTAGAAGTTCTCGGACCACCTTGTTGTTGCAAAAGCACCAACGTCGCTTGTTCGTTTCCATTCTTCATTCCAGATCTGGACGCGAAATCTTCCCTACGAGCTTGAATAAACTGGCTTTTTCTCCCAGCATCAGTGTGACTTGGCGACGGCGAACGCTTCAATTCTCGATGAGCCTCCTCCACGGCGAGTTTCGCATCCTCAAGCTGCGCTTCCTCTGGAAGTTTGATGCCAACCGTGGCGAGGATGCTGGCTTTCTTAGTGACGGTGTGCTTTTTTATCAGATCTCGAAGCTTCATAGCACTACCACTCAATTTTCTTTTCACTTCTCCTGCGATATCATTGGTGGTGTTCCCATCGGTGACCACAGCTTGTTGTAGGTTGTTTGTGCCATCGGCATTAGCACCATCCCCCGATGGCATGTGAATAGTCGTGTCAATCAAAGGCGAGATCGCGCTATCGTTCTTTGGAGTCACTTCTAAAGGGCTCACGATCACTGTGCTATCCCATTGACCCCCAGCAGCCTTTCGTTTTTCCGCAATCCTAGCCTTTGCTTTGGCCTCTGCACGCTCCTTTTGCAAAGCAAACGCCGACTTACGCTTCGGCGCATCCGGCACCGAGGCAGGCGCCTCCTCCTCAGGCATGTGCGGGTTTGAGTCGTCTCCCATTTTCATCGGATTCGGACTCTTCTAGGAAATAAAATCGAAAGATTGGTCCTCGTGGTTTGCTAGCGAAATGAATCTTCAAGAATAAGGGATAAGAAATCAGGTGCTGGATCTACTTGCGCAAAAATAATACCTATGGCAGCTTCTAGCGTAGCCAGGACGCGTCATAACATTAAAGATTACAACATGACATCAGGCACTAGTAATTATGCCTTGTTCATTTTTTTATGTACAACTACAACAAAAAGAGGAGAGGACCACTCGCAACCGCAATACAACTAAGCACATGAGTAGGATAAAGATTGGGAAAAGAAGGGAGAAGTTCACACATACTTGAGACCTGACGAATTGTTGCATGAAGATAAGTATTCGAGGAGGCTCCCTGTTGTCCTCTAGCATCATTTTGTAACGACTCGGGTGAAATACAAATTGTCAGTATCTGCTGCTCTCAAACTCAAGCCAGGGTGTATCCCTCTCGCTCATCCAGATGCGAAGTGATATTTTCACCTCCTCTCCAACTCACGACAGACAGATTCGGCGCACGTACAGCTTGTCGGCACACTCTTGTTCAACTCTATCCTACTCGATATTCGACAGATTTTGATTTTTGTGGAGACACACAATAGAGCAGCAGTAAAAAGTTACATGTTGTTTAATAGTTAAGCCAATTAGGCTTCGCTCTTCTCTCATCTATGACAAGGTAAGGCAAGCAGATATCAGACTAGTGTGAATGTCGCGGTATACGACAGATTCGTGGAATTTGCTCACATCACTCCACAAGAAGCTATCATCCTTTGAAGAGCAGCCATGTCGAAATATCTGCAGTTGCAGAGGCAGCAAATTATCGACATGGCGAAGATACTTAGTTGGTCGTGCGGCTGTCTCGTACCTACACTAGCAGACAGCATGAGCCATGAGGAGTTAGAGGTCTTGCAATATAGCCGCAATAGCTTTTTCATCCGCGGGTATTTTGTCTGGTAGGGGGCCCAGCTCTAGGGATGCTACACCTTCCCAAATTACTAAAAGCTGGCTTCTTTGGTACCGCAATTTAGCGTTTTGCAAAAGCCGGAGCAGGGTTCGTTTCGTCTTCAGCGTGTCGGCAAGTGGATACTGATTATCATCATGCTCCTTACCAGAAGAACTCCTCGAGGAGGTAGACGAAAAGGATGCCGACGACCCTTGTTTATCCGTTCCCAAAAAAGATGCGACACCACGAAAGAGAGTTGCGAGGCTCTTGGTAGATAAGGCTTGACGCTTTCCATCGTTAAAATCCTCACGAGAAGGACACTCTTTTGATAAAGCCAGTTCATCCGCACTATTCCTTGTCACGTCATTATTTACCTCGTGTTCTAGCCTGTAATCTTCAGGTCCTTGTATTTCAATTTCTCGGGCCTGCTGCAACTCTAAATTTTCGCTTGATGGAAATTCTAATATACTTCCATCGGAGGATGGTCGGTCGCTGAATTTTTTCATTTGTTGTGTAGCTAAAGGTACTATATCCCTGTCGTCAGTAGAATACGCTGCAAATGTCATTGCTTTGAGTAAGACCGGCTGCCAGTCCCTATCGAGTTCTTTTTCGACAAGAGGCATCGGTCGCACACGGGCGGCCTCGACAATACGTCCTCCAGCGTTTATACACTTTGCTAAAACACGCAAATCTAAATCGCCAATCTCTTCAGCCCAATCAGTGCGTCTTCCGAGTAAGTTTCGGAGTCGCGCAAGACACTGGAGCACACAACGTTCCAGACCAAAAGAAATCTCAATGTTTTCCAGCCTTGTTGTAGAAGAGCCAGAAGTAGCCTTTCCCATTTTTGGATCACTCCCGGAAATTCTTGAGCAAGATACCGCATGTGCTGCAGTTGTCGGAACGTCATGATTTTTACATGCTTCCACGAAGTTCGCCAGTCTCTCCAAAAGGGTTGCCAAGTCCTCTCCTACCAAAGGTCTACTGTGCGCGCAAAAAAGGGATGCAAAAAGCTGATAGACACGCGCATCTAGCAGCTGCTTCCTTTGTGATGGCTTTACTGATGTTGTATTTTTTACTGATGTTGTATTTTTTAGCCAACAGCATTCCTTTTCTTCATCAGGTTTCTTGTCTTCGTGAGTATCTACAACATCATTTGTCTCACTAGTCGCCCACAGCGAGCGGGGCATAACCAAGCCGCCGGGTCGAAGCAAGAATGCACGAGCCGTCGCGTCGAAGCTGGCGCCATGAACTACCACAGCCTTCCTCAAACAAGCTTTGAAATCCTTCTGTGTTGCTGATGACATGATGGGCAGACTCAAAGGATGATCAGTGACCGTAGTTCCCTTTTCAGAGCGTGCTGTGGACTTTCCAGGCTTTTTGGGAGACGTGTCACGACTTCCGTTTTCCCCATCGCTTTTCTGAATCCGTTGCCTCTGTAAGAATTCAAATACCTCGAAAAATTCGACGAGGCCGACCAAATCTTTCATGCGCCTTCTTTGTGCATCGAGCATGCGCACACGCTCTAAGCCCTCATCGATCCGCATCGCGGAGGAGGACGGCACATAGTATGTCGAACTAAGTGCTCGCCCTGCGAGAAAGTCTCGCGGAAGGACATCATTCAAAACGTGCTCAACCAGCACTTTGTCTAACAGGGAGTCGGATAGTTGCCGTAGTTTCTGTGTGCGCGTTTCTGGTCGGGCGACTTTGTCCAAGCGCGCACTGAGTCGTCTAGCCATATCCTCAACATACTGACGATCCAGCGTAGAAGAATCGGAATTCTTAGCTACAAAAGCGCGTTCCACCACGCGGGTCGCTATTGACAGTGATCTGTTTTCAAACCTAGCATCTATCTCCGTCTGCGGCTCTCCAACACGACCACGGCCCGATTCCTCCAGCATCGATGCTGCACTTACGACGTCGCCTGTATAGTTCGTGCCAGCGCGCCGCCTAGGATTTTTCTTCCCTCTCGCCCTGCTTCCCTGCGACATTATGTCTGCCATCCAGCTGCTGTTTGGGAGCAGAACACTGCAGAGGAGCAAGACATCCCGCGGGGTGAACGAGTGTGCAATCATATGAGCGCGATTCATCACTTTTCCCCAACTCACTTCGTCGAACGGTCCTTCGCGGCTGAGCCTCTCCAGTAGAAACGGCAACGGCCTGTGGCCTAGCCAGGGAACGCTGCCCATCGTGCTGTAGGATACTGGTTGCGGCACAAGTAGACCCGCTCCGGTGGTGTTCTGTTCATCTGAAGACAGGTAACGACTTCCCATACAATTATTAGTCGAGGATGTCGCCCGTGATGTGCCACTGATGGGCGCGAATGGGGAAGAAGCACACCTTGGCGACGAAGTCGATGCATCTACTTCTGCTACCAACTCGGAATTGAAAGTTGTTCTCGTTGTAAAAACATGTCCATCTTGATCTTCGACCTTCCCTCCAGCGGCATAGTCGTCCCTGTACGATGATCTTGAAGGTGAAGGTTCCCGACCACCGGCGAGAAACGACGATGATACTGATGAAGGCGCAGGCCGCGTAATGCGAACGATATCGCGAGCCCCCTCCGGAATGTTCTCGAAGATGCTACTCTCGTTGTTTTCATCATGACCAGTATCCTGATGTCGACTTTGAGAACCCCCATGTGCGACACATGATCCGGAGAAGTGTCGAGACACGGCTGATAGCAGCGGCCGTCGTTGCGGACGTGGTCCTGCGGTTGTGCGGACACTGGACAGTCGCATAGTCATATTTCAAGAGTACTTTCTCGTCGCTTCGAATTCAACACTTCGCTCCCCTATCTCTTTTGTGTCCTTCTGCTCTTTCTCCGACCTTTACTATCAATTTGTTTTCCGTGGTGTGCCATGCGGAAATACTCCACTTATGATACGTCGAACTTGATGTTGTTGATCAACAATAGCTACTGATGAAGATTTTTAGGCACCCGCTTTCGTAAGTCGCAATACCATGGTTCTGTGCATGGAAACCTAGAACATAAGGAAGACACTCAAACGAGGCCTTTTGCCTTTCAATCCAGGAGCAGGAATGCTTACAACTGTCAGAAGAACAAGTGCTTTCGCGGAATAAAATGAAATGGTGGAACAAGAAATCATGATGAACAAGAACAAGAACGCTTGGGCTTTTTGTAAGTACCTGTACAGATCGAGCCTAAATGCAAAATCAGAGTGTAATTCCATCAAGTCGTGGACTTTATTGTCGCACCAACAACAACAGATAGGGAAGAACGAGTGAACGTGTCATCGTAATCGTTGAGTCTGTCAACGTGAAAGAAAATTGAGTGATCATTTTCTTCGAGTAGGTAATAAGGAGCAGGCAAGCAAGTACTCGGGCGCGCCCCTGCTGCTCCCTAGAAGGTGTAGCTTCCTCTAGGTATCTGCCACCACTGATCCACCCCCTTGTCCGTAGAGAGTTTCGCGAAAGGCGGCTATTTCTCCTTGCAGAGCTGCGTCTATTTGAAGGGTTTCGGGACTGAAAGCCTCGCCTGTCACTGGGCAGACGTCTCCGTGTGATTGGGACCATTGCTGGAGATTTCTTAGTTCGTACCGAATTATGCTGACTCCAGTTGCAGATAGTGTCGCTGACGTGAAGCAAACCGGCGTTTCCATCAACGATCCGTCGATCGCGCATCGATACTCATCTGGAATTACCGCAGGCGCAGCAAGATCTTGTGCTTGCAGTGCTAGTCCGTGTTGCGTTGTAGTGCCTGGAGCAGGTGCGTCAAAGTCGAGTGTTTCATGCTGTGGCGCGACTTCTTTTTTCAAAGAAAGGGAGGATGACCTGGAACTTTGCATCTCAGCTGGATTCTCCTGCCACAACGACTGATACTGTGCGACCATGGCTGAGGCTGAGGTCCCGCTGGCATCTACCGCGTTTTTTCCTCCATATTTTCCAAATATTAGAGCATCAAATGATGATGTCGAGACGAAACATCATTTTTAACAAACTTCTCTATCTCTTTGTCAAATTCGCTCCTGTGATATTAAAGCGCGTTCCTCTCTTTCCCTGCTGAAATCCTATCGGGGAAAATACTTACCACCTGATTATTTTAGGGAGATCCGTGTTTTCAGGTTCAGTGTGCTGTAGCACTGCTGAGTGATCGATCGTGATTTCGATACAGGCCGTAATAAAGACAATTGAGTTGAAGAACTATGGTTTTGCTCTGTGGTCGCAATCAATTGGCGCAAGAAGCGGAGTGTTCGGGATTGCAAGAGCACGCCAGCACTTCCTTGTTCCACTGGGAAGAAACGGGAGAATTCGGCCTCGGCGTCACGGATGTGGTCTAGGATCGGCAAACCTGCCCAAAAAGGATCCTCCCGCGCCGCCGAGTCACACCATATGAAATAACAACGAACCGCACGCCAGAATCGCAGCTGTTCTTGCTGAATCCGCGCGTTATCAATTATAGGAATGGAGTTTGAGGTTCCTCCTGGCGCATCGAGGAAGGGAAGCTCGCCACCTTCTTGTTCCCCTGTAATGCTTGCTGTGCTTGTTGTCTGTGCTGGGCTTCCTGGCTCCATCGCTTCTGCGTAGACCGCCTCGACCGTTTGTGCAAAAAAGCTCGCAGCTTTTTCGAAAACTGCACACCTTGTTGGCAGGTCAAAATCGATTTCGTCTGGCAGGTTCAACAAGAAGATCTTCGCGGCTACACTGCCTGACCACGAAGCGATCGCTGGTGGCGCACACCACGTGACGCCATCATTGTAGGTAAATTGGCTCAAACATTTCAAATTCAAAAGCATGTCGAGTGTGGTGCAGGTCAGCGCGGCCGGTAGCTGGTCAGAGGTTACCTTCAATGTTGAAAAGAACGTTGTTAATGGGAACCCAGAAGAACTACTGCTGGTCTCCATCAAGTGCGGCAGGAGTAGGTGAGTGCACCAGCGCAAAACTAGTGGTGGCTGCTTGCTCGAAAAGAGAAATCCACCTACGGCGAGCGCGGCTTCTTCTTCACCTGTTACTTGTCCTCGCCCTGCGTGGTCGGCGTCCATCTGAAGATTCATCTGTTGAAGGAAGAAATCCAATGCTTCGGCGGGGACGAGGATGTGCCGTCTTGCTAGCTTCTCGATCTCCTGTCGGCGTAAAGCCAGATGTCGCACAAGGCGCATGACGACGTTCCCCACTTTTCGGGACAACAGGTCCACGTCATTCACTTCGTAATGCTTGTCGTCGAAGCATACATTGCTCATCTCCGTGACACAGCGACTCAACGCGATGAGCGCCAAGGAGGCCTCTGCAGTACTGCGACGCTCGCGGATCATAGCAGATTCAGAAGAGGTCGCGGCTGTCAAATCTAGTTCCTCAGGACTAGGACTAGCAAGTTCAGCCGATTCGACCAAATGCTTACTCGGGCTATCCACCGCCAAATTCTCAACACCTTGAAGAGCACTTCCTCGTCCTGCAGTAGCCACGATCGGATCGGGAATATGCAGCAAGCTTACTTCTTCTACGTCATCTAGAGATGCATGGCCCCGATTGATCAAGCCGCCGAGTCCTTGATTTTGAATGAAATCGCCGACGACAATACCCACGCCACCGCTTGCACTATTCGAATTTCCGTATAAAGTAGAGCCCCCATTCATCGTCTGGAGATTTTGAGCAGTCTCATGGCCAGAAGTTGCAAGAACACAACATCGCTCACAGAGACGCACGAGGCTTGCGAGGACATCGTTGTCGATGAAGAGAAACGCTAGTTTCTTGCGATATTCAAACACTTCAAGCACTGAGGCGTCTTCCGCATTTATGCTCCCTCCCGCTTCCATACTAGTGTTGCCTTGGCCTCCATCGGCGCAACCCGTGACCACCTCTCGAATCTGCTTCATGGTTTCTTTTATCGCAGCATGTGCCTTGCTCGCATCCCATAGCGCAGCTAAACACAGAGCAACCTGCGGCTCGACTTCCAACAGCATCGCTGCGAGCTTGACTGCTAGATCTACGTCATTGCTGCAGAGTTCCAAAAACGTCTCGACCGAGGGAGGTTCGAGCAAGCCGGTCGACGCAGCAGATGACGTAAGCAGGAGAAAGCATTTCCACATAAGGTGAGCTACGCGCCGCTTCAGTGCCGCTTTTTGCTTGCAGCTGCTCAGCATATGCTGGTCCGAATCATCGTCGTCAAAAAGCTGATCCGCATATTGGAGGAGCAAGAGGAAGAGACTCCGATAATTCAAAATCATTTTCTACATGTAGTGCTTTTTTACGAAAAGGCATGTTTTAAGCCCTTTCAACATCTAGATATATTTATATATAAGCATCTCACGAACAGGAACAGGTGCAAGTAGAGCAATATTCATCTTCATGAATTATCAATGACGTTCCTCTTAACTTTCCAACTTCCGGCATTTTTCTAACTCACGGCTGTACCCAAACACGTAGATGCGCAGCAAGTCGTCGAATCGGGCAGCCATATGAATGAGGCAAAATTCTGCAACATTTTCTGCTGCGCCCAAAGCTGCGCCTATCTCCCCTTCATATTGCCCTCCTTCACAAACAGCCTTGTGAAGGAGCTCAGGTCGAAAGCAGTCCTGTGGTGGGAGAATTGCGACATGCGGTGTCGCGACAAGAACCAATTCAAAGCAAGCCAGAAGAATGCGGTCGTGAGTTTCGCGGTACTTGCTACGACTTCCAAACTCATTAATCGTGTCTAGGGCAGCCAAAAGCACATCGCCGTAATTTTGGGCACTTCTACATGCTGCGGCCGAAGGAGAAAAGACTCGACCACATTCTTGCAGGAGTGCGAGGGAAGACGTGCCGCTGTTCGCGACGTCTAGGTTAAAGCAACCAGATTCGCATCTCCCATGCATTGTGACATAAGCATCTTCCTTGGTAAGTTGATGTCCTTCACCCTTTGTACATTTAAGTGAGAACGTTGCAAGGATGGCGTAGTTGTACTGGGAATGGAACGTCGACATTCGCTCGGTTGGTTGCAAGTAAAAACTACTCAGCCATAACTACAGGGAAGGTCGCGCCATTGCCCGCTGCCCACTTTGTTGCCTCTTCGACTTCCTGTACCAATGATGTCAGCACGCGGCAAATATTATCATCAGCCGGATGAAAACTCAAAACACCTAGACGAGAAGCATTCCCGTGCTGGTCGTCCATTTTTTTTGTTTTGATAAATAAGACTTACATATCCTCTCCGTCTCCACAAAATGAAATGTTTAAATGAGGACTTTCTTTTTGTTGTAGCTGGCAAACGCTTGATCGTCCCCTGACAACATTGACTGCAATTCTCCAACCATCATGCTGCGGAATTGTCGCTAGCGGCCAGCCGAAAGACGGGGGTCGTGGTCATCATGATCAGATCATGATCTAGAACTAGAAGTCACGAAATGGACTAAGAACGCGGGAAGTGGTGTCATGTCGTGTCAAGCGTGTGCTCCTGATATGACCATTCGTGATCACCTTAGAAGCCAAAGGTGCGCTGTCGAAATAATGACGACAATAACATCATCACCAGAGAAGGAGGTTGTCTATTGTATACGCAACACGACCCACTCATTTCCGAATTTTGGTTCTCCATAAGGATAGGGTCCTCTCCCGGGAACGGAAGATGCTCACGACCAGGCGCGCAGACAAAAAGACAAAGTTTTTTGTTGTTGAAAATGGACTGAAATATATTGGTGAAGTAACACATCACCTTAATCAGGATCAGTCTGTATTTCATCATGTTCATATTGAAGACTATCAAGAAAACGTTGGTGTTCACGAACGCGTGTTTAAGCAAAAATGACTACATCAACTACGGATGGATCTATCATCAAAAAATAGCTCAAAATAGAAGTAAAAATGCGTCTGCACCATGATACGTACATCAAGAAGATTGTGCTTCCACCAATTGAGAATCATAATTACTGCAACGAAGGTTGGTATTAACGGTTTTACTAGTCGTAGCTCTGAGCTTCAGAAGTGCCATCAAATGGTGACAAAAATCATGATTTGAGATAAATATGATAAAGCAGGCGTAGTGAAAAAACCAATGACAGCACTAGTAGCTCAATTTCAACATACTAAGCGAAGATTCAATCATAGAAAAAGGTTTCAGTTTCACCCAAGAATTTGTTAGATATAATATTTTATTACTTTACTGGTTATTAAATCAGTACTTACAATAATAATGAATAATCCGTATTTCATGAAGATTTCTTGCTCCCAATTTCGCACGGAAAAAGAACAGCATAATTTTCAACACAAGTTGTTGTAGATGGGTCAAAATCGAAAGGGCGCTGCCGCACCAGCACCGCTCATAATCATCTTGCCAGCCATGCCCAGCCTCGTAGCCTTCTGTCCCGGGTCGCTGTCCTGTACCAAAGAATTGCCGACAAGGTTTGACTGATTCTGGTGTGTTGAGGAAGACTGATTCTGGTGTGAAGCAAATATCTTGCTGTTGAACGCCACCCCTGCCCGTCGCATTGGAGGGTTCAGCCGCGCGTTCCGAGACGCATCTTCGCGCCTTTGCTGCCATTCCCGCCACTCTCGTTGTTGGTGGCGCTGTGCGTAGCAATAGGACCGCTTGCTCTCACCCGAATAGTCAGTTTTTGGCCTGGGTCGTCGACTAGGTCCACCGGCAGACGAGTGAATTCGGCCGTGGCCGGCGAGATTTACACACCCAGGTCCTGTGTCTGGCCGTTTCGGGGATCCGCGTGTGCCCTTGTTCATCGTAGAAGACGACGCTCCAAACTGCGGCGCCCGCGCGGTCACCTCGTGAAACTGTGAGAGAACAGGAGCAAAGGTTGCGCCCTTCTTCACCCCAGAGGTCGCCGAGGAGGCTATCCCGCTACCAGCGAGCTGCAAGCCCCCAGCGACGATGCTCGGAGCGACCGGATGGACAACCCCTACTCCTCCTGAATGTTGTGAAGATGGTTGATGCGACGACGAAGTGGATCCCACAGCACCTACGACTTGCTGTTGGTCTCCTGTAGCACTGGAGCGGTAGCCGGCTGGCGCACGATAGTTTGCAACGATGCTGCTAGAAGGTCCTCCGGTAGAGGAGGTCCCGATCTTGAGCCCGGCTAGTTCCTGACTGACGCCCTTGATCTTGTGCGCACGCGGTACCTCAATTGAGCTCCAATCGATATGATGCTCCAGAGTATGCAAACTTGCGTGGCTACTTCGCTGCCCCTGATGCGGAATCAGCTCGGGGCTACTGGTACTAGCGACAAGGGGTGGAGGTGACGCGGCTTCGTGCTCACCAACTATCACAATGGAAGATGTAGTCGCAACGTGTTGCGGCGCAGGAGGTTGAGGGACACCTAAAGCAGGGGAGGGGGCGAAAGACATCGCATCAGCATTACATCCGTCAGCTACTGGTGCGGTTGTTGATGGCACCATAGAGCTCTGCTGCGGAAATGCGCCCATAGCCGCAGATGCCCCGCTCGCTGACACAACTGAGGATATCAACCCTTGGGGGTTTGCGTTATCACCTAATGAATGTACCCCGGTCTCCGCCGCAGGGTCATTGGTTGCCATGGATCCCCCGCCTTCCGAGGATGGAATGCAGGGTGCTGCGGCAGGACTAGTGCCCGACAAAAGCGCGTCAGAGCTGCATGTAGATGCCTTCCCAACACTAAACGGAACCGTTGCTCCTGCTCCTGATGAAAGGTGTCCTCCAATCGCCGCACCGGTGTTGTTTTGTTCGCCGCGCGCGTCGGGTGACTGAGATGACAGCTCACTACGCAACGACGCCACATTTCGTAGAAGCTCGCTTGTGCTCGACAGTGCTCCTGCGTCCACACCTCCAGCGCCACCCGCAGATGGTGAGGATAACAGGCCACCAGCTCCGTGTTCCAAATAGGTGGATGTGCCGTCCGCGTTGGACGTAGGCGAAAAAGGAGGAGGCGGCCGGCCTGAAGACGTCGCGTCGCCTAGCCCGCTCCCGTTGCCTGGCGAGTTACTGTTAGAGCTACCGCGTGAGTTTCCCTGGATGCATCCTTGGCCGGATTTTCAAGTAGAAAAAGGACCAAGGATGATGTTGAGAATGCTGCAGCGATAGCCTTAATGCTGTAGTAGTCTGAAGCGTTGTACTTCATATACTCCTCCACCGCAATGGATGGATAACGCTTGGTCTTGCAAGCTGGTTTACTTGCAGAGGAAACGCCACCTGCGGCACCAGTCCCGAATAACATCGAGTCTCCCGCCCCTGAGGCCATGGTCCCACCTCCACCGGCGCTTACCGCTCCTGCAACTGACGGCGGCATCCCGATAGCGCCCGGAGCTCCTTCTTCCTCTACTGGCTTAGTCATTCCCTTCCACTGCGTTGGAGACGTGATCGTGCTCTCCAAGAGACTCACGTGTCCAGGAAGTAATTCCCGCTCTTCTGCCGACAAATAGCTTTGTTGACGTCCCAGATATTCGTTGCGCAAATCGAGCTGCTTCCTCAGGTTTTCTGGTGGAGTTTTTTTCGAACATAAGGTACTTGATACTAGTACTTAAGCAACATGATCTCTGTTGAAAATGGTGCTACAACACTGGATGAAAATTCGGATTGAAAGCCGTAACTAAACTAGAACAGGATGGTAACGATTATTTCATCGCCAATATCAATTTAGGTTTTCTAGTAACTTCCGATTAGTATCTATGTTGTGGATAACTCTTCAAGCAATTGTACTGAGATCCTGGTCTTTTTGGTCGAGGACTTGCTGCTTCATCGCGTAGACATGGTCTAGCTCCATGCGCTCGACCTCGAGCACTTGAGCGCGGTAGAGCAACTCCAGGAAGGCTCTCAAATCAATATCCGGAATATCGCGCAAACGCGCATGTAAATTCTGCGACTTTCCTCTATTTTGCTCGAGCGCGGTAATGAGCGCTGTCCGCTTCACATTCAAATCCGACAAACTCTTCTGGTGCGTTGAGTCTTGCTCTGATATTAGAGGTCTTTTTAGCAAATGTATCCGCCTGGTGGAAATGCTTTATTAATATTGTTGTCTTCTTCTTCAATCAGATGCTGGCTTCCTTGATGAAAATAGAAGAGATGTATATGTATTTTCCGATTATAGTGATCCTGAGCAAGAGTTATATGGAGTAAATTATCAGTGTAACATTTAGAAGTGAACGTTAGTTACTTTTATGTTTCGTTCTTCCATTACTTTGTTCTTCTTATATTAAATATAACTGTTCGTAGAGGGCAGTGCACTGCTGTCTTTTCTTAATTTACACTTACAAAATTATTTTAGAGGTGGAGGCGGGAGGGTAGAGCCGGAGGTAGGGTAAAACTGATCGGAGGTAGTCAGATGAAAGATGATAAATTTAACCAAAGAAAGCCGATGAGCCTACTGCACGGCGCAGTAGAGAGGGTCATAGATCATTTTCTAATTATATTTCTATCATAAGTACAGTCAAATTCCTCATAATGACAGCAAAGACGCTTGCTTTGCGGCGGACTGGTCTTGTTGTTCTCCAGCGGCAGTCTCGAAGGCCATCAAAGCGCGACTCTGTACAGTTTCGGTGTCCATTAATTCTCGTTGGAGTCTCACTCTTTCTTCCAGATTCGCGATCATCTCGCTTTTCCATCGCTCGCTTTCACTTTCAGCTTTTATCGCACATTCTTTGCGCAATATCAAGTTATTCCGCTCCTCGAGATTCCCTTTTAAAACCGCAATTTCTTTGCGCAAATCGCCAATAATCTCGACATACTCAGCCACTTGCGCGTCCGTTTCCTCCGTCGTCGAAATCAAATTGCGCAAGTATGAAGAAAGATAGAGGAAAGAATACTGCTTCTTGGGTTGAGTTACTGATACCCATCTTGATCAACATGAGGCCACTACGTAGAACTAGCTGTTGTACTAGGAAGTAAACCTTGTTCCAAAAAAATCATGTCATTGATCCAGACCACACAGACGGAAGCATAAGCGGTAGGTTTGCGTTGTCTTGATGTTTTTTGTGCGGTTGGCGTACTTGAGCGTGTTGGACGTTTCCTCGTAGTGTCCCGCGGTGGGAGAGACGCAGGCAATCATGCACGTCCGACAGTTTCCTCCCAACGAATTTTTCAACAACCGTGTCAATTTCGAATCTCGGTACCTGTTGTGTTGAAAATATCGTTATATATAGACCACTTCGTGAGAAGTACTGACAATCATACGTCCACGTCAAGCTCTTGATGAATTTCATTAAGGCGAAATCTCCTTACAGCAAAATAGGAGGTAGTACGGCACAAATGCTCTTCTTTGTTTTTCGACTAAGGCGTTGATGCAGTTCCCAAGCGCCAACAAACTGCGATTGATGTTCGATGCCTCGATCAACCGCTGTCCGTCTGACAGTGCTTTGCTTGCTCGTTCCGAGCCCGCCAGATCGATCAGTGAAAGTTTCCCGATTGCGGTTTCACCGGAGCCGAGGTCTTCTTCACAGGTTAGCTGTAGCACTGCATGCGACCGCGAGCTCGTCTCGTTCACGGCAGTGCCCTCCGTCGTTCGATTGCGGTTTCCCAAATGCAACAAGTGCATGATTTCTTCCACACTCTGGGCTGGAAATTCGTGCACACCGGCAATGTGGCATCCACGCACTGGGTCTTCCCGCAGCTCCAACTGCTCCGACGAACTCGGGATCAGCAAGTCTCGGATATTCTCGTTGTACACTTCAATGAAACTGCACTTCACTGCAACACGCGAAGGTGAGGCACTATTCTGTGCAGCTCCACCTGCTGATGCGGCAGAGTTAGTTCCACTTCCAGTGGTGGTACTAGAGGTAGATGATATAGAAGTTGTCGTTGTATTGTTATTTGCTGTTGCTGATGCGTTGGCCGCTGTAGAATTACTTGTTGTCGATGAGGCTCGAAGATGAAAGAGGTCCCGCAGAATAAGGAACATGATGCCAGGCTCTTCCTTTGTACCGATCATCGTGAAGGTTTTGCCCGCTCCCGTCGCACCGTATGCGAAAACGGTACCATTGTATCCTTTGAGAATCGACGTAATCAGATTTCTCGCTGTTTTATTGTACACTTCTTCTGTCGACGCTTCGCCGCCGAAGGCCAAATCGAAACAATACCTGTCGTCGGAATGATTTCCAGTGTGCATTACTTGATAAAATAAAGATAAACAATAATTCTATGGATATACTCAAGTACCATAAGGACAAGCATAAGCAACGACTACGAATATTAAATATTACTCACTCGTCGACTGTTTCACAAACCTCAGCAAGTGGGTAAAATAGATACTTACCTTTTTTCTCTGCTTTTTCCCAAGCGCAGGTAGTCGCCTTGCAGTTCCTGACCAGGATCTTGAATTACGACAAAAGAGTTGTCCAAGACTTTGACTATGTCGTTGTTTGGCATGGCTGCCTCTGCGGAAGAGCATGGCCGACATCGCACTGCGACAACAATATTGCTCTCCTCTTTGTTGTGCGAAGTAGAGACGTTATTGTGTTCTTTTGAGTGGGAGTTTCGACTGTTCGCGACCGCAGGCGGGACGGTCGAACTGGAGGAAGATCCGCCGATTTGGAGAGAGCCCGGTCCCTCTGTCGCGAATGCTCCAGCATCGTGATCCAGCCCAGGGGGCTGCCCCAATTCCATGGAAGACATGATGGATTTTGGTTTTTGATAAAGCTTCTGTCGGCTTGGTATCTAGAACTAGAAGTTATAAATTCGCTGTTTCAAAAAAGAAATCAATTACAGCTCAGCTTCGTCACGCAGACGTCATCTGTATTGATTGAAGAATCCTTGGACTTTAAAAAATTGTCGGTAAAAAACACCGATTCAACTTTTCTTCAGACCACGTCTTTTTTTGGAGTAAAGACTCTGAAAGATTCTCTAACTTGTTCATTAACATCTTCTAATTACTCTAGTCTACCGCTCCTCACGTCCAGTAAATCAAAAGGAAGACCGAGCGTTATTTCATCTCGCATTCATAGCTTGTCCGTCGTCAAGAATAACTCACGGAGACACTCTTATCTTCTCTTTACCGACGAGACCGGGAGGTCGTGAAATGTTTCCTCTCGACGAGATGATTCAGTTTGTACCAAAGTCGACGACCAGATACCGACGAAAGCAAAACCGATGCTTCTCGTTTCACCACGAATTGAAGATGTAAAATCATAAAAATTTCAGATCATAGTTTCGCATTTGTGATAGTGTTCTGGCCGATAGTAACGCTCGATTACCCAGCATGTCGATTAGATAAAGATAGGCGAATTTTCATCCTTATCGACGGTATCGAAGACATAACGAAGAAACAAACGCGGACGGCACCCTTCTTGTGTGTTCACCATCGAGCCGTGAAAACTAAATTAAACTCTTCATTGCTGATGTTTCTCCGAGCATTACATACACTGTACTGGTACTCAGCATGTGGATTAGTGTGAGTGTTAAGTGCACGTGCGTTTGTAACGACATTGCTCTCGTCGTGTAAGGTCTGGCTCTGTTCAACTTTACGTGTCCCATCTTCTGTTCGAGATATCACTCCCGCGATGGCGGGTCCCACTTGCGCAAAAACAGTGCTATTTTTCATTCCTTCACTATGGCCCTCGAAAAACTACGAGAAGAAATCAGACAAATTCAGGTGCTGACACTCTAGGAACCCCTTTTTTATCACCTCTAACTATGCATCTACATCATTGTGATCATGATCTATACATGGTATCAAACAACAAAGTATTTACTTGCCCCACCTAGCGAATGATCTTCGTGAAAGTGAATCGTACGAAACATAACTGCGTCGAACAGTGCATCTCCTGCCAAGAACTTGAACTACACAGTTTCTACTTGTTTTCGTCGTTCCACTTTGTTCTGTCTCTGTGCACCTTTGTTCCTCACTTCTTGTTCCTTTTACGTCCTCACCTCGACGAATAGTAGACGACCAACTGGCGTTCTTCACGAACAGGCACACGCATCCTGCTCCGCACGAAGGCTTTCCAAGTAATCTGCGAGCTCCACCTTTCGTTTCTGGAGGTCAGCTCGTGTGGCATTCAGACTATCTAGTCGCGCTGTTTTCTGAGCTACGAGCTTGCGTTCTGCTGTCGCCACTTGCTGAGCAGATGCCGCGAGAACTGGTTTAGCCTCTGCTTCTCCCAACTTGCTAGTCAAAAACTGCTTCCTCTCCATAAAGCGCTGGTCTGCTCTGATCGCTGCACTCGAGACAGTGCGTGTTTCGTCCATGGTGGCAGCGGTCTCACGCTCGAGGGCTTGAATTTCTGCCGGTGCGATATCGTCTCGCATCAGAAAAATGTTCTTGTTGGTCTTGATAGGACGACTCTTCATCTTCTGTTTGTTGTTACTCTTCTGCTCTCGAGGAGACGAAGCAGTAGTCGCGGATGAAGAAGAAATGGTATTTTTTCCCCCAACTGCAACATCTTTTTCTTCTCCTTCTTCTTCCCCCTTATGATCACGAATGGCAATGGTATCTCTGTTGCGAGACAATATCGTTTTCATCTTGCCCGATTCGGAATCCGGCATCGGGCGTCTACTGCGCTTTCGCCCAAACAGCTGCGCTTGTTTCTCATCCTCTTTCGAACTCTCCTGCTTCTTCTTGGTGCATTGGTGGCAGCGTCGCTTGGCTAGGTCGCTGACAACGGGGACCGTCTCAGCTCGCAATTTCTGCAACTCATCTTGCAAGTGAGCATTCGCTTTTTCGGCATCTTCGACCTCTGCTGTCAAAGCGCTACCCTCACCCTCTACGGCAGCGCTTACTGAAATGTTAAAGCAATTTCAGAAAGACCAAACACCTACGAAAGCGCTAGACTTTACGGCTTCCAAGCTGTGGAAGTTGTGACGAATTGCGCCCGAGTTGTGGGAGTTGTGGCAGTTACTGCGACTAGTCTCAGGCTTACTGCGTCTAGTCTCGGCCTTATTGTGACTAGTCGCAGAATCGCTGCGACCAGTCGCAGAATTGCTGTGGCTAGTCGCGAAATTGCTGCGACTAGTCGCAAAATTACTGTGGCTAGTCTCAAACTTACTGGGACTAGTCTCAGGCTTAGTGTGACTAGTCTCAGACTTACTGTGACAGACTAGTCTGAGACCCACTGCGACCAGTCTCAAGCAACTTGCTCTACTGTGACCAGTCTCGCGCTCGCTGTGACTAGTCTCAAATTTTCTGCGCCTAGTCTCTGGCTGAGTTTGTCGGGCTGTTCGAATCTTAACACAATCAGAGTACACAGGTGCCGGCTTCTGATGGTGTTAAGATTCGAACAGCCCGACGAACCCAGTCAGAAGCTAGCCATAGCAAGCCCGAGACTGGCCACAGTGTGCGCGAGACTAGTCGCGAAAACAAGTGCGAGACTAGTCGCCGTAAGTTTGAGACTAGTCGCATTGAGTCCGAGACTAATCACAGTAAGCGCGAGACTAGTCCCAGTATGTAAGTTTGAAACTCGTCAGAGTAAGGCTGAAACTGGTCACAGTAAGACTGAGGCTCGTCACAGTAATTTTGCGTCCAGTCGCAGTAATTTCGCGCCTAGTTACTGCAACTTTGCGGCTAGTCGCAGCAATTTTGCGACTAGTCACAGTAGGGCCGAGACTAGTCAGAGTAAGGCCGAGACTAGTCACAGCAAGGCCGAGACTCGTCACAGTAATGGCCACGGCTTCCACAGCTTTCCAATTTAGGGGGCAACCGAGTGACAAAGCCCGCGGCGATTTCATGGGTGAACGGTCCTCGTAGCGCGGAAGTGGGAGGATTAGCTTTAAGGGTTTCATCTATGTTCTTTATCAACGAAGAGGAAGACATGGCCAAAAAAATGAACTAAATCTTCATGCTGTTGACAAACGCACAACAACTGTTACTTAGACGAGTTACAGAAACATCTTCACGTCTTCGAACTTTAATATTGATCTTGATGCAGGTATCGGAACTAATACAACAAGACAACTTGAACTTTAGAGTAATTACTTACCCTCTCTAGCCTCTGCTCGTTTATCTGCATGCTCGTCTTGAATGCGATCTATCTGCTGTTCTAGTTGGTGTAGCGACTGCGTCTGCGAGGCCTTCTTGTCCCGCAAGGCCCTCTTTTTATCCTCTAATTCACGCTTGGCATCGGAAAAAGCCTTCGTCACTTCTGCATGCTTTTTCTCCAGCTTCTCTGCAGATAACGACTCCAACTCGGTCAGCGGAGTAGCGTCGGGACTGGCAGTTCAACAAAATCAAATTTAACGACGTTACTTTCGTCCAGAGTGCTGACGTGAAAAACGTTAACGTACGAAAAGAAATAAAAGGTAACTTCATCTAGGTTGGTATACAACAACTAGTTGATTCTCTAAGCTATTATCACCTGTGGAAATAATAAGATGTCTAGTATGCTAATATAGCTATGTGTATCTATATCTTCGAATACCCTGGAAGACACGCAGCTTCAGCGCAATCGAGCTCTTGTGCACCTACTTGTTGACCCGATAGCGCGAGGAGGACGCCTGAGACCACGAGACGGACGACAGGCGCCGCCATCCTTAATGGTGTAGTGGCTTCTGACGTTTATGGCTTACATGGTTTTACTGAGGACTGTTCTTCTTCTTGCTCGAAGCTGTTGAATAACAGCTTATGATCTCAACTAGATACTGGTCCGTCTTCGGTGATTGTGTCACAACTACAGAGAGCATAATGATATGATAAGACGTGTTCTACTGCCGTGAACACTAAATGTGCTGCTGTTCAGCTGTTCTTGAGCATCATTTTGGCGGTTGGCACTTGAGGAGCTGAATTAATTCGCTGTTTTGGAGGCGGACTTCTGGCGCAGGCAGATCCAGATCGTCAACTTGTGTATGATATGTGCATAGGGCACAGCGGGTTTGCACTCAATGCAATCTCGCGTAGGCATACTGTGAAGATTACTCTATGTTTTTCCTCTAGAATTATGTTGTATTGTAAGCATGAAGAAAATGTTCTGTCAGGGAGTATATGCGAGGGCAAGCACAACCACAACCTCAAGTTGAAGTCAGTATCCATCATCGGCGAAAACGCATGAATTGCAGAGTCGCAGGGGCAGAGGAACATGCGGTTCCCCCAGGCGCCAGATAATATGACCCTGTGGTGATAGTGCACAACAGGCAACTCGGGTACATCGAGGAACGCATCTCCTCGAAACCATTGAAGTCTGGCCGGTGGACAAAGACCGGCTTACTCCACTAGCTGTGCTAGAGACAGTTCTTGATCTACTACTACCTCCTTCTGTCATTCCAAGAAGCTGCTGTGAGTCAGTGTAGTCGGTCAGCTCTCTATCTCTTGCAGACGCAGAATTGGCGTCCAGAAGTTCACCAGTAACCGAACGCGTGTCACCAGAACTGCCTTGTCTTTGATGCTGCCGTCGTGAGACGCACGACGAAAAGCACGCGGCCAGGGCAGAGGTCACACCTGCTTTGAGTCGATCACGCAAACTCAGTCGAGGAGATCCCGACGCCTCCTGGTCGTCTTCTAGCAAGCTTCTGGGATCAAGAGAAAATGTTGCATCGTCCGAAAACAGTTGAACTGCGGGTGTACTACGACAGCTAGTATCAACGTCGTTAGTACCGTTAGCGAGGATATTGTTCGATGGACTAGATTTTTCTGATGATGCACCAGCATAAGGCGGAGTTGACTCTTTTACTTCCAAGTCACATGCTGGACTAATGGGAACACTGTGGCTATCGCCACTCCAGTGCGAAGAGGCGCTGGTTGAAACACCGCCAACTAGTTGGTGATAATGATCTCCCTTCCATGGAGACGAGGATGTTCTTGTTACAGGAGTCACGCCTCCAAGAGTACTTTGATCGAGTATTTTACGCTGCCGGTGGTCTTCAGTCGAGCTGCCTGATGCGAGTCCATCGGAACCGATTGCACCGTTCTCATCAAAAATGTCATCGTCTTGTGGCCTTCGTAAGGTTTGTCCTCTCCCGGGACTGGATACTCCACTGCGACGAAAAAATAGGAAAACGAATTTCCGATAAAGTCGGCTGCATCGCCAGAGCGGTGTGCGTCCAGGAAGAAAAAAAGTAAGCCAATTCGACACTATTCCGGTACTGAATGGTGAGCCACGCATTACTGCCGATCTTCTAGAACTGTTTGCGCCAACGGTCTGGCCTTGAGAAGCACGCGCGCTTTCTGCGGCGGCCCGCAGATAGGGAATGCGCTGCCCCTTCAGCATTTCCCAAGTCGTCACATTTGCAGAGATGAGGTAAATATGTGTGCCCAATAGCATCAGGAGCGCCACCGCAAACACGAAAAGAACTAGGAAGAGCATCAAAAGCGAAAAGTGCTGGCCCGCTGGCGGGTCTACTGCAGGAGTCGTGGCAAACGCGACATTGTCCTGATCGAAACTGTAGCCGCCCAACGCTCGCAAGTATGTCATTCCATTGGCTGGCGCTGGTGGCGACTTAATATTGCCATCTCTACTTCTCCTGTCGTAGTGCGCGAGGTGTCCTCGTACCAACAAGGACGATGCAGGAGAGGTAGTCAACATTGACATGCCTTGCTCTGGTTGCAACGACGTTCGTCTAAGGGAATTGTTCTGATCTCCTGAAGACCACACACCTACAGCGTTATCATGTATATGTGCACGAGTCGCGATCTGCATAGAACTCACGTCTCCACCAGCGGCAGAGTTATTGTAGTGGTCCTCGTCAGATGGATAGGCGTCCGAAAATTTTCGAAAGACTGCGCTATCCAAAAGCAGTAATGCTCGCCATCCAACAAAACAGAGTTCTGCGAGCTGCCAAAAAACGAAAGCGAAGAAAAAAGCTCGATTCCCTTCGCCCACACATGCGCATTAAGAGCTGACTACTTCATTTACGTAGGGGAAGGGCGCGTCGTTTGTGGTATGCTAACACTTCCAGTCTTCCACCGAGTTGTACGATACCTACACCTGCTAGCACGAGCACTACTTTGTGTCAGAACAAGGATTCTGGAGTGAATAAGAATAAGTAACCTTGCTAACCTTAGTTAGTCAAGAAACCTATTTCACAAATGAGACGAAAAACTCTCTGTCCACTGGATGAAGTGACTGCTGCGACTCTGCGAGGACAGTTTTGTTGTTGTTTGCTTATGTAGTGTAGTTAAGTCGTGGTCTTCGCAGTGTTTTCATAAATTCCCTATCCATGGGCAGTGATGATCGAATGTTCGGACGCAGCGCCCGCAATCACGGCAGTGCTTGGTGCGTAGACGCCTGTAGGTACGACAGACCCGGCACCACGGATTGAGGACGGGGGCGCCGTTACGTGGGTTCGGAGGTGCATTGCTGTTTCCGCTTCCTCGTCCGCTTCCATCTTGATGTAGTTCCTGCGTTGACGGATAATGCTGCAGGTGAAATTCATCGTGAACACCGGACGTAATCGAATGATGCATTAAGGGAGCAGCGGTCGAGCTTGAGTCATCGCCGGTAGGAAGACACCCCGGATCCGAGAGCGCTGTAGCAGAGTAATTGAAGACGACAATGGCGAGAAGTAGGCAGAATTGGAAGGCGGTAGAGGTTTCTAACGGTGTAGGTGCATGAAAAATGTCTTCATGCCAGCACCAAGTGAGCAGCCCACTGTGCAGCAAGAATACACCACACATCGCACCTGCGGGCTGTGATAGAACCATTTTTATATTTGAATATTTGATGCAGGCCGACGCCGAGTTAGAAAAAGGCAATCTACTTCAGCACAAGAAGTTGCAGAAAGTTTTTTGGATAAAACAACACACTAGTGATTTCGATATATTTGTGTCAACTAGAACTCTAGTCGTAAGGTTGTATTATACAACTGTGTTGACAATTTATATTATGAACCTGTCTCGTGGTCTTCATCTCTCTGCGCTCGATGGCAAAAATACTGACCTACAACAGCTCTGACGATCATGATCACGACGAGGATTTTCAAGTCCTCGCCCATCAAATTTTTAAGCAGAGTGACAACTCCTTTGCTTGTTCAGGATCGACCTAGCAAACGACCAGCGTCGGACGGCCGTCACTCTTTTCGTTGGGATACGCGTGTTCACTAATTCGCTTCAGTCGTATCAGGATCTATCTATGATCATAATTAATCTAATTTTTTTGAAAAATCACAATCATGTTCTTGGTAGAGTTCTTTGTATCTTTGGTATGAGCGGGGACACCAGGCACATGACTAATATGGCTTTTGGCATTCATGGAATGTCTCATCAGTTTTGTTTGTGAAATGCGCATGTGAGAAACCAAAATGACTTAGAGCCAGCAGCTTAACTTCAGCCTGGCACGGTACTATGGTTCTTGCAGGAAGCGTTGGCGACGTTATTTCATCAATAAAAAGAAGTCGATTATAACAAACTACACATAAAATTGCAGCACGTAACGAGTCATGATCAATATGCTCCTCAACAACTAGAAATTGATTTTGGAACTAATATGTATAATCTCAAGAATGTAATTGCTCATGCTCATCATCACAACTAACTATGCTATGAGTATGACTATATGAAATCGATGACAATGCTGAGACGAACGCCCCTGGCCGCGATGACATCAAGAAGGAACATCGTTCCTTTGACAACATTGCTGCGATGGGACTTATATATATCGCTCATCTCATCACCGGCACCAAAATTTGTAGTACGTTTCGTCCGTGTAACTCACAACAGCTCCTGTCTGCTCTGATGGCGTCTCATCCTCGTTCTCAACGACTAAACACCACCAAAAGTTCTGACATCATAGTTGTTGAGGACAGAATCATGAATGCCACGGACACCCCAACTTCCTGCATTCAACAACATCACCTTAATAGAAGACGACGAAGCTGACTTCTATCGCCTCCTATATTTTTATTGCATTTCATCCTCATAACCCAGAGTCTATAAAACTGATCCAAAATATTTGCAGAATCTCACACAAGATATTTGATATTCTAGAATAGCTTAAGTAGAAACAACAGACAGCATCTTCCTCCTGGAGCCTCCATCGCATCTTCTTTATCTTCTGCCGGAATATAGTAATAGTCGCCTCCCGACGAGCATTCGCACCTTCACTTCCTTGATGTTCCTATAACACTTCTCCACCTGAACAATGGAAGCCTCAGGTACACCACGAAGAGCTCGTGGAAATCTTCGGACTAGTAGACGTTGAACTTCTTCAATTCGTAGCTACAGCACCATCAGTCGTAGCCATCTCCTTCACGTCTTCTACTACTGCTACTAGACTTCTACCAGTAGAACAGGAACAACTAACTCCGACCGTGTAATAAGCTTTGAAGCCGAGAACAGAGTACGGCGACCGAAGACCGTACAACAAATCCACTTTATTGCTGTTGTGGAGGAGGCGCGGCATGAAAGCCGTTAGCGGGGGGTGGAGCAGCATTCTGCTGTGGAGGCTGTTGTTGCTCCATGTTTGCGTTAGGTTGGGCTCCCCCTTGCTGCTGCTCCATTGCCTGTTGCTCCAATGCTCTCTGTTCGGCTGGAGGTAAAGCAACCTGTGAACAAAAAGATGGAAGTAAAAGGGAATTGAATGATGGATGTAATTGGCATAAGAATAGTAGGAAGATGATGTCAACCTCAACTATATTATAACGATGAACAAAATGTAAAACAAGTTCCTTCTCTGAAGATTGAACAAGAAAAATATCAAAATCAGCGTCTGCCTTGTAGTTGTACCTGATTACTCGGTGCATGATTCGAAACGAGACCGCCCATTGGAATGCCTGGTTTCAGTTGTTGGCCATTTGAGTTCGTGACACAGTTCTGTGCGAGGCGACCGAAATATGAATCGATGACAGCAGCGAAGACCGTTTGCGGTCCGTCGTTCCATCCGAGGAAGCAGCCACCCAATTCCGTCAATTCGCCTGTGCTTACTTCGCACACACCATTGCCCCGGTACTTACACAACATATCGAATCGGACAAAAACTGGCGGCTCCGCGCACTCAGCACGGATTGCGACTGTTTATGAATGATGAGACGAAATAGGATACGATAAAAGTCATTCTGAAACTTATTGAAGCAGGTTTTTCCTATTCCTAATTTTGAATCTGTCTTCGTGTTCTAGCACAGCGATGCCTATGCTATTTAACAACGTCATGATGATCAAATTGAATATGAAATTAGTGAGAAATCTTACTTAGTTGTAGAATTAGAAGAAGGAGTAGATCGAAAAAATATTGCTAGTATTACAAAGCCATTTGTAGATGAGCGCGTTGATTTGCGTGGTGCAGGAGTCGTATGCCTGCTGATCTCCCTTGAAAATTCGGGTGAGGCACTCTTCTCGACTGAATCGGTTGAAATTTGTGAAGCCTCCGTGTGCTGTCTCCTCACAGAACATAGTGCACACTGCGCCCTTAGGCAGGCAAGTTCCCGGGTCCCTCAAATCCGGCATGACCACGTAGTTACGAATTTCGATGTCGAACTCAACCCATTCCTGTTTTGATTGAGAGGGATGAAAAGCGTAACTAAGCGTGATAACTACCACACCAACCTATTCATATCCTGCATTCGTGTGTGCCTGTGTCATTAACAAACTCATGCATCATCAAAATCAAAGTGCATTTAGGTAAAAAGCAAAAACTATCGTCATGAATTAGATGATTAGATCTAGTTGTAGTAAGTGTAACAAAGAGTAATTACCTGCACGAAGACATATTCCATATGTGAGCCTTGTTGCTCTCCCAGATCGACGAGTCCTGTTTGAAGTGTCTGCAAATCAGTCCACTTTCGCACGTCTAAAGCTTCCCATGACCAGCCGAGCTTTGCCACGCCTTGTGTTACGGGCTTCACTCTGGGATAGTCTGGGAATTGGAACACGTTTGTTCTTGCTGTGGCCATCGCGTTAAGGGCATCTATGGCCTGTGCTGCAGCCCGCTCTGGATTCTGTGCAATCAATGATCGCGGCACTTTCGTCGTCAACGGAGTGCGCAAAGCCGGATTCAAACCTTTTGTTTGAAAATTCAAATTCAGATTGTTTGTTGTGGAAAAAAGTTTAAATTCAACTTGGAACAAGCACCAGGGCACACACGTAAAAATTTTTGGTGAGAGAAAGAAAGAGGAAAAAAAATTAAATTAATATCTACTACTCGCCCAGCCCCAGATAGCACGCTTTTATAAAAAGAAATTGTTCTCAGTAGTACATTGTGCTGCTGTCCACTCTTTGCTAGCGAAGAAACGGTAGAGATGGCTATTATGCGGAAAGCGTGTTGGAATTCCGGCACACTCTTGGTACATAATTAGGTTGAAAAGCTCTTCTCGCTCAACGTATCCCGGATAGTCGTGACCATCATCGAAGCCAATAGGCCAGAGGTAGTACCTTATGGATTCAAAAAAGTAGAGATCGCACCTCAAAAACGCTGTTTCGAAGAAATCAATTTGCTGTAGGGAGCTAAGAACTTGGTTAATGTAGTGGTGAGGACGCAAGTCCCAGAACTAGTGCCTATTTGTTTCTATCAAACCAACAAATGTAAAAACTTGATCGGTATCTGTGGCTCCCGGTCCCGAAGTACAAGTAGCAAATAGATTTATAACAGGACAGGTAATATGATGTGTATTACTGTGCGCCGACGTATTTTCCTCTGAGCTGGTGTCTGATGAGTGGGGATTTGAGCTTTTGCAACTCGCTGCTATTTTGGATGAAACAGGAGAAGATCTCGTACTGAGGTCCAACTGTATTGAATATTTGACTCTCGAAGGAGTTGATGTAGTTGTCGGAGCACGTCGATCCGATGGCACCCCAGCCGCCTACTCCCTCCGTCACTGGGTCTACAGCCTGATTTCCACCCCACCTGACAGAAAGCACACTCAAAATGGGCCGTTGCACGGCCTCTTCAGCCTCATCTAACGTTCGGATCTGCTCAGCTGGAATCCGCTGAGTCACGTGCCCGACTTGTGACGTGTCTAACCTGCATTGATAAATAGGTGATTTTCCAATCATTCGAATATTTCATTGTTCGAATGTGAACAAATACACATTTTTCTCATGATCCCCGCACTTTCATTTTGACGTCAGTGATGGGTTTATCATCTTGAATTAAAATAATTTAGTGATGGGCAGTATAGCAACGACGAATTCACTTGTTGAATACCTCCTTCCCCTGCGATCATACCACAGTGGGTGGGTCCAGCGAATGAGTGGCCAGCTTTCCTGCACGGCTGGGTCATAGTTCTGTACAGCCCATGCTTGTACCACGACCCCTCTTGTCCAACCGTCCGTTCGGCCCATACTAGGATGCAAGGAGCCCATTGTTTTGTGATCGACCATAAAGTAGTTGCCATTGGGGTCTTGGCAGTATCGATGAAAGCAGTGGACCTCTTGGTTTTCGTGCAACTGTCGCACGCGGACCGTAGGGCCCTTAGGCTGTCCTTCTCGTAGTTGGTTCAACATCTTGTTCGAGTCTGTCAGTCGTCAGTGTTACTCCTCGGGTATCGATGTTGGAGCTCCGGATAGGCCTAGCTTCTGCGCGTAGGAAGAGCTGAAGATATTCCCGTTGTTGATGTTTGACGACCGATGTTTGCCGTTGATGGTCGACGAGTGTATCGTTTGTTCGTGTTCTTCCGGTGATTTACGTGCTCGTTCTGATAAACCTCGCCATTGTTCGATGTTATTCAGAAGTATCTATGAAGATATTAGTAGCTAGTGGAACCATCGACGTTAGCAGAGCGTTCATCTTCAGTTGTGGTAGCCCTTAGTTGCAAAGCCTTTCGGCAGTCTATTTCATTAAAGATTTCTTAGTAATTCATTGATAACAGATGAGAATACACTTTCCATGAGTTGCGGCACCAATCCAAAAAAGCGACGGATTGACGATTCTGTAAAAAAAATCAGAAGATAATTGAGCCAACAACTCCTTAACAAACACAAGGGCTAGAAAAAGCTCTGTAGCCGCGGCTGGTGAGACAACATACAAAATATAACTTTCTTTTCAAGCACTACATATACAAACAAAGCGGTAGCATTATCGCCGCTGTTGCATGATCTTTAATGAACAACAGAGCAGTTCCATGGCGGACAAATGAATTTGCTCTATAATTCAGATAGAGCAAGAGTGACATGCTTTTGTGCGGATCGTCGACAGCAGCGTACAATTTTCTTTATGTTGGTCACATCATGAGGGAGAACAAGAACAATCTAAAATATTACTGATCAAGAAAGGATCGGCGGGGCTTGGGCTTCATTGATCTTCCGAGTTACTGGGTGCCTACAACATCATGCCTGCTAAAACCATCCAGTACATACGAGAACAGAAGCGCGGATCTCTTTTTCAGATTTTTGTCTTTAGGTGATGTTTTTCCTCCAGATTTGTTTCATCCTTCCTGTTTCCTCCAGATTTGTTTCAGTTTAAAGTTAGTGTTTGACTTTCACTTTGTTGATCTTTAAGAAAAGGGAACTTGGCCTTGGTCGGACTTAACTAGTGGTGAGGGAAAGGTCCATCATGCCTACAGCCTTTATGTTTATGATCATTCTTTCATGTCCATGACCATGATGAACACTTCTGAGGTGGGCCATGACACCCTCCTCAGGCATTCTTAAGAGCTTGCGGCCAGAGCCAGCACTGCTACGACCACCGCGGCCGGAACGTTTACAGGCAAATCTGAACCTAAAGAACTACGTGAACGGTAAGAAACTAGTGTACCAAATCCGTGTCTTTGATCTACGATTATGCCACCTTGATGTGTTTCATCAGCGTATTTACATGATTACAATACCTCCAATTTTCGCAACCAGAACAAAAAATGCGGTGATGTCCCTACTTGCTTTTGATTTGCTCTACATTAAAGATTGATTTGATTTGTGACATATATTCGAGATTGATTTGATTTTATTTGATTCGATTTGTAATACAAGACTCGTGATAATTTCGGGTGTAGTCCCTGTTCTTCGCACGAACTTAAATTCATTTGAATCGCAGCAATTTGTGCACGAGGACATCTGCTAAGAGGTCGGTCGCATCCAAGAATGTACATGATGAAGACGCTCTTTCTATTTCTGAAGGTGTTGACAGCTTGTTAATGTAAGGCATCAACATCGGCAGTTCGGTGCACGCGAGGAGCGCGCAATCTGCCTTATATTTGTGCAAAAATTCATCCCGAAAATGTACAGCGTGCTTATCCTGTAAGCCTTCTCGCTTGATATCGACAATTAACCGCTGCAAATCGCTTCGGGCGCCCTCTGGCAAAAATACTGGATATAGAGGCCGTTGTTGCGATGCCTGGGAATCTTCACCTACTGGTGTGAGTATCGTTTCCGGCGAAAGCAGGCCACCGTAAGGTGAGCGAGCCGATTTCAGATCAGTCGTAGCGAAAGTCCCTGAAATTAGAACATCCTCTTCAACCTCGCTCTTGCTGAATTACTGAAGTGCTTTTAGTTTAAACCGAGCTTAACCTGCTTCAAAAACTCTTATGGGACGAACAAGCTTTTGCAACTGTCTAGGTCTAGGAGGAGTTGTACGTCGAGAGAATGATTTCCGCAGATAAACGTCTTCTACAAGGACCTAAGCTCTAATGCCAATACCACCATAAAAAGACAGCGATGCGAAACGGAGCGGAAGAGTCGTCGCCTGCTCCACAAGCCACTGAAGCTTCCTGATGTATATCTCTAATTCGTGCGTAGACTGTGTCCACTATGCTCACAAACTTGGCTGAAACGGAGTTTTCCTCACAGAAACGCCGAACGCGTGGTGCCAGGACATGCAGTGTGTTGCAGCTAATGCAGAAGTAATCCAACTGCCTGTCATGAATAAGGCAGGAGCCTAGAACTCGTACCAGCGGAACTTGAAGTGTGTATCTAAAGAATCTGGATCTCAATCTGGCGTATGCGTACTAGTTGTAAACATGTCTATCAAGACTCGCTAGTATGGTGGAGCAAGAGACTAGAGCTGCCTGTTCCTTAGTACATCACAGAACTAGATGAACTGCGCGCGCTTCAATTTCTTAGACCTTACAGAGCATCGATCTTTCGTATCGTATCCGTTATTGAGTCCCACACCAATCGGAAGGGCTCCTGTTCTTCATCGATCAAGTCGTCGGGATTGCGCGGACCGCCTAAACCTGGTACTTGAAAAAGCACCACATAGGGGGCGTCTCGGTCTGTGCAGTAGTGAAGTCCGTCGGTCTTTTCTCGCAGCTCACGATTTTTCATCAAAATTTTTTGCATCAGGTCAACGCCAGCTTCGGGGCCGGCACCGCCGATAATTGCAAGCGTGTCAAGACCCATGCTTGCTCGGGCTCGGCTGCTGGCGTCCATCGTTTTTTATTGACTAGTGCTATGTGAGCAAAAAAAGTCATGCTTCTTCTTGTGTGAAATTTTCTCGAGGATGGATGCATTTACAAAAATATTAAAAAATGAACCAAATAATTTCAGGTGCTTGTTTAGCTCTCCTACTTTTACAAGGTGCCTTGATTATGATTGGCTCCTTGGAGCACGAGCAGCGAAGAGGATACTTTGAACCAACATTGCAGTTGAAGATGTAGAAGATCAGCTACGGGCCTACGGCCTTCTAGTTGGCCCGGCTAAGCCTAAGTCTTCATCACATTGGCTCCATGTCAGATTTTGATTAACAAGGTCTCCACTTTCATTTCGACAGGGTTGTTGTTCCGTTTTCATGGCCTTGGGGAAGATCGGGGAGGCAACAGATATGAGTAAAAAACCCTCTATCCTTTTGAAATTTTCTTCGGGGGCAGCGTTTTTCGCCGTGGTTCCTCGCCTTACTGTCGCTGCATAGTATTCCCTCTCGTCTCATTTATTGTCTCCTGTAGCTGTAGCAGCTACCCAATAAATTCGACGGTAGTATCATCATGCCTCATGGATTTTCTTTTCAACTACTTACGTCGCTGTTGAAGCAAACTTCTACTGCCGGCGTGTGGCTGCGGATTTGGAGCAATCAGGTGGTAAGTAATGAAAAAATGGTTTGGTGGAACCGGAGTCAGCACATTTCCACATGTAAAGTATCGAGCAGCGAAAGCAGTGGGGACAAATGTACATTGAGTTCAAGCACGAAAAAATTTGAAGTAGATGAGCTGAAGATGACCGCAATCATGCTACAATGGTTCGATTTTTCTTAGCAAGCAAGCGCGCTTAGCTTTTTGTCAAGCTAGATGAAATCAAATGACTTAATCTGAAGTGTGGGAATCGTAATCATCCGTAAGGCACAAGACAATGACAAATCTGTGCTGAAAGATTGTAACTAAGTTGATTATCAAGTGCTGTGCTCTCGATTTCGCGAATCGTATTTCAATCATGGCTTTTTTATGACAACGCGTCTTCTCTTACCCTGTCCTCCCATCGACTTGGTAGTATAGTGCAACTACTTAGTGACTGGAAGAGAGAATAAATGTATATATAAGGCTTTTTTTGACCCGTATCGGGTCGAGTTTCTCGGCTTGCTCGAGTTGCCCACCCTAATTTTTTGCGCGGCGCCCTTCGGGCGCAGCTTCGTGACACTTCGGGACACCTTAACAGGAGCGCACGACGCTGCGAACCGTGTCTCTGCTCCATGCAATTTCTTCCGCTGCGCCCTGCGGGCGCAGCCTTGGCGAGACGGTGAAGCACTTTACACCGGCCCACCCACCTGCCGACCAAAGGAAAACCGCAGGCGCCGCGATTCGCCCAAACAGCCCCCGCCGCCTGTTTCTCAATTTCACACGGGCACCCTTCGGCCGCAAGCCAGCTACGCGCCCACCTTCCTTGGCGGGGACCCCTCCCGCCGCAACGTCGAGGAACGAAAACCCAAGCCCAGCTTGACACGATTCCCCAACGAACCAAACCACAAGCACAGGGGGGCGAGGCACTTGCTCCCGACCACCGAGACCGCGTGGGGAGGGGCGCGCCACCGTCGACCCCAAACGCAAAGAAGCAGCGCCGCCCCAGCCTTCTTTTGCGAAGGAGCTCCCAAAGAGAGCGCCCCGCTTTCCGAGTGCGTACTTTTGCGCCCGCCCCGCCCTGCTTCGCTACCATTTCGACGCGGCTAGCTTCTTCTGGCAACCCGTTCCAGTATTGGAGCTCTTCGCTTCGGCAAGTCGAGCAACCCGTGGCAACTCGAAACCCGTTATTGCATGCCTTACTCTAATAATAGAAATGATAAACCCAAGCTCGATGAAAATTTTCAATCTTGATGAAGGCATTGGGGATCGACGTGCAACTGTTTATTCTATCTACATTTGTTATTGTTTTTCAGGAGCTACTCGTTTGATCTCGATACCGCGTACCCTTACATCTACATCAGTCCCCCTCCAAGTCTTTCCTGCATGTGCCGCAAAGAGCGCACGGCGTCTTGCAGTTCACTGCGCGTCTGTCGCTCGTAGTCCTCGTTCGAACAGAGCCCTAGACGTTTCAGCACGTCAGATTCTTCCGAACTCGCGTACGTATTGGTATTTGTCCTATTAGTCCGAATATGAAGGCGGGGACCATAAATATCGATGACCGAAGTGGAAGTTGTAGAGGTACAAAAACAGAGATCTATTCGTTGAGTCTCAAGTCTAAAAATCCACCGAGGCTCCACACCTGGTCCTATTATCTTCAATTATCATGAAGGATTAAGTAGATGAATGCGTAGGGGATGTTGATTCATAACCACTGGAGCAGGCTGCCATAGGTCCGCCTGAGAGTCTGGTACTTGTGCTATGATTTGCGTAGTTGCCGAGGCCAGTCACTGGAGTCGCTCCAGGTCTTGGCCCTGCAGTTGAGCTAGACGACCCACTGCGCGCAGATGACGTCGTGCTCTGGTATGATCAAAGATGCACAGGTTTTTTGACACTGACTAGCTAAGTATAAGTAAACGAGACTGGTTCTGCTCCTTGGTGAACAAGTTTGTCCGAGGGGCAGCTTTCTATAGGAAAAAGGATTTAAACTGGTCAAAAATTTCCTTTCTCATACTTGTGAGGATGCGTAATGCGCAGTGTTTTTACGCAGAACGTCATCCATTCGCGGCGCCGCACCAACGGTCGGAGCCGCTGTTGTGGGTGCGCCGAATGTAGGAGGATAGCCTGGCGTTTAGAAAATCAGATATGAGTTGGCCACTTCTTGCTATTTGACGTCGTGTCAGATGACGACATAGTCAGGCATTGTAAACATGATTTCTCAATGAGAATGAGGTTAGTAACTAATAAACTAAATCTACTTGATTTTCTACGACAAATTGAATCCACGACAAATTGAATCTACGACAAATTGAATCTTGATCTTCTAGAAAAACTAGCATCACGGTACCTGGAACGCCGGACGAGATGCCAGAGGTTAGGCTCCGTGACTTAGCTTGTTCCGACGCGAATTCAGCATCTGTTGAGAGTCCTAGACGTTTGAACACGGAGTCTCTCTCTTCCTGGAGCTGCTCCTTCACCATCATCTTAGATGATAAATAGAACCTTGTTTTCCGGGTTGAATTGTGATTAGGAGTTTGTATCATACCAACTTCGATATTTGAGCTTGATAAGTAGATTTAGTCCTACTTCTTTCATTCACAACCTCGTCCAGGATTCATGACGATATTCATTTTAAGTACTAGAGACGAAAGATCATTATCTAAATAGCAGGAAAAGGATGTTGTTGAAATACAACGAGCCATAATAGATGGCGTGGCCCAGTTCGTTTGACTTGATGATGGCGTCGACCGCTGTTTGAAGTGGAAAGACTGAGTAGCATTGATCCATAAGCATAAGGCAACTAACTTGACAAGAAAAACCAAAAATTGATGTCTGTAATCTAAGTTTCAGCTTTAAGTAGTAGAAGCAACACAGCCTCCCACGTCGTAAAAAGTCTTTTTATGAGGAAAGAGAATGTCAAGGGCAGTATGGATATGGATGACAAAAGCCCATTATTGTCGAATTTTGATCACTCGCATTTGAGAGTTCAGACCTGTCCTAGATATTGCGGTGGCAAATGCCGCTGCAGCCCGTGGTCGATGCGTCCGGCAAGTCGCGCGCCGTCCATTTTCTCTATTTGCAGCTCTAGTGATATTCAATGTGTGTCTGCTTGTTTCTCTTACCTAACAACTTCTCCTGTATTATGCACTCAAGGTTAACGACTTATCGGGTACTGCGCCCGTGGGACGACACTTATATTTGTGGATTCGTTTTCGCTCCTCTTTATGCTGCAAGTTGTATGTATGTAAACGTAGTAAAGCAGTCCCTTCTACGTGTGGGTAGTCCCTTCCAATTTACGAGTCTTTGCGATGCTTTTGCAAAATCACATAAGCCTCATCTACTTGAGAGGACAGCAGCCCTTTTCTACCGGCGACAACCTCCGCCCAACGGGGCCGTAACACTCTACACGCTTCTAGTAGAACGCACCTTTTCCTCCAATTTTTTTCTGTTTCGTCATGACCTCTCATTCGATTTATGGTTGCAAACTCTTATCTATTTTGGTCCGGCAACACGAACACAAACACAAAAAAACAACATCAAGGACAACCTCTTCCCGAGCTACGCCGCGCCGCGAAAGAACATATTAATATGTTTTGTGAGGGAAAAAGAAAATTCAGATATTAAACTAAGACCTGGTGCAACAAGGTGGGTATGGCTTTTGTTGGCACAAACTTCATTAAGGCGGAGGGGAACAAGTAGATAGTTTTCTTTAGATACGGGATCAAAGTCTTTTTACAGGGTACGCAGAGCTGGGTGCTTAACCTAGAGGATTTGAATTCACTGTGAGGAGGTCAGGGAATTACGCCGCCTGCCCTAGAATTTTCTGTCTTTCCATGCAGACCAAAGCCCCAGAGGGCTAGATTGTCACTTTCTTTATGCTGGTGCGTGGGAAGATCAGTGCCAGCGTTCTCTGAGCACGCAGGGACTGCTATTCCTCTCCCACTTCGTGAATCATCATGATCTGGAAAGCTTGTTAGATTAGGGCTTAGAAGTGGGGTCTGCTCTTCGCGGTCCGCAGGTGATAGTGACCCGCCATGCCAGGTGCGCAAGACTGGTGGGGTTGTTCTACTTGGACTCGGAATTGGAACTCGACCATGCTCTACTTCTAGTTGTCTCTCCCAGTCCTTCCTTTCATCCTGTCCTGTTGTGGTACTGGTTTCTTTGTCTTCACGAGGTAGGTCTACGTCTAGTGCGGATTCTTCAGCATTTCTTGTTGGGGCCGAATGATACATGTTGGAGTTGTGATGTCCGTTTCCACCGGGCGTGCCGCCTGCTTTTGATCTTTTACTGGGGTTGTTCGAAGGTGTAGGTGCTCGTGGGGAATAAGTCATACTTCTGGAAGGTGCACTCTCGAGGCTAGTCGTGCGTAGAGCCTCTGCGGGGCAGTTGGCTATAGCATTAATATATGCGGCTGTGTTACTCTCAGCTTCGTTGTAATGGTTTTCTCTAACTCTACTCATATCGTTTTCGTTACTTTTTGGCGGTGAAGGAGCAACTCCTGTGGTTGGAGTGGTAACACCGCACTCGCCTATGGTCGCTGGGTACCCTCGGAGATGGTCGTCGTTTCTCCTGTCGTCTCCTCTTGATGTTCCAGTTGTACCGTAAACTACAGGCGGAGCTCTCGTTGCACAAGTTCCACTCGTCCCGCTATAATACTCATCTCCTAGCCCTACCTGATGCTGACCTTGATGCGACCACGTAGTCCTCGAAAGAGGCTGGTTATTCCCGGCTCTGCAACTTGCTCCATCTTTCTGGAATATTTCGGATAATGGAGGTAGTCGAGTTGTTGAACGCCGTTGGCCTTGGTAAGTATCAACACGACGCGATGTTGAAGTTATAGTAGTTGGATAGTTGTAGCCATTGAGCAACTGCCTTCGCACTTCTTGACGGTGTAATGTGAAATCGCCACGATTTACGGCAAAGCGCTTACTGCGATCGCCCGCGACGTTGATCCGAATAGTTCGCGTGGCTGTGGTGTTCTCAAGCTCTGGTTGCAGAAAATCTTGGCTTTTCAGGCGCTGCTCTGCTTGCCCATCTGGGCCACCCGAAGATGATAAGCCAGATGGAACAGTCTGAAGGTTACCCGCACTTTGTTGTACCTGGACCTCTTCGAGCTCAATTTCGATCGGCTGACTCGTTGCGATAGAAAGGAGCCACGTTACACAGCCTATGGCACAACAGATATGGATGCACAAGGAAGGGACTTTGGGTTCCAAGCATTCTCCAAATCCACGGATGGGAATGTGTGACTGAATTACTTTTTTCTCAAGAATAAGCGGCTCGTGTTGAACGCCTGCTCTCATTGTCATTAGATCCACATCAAAGCCACCATCGAGTCCACCACGTCCACCTCCTCCACTTTGAGCAGGAGTTCTTGGCAACATGAAAGCTTCGCGCTGGTGCATGCAGGTTGCTACGTCTCGGAACAGCAAGTATACAGAAAAAACTTGGCAGAAAACGTTGAGCATGGCTGACCAAAAATCTAGATTTCGAGAGGCTAGCCATTTTTGAAATCGAGATGGAGACTTTCTTGACGCCACTCGAGCTGCGCGCCCTGCAGAAGGTCTTCTTGGCGTCTCTTCTTCTACAGGTTTCGTCTTGTAGTTGTACTTGTTGTCGATGTCTCCATCATTGGCATCAACATGATCGTAGGTGTGTCCGTCTCCCTCTTCTTGTAGAAGTTCTTGTTGCTCCTTGTCACCAAAGAGGATGTCTTTTCTTGAAGAGGAGCTTGTCGGCTCAGCATCCGTTGCTGTCTCATCATCGGTCTCAGAGTGTCGATTTTGTTCCAGCACTACACGTTTAGCCCTCGATACGAGGAGCCAAGCGAAGAAGTAGAACCCGACCCACCAAGCGCAGATTATCGTCGTTGCGCCATAAATGAGCTCGTAATAGCCTCCCATGTTTATTCGCCTTCTGGTTGGATCTATCACTTTAGTAGGCGAGATAACTTATCTAAGAACGAGAAGATGAATGAAGACTGACAAAATAAACAAAAAAAATTTCAGTAGTACAAGAACTTTAACTAACAAATTGAGGAATTTCAAAAATACGAATTAGAACGAAGATACTAGATACTGTACAAAGATGATGATAACGAATGGAGATGATGAAAGATAGGGCCACTGTTCAGTTTGCAGAAAGTACTTCAAAAATAATCATCATGATAGTGCTGCTATATCTTGCTAACTGTGTCAAAGTCTACTGGTGTCTAGTCGTCTTGAGTCCACCTGTGTCAATCTATATGCGCTTAGGTATGATAATGATCACTGCGAACTTCTTTTATGCATGTCTTGATCCTGTATTTCCGCTTGATCTTTTCTTTTTCTACCTCAAACCTCATGCTTTTAAGGAAAAACCGCGTGTGATCCTCACGATCTTGACCTAGCTTTTGGATCTTGATCTTTGCCAGCGTAGATTTAGAAGTCCTGAAGTTGCGATGTGAATAGCTCTTGTTCAATGATGTTGTAGGGTCTTACTTTACTAGTTGTAGTGGGAGCATCTTGCGACAAGAATGGCGAACGCAAGTAGTTTGGAGTCCAACTGAAGCAGAACGATGGACTTGTTGGAACACTAGAATTGCGAACTTGAGCTTGTAATGAAGCGAAAAAAACAAGTAGCAAGGGCGTTCCTAGAAGATGGGTGGACTTCGTAGACGAGGGGGTCTGCTTCTTATCAAGCAACTTTGCACGTGAATAAGATGCAACATCGCCAAAATCGGATTATCGGCGTTCCAGATCAGCAAGAACAAGGTAACAAATACTTGAGAGAAAGTCAGGAGACCACAAATAATGGGATCGATAAAGTTGTAAATAGGAGCCTCGTCTAGGAGGCCATCGAGTTGGGGGTATCGTGGCTGTGCCAAATCAAATGTCACATCTTGCCTTCCAAAAGCGTGTGCGTCGAAGTTGAGGATTTTTTTTCAAGCAAACTTTGAAGCCACAAGGAGATGTCCATATGACCAGCCATTCTGGCGAGGTCTATGGGTGTCAAACCAGCTTTATCCTTGTGTGAAATCTGCCATCTTAGATCCAGATCCGACGAGACTAGTAAGTACTCCAAGGCCGTGCGATGCCCCTTCCAGCTGGCTTTGACTATTGCACCATGGCCGGCGTCGTTTAACTGTGCGAAGAGAGAAGTAGTAGGGCTCACAGAAGATGAAGATGCTTCTTCTACAACTTGTTCATGAGCTCGAGTCTCTCCTCCATCTCCAGGAGATGGAAAGGTAATACTTGTACTTTTGTTTTCCTCCTCTTCCACCAACCATCGAAGAACATCAACGCGTCCACTCGAAGCTGCCCAATGGACCACATTGCACCCAAAGTTGTTCACCCTGCGGAGAAAATGTGGGTGCAGAGCGTGGAAAAAGCGGATCAAGTCCATGTTCCCACCAAATATAGCCCAGTCGAAAGCGTTGGAGCCATCGGTGGAGACCGCGGAAATGTCGACAGCGTCTGTAGGAAGATCCTGAACCAAGAATCGGAGCACCTCGAGATGGCCATACTTGCATGCGAACATAAGCGGCGTCCGACCATCCTTGTTCTTGGCATTCAAAAGTGTGGCTGCAGTTTTGGATGTCGATCGTGTTCGTCTCACCGTTACGTCCTCTGGTTCTCTATCTTCGTCAAGCAGTTGTTCTCCATTTCCAAGAGGACAGTCGTGTTCAGAAGCAGAGCTTTCTTGATTCTCCATCCACCTGTACAAAAACTCAACGAGTTCTTGATTGCCGCTGCTACAGGCCCAGTGAAAGGCGTTGGAACCACGCTTGCACAGAAAGTACCGAGGATCCCACGTCTTTGTAGTTGAGGAAACTTTTCTACTTCTATTAGAAGTTCTGTCATCGTCATCTGGTGTCTTTCTGTAGATGAAGTCCCTATCAAGTAGAGTCTTGACCGAGTCAAGATCACCAGCTTTACAAGCTCGCAAGCCGCCAAAGTCAGTTCTCATTTGCCCGCCTGGACCCAGACGAGTATCGCGCTCCGGTAAGGGCCGATCAGCCGCGTGAGCCGGCAACGTGTGGATCTCACGGGATTCAGAAGCTTGTTCCGGTTGATCCACATGGACTTTGATCTGAACAGGATCACGCTGTTGAAAATCTTGATTAACATCTCTCTTGCCGACTTGCTCTCTGAGTTGTCGCAACGTTTTCGATTCTAGGCTCGCTACGGCACCAAACGTGTTGGCAAAACGAAGACCGTGCAATTCGGCCAAAGACTCTCGCAGTCGGACCAGGTCAAGGCTGTCGATGCCCAATCCTACAAGAGGAATGTCCAGGGACAACCCACTGTTCTCAAGTCGCGCCAGTTCATCTCGCGGTTGTGCTTGTGTTGCTGGTGTAGAAGTGAGGCCTCCACAGGTCTCCTTACGACATGTCGATGTGCACGACCTCGAAGTGTCCCGGCGAAAGTGGGATTTGATTGCCAATCGCAATTCCGTCAGAACCTTTGTAGCGTTTTTCAGAGTGGCAACACTGGCTGGCTCATATTCCGTATTCTCGAGAAGGCGACGTAGTAGTCCGCGTGTAAACTTTCCTGTGATCGTGTTCGGCAGTTCCGGAACCGGTATGAAAGCACGGGGGACAGCCGCAGAGCCTACGTGAATCCGCACTGCATCGCGTAAGGCAGAAATGTCAATGCCAGGGGTTCCTCTTTGAGGGGCCTCAAAAAACACGACTGGGACCTGCCCTGCTATCACGTCTGGCGCAGCCGCGACGCATAGTCGTAGATCCTTGCGCTTTTGCAATAAAGCAGCCTCGATTTCGCCAGTACCAACACGAACTCCACCAACATTCATCACATCGTCGGAGCGACCGAGAAAGAAAAACAAATCAGCGTCTCGATCATAGAAAACGGAATCACCTTGCACAAAGTAAGTAGCACCGGTGCCAGCGGAGGCCTTGCAAGGTCTCTCTGTTGTTGTTCGCGATCCGTTTTCGTCAATAACCTTCTGGTTCGACGGGGATGCTGCTGCATTGTCCGAGTCTTCGGCCGTGGAATCCGTACGCGGAGTTGTTGATGTTGCCGGATTTTCGTTTTTTCCGTCCTCCAGTACTAAGTTGCTGCAACGATCGCTGTTTTTGCTCTCGCTTTGCATCTGCTTTCGCTGCTCTTGTTCCCACAACTCCGGAAAGTATGTGATCTTCCACTGACGCAAATTACCTCGCCATCGCTGCACAACGCGCGTGGTCCAATCAGACAGAAACTGTCGTAATTCATCATTCTCGTCGTCTTTATTTTCTACTTCTTCTGCAGAAGTCTTCATCATCATCTGTTGCTTTCGACGTAGAAGATACTTTGTATCTTCATCGCGCGTCATTCCGAACCGCTTGACATCTCCCCAAACAGTGCGTGCAAGCGAAGGAAACGCCAAGCCACCAGCGGTCCTAGATACACTTAGCTTCAAATCGCGCACGCTCGACTCGTCAGGAGATGACGGTAAGGAAGAGGAAGCGCATGCACCCTGTGCGAGTCCGATACTTTCTTCAGGGTCATGTTGGGGCGCTGGTGCATCAGCCTCTGATGTGTCAACAGAGCCACTTCTATGATAGTGTTGCTCTGCGACCACAACCCAGGGTAACGGACGCATGCCAACCTTTCCAGGCTCAGCGCCTTCGGGAGAGGCGAATACGATTGCGCCGTGCTCTGTTCCCCAATAGCAATTACGAAATTTTCGGCACAAATGTTCACAAGCAAAAGCATGGACAGCTGGCGCGACTGGTTCGGCGCAAAAGACGCCCACACGCAGTGTGCCTTTACACAAGGTTTGCAGACGGGACTTGCTACTTCTTCCGGTAGAATTCGCGGCATGTTGAGGATCCCGCTCCTCTGTGCCAGATGAGACGACGCTCCCTTCCGTAGAAGAAGAGGATGAAGCATAGTCTGCCATCACACCTCGAAGAAAAGTGGAACCAGCTTTGAAAAGTGTCACGCCGTTTCTCGCGATTACCTCAGCAAAGCGGAGTGGTTGTGGAGCGACAGGGGACCCTTCGAGAAGCACGGATGGAACGCCAGCGGTGAGCGCAGCAGAAATCATGTAGCTTTGACCTGTTATCCAAGCTGGTGTAGCCAGAACGAGCAAGCAGTCATCTTCATGAAAGCTTTGCCCGTACATCTTCCGAATTAACGGGTCGTTGTCCATGTCGTCATTCTCCTCCTGGACTGGCGAAGTTGCGTTTTCATCTCCAACGTTCTTGTTCTGGTTCTCGCTAGTCTCTAAAACAACGTCATTCGTTGCAGGTGTTTCTTCAACAACCGATCGTGAAGATGCACCCAGGGACTCCAGACCGATAGTCTTCGTAGCAAAGATCAACCTAAAGGACGCTGAGACGCCACATAGGAGACCCGCATGCGAATGCACTATCGGCTTCGGTGCTCCCGTACTCCCACTCGTGTAGACGATGCACATGGGCCAATTCGCGTCTACAGGCACAGGCGCCGCCTCATAGGTTTCGTAGCAGTATCGGACGAGACGCATATCGACATCTTCAGCATCAGCACGATTATTTTGCTCGCGCCGTCTAATTTGAGCAACGGCAGCGGCAGCGCATCGCGGTAGACCTCGTTGTTCCGTGATACCAGGCGCAGTCGTGCTTTCTTCACGCAGACCATAAGTTCGACAGATATTTCCGCTCAACTGCTTAGACAAGTCAAAAATTTCCGATCTTGCGCATATAAACCTTTCAGCACATTTGACAAATTCCCCGGCCCTCATGCGGCCGGAATCAGCCACGACGCTCATATCTGAGACAATCACGCGGAGACTCTTTTTGTCCATTCTAGCGAGTCGGACTGCCAGCTCGATCAGGTTCGTGTTTGCTTGAGCATCTGGGGTCGACCTCTGAGTCGCTGCAGCTGCTTTTGAACCTTCTTCAGCTTGGCTTTGTCCTACCTTAGTAGTAGTTGTGGACAACTGCAGGGTGGCGTCCTGATTGATGTTGGCCTTCTCGAGCGCTGCCGATTCGGTTTCTTCACCATCCCCACAATGTCTAAAGACATGCTCCACTGGCGGGAACAACTTCGCACCGCACGATGTTGAACTTGACGAACTTGGTGTAAAGAGAATCACAGCGGCTTTGCAATCCAGTTGTCGCATGCGGTCTAGCATGATCTCGGCAGACATACTCTCGGGAACGCAGGTGTAAATGAGTCCAGCTCTTTTACACGCCTCCACGAAAACGACGTGTTCGTACGTATTACTTCCGCAAATTAGCACGCGGTCGCCGACTCGAAGGTCTTGTTGTAGTTGTAGGTCGTCTGTGAAATCCGTCATATTGGACCGCAGCTGCTGGGATGTTGAGGACGAAGAGGAGGACGGTGAAGATTCTGCTGCTGTGACTTCGTGGTTGCGCCGGGAGATCTTTAGTATGCGACTTCTAGGACTTCCGGATCCTGTCGAAAGAACATGTTTGGCCCAGCATGAGTGCAAGAAAAGGTCGCGATAAGAATGCACTTCCGCTTTCCTGTCGCTTTTGTCGTGATCAGGATCACTCATCCGATGGAGTCGCTCGGAAATGAAAGCTGTGCATGGGCCAGCCCCGCGATGTAACCATCTGTCCACTTCATTCCAGGCTGCGTTCATCAGAGGCGCTCGATGTTGTGGCATGTCGCAGGTTTTCTTGCCACTGCCAGCTGCGAACCACGTGAACCATGGAGGCTGAGAGTCATTCAGCGGACTGGAAGAATCAGAATCAGGTCCAAGCAGGCACTTCTGAATATTCGAAGTCCAGGCACCATCGTAGAACCAATCCAGTTCTCTTGACGCGATGCTGACTTGTTGACGCACCAGGTGCGAAACACGAGGCGCTCGACACATCCCCGTATTTTGCCCGCCTGACACGACGATCTTTCCGCATGCCGTATTCATCCTCTCACCCTTCTCGTCTTCAGAACATGCAGCTACTGCAGTGTCGTTGTTCTCGCAGCGTCGTCTGTGGGAATCTTGCAGCATGGTTTCATTTCTATAATTCTCTTAACGTTAACTTCTACCGAATCAACATTAAGAAATGCTAAAAATGCTACCGAATCAACATTAAGAAATGCTAAAAATGCAGAACCATAGGTCGTGAAGTATAGATGTGCCCATCCACCTGTTCAAGAATGCTCAACGAACCTGGTATCAGATACAAATTAAAGATTGATCCTGATCCTCCTCGTCGTCATCGTTTGGTGTAGGCAGCCACTACATAATATCATGGTCGGCTCGGTCAAAAATCCACAAAGTACTTGGGATTTCGAAATTACAGGAACCTTACTTACAACGAGATAGGCGGTATAATTCTCCTTGCGGCAGCGCCATTATAGTGCATTCTATCGATCGATCTTAGCCTTAGTCTTTTCAGCTAACACTTGATCTCTAAGAGGGATCTTCTTGGTCTTGCTTCGATCTGTGTTCATGTCCCCAATCGGACCTCGTGTAGGCCACCAGAAGAGTGTGATCAAAAGGAAAGGATCGTCGTGATCTACTATATGTCTAGGAGTACCCTCCTAGAGTCTCATAAAAGCTGCAAAACTTTTCTTGTTCTTCGTGGGTCTGGTATTTCCTGGGAAAGTCTGTCTCAACAACGAACCAGAGGCGCGCAACGTTTAGTCTATCCTCGATGACGGACAGATCGCGTTTCCATTCTGCTCTACACGTTATACCTGCTGGGAATTACTTGGTTTGCTGCTGCATGAGAGGTAAAAATCCCCTACCTGTAGCTAGTAGAAGATAGTGATTATAGAGTCTCGTAGAACGAGAAGAAATTGATTACGTACTCATCTTGTTCAACAAGACGGTGCCTTTCACCATGGCGAAAGTTTCACTGCGAATCAATGCGAAGTGGTTCTAATTATAAAAATTCCAGAACGAATAAGAGTAAGAAACGTGGTGTTCATCATGTACTACGTGTTAAGCGAGCATTTTAGGCAGTGACACGCAAGGGCAAGCGAAAACATAGAAAAGCAAAATGATGCAGAATATAGAACTGCCATCCAGATTTAGCGTAAATATGTATGACGTGTTGCAAGAGAGGGTGTGATTGCGTTTTTTTTTATCAGTTCTTGCAGCTGCAGTCGTAGGCGTACCACCTCTCCTCCCCGCAGAGGTCGGACAAGGCCAATCTGAATTAGGATATTTGAGGCCCATTGGCTTCATGAGCGGGTCTGCGGAAAGCAGAAAACACCGCTGAAAATGGAAGATTAATCTCCCGAATTCATATTGTCTATCCTGTATGTGCTGCTGATTCTAAGTCCTTGGTATGTTCGATAATGAAATGAAAATTTAAGTGGACAAAAATAACAGCAAATAATGGATCGTCAGCGAGAGTCACATGCCATGTATGATCATGAAGAAAACTAACTACGAAGATTGTGATGTCATGAAGACTGAAAACACTGGTTTATATGCGTTGTAGGACTGGGAGTATACTAGAACTACCAGAGTAGTTGCAAGTAGAGCATCTCGTGCAACGACGTCCTTGAGATCAACTTCTATTTAAGGCTGATAGCGAGTTCTATGCGCGCCTAAAGCTCTTGCTAAAGGAATTTAGGCAGTTTTTTCGAGCAATGTAGGAAGATCCCACATTTCCGAGACTGCCATGTCGTAACCGCGAATTTTGAGGAAGTCCGTGTCTGCTTCTTTTTCCAACGCCTGAAGCTTTGCTCCTGCGTTCTTCACCTCGAGGTCGGCAGCGAGTGACGACTCGCCAGCTAGTGAAACGGCGCCGTCCAGTGAGAACCCGTTCAGCACCAAACCACTGCCCTCGAGTACCATTGTTGAGCCTTTAGCGACTTTGACGCCCTTGCCCGTGACCTTCCCCCGGAGCTGCGCCAGACTTAATGCGAAACTCGGTAGCAGCACGACCTGTGGTGCCAGCTGCTTCGAAATGCCTAAAAATTCAGTCTGCTCTGAGATCGCAGCTAGTTCTGCCTCGACACTCTACAGATTAGAACAAGAGGTAGAGGTAGGGGATGTAATGGAACTAACTCCTTGACACCTTGGTTGTAATCTTGATATTCTTAGTTAGTAGGTCGTTGAGTTCAGTTCATTTCTACTAGTGCAACAACTTCAAAAACAAAGGTCTTCAGTTAGGGTTTTCATTTTCTGAAAAAAGTGTAAGTTTATAACTAAGACCATTTCATAACAACGCTGTTCGCTTCACCCTCCGCGGGATCCTTCCCTGAGAGAAGCAGTAAGCGGTTTGCACAGTAGTACATGTCGCTTTCGCAGCTGAAGCAGCAGTCTGCGGGTTGCAGTGCTGCGGATTTCTTCTTCGCGTCCTCGAGGTTGTTTTTCACGCATGTGAAGCACAGCCATCGGTCGAACTTGGTAAAGCCAACTTTGACGCCGTCTTCGAAAAGCCTGGGAAAATCTTGCATCAGACACTCCAGGCGTGTTGGCTTGAATTTCGTCTTTTCTGCGTCCTGGAACTTCGGGTTCACGAATTCTGGCATCACACCCTGCGACCGATCCAGCGACGCAACATACTTCTCCAAGTTGAACATCAAAATATTTGTGTTGCCTGGATAAGCGCTATCATTCGCATCGTTCACAGCGCAGTCGCCGCCCTGCGATGCAAGCAGGCCACCTTGATGTAGATAAAAGTCGCGTAAGTACTTCTATCAATCACGGAACTATGAGGCCTAGATTGTAGGTCGTAATGTAGAGTCTACAACTTTAACCACTGTAGACTAACCCATGCACTAAAAACTTAAATTAAAACGAAGAGGAAGTTGGTATGAGGGATTCGGATTACTTAGCTGGAGGACCCGTGATGTTTCAATATAATAAATGTATAATTATCAACCGAAAGCGGAAAATGTACTCCAACTTCCATCACAGTACTATAAATAAAAGCCATCGACTATTTTTCTCGAAGAGACAAGAAAGAGAAACGCACTTTTCGTGATGAATCACCCTCGAAGTGTTTGTGTTCTTGTTTAGCTGGTACTAGTAAGAATACCAAGAAGATTGTATTCGACATTGATGACAAGTTTCTCAGGTAGGTCGCCAGCCGGCGCGTCCGCTTTCCTGACTAGTTGCACGATTGCGCCAGCAGCCTCTCCGGCTTTTCTCGGCACGGCGAGGGAATTCATAGCAAAATCATGCTTCACCTGTATCACGATGGAGAGCAGGGCATTTCATGCAACTGTACTCACCAAGCGACTTCATAATCATGATTCTGAATCGAAATCGGTATGAGAGACATCCTATGTAGTATAAGTAGAGCCAGCTTGTTGTAAAGCCGGCGGACCACGTGTCCTTATCAAGGAAGGAAGATCGTAAAAAGCAAGGATACGGACACTCCCAAGCAGGAAGCCATGGCACGAAAAGCAAGCGGGTTTGTGTCTTGAAAGAACATGAGATATTCGAGCTTCATCTCAGTGAGCCATTTCTTCGCAATGCCCTTCATATGCATCAGCGTGTGCACATCACCTGAAGATTAAATCAGAACGCTGGTTGTGGTTCAAGGTACGGAGCACAGAAAGTAGCATAAGTAGAAGGACGTGGTGAGACGTTGTACCTAGTACTAGAGGTAGAGCTAGGGGCTCGCATGTTTTTTGTTACTATCGCTTTGCCAGTGCGAGATCGTAGTTATTCTTGTACCGTGTCCGTGTGGTTTGGTTTCGATGCCGTCTTTTGCTTCGTTGAGGACAAATTCGCAATTTTCTCCGCTGAAGGCTGGAACTTTGTCCTGCTGCATGATGAAAAGCTGCTTTTCGTCAAGGCCAAAATTCTTGTTCTTTTCCAGCAATGCCATCGTTTTCGCGTGCGTGTCTCCCGATGTCATAATGCACAATGGAAGCGTCACCTTTTCGCCATCCTTTTTTAAGTGTTTGTGTTTTGATCGAGAACGAAAGAAATCTTGGGTCTCCCGTTGATTGTTACTGTACATGTTGGTCCTCAAAGACGTTGCTATCTTCCATGCCAGATCAAACAAGCTATACAGATGACAATTTCTGTAAATTTGACGGATTGTTCATCTGATCTTCGCACTATGACGACAACTAACTGCAAGTGCAACAGCTTTACAAAACAAGAATTCAAAGGATGAGCACGTACCGCCTTGCCCTTGTTAGCGTATTCTTGCGCCGCCAGGACGTATTTAACGTAGAGCTCCAGAAAGCACAGTTTAGTCGTCATTTCTGTTGGAATTTCCACCTTGATACCCGGATAACCAAGTCGTTCGCCGAGGCCACCTGCAACTAGGACAAAACCCAATTTACCTAGTTTCTCCATCCCGATTTTTTCATACTCTTCAAAGCCAACACTACCGGGACCTGCTGCACCACACAGATCTACGCCTTCCGCAAAGGAAACTGTGTAGTCCTCCAATGGATTCACATCGTTTTTCACGTCGTGCAGCAACTTCTTAGACCGTTCAATATACCCGAGCAAGCCGCCGGGTATACCTGGTCGTCGAAGGTACAACAACAAGTGACGGACATTCTTACACGATAGATACGGGGTCTGGTTCATCTGGTACTTCTACTAACTAGTCAAGAGCACGTGCTAATTGATGAAAAAATCAGCACCTTGGTCAAGGGAAGCGAGCTGTGTTGCCAATTTGGCTGCATCAACTCCTTCCGCCACGAGGTGGGCTTGGTTGTATTTCGTGTCTTCCATTTTGGCAATCCACTCTCCAGAGGCTGCACCCGTTTCCACTTTTGCGGCTGGCGCAGCAGCTTGCTCGCCTTCGCGGTCATCCATACGGCCCTTTCGACTCGGGGAAACAGCACAACAGACCACCATTTTCCTTCTCTATGATTGAAGTTGAGCTTCTCGCTCAGGATGAAGAATTGCAATTCTTAAACCTGCTAAGCTAGTCTTGATGAGCTTCCACATGATCAGCAATTAGGAATTGTGGAGCTTGACACTCATTCCATCGATCCTCTGCTCTTTTTGTTTTCATTGGCTCTCTTTTCCGTGCATGTGTGGGCTTTTTGGGCGGGTACCTCTCTTTACTTCACCTTGTTGTACTAACCTTGTTGCAGATCATAATGCTGAATCTACTTAAATGACAAGAATACCGTGGAGGCGCGGTAGACATCTACAGAAGCAGAAGGGTATTTATTAGCTGTAGCTAAATTGTAAGTAAAAAGTACTTACGTATTCCAAACGCAAGAACACCTCTTTTGTGGCTTTTCCACAATTATCAGGCATGCCGACGCTATTTGTGCGGTCTTCAGCTTTACTGCTGATTCGAGTTTTTCTATTTCCTGATGGCATTAGTCTTACAGTTACACAACTCTGGGCAAAGAAAACGATTTGACATGTTTCTTTATCATCGCAAAGGAGTGATTTCATCATGTGTCGTGTAATCCTTGTACCATCTCTATGATTCATACCATTGACCATGTCTTCGTGTACCATATATTCAGCTCCACCATGTCAAGAGTACATACAACTACCCACGACACGATTAACTAGTACACAGACGAGATGGACATGAATTTCAATGCAGAATACAAACATCTTCAATCTAATATACAGTCCTATGAAAGTATTCATGCTAAAGATTCAACCTCATGATATTAGACACTCTCGGTCTCGATCGAGAGATAGTTTTCAACGGTGGTTCTCCTTCTCATTTCTCATAAGCATACAATCGTAAAAATATCCCCGTTCCTTCGTCAACTACAGCGTCAAGGATGAGGTGATTGATTGACTGATTGATTGATGTGCCTGGCAAGAGGTAGTTCTAATTTGTTATTGAGGAACTTAACATGGCCAATTCTTATCGACCACGAACTCGCTTTCTCGTTCGCCTCCGCAGGTCTCTTTGCATGTGGTACAGGACGAGAACAATCCACCCTTTGGAGGAGGTTTCCTTACACTCGTTGGCACCAGCTTCGTCGGTCTGCGAAAAGTCATTTCCAGTGGCCTTGACTTCGATAACAAAAACATCTTCTCATCGTTCGTCAGCTCCGTATACCTGGGAATGGGATGTGATGAATCAATGGGGTACAACGACCGGTAGTAAAAGTATTCTTTATACTAGTACATAGAATCGACTTAAAGTTATAAAATGGAGGGAGAGGGACTACAACAGTGGAAACTGCCATGAAGCGCATAGGCTATCTAGCGCTATGGCTATCTTGGGTGAAGATGAAATGGGAAATAGTATCCCTATAGTATAATAGAACAATTTATACTAGGGGCGCCAGATTCAGGATGGGATGAATCGGATGGATCGCATGGACTTCCGAGGTCCGCCCGTCATCTGTTGTAGGACCCGAAGATTCAGGGGGGGGGCCCATCCGATCCATCCAAGTCCATCCTACATCCATTCTATATATTATAAATCATTCCACTTCTATAAGACAAGTCAGAAGTTCTACCCCGATCCATTGACGGCAACAAGCTCATCTCCGATTGCAACACCTAAGCTTGCGGCAAAATTTGTCCCCGATTCGACTAACGTGACCTTGCGACCCTTCATTCTGCATCCAGGATTTTTCTCCCCGCACGTACCAGACATCACCAGCGGCTGTAGGAGTTGGGGTGAGTATGGGCTACTTACATAAGATTAAAAACAAAGTACGAGTATCAAGCCGTCGCCCTATTAAAGAACAAGTAGATTGATATAATGCGAGGCGAGTGCTGTGTAGATGTAGAAAAGAGAGTCTTCACGACTGATTTGAGTAACAGTAAGTAGAGTAGAAGTCGCAGAAAAAGTACTTTTTCTGCTGGTCTCTGTAGTTCCAGTTTCGCCGCAGGTCGTCGCAATTCCTGGCTCCTCACTGCAGGCATGAGATTGATGAAGGACTGACCATTCACTGAGATGATGCGGTCGCCTGTGCTAATGTCCTCCTTCTCAGCCCAACTGCCTCGAACGACACTCACCACCTCGTTGTCGCAATACACCAGACCATGGTCCCCACCTTTGTCGAAAACGCAACAGTACGAAACTGTGACCGCCATTTTGATCGTGGATGTTGATCTAGATGCAAGAAAATGAAAAATTTGACAAGAAAAATAGGCGAAAACTTCTAAATCTTGTTTAATCAAGGAGATGATACCTTAAAGGATAGATTTCAGGGGAATAATAAGACTGATGCTGGTGTACTAGTACAACATACAGCAATTGTAAATGATTGAAGATTAGATACTTTTAGTTCTTACTGCGTATATTACAAGGAAGGGGAGAACAAGTCAGGTAGAAGTAATACAATCAGCTACCAGGTAGCGAAAGACCACGAAGAAATCAATAAATAAGCGAGGTGATGGTACTGGCTTGAAGATGTTGGAAGTGTACAAGGACAAGAAACTAATAGTAGCAACATCAGAAGACCGTTTGTGTCTAGAGTTAAAAGTGATGGATGGGATGGCCGTTCGCCTTCGCGTTGTGAATCCTGTTGCCTGCCCGTGCCCAAACAACATCACACACGCTACAACAGGTAAATGCTGGTCCACCTATCTAAGGCTACACTAAGATAAGTAAGTAGCGCCACACTCATGACGATGTTGTCGTGATAATAGTTAGGGAGGATACATATGGGAATCCTTTGTGGAAGAGTCCAGGTCTCATAAACACCTCCAACCTACCTATAACAGACCAATGACTATGAGTGGTGCGTCAACTCAGTACGAGCACAGAAATTCATCTAGCACTCATTCGAAACAGAGATTCACGAACGATCACGTACAGCTTCATCTCAGGTCTCTGCTAAGATTGCAAATCATTGAAGATTAAATAAGATTAAGAGATTTCAATTTCTGGCTTGCGACAGGCAGCGGCCAGGGCTCCAGAAGTCTGGGCTCAGAAGACATCAGTGAATTTCACAGACAACAAGACAGTAGAGTGTAGCTCTCAACACAAACAGATCAAGACATACCGAGTTCATCTTTATGCAGAAAATCTGTAATCACTCTCGCTCTAGAAGTACTCTTTCGCTTTCTGAATCACACACACACACACTGCTCCTTCTTTCACACACAACAGACTAGCAGGGCAGGTTAATGCACATGGCAGATTGGTAGAATTCAGTTGGATTCACATTGCCTAACGACTGAAGAACATTATCCTTATCGACATTATACAAATATGATCATGATGATCTTTATTCCTGACTCAGTCTGTTCATGGACTGCTTCGTACAAGAACTAGTGACAACCACAACTGCCCGTGCAACGCCCCCTCCGGCAGATACTGCAAGGAGGAAGGAGTAGAGGACCTAAGCGGTGACGTGGAAGGCTCCCCATGGAACAAGAATGTGTGTTTGCAGGCCGGCCATACCGTAAACAAGTGGCCCACCTCTGTGTTTGTGCTTGTGACGTCTAATCATTCTCACTTTTGAATAAAAGGGGCCGTACTCATAGCTGTTTCTATGATCCATCTTCGATCTATTTGTTCTCCACATCTTATAATGCATATTCCATATATTTCAGCACGCATATATTGTTTAGAAAAAAAACTAAGTAAGCAAGTGAAATCTCTGCATTTCAGAAATTGTGACAGACAAGAACAGGAGGAGGAAAGTCAGAAATGTAGATGAAAGCTAGCGGCCGGGCTGGCCAACTAGAACGACGATGCATAAAAAGTATCACGTGAAGCTTTTCGAACCGCGGGGATCGGTATGATGCGGGATAATTTCCACATCTTCATCAATATTCTAAAAGTAGCGATGATACATCTTCCACCAATACCAAATCTATCTCGTCTACAGGCTCCTACAACTCAACATGCCCGGAGCGGAGCTGTTGGAACTATGCATAAGTCAATGAGCTCTTTGTTAAGCACGTTTTCCGTCAAGAGCAACAGGCAGATGAGTTCAGATTAGTTTCTTAAGTCGACACACTTTAGGGTTAAGGCTAGAAGGTGAAGCGCGGGCAAGCGGCACAAGAAAGTAAGTAGGTAGCTGCATTCATCCAGCCAAGTACTGACCTTCCGTAAATGAACGCCATTCATTTTGATTTTTCGCAGCTTATCGTAGTCGCGCGAATCAATATCTTCCACGTTTTTAGCTCCCAGTGCGGTTAATCAAAAGGTCATGGCCCTCTTGCACCGTCCTGTCTTCAAATGGGCCATCTACTACGTCTACCCTCCCATGGTCGTGGTGATGCGACTCGCTTTTCAGAAGGATTTTCAACTTGCAGAATTTCATCTTGGTTATCATCATATCCAGCATATGGTTCTCTGACTAAGTGTTCTTGTTGGTGTGTTCTAAAGATATTGGGGCTATTTGTTGGCTTGATGTGTTTTTGACACTGCTGGTGCTCGACAAGATGAATGCTATCAATCGGCATCTGACCGCTCACACTCTCGTCAGGAGGTGCAGAGGCTTGGGAGTCAGACGATGAGGTGGCGTCATCCCCGTCGAGCATGTCTATATCACGCGGCAAAGAACTTCAACCAGAAAAAGAACCGTCACGAACAGGCCTAAGATTGGAAATAGATGTAGTCTCATGTTGTTGATGACGAACAGTAGCAGAATCTCCAGTCATGTCGTGCACATTCTCAAATATGTCGCATCTACCGAGACCAAGCGCTGTCGATTTCTCTCCTGTACCGATTGCTGCGAAATCCACCACTTCTTCTGACTGACCACTGGTGCGTCTTCGTGTTTGTTGTGGACTCATATCTGATGAGGACGGAGTAGATTCCGCGTTTCCCGGTCCTTTCGTGTTCGCGTGTAAAGGAATGCCCACACTACAAGAGCCAAATTGATGCGGACATGATTTTGATTCCACGACTTTGTTTCTCCCCGTGGTTGTAGCAGCACCAGTGGATTGCTCTAAAGTTCGTAGTGGCGGTGGCGGTTGTGAAGCGGAATGGCTCAAAGTCGTAGTTGCGGTCCGCGATGTTGAGTATCGTCCAAACGTGTCCTGCTCAGGAGAAGCACCATGATAGGCTTTGTAATTCCTGCCCCCTTCGTCCGCTTCCCTGTGTCGACCGTCATCATTAGAACTATCTGGCTTTTGGATGTGGATGCTTCTTGTTCTTGTTCTCGGTACGTCCACATGAGCCGGTGATTGTGTAGAAGTTGAGCCACGTCGGGGCCCTCCTCCAAAGCCTCCATCGTGGTTGTATCGTGTACCTCTTTTTCCTTCTTCCGCAACTGCCGTAGAGATGGCGCTCACGCTCATAGGTTGGGCCAGTTGATGTTGTTGTTGCTGCGGTGGATCGTAGACACAGCCAGGAACAGCTCCTCCGGCATCAACTAACTCTGTCGCACAACATCCGGCGCAGACGGCGGCGCATTGACTCGGGACCACTTCCTCTAACCGTTTCCAAGATGTTAAAACGTCTCTCCATTCTGACGGGAGTGTTCTGGCAGTTTGGAAGAGGTCACGCATACTGTCGAAGCCGTCTTGCAGCTTGTCACTCGCCCATACCACGTTGGTCGAGAGCCTCGGGGCATTCTGAGCGAGCCAGTCCGTGACGCCAATAAGATCGCCAAGCGGAGGCGACCAAGAAGTCATCGAAGACTCGTGTCCTCCTGAAGCCGAATCTCCACCTTCCAAGATCAAGGCTCCTGAAGAGGAGCCCAATTCTTCGCTGATAATCTGAAAACTTGCGGTGCGGACGTCGCCAATACTATCTGGAAACAATTCCTGCACTAGCGCGAGAGCAAAGTGATTACAGTTTCGGTGAAGAAGATCATAGGGCACCTCTTTGAGTACAACTAGAGGACCTGCTGGGTCTTGCTGGAGTTGATGATAGAACAGTAGTTGATGGTCCTCCATGTGACGGCTCGGGGGAGCATGATAATGCTCTGATGAAGACGAGGCAATATGTGCTTCTAATTCCGCTGGCCGAAAAGTCTTCATGGCGTCAATCACATCGCGCACATCTTCCCGAGTTCTTGGTATGCGGGGTGCTGTACCTTTCTCCTGTGACGATTGTTGAAACCAAGCAGAAACGGAGGAGGTCCTTCTCTCTTGCGTTTTTGACTGTGCATTCTCCTGCCATGAACCGAAACCAAAGTTATTCGCTCTTTCCTCGTTGAAACAAGGTCCATTAGTTCCTGATCCTGGGTCGGCATGTGATGTACGGGCAGCGGCTGGCCGGCCTAGCAAACCGATATAAATTTGAACGAATTCACGCTCACCGGGACTCGTTTTGGGAAGATAGCGTAGTCGGCGGAAGGGCTTCTGTGGTTGCCTCTCCCAGAGGGGTGTCTTCCACACGGACACGCCGCTGGCGCCAAAAAAGATCTCTTTCGTACCGACTTGCACTGCTGAGTGATACGCACGTCCGAGCGCATACCTTTGTAACCAGTCTGCCGTAGCTGGACTGGAAGTGGCCGCAGCAATTCCAGGACCTTTCGACGCATCTTCCTCTTGTTCTCGTGGCTCTTCTTGTTTGACTCTGTCTTCAACAACATCATCTAATGGACTCTCGTTCGCAGCAGCAGACACATGATATACGTTCACAAAGACAGGTAACGACCCTGGTGGCCAAAACGGCATAGTGGATTGGGTTGTTCTATAAAAATCTCCGAAACCAAAACTCCAAGTAGAACCAGTAGACGCGATGATTTCCCCGGTGCGAAGACCCTCTTGTTGTTGCGACGGAGCAGAACCAGCAAAGGTTCCAAGACCTGCAGAAGTTATTTTTGGATCTGCCAGGAGCGGTGTCATCTTCGCTTTGTTAGACGAGGGAGAAAACAAATTGCGGAGCCCTTCGAATGGGCTACTACGGGCCAAAACGGGCGCCGCTCGAGGAGACTTGTCACGGTTCATCGCGTTGTTAGTATCCTGGTGCTGTCCGGCGTATGCATTTGCTTCATCCTTGGGTGTGTCTCCACCTCCAAGTAGTGCTCGCCACAGGGAAGAACTATCTTCGCGGCTGCTTGCTGGACTATGACGGGACGATGAGTTCTCTCTCCTAGGGAAGAGAGATTTGTTCGTCCTTTTAATCAAGTTGTGCTTTTCCTCCACAGACGCGGAAGGCACCCTGTCTTCATCGTCCTGCACGCTTGATTCTCGGCTGAGTCCTTTGGTTCCTGTAGTGAGTATTCGGCTACGGTTCGACATAGTGGTCGGGCTTTGATGCGGTTTGCAATGGTAAGGTTTCGACGGACAAAGTCCCCCACCTCTGCTTGGACCGGGAGAGCTTGCGCCACAGGTGAGAAGAGACAGCGGGCTGGGAAAGCCCGCATAGCATCCTGTGTCTTCGAAGTCATCTCCATTCCCACAGCCGCCAGTCAGATAGGCAATTTTATGTCCATCGAATTCGTCCGCATCCGCGAAGGAGTCGAGCGACGGCGGTCGATGAGGCGCTTTGCTCCTCGATGCGCTTCCTCTAAATTTACAATTCGCACCAGAAGGAGAAGAGCCGGTCGCCTCTACATTGACGACGAGGGAACAAACTGTAAGCAACAAATTTATCACGACAAACGTCATTTTCAGTAGCAATCTGTATAAAGATCGTGGTCCTCTTGCATATTGTACAATGCAAAAATTATTATAAGTTGATAGATAAAAAACATAACAAAAAAAAAATCTACATTATTAAATCTACATTATTAAATCTACATTATTAAATCTACATTATTAAATCTACATTATCGAATCTACATTATCGCGATTTAATCTATATTATTAAATCTATATTATTAAATCTATATTATTAAATCTATATTATTAAATCTATATTATTAAATCTATATTATTAAATCTATATTATTAAATCTACATTATTAGTCTACATTATTAGTCTACATTATTAGTCTACATTATTAGTCTACATTATTAGTCTACATTATTAATCTACATTATTAATCTACATTATTAATCTACATTATTAATCTACATTATTAATCTATATTATTAATCTATATTATTAATCTCGCCATTGATCGCCGCCATAAAACTGCCCGCCTAACCCACCGGAGATTAGTCAACTTCTTTCGCGAAGCTATTGCCCATAGTCTCCTGCCCTTTCCCCTCAGTCTCAAGCCCGATAGCCTCCGGCCGTTTCCTTGTTGGGATTTACGTTGCGGCCCCGTGGCAGACCACCAGAAAAGAAGGCAGAAAAATGGCCGACGGGGGTGGGGGCGCAAGCTGGGGAGAAAAGTCCAAAGAGAGACAGCCAACGAAAGACCGCCCACCGAAAGGGCAAAGACCTTGGACCAAAGACACATGGACCAAAGCCGATCTTTGGACCAAAGACGAGCTTTGGACGAAGGGCGACCGTTGGACCAAGGGCGATCTTCGGACTAAAGGCGACCTTTGGACCAAAGACGACCTTTGGAGCACAGGCGATCTTTGACCCAAAGACGATCTTTGGCCCAAAGGCGATCTTTGACCCAGGGGCGACCTTTGGACCACAGGCGACCTCTGGACCACAGGAGACCTTGGGACTTAAGACGACACTGGGACCAAAGACGACCTTGAAACCAAAGACGACCTTGGGACCGAAGACGACCGCGGGACCACAGGCGACCTCTGGACCAAAGTGCGACGACCTCTGGACCACAGTAGGGCGACCTTTGGACCAGAGTAAGGCGACCTTTGGACCAAAGTAAGGCGACCTTTGGACCAAAGTAAGGCGACCTTTGGACCAAAGTGCGCCGACCTCTGGACCAAAGTAGGACGACCTCTGGACCAAAGTAAGGCGACCCTTCGGCCTCTGGACCAAAGTAGGGCGACCTTTGGACCAAAGTAGGGCGACCTTTGGACCAAAGTAGGGGAGGCGACCTTTGGACCAAAAACGACCTCTGGACCACAGACGACCTTTGGACCAAAGCCGACCTTTGGACCGAAGACGACCCTTGGGCCACAGGCGACCTGTGGACCACCGGCGACCTGTGGACCAAAGACGACCTTTGGGCCCAAGACCTCCGACAAGACAAGAGTGAGACCCACGACAGCAGACATCTGACGAACGACCTCCGCCAGAAAAACTGACGCGGGGCCTCCCTGTGGCGCGAGGCCCTTGAAGATAGCGAAGACCTTTCGCGAAGGACGTCAGTCCGGCGAACGCGGTCAATCTGGCGAAGCACGTCAGTCCGACGAAAGAACGGAATCAACCTTACGAAGGAGAGACATCCACAGCCCGAAGAGAGGCCCCGCTCAGCCTGTTCCGACGCAAGGCAGACGCCTGGCGAAGCATTGCGCCGGTCTGGCGAGAGGCCTCACCTGGCTGGCGAGTGCATCAGCCTGACGAACGGCGCCGAGCTGAAGCAAGCCATCAACCTGACCAAAGGCGTGAGTCTCGGCCCGGCGAGGAATGTCAGCCAGGCGAAGCGCTTCAGCCTGACGAGAGACGTCGCCCGACCCTGACGAAAAGCCTCAGCCTGACCCAAGACGCCTGCCGAGGGGCGCCGGCCTGCCCGACGAACGCCGCCAGCCTGGCGCAGAGCGTTGGGCTGACGAACGGCATCAGCCTGATGGAGGGCCTTAGTCTCCAGCTTGGTGAAAGACGTCAGCCAGCCGAGAGGCTTCAGCCACAGCCCGAAGCGCGACGCCGCACGACCCCGCGAAGTGCGCCCGCCTGTTTCTGACGAGAGACATCTGACGAAACAAAGAAGCCCCGCCAGGTGTAAGCGCGTAGAGAGACCCAAGCAGCGCGGCCCTGCGTTGCTTTGTCTTGTTTGGCCCATCAAGGTCGCCCCTCGTTCTTGCCTGGCGCCACCGCGAGGCGCTTGCGTGCGTTGGGGCTTGCGGATTCTTGTGCGTGTCTGGTGGCTCTCTTCTGGTTTTTTTGTTGGACTGCCGTGGGGGTCTTGCAAATTCTTAAGAATTTGCATGACCCGCCCGGCAATCTCAAAAAAAAAACCGAAGGCAGCGCAATGCCCTGCACATGAGTCGACGCATCTGAGTCGGCCACCGCCGGCACTCGGCTCTTGTCGTAGTCAATTCGTAAGGTGCATCAGCTCACCCGCCGGCTGTCTCTACTCTAGCGGCTGTAGCCCGTGGGAGGCCGCAGAAAAGTGCTAAACTAACTTGAAGCCGGGCGAAGCTTGTGGAGGCTAGTAGATGAACAAAAAATTATGTACTTACACTTAGCACAAGCACTAAGTAGTTACAACAGTTTTTCAACGATAAAGAAATCTTGCATATTCGCGTAAGAACTAATGGTCTCAAGGCACTCCTGCAGCCTTCTTTTCGGTTTACAACTACTTACTTACAACGTCGACGCTTTGTTAGAATAGGATCGATTTCCGGACAGCCTTTCCACCTGTCCTTTGTTTGTATTTGAATTTTTTGAATTCATACATTCTCATTCATACTCACGCTCTTGTGTCATTATTTTGCCGTTCTTCAATGAATCCGTAAGTGATCATGGACGACGGCCTATAGTACAACTGCAGGAGATTCTTTGGCAAATTGCTGCATCATGTAGACCAGAGCAGTGCTCAAGACATAGTTGGTCCCACAAGCACGACAAGGGTTTGATTGAAGCAAGTAGTAGAAGCGTGTGGAGTTTCGACTTCAGGTGACGGGGATCAATAACATGGATTGGAATGGATTTCGAAGTCGAGTTTTCAGCTCTAATGGAAAACACGTATCTGCAGCAAAAATGTCCGTGGCGGCGAGTAGACGTGAAATGTGGATGCACATTTCTCAGACTGTCGGTGAAGGTCATATTAATCTTCAGGTAGTAGATGTTGATGTTGTTGTAACTAGTACTAGTACCATGATCTTCTTCCAGGTACTATGATCTCTGTTGTGCCGCGGGGTGCGTAGAATATCAATAGAATGGATCGACGAGGTGCACACTAGAGAGCAATAACAAGTAAGTAATGAAATAACTAAGTGCTCGTTGGCTTATTATCATAAATGGCTGGTTCGAGGAAGGAATAAGGTAAATCTTCATGAGCTTTAAGTTTTTATATTCGTTTCAGAAATCATTTTTTTCGGGACAGGCGAGTCAGAAGACGCGCTACGATTAGCGAGTAATCTGTATCTCCACCACGCCCAAGCATCGGTATATTGGATTTAATTTCGAGGCGAATACTTGAGAAGTATTCACTAAGTGTAGGTGTAAGTAGGTGACAAGATATTCCTTTTAGAATGGCTAGTAGTAGGAACATTCTATGAACGAGAATCTTCAGACCCAGACGCAGAAATCATTTCACGACAGCAATATTAATGATGAGTGAAGAACTAGCTCAAGACTGTTCATCCTTACAATATTTCACCTCTTGTTCCTTGGAGGATCTGATATTTTGAAAAAAAGTTGTTTTTTCTAGTAATGTAAGTACAACTACATGACCGACTACAATTTCCTCACCTCATCTTTCAGGTCTGGCTCTAAAAGGAGTCTCCTCAATGTCCATTCTGTACAAAATGCAATCAATGGTGCACAAAAAAATATCGAACGTTCAAAGTAATTTTGATAGATGTGAATGTGAAGTCTGATGTAGCAACCGTTTTACCAGTCGCAAGAACTACTTCAACTGCACCACCCTGCGATTTTCTGGTATAGAAGCCATCTCCGTCATTGCTTCGTCGATGATATTCGAGATCACGCGCTTGCCGCTTTTGCTGCCGCCATCGAGAAGCTCCTTTGTGGCGGGAAGCATTACGCCTTGTCCGAGGACAACTCCTCCTTGTTTTGTAGAAGTGGATGTTGATACAACCACGTTGTTCGACGCATGATTGGTAGTTACTACCTCGCGTTCGCTGGCCACAGTGCTCTTACTACTGACTTGACTTGCGCCACTGTCATTGGCGTTCGGTATGCCAGCTCGTGCAGCTGCCAACTGGCCCGACGCATAGCTGTTAGTGTACGAATCGTCTTCATCTTCTATGATTTCGTCCTCAAAATCCTCGTCTTCGTAGTTCATCTGTTTTGCTCCCCCAGTTGTCGCGGTTGCAGTCACTGCACTAGCTCCAACAGCTCCTCTACTTATTAATGCACCACTGGGCTGTGCTGCAGCGCGACCAGCACAAGAGCTAGAAGCTCCACCTCCACCGTGCATAGGTGCCGCATCTGCAGCAGTAGGAATCACTCCTGACGTTGCTGCATGATTCGTTTTCCCAGTCGAACTAGGTGGATTCATCTTGTCTCCTCCGGGGCTGTCGCGATCGTCTAACTGCGTCGATGCTGCGCTGTTTCTTCGGCTCGTGGCAGGGTGCACGGAATCCAGCTTCCGTAGCCACTCCCGAAAGCACATGAGACCGTCCTCATTATGGTCGATTGCATTAAACATCTTCTCTATTACGAGCGGCCGCAGCATTTGCGCCAAACCGCATTGATGACAGGCTTGCGTAAACTGCATGATGTCTAATGTTCGACCCTGGTGGACGAAGACGAAGACGGATTTATTATAGGTTCAAGATGCTAGTAAGCGTAAGTAAGTACGAGGTCGAGGTTATTCATGATTATAATCACACGAAAATGTAGAAGACAATCAGATTCAGATACATAGATAGATCCTGAGTAGTACCTATTCATCTAGCCATATCAACTTTACCTGTCCGTCATGCCTGTTGACTGCGACGTGTTCGAGCGCAACCGTAAGTCGGTTTAGCAGAGTCTTGTTCAGACGCGCCTCAGTCGGGCTTAAACCAAAGAGCTCGTTGAAATCATGCTCAAAATTTCCTAGATTCTTCATCGCGCCGTATAAACCGTGATTGTAGTGCAGGCTGTGTATAAATGGATTTGTATGCAGATGTTGTTGTACTTCTAGGTTCGATCATGCACTTGTTCTTCCGTGTACTTGTCATGATTTTCATTTTCATCATGTATTTCTTCTTTTGTTTTGTGTTTCCACATACACAATCTTCACGAGACGCACTCAATCAAATTTGCAGTACGCTTCCTCTCCGCTGAGGTGTTCTACTGCCCCGCGCAGCCACATTGCTCCTCCTCGACTCCGAAGGGCACTCATCACTTCCGGTTTAAAGGGGTTGTGAAGAACATCACCTGGAGGAGACTTAGGAGCGGGTCAATTCAAATGTCATTCGTCTTCGTGTATATTCAGTGAATATCTGCTTCTTCCCGCGTGTTTAAGAGTTGTGCTAGTAGGTACTTTTAGTTCTATTACAACGAGTTGCATCAGGATAAGTGTTGTAAGATCTAGATTCCCAAACTCATTCTCATATTCATTCTTTGTTTTTTTAGCAAGCTGCGTACCAGTCACAACATCCCGCCGAGCCGCTTTCCGTATTGGCCTCGTTTTCGCTGCTGCGCTCGCATACGACCTCGATGATCGCGACGTAGCGGTGCGGTCGGAGTACACACTTCCTGGCATCTTTATTGTTCACCTGTGGTTATCTTGTCCCAGTGAAAAGTAGTAGCAGTTGCACAAGGACTGGTTGTGTATAATATACTTCAGATAAATCGCTGTTTATCAACATCGTATCCTGATGTAGGAGTGGACTCATCCGATGCCATGTTTTATGGTTGTTGCTAAGGAGTTTGTTGGTGATCGATTTGTATGTTGCTAAAAGGTGTCTGGTTCTGTTTGTGACGAGGCCGAGGGGATGTAATTTCTAGTGCTTGTGTTCAGGGGCTTCTACCTCCTTCTACGACGGAAACGTTGATGCACTTGTATTAATTGACGACGAGTGGACGAGCGATTTCTATCTTCGAGGATTTTTATCTTACTTTTTGTCTTTTCTGTCTGTTTTTTGCAAACTGTTTTTCCGATTTTCAATTATCATGTGTTTCGCTCGTGTCCTCAGACCACTCTGTCTCTTATTTGCGGCACTATGTATAGTACAACGAACTGAAGATTTTCTACTTCTAGTGCAAAACACAACTTAGGAAGTATTACCCTCAAAAGCGAACTCCAGTCCCGAGAACAATTCAAAGGCATCTTCATCTCGATCGGGCTAGGGAGACCACCACGGGTAGTCAACAGATTCAAGATAAATGGTTGCAATTTGGTGTGGAGTCAACCACACAGATCATACAAGTGCATCGTTGGGGGGTCTTGAGACTGTCTTTGGGGTACTGTGCAGTCGAGGAAGGTCTTCTTTTTCATCGACCTGCTAAACCAGCACAATGACATGTACGAAAAGGAAACCACTAAATAATGCGAACGACAACGATGGTATGATGATGTTGAAGATGTTACTCATTGATCATATTTATACATAAATACATTTACATGTTCAACATTGATGGCTACTTCGTCCTTCATTTTATTCCGTAATGCTGTTATCAATTACCAGGAAGATGGTCATTCTTCTCCTCACGATCACAATTTGACTTTTTGTACGAAGATGGCTTAACCGAAAGCCATTGGCAAGTACATGAGAAGGTAGGTGCTTGGGTCCGCCCACTGTGCTTCCCACTGTTTTCTTAGCGGGTTTTTGCAAAATTCTCCAGCCAGCATTGTCTTTTCCATATTCGCCTCCCGAATTGAGTTTATGCTGTGGCTCTCGGAGAATTCTTCTAGGTCTTTCTGCACAGTCTCAGGGTCTCCAAGTTCCGGTTTGAAGTGAGGCAGGTCCACGCACTGTTCGGCGCAGATGGAGGGAAAGGGGCTCAGTTCACTGTCGCTTTCTGCGCTTGATTGGTCCAGGGAGCTCTTCACCGGGAAAACGTGCAACACTCGTTGGACGACAATGTGGTCTGGTTTCTTTTCTTCTTCCGGTACAGCTGAAGGGTCTTCGACTCCTTCGGTGGAATTTCCTTCTTCCCCGACGAGCTCAGCATCTTCATCTTCACCTTCATTGCTTACTTTCTTGTCTTGCTCTTCAGTCTCGGTTTTAACGGCGTCGTTCGTCTTTTCTGTGCCTGTGGCCGAGAAAGCTTTTCTGAGTTCATCAGTTTTGGCATCTGCTGTTGCATGACCAGTCACTTCATCAGGCTTGCTTTCCGTACCTGATACATAGTTCCATGCTGGGACGAGTCCCTCGTTCCATAGTCGCAGGACATTTTCGCGGATATAAACTTTGTATCCGTGGACCGCGTGTCCTCCCACCAGTCGCGCCGTCGCTGCAGCGGCTTCTGCCGTTACTGTCGCCTGCTCTCGTGCAACGCCAGCTTCTTCCTCTAGTCCCGCGTACTCGACCACACTTTGTGCACCTGCCTGGGCGCTACTCGAGACAGCGCTGGCTCCCGCAGACACGGCGTCATAAACGGTGCGAGTTGCGCTACCCATCCAGTCACGCAAAGCTTTTTTGAACTCCCCATCGACACGAAGCTGCTGTTGGTCCGCATACTCAACTGCTTCCTTCGTAAATTCCACCAGCATAAATAGCTCAGGGTGTACAACCTAAAAAAAGTTGTGAGCAGAGATGAAGATCATAATGCATATTCTGAGACTGAGACCGTATTCAGTCGTAAGATGAACTGCAAATGCTTTGCAGAAGCAGAAAAAGAAAATCAAGAACTAAAATAAAAAGTACAACAAGTAGGCAATAAGAGGAATCAACGTTGTCAAAATTCTGAAGTACATCTCCATTCGCATTCGTGTATTTTCTGGTGACGTGGTAAAGGTGCAGACTTCCCCGACTGAGCTTGTCAACGTAGTCGGTGAGGTCCAAACCCAAGCTTTCGAGGGTCTCTGGTAAGGAAACGTGTTCATTGAGTGGAGTAATGGACTGAATTTCGGAGTGCACCACGTCATCACAAAAGCTTTCTACCTCTGCGTACTGCAACGGTCGTTGGCAGAAAATCGAACAAACCTGATGTATCAATTGATAAAAATAAATTGCTTGTTCTTCGCATTCAAAATTTGATGTTCTGAAAAAGAGATGATCCTCTGAAACTTGATCGTTATGATCTACTATCAAAAGGTATGCGTCGAAGATTTAGATAGTAGAGATAATTTTCTTTTCAACATTAACCTTACTTTTTTTTCCTTGTCGTCAGAAGGGGAATCCAGTGTTTACATCAGCAACGCATCAAGACAAAGCATTGCGATTTTTGGATTGGTCATCACATTATGAGTAGAAAGGTCATCGACATCGTCATGATGATGATATAAATCTATTAGTATGAGTAGTTGTACGTGATATTCGGTTTGTGAATTCTTGACTTCGAGATTCTGCAGACTATCCTTAGCTTTCTGCAAGGCAACCTTTTGTTCTTCGGAGGAAATGGATGACTGCGTAGCTTCTTCATCTGGTACATCGAGATCGTCCCGCTCCTCCTCGTTAATCATATAATCGGAAAAGAGGGAAACCGTTGCTGTTTTATTTTCTGTCTGAGCGTGAAGTTGGTCCTTCACTTGGTCCTTGTCGTCTTGATTCGCGGTGGGTGAAGGTTTCGAATCGTCAGAGGACGCAGCTGTTGATGCGACAACTTCTTGTGTCTCATCTTTACTGTTGGTCGAGGCTGCGCACAGTGCAGCGGGAGCGGCTTCACTTCCTTCTTTTCCATCAGCGTTTTTACCATCGCAGACCTGCAAATCATCACTCTTCTTTATTTCGAGCGCCTCGCTTGAGCTTTCGGCCACACATTTGCCGACAAACAAAGCTGTCAAGGCCAGCACCTGACGCATGCGTCGGCCGGTGCAACTGCTAGAGCTGCTGCTGGAACAAGTCCCGAGATAATTCTGAAAATGCGCCATGAGGTTCGTCGTCTGAAATAATTAATCAACGAAACTGTAATATTGGATTCAACTTCAAGTCGAAGAAAAAGGTTGTTGGAATAATATTCAGAAGAGAAAACTAGAAAGCTAAGAAAAAGAATGTCTGTCGCGAATAAATGGAATTATCAATGTTGACTGAACGAAGTGATCTCCAACACGATAAGCAGCTCGAACAGTCAGTAGAAATTGACCACTTCCAAAGAAAAATCACTAAAAAAATCACCGAACGAACCTGTGAAAAGGTATGATAAAGGAAGGAACGATAGAACCTCCTGCTTTGCAGTGATCGCAGATCAAAGCAATGATCCTACTAGATCGTAAATTTATTGATCTTTCGTTGCTTGCTGGCAACTTTCTAGTTCTCTGGATCTTGCTGTCTTCAACACACGACTTGATGTTGTTGAATGTCTCAAAAATAGTGATCTTCACACATGAGTTGAGGTGAAATCGTGTGGGTGTGAAAGGATCTCCAATAAAACGATCTCAATCGAATATGATCATTATGTTGCTCGTACGCCTTCATTGCTGGTCGTTTTGCATTGACTTTGTTAATACTAGGATCGTCTGACCCTTCTCGTCGTTATCGATATTACTTAGGGTGGTGTTCAATGCCTATGCCATCGAGAGGTCAATATCTTAGCTGCTCTTTCGGTTCGAGCCTGTATAATCCTTGCAATTTTTGCATTTTGTGTTGAATGGACGCCGGTGGATGTGGGTAGTTCATCAGGCATTAGTCTTGTGTTGGATCTCACAAGTCGAATCAACTTCTAAAGTTAGACCATTAATGCATCCCTGCCAAGAGGACCAGTTTTCATGCACCCCGCCAAATCTACCGATCCTCCAGGAATAATCGTAAGTACGTAGACTGAAAATTCAACATTTTTCACTCAGTTGTTTCATCGTTTATGGAGGATTCACCATAAACATCATACGCTATAAGAGAGACCAAAATTGTGTGACAGAGAGCGACCAACTACGCCTAAGACGAGGTGTAGGAATAGAATATTTATAATAGTGACAGAGAGCACGAGGTCATATACTTAATTTCTAGCTATATTAACAATTCCTCTAACTATGATCGTACGTTAATATTGAGTTGAAGCGAACTTGCAGATGTTGCTTACGTTCTCAGAAGTAAACTATGCTTCATGCGCTGTGTTATTTAAGTGGGAATTTGTTTTGTCTGGCAGGTCGGGGTCTCTTTATCAACATGAATATATTTCAGCACAGGGAGGGCGCGCTACTCTGCATCAGAGGGAGCTTTCTTTTGTCGATACTTTGGTTCATCATTTCACGACTCACGACTCTCTCTTGTTGTCAAAGTACTGCTCCAGGAGATCTACATATAATCGTTGCAGCATATTAGTCCTATTGATTTGTGGAAGTGCTATCTGTGCGTGTGCCCGTCGCCGAGGTTGCACGTGTGAATGTGGGTCAGGTGTGCAGCTATGTGGTCGTCCCGTCGCCGAGGTTGCATTTGATTGCACATACAAATGTAAGTCACGCTCACGGTCACACTCCCTCCGCGGCGTCTTCGAATAGTTCTGGTTCATTATCTCGTTCTTCGGTTTTGTTGAGGCTTTTCTTCGTATCAACATGCTCCTCTGTCGGTGTCGGAGCCACTACTTTTTCATCTGTGGGTGAGAGGAAAACGGGCTCAGTCTTCGTGACGCGCGTCGCGACCGGCCTTGGGGACACGTTCGTCATTAGGCTTTTCGGACTCAGTCGTGGTGATACTTGCGGCGAAACAAAGAGAGGCTTGTACTGCAAGAGACCTTGTTTTATTGTTTTTGTTTCTTGATTATGATTTTTGTAGAACAAGTCTGAAATTAATAAGAAAGACTTCTTAGCTAGTCGTCGAAGCATTGGCGGAGGAAGGTGAACGTCTTCCCGTGCCCGTGGTGAGTCGTGTAGCACTAGCAGTTCAGCCAGTTCAACTTCATTGTCTTCGTCTTGATGATGTATGAAGATGTAGTTACTTATAATATAGATACTTAGACCGGATGATAAATTGTTATGATGTTGAGGTATCATGATGAATTATGGTACGTCCGTCAGGTGACGTTGCAGTGAGACGGGTCTTCATTTTCGCAACCATTTCCGGGAGCGGTTGTCTTGCAGGCTTCTTTGTTCGGACGTCGCTTTTATCTATCGGCCGCGGACCCTCACTCGAGCTGGAGCATGCGGAACTGCTACTCGTAGCGGGGCCTCCACTTGTGCTGGACGATGACCCAGCCAGATGATTTTGTACGAGTAGTCGGGCCTGATTCATCGCAAATGCAGCTGGAGATTGAGGGACTCGGGAACTCGACGTAGCTGCACCAGACCCTCCTCCAACTCCGGATCGATTCGGAAATAGCAGATTCGAAGATGCAGCTATTGAATTCGTCGACACATTATTCCCCCCGTTTGAAAACGAAAGGGAGCGACTTAGGAAATCGCTAGTAGTGCTGTTTAGGAGTGATGGCGTCGGCACTGCTGCAAGCATGCTGTTTTTGGCACTCACACCCTGCTTATTTGGCTGCAAAGTAGAGGTATCCGCCGTTGGAGGAAGGAACCGACTTGCTGAGAGGTTGTTCTTACTTTTGCCCAGCAGAGACGAACTGCATCGACTCAAAGGGGAATCCTGCACGTAGGCTGGCGTTGTATCCTCGGGACTTGCGCCTACACCTGGTGACTCGCTACCCGCCCGCCGAGGTGCGGGCACTGCACTCGAGACTGATGAGGATGAGCTGCCGCTCTTGATGTTCTTCCCTCTACTAGCGCTACTCGAAGAAGTCCCAGGAAGTTTATTTGGTCTCCCTCGAGTTGTTGTTGTAGTAGTTGCTGCACCGCTATTCGGCTGTTTCGAGCTTTCACGTGAACTCAAGGAGACACTGCCGGATACATCTGCGGCCGCGCCCCCTCCCAGTGGTGGACGGCCGCTACTTTTGACATGTACTGGCATCGAGGTAGTCGCTCCCGATGAGGTCGCTGTCGACACCTGCATAGGCACGGACACGGAGGCCATCAAGGGGTCTTCCACTGCTTTGCTGTTCATCTGCTCTGGAGAATGCTGGGGGAAGGTTTTCCGAGTCGTCGCGGTTGATGTGAATGAAAGGTCTTTGGTATTCAGCCGTGGGGATAAGACACCTGCCATAGACGATATTCGAGGGCTCAGGCTCCCTGCGAAGTTCGGTCGCTGAGAGAGCAGTCTCGGACTGTATTTTGGGGACGAAAATTGCGTCTGAGAGGTAGAGGGGAACGGTCCCGTGGAACGGCGTTGCATGCGAAAGACACGAGACGAGTTTGGTGCTATCGTACTGGTGGTTGCGTCAGCAGATGCTGAAGAGGATGAAAGACGCCCGCCAGCAACGATTGCGGCATTGATCTCCCTCGACGTCGTTCTCGCCTCGCTTTGATCCAAAACAGTTTCCGTAAGACCATTCATTCCATCGCTTTCGACTGGTATTCTGTTCACATTTCTTGCAGCGGTCGAGGATGAAGACGAACCGCTGGTGCTCATTTTCCTCTGATCTTCAGTGTCAATCTGGCCACCAGCTGGAGTGACAGGGACAGAATCACCTGCACCTACGGGGCTCGTGGATGACGTTGGTGATTTGCTTCCATAGATTGTGCGACTGGGCTGCACTGATTTTCTTGTGGTTGGATCTACACGAGAGCTGGAAACGGAGTAGCCACAAGGGTAGAAGTCTGCCGTACCTCCCGGACTGCGGCCAAGCAGCGCGTGCTGCTGTGGGAGAAGTCTTTGAAACGCAGACTGTAAGCCCGAACTGGGTGATACCACAGGAGAAGTCACTCTCGACCCGGAATTTCCTGCAACCTTGTTCCTAAAAATTCGTGATCCCGTTGCACCTCCTCCAGTGCTTCCTGAGGAAAAGACACGACCCCTAGAAGACGATGATGAAGCTGTTGTACTGCTACTAGGTCCCACAACGCCGGTGCCCATTCTGCCTCCCAGTCTATTTTTTATCGACGAACGGGAAGATTCAAATTGCTCATCTAGGGAGCGTCGGACAGATGAAATCGACATATCATCCTCCGCAAACTCCGCACTTTCATAAGTTGCAGCAAATTTGACGCCGCGCGACCCACCTGGCGACGCGCCAGTATTTTCGTCGGCAACGACAAGGCTATTGGCTCCTTCGCTTTGCTCGTCCGAAAGTAGTTTCTGTCCTGGCGCACGATTGTAATTTGCGACTCCTGGGCGGCTGATTTTGTCACGACCCTCTTGCGTTCCACCCACCCCATCTGTCCATCTGGTTGGAATACTACTAATAGATGATGATGATGATGATGATGATGATGATGATGAAGTACCAGCGCGAGCACCTGAGCTACTATTTTGTCGACCACCTCCTCCACCAGCTACTAGATTTGACTCCGTACTGCTCCCGGGTGCGTCTGCTCGCTCGTCAAGGGGACTTGAATCTGGGTCAGCCTTGACGAACTTCTGCGCCGACCGCTGGATCTGCGAGCCGCAGAGTCCTGATGAAGAAGCTGGTGACTCCAGATCAAAATCCGCGCTCCGTGCGATAGAAGTTTGTATTGCCGTGCAGCCGGAGGCCCATGAAGAAATCACTTTCTTGTCGCTGGGAGGTGGCGACGCGACCGGAAGCAACTCCTCGATCAAATGTGTGCCATCTGGACCCGCAGTCAAATCCACCATCTGCGCCGCTTCTCCGACCGTAGCCGAAGAGGGCGGAACAACAGGTAGCACCTCTTGCAACGCTCCGCTGTCATCTTGCGGTTGCGGCGCATTTTCATTTCCTGCTTCCGCTATTTTTATTACTGCTCCCTTCCCTTCACCCCCAGAAGCTTGTCCTCGTTCAGGATCGCTAGAAGTAGTGGTATTCCGAACACTGCCAAAAACTTGCACTGATTTCTCTACAGCCAAAACCTCAGTCCTGCAGCTCTCCAAGAGCGACAGAGAATTGTCATCCTCTTCGTGGCTACTCCCAATCGGTGCTTGCTCTTCGGTGAGTGCAGCTAGGAACTCTCGCTGGGCTTGAGCAATGGCTGCCAACGATGAATTTTCGTTTGTGGTATCCGTTAGTGTTTTTGCCTCGTTCTGGCCGATTGCACCTTCTGCTGATGGTAATCCATCCTCGGCTACAAAAGATTGCTCCTGCAGGTCACGGATAACGGGTTGCTTGTCATTGTCTATCCCTATGTGTTCTCCAGCTGTGGCCTCCAGAGCAACTTGCCGTAATCTTTGGATCTCTGCGGTACTGCGTTGCTCGGTTTCCGCAAGCGCTTGCCTTGCAGCTTCACACTCGGAGGCTAAAAAGTCTATGGCTTTCTCTTTTTCGCCCATCGCGATTTCGAATTTGGCGACTTGGTCCTGTAACGTCGCTGCAGTCGTGCAAGAGAGAAAGAGCTGTTGTAACCAAGCATCTTTTCCTTCTCCCGAAAGACCATCCTCAGTATTGTTCGTGACCCGAAGAGCGTTGCCTCCACTTCTTCTGCTACCTGATGACTCTTCTTGGCCGTCAAGATCATGTTTCTCCCTAGAACTTCCAACGTCGGCGTCGGTGTTGTTGTTGAAACCAAGGAGAAGGTGTTGTTTTCCGATGAAATTTTTCACCTGCTCTGATGACCACACGCAGATGGATTGCTCTCTCCGTAACAATTCGAAGGCCCATTTTTGCTTCGATCTATCTCGATTGAGTAGTAGTCGCGGAGTAAAGCGGCAGTCTTCGACGACTTCGCCGTTATCGAGTCCGTGTAGTTCTTGTTCTGAATATTAGAGGAAGCGGTCATATTCGTGAATCATGTCGTGCTAGACGTAGACGGTCGAATTCTACCGAGTGTGCATGATCTTAAATTTTTTCTTTTTAGTGCGAGCAGAATCCGAGATGGAGAAGGGACTGCAGAGAAATGAAGCTCATGGCCCTTTCATCAATTGTAGAATGAATTATAGAGAGCCCGAGCCCTCTTCTTAAGTTGAATCAGCGCAAGGCGGGTTAAGTCTCCTTCGAGCTTCATTCGTCTTGAGATACTTGTTAGCTGCGCCATTTAGTGCTAGAGTCGACGCGTCCGGTCCGCCGGCCACTGCCGCATCCATTTGTTCTCCAGAAGTATTGGGAATTCCTCTAGCGGTCTCTTCCAGCAAGGATTCGACAGGTTTTCCTTCTACCGATGCGAGTGAAGGCTGTCCTTCTGCATCCCCAATTCCTTCACTGGTCGTCAAAACTGTCTTCGCAGTTGCGGATAGTGACGCTGACGAAGAGCCTCCTGCTTTTTTAGATGAAGATGCTCCACGTCGAGGTCCAGCTCCACTCCGTCCTAAGCTGACTTTTCGAGAAGAACTCTCCTGTGAGCTGTTGGAGCTGGAGCTCTTGCTATTGGCTCGACTAGCACCTCCACCGCTTCCTATACTTTTGTTCAGCATATCAGAAGATTCTGTCCGACTGCGAACGTCACGGCGAGAAGTAGTTGTAGCAGAGGAGGCGGATGATGCTCCCGCTGAAGCAATAGCGCATGAAACTGCCGCGAGGTCCTCACCTTTACGTTGATCTACTTGTTCAGATGGTAAAGAAGTTGCAGATGTAGTGCCAGTAGTGGTCGCGGTCGAGGAATTCTGGAAACTTGCAGCAGCAGCAGCGGTGGAGGAAGATGCACTAGTTGACGTCCCAGAAACGATTTTCGAAAACCCTTGAGTCTTTCCGTCACTGAGCGGGGTTCTTCTACCTGTAAGTTTCTCCATTCGAACGGCAGCGTCGCGAGCAGCTAGCAGTACGGTCCGACGCGTCGCATCTGGGACGATCGAGGAGGACGCTCCACCCACTTGCGCCTGGAATTAATGCAGCCTCAGAACAAGTTTTATCACATTTACTTTTACTATTACATTACTAGTGCAGTTGCCTTCTAAGTACTTAATCAAATGCTTAAATACGTTGAACTGGACTGCCAGTAGATTTTAAGAGATTTCAATTTATTGATGGCAACACATGGAGGAGGTGAATTTAGCAATAGCATCAAGAAAAAAACCATTGGAGACACCATAATTGAGACTGAGCTCTGCATCGCTTAGGGACTGTAGTTTGCGGCCGTCTACAGAAGGAGTGTAGTTTTGCAGGAAATGGACAACTTTGAGGCCTAGATTCAACTCCATGGCCCACTGCACGACGTCAGAAGTGCGCCAGCGTGCCATTTCGCTCGGTCTCCGTTCGCGATGCGCTTGAAATATCAGTGCCTGGAGGTACGTGTTAAAAAGTGCGAGGGAGTGCAGCTTACAACATCTCTGCGAGTAAACGGAATAAAAGACAAGTGTTGTTGTAAGTACAATGAATTACAAGTACTGTGTTGCCCCCGACGACGATATTTGAATGCATGTTGCGAGGATGAATTTTTCTAGCAATCTATCTATTAGGTCCTACCTTCCCCACGAGCCCTGCGCACAGCCTGTGGAGGTTACGCGCTTTTTTCCTGCTGACAATATTCGAACTCTTGGCGATATCTCCTGTTCTCGCAGCGTTTTCCTCGCTCTCTTCCTCTGTAGATTTTGATCCAGATCGTACTGCTAAGCCACTCGCATTGGCATCATGGATTTCTTAGAAAAGTTAATAAAGCCGTCTAAGCTCATGCTGTTGCTGACAAGCTTGTGCTAATTTAGCTGCGATTGTGTTATTTTTGCTTTATAGCATTTTTACCGGTACCTACGAGTACCTTCGTCTTCCAAGATGAAGAACAAGATGCAGTTGATCATGCTCACTTGCAGAGAATCAACTCAAGACATGCGCCAAAAAGCCATAAATCTTTTCCATCAGCAGTATGGAGTCTCGTATTGCCTCCGCCAAATTCGGTTGCCGATACACGCACAGCTCATCCCTTAACTGCGGAGAGGACAAGCCAGAAGGACTGGCGGGAGCACAAGTGCGAGACTTAGAGCTTGCTTCTTGACAAATGTTCTTCACTTCAAGTTTCAATCCTTCTTCGTTCCACCAGCTCCATTAAAAAATCATTTTCATACGTGGCTGCAGATACTAGGTGAAATTCGCCTTCGCGACGACTTGTTCAGAAGTTACTCAAAGTCGTGCAAAGAAGTAGTATCTCTTGCTTCACCTGCAACCCCTCGTTGATGCTGTGTACAGCTTGTAGGAACGAAGTCCTTAATTGAAGGAGAGGTACTCGTACTCGAATTCCATTGCTTTCCAGACGCGCAGAAAGCCTGCAGACAGGCGATCAAATCCACTGCTTGAAAATCTTCCGATTGATCTTGAAATCTTTTGGTACAACTGCCATTTTCTTTTGGTGCGGCTGCAGAAGTCTCACTCGCACGCCGTGCTAGCTCTTCGAGACACAAGACTGAAACCTACGGAGATGTTGGACATTTCCACCAACTAGTAGTGCCCTCTCAGGTGCCAAGAAGAAAAGCACGAACACCCTGACATTTGTAAAAGAGGATAGAGCAGAAGAAGAAGCAGCAGCGATAGAGAAGAAAAAGAAAAAGGAAAGACAAGAGAACTAAGTACAACATCTACTGCGTGTACTACAATAGGTGTAGGCGAAGAAAGACGTGTCTGTACCTCCGTCAGAAACTGTCTCGCGAGCTTCTCCTTCAGCGTCCTCTTCGTCTTCTCTTCTGCGTCCTTTAGAACGGGTTTATTTTCTCGCTGCGACTGTTTCTAAATGTAGATGTACCTGCTTACTTATCTCACAACTCTTTTATGGCCTTTTCGTCTAACCTGGAAAAAACATCAACCGTGGAACTGCTGCATGAGCATGTTATGATTGTTGCACTTGTAGATGTAGTTACTTACAACTTAAATAAAAAATACTAATACTAATTGTTGTCATGAAACATTCTTAATTGCTGTTCTCCTGCACCAACACTCGGTCGCGTCTCCCTAGTTGTAGCCGTGCCTCGAGGACGCAGAGATGTCGACGTGTATTCTTCGTACAGCTGGGTGAGTAATGTGTTGATTTCTTCGAAAATAACGCAGATAGGCGATAAACAAGTGTACAACTCGTCGAGGCATAGCCCAAACTGCACCTTTTTGCCCATAGCGTGACGCATGAACAAGCGACGACGAGTTCTGTGAAGCAGGATAAGATCAGATCATACTTAGTTACAGATGGAGATGACTCGGTAGAGTCATTTCTTTGTGAAAAATTCGTGGACGTGGTCGTTCATAGAGGTGTAACAACTCAGAGATTCCTCGTCCGCGCCAAGAAATGCTGGTCTGCCAGTAGTACTAGGTAGTCTAGACGAGAAGACTAGAAGCGACAAGTATAATTTTTCAACCTTGCCGCATTGGACCAGTCGTGTTTCGCTGTTTCTGTGAAAGTAGCACGCAGAGCTAAAATAGCCCATTCTGCAACAGGATAGCGATTTTGCTTCTCCTCGACGTTGACGAAGTCCACTTGCTCTAGTACTTGACTACCTTAGAGCTCACTCAAAAGAATGAGAGTGAGTCAAATGATCAGAGACATACGACAATACTAAGCTGATGACACACGCCGAGATCACGACTGAGAGCGAAGAGCTCAACACTAAATAAAAATATGTATACTATCCGCCTAGCTTTCTATTCCACGAAGTCTAACACCGGTTAGCATGCCAGCACCTAGACTATGCGATGCTCTGCGCCCTCAGGAGAAGAGAGGACACAAGACGCAACGTGAGAAAATCTTGGTCAACATTTTCTCTGATTCTATGTCTTCAGACAAAAATAAATATAAATGCATTTAGATGAAAAACATACGAAAGAACTACTTATACTTGGACATTGTTGTATGCGGAGCAGAAGGACGAGAGGAGAAGATGAAGAGAATGATGAGTACACGGTAGATTAATGTTACTTAATATGCGCCTTAAGACCATGGCCGACTATGTTTTCCTACTTTGTGAAAAATTGCTTCGACTAATTTTGTCCTTGACGCAGACTGCTGGTCCAATTCTAGAGTGTCGAGTGCTCCCTCTGTCAGGATATACGACCGGAAAACACAGTCTGACACTGCTCGAACGCAGCTTCGAAACTGACTCCGACATGACAGGCCGCAAGATGTTGCTGATGCCGTCCCTCCTGTAGTTGGTTCGGGAGGTGGACGAAGAAATGACACAGCATATGACATATCTACCAATGATACTTCTGCGACTTACTCCTCTGAGGCTCATTCATTCTCGAGAAATAAAAAATTTGTAGCACAGGAATATATAACGACGACAAAATGATCACTATGACTAGTATTCGACACTGTTACCCCCAGCTGCCGTGCCTGGTGGTTCTGCGTTCGAGTTCGTCGTGCTTGACGCGGCCTTGACGAGAAGCTCGTAGTATACTTCCAGGAGCACGCCATTCAGCGTTTCTAGAAGGAGCATCGGATTACTCACAATTTGATACAGGGCCGCGTGCTCCATCGGAGTACTTCCGCCTGCTGCGCTGCGGGTATCCGTTCTTTGCGTCATTTGCGTTTGTTTCGTATCCTCCTTGCCCGCCATGTTGATGTTCCTGGTGTCAGGTCCTTCTATGGATGGATCATGTAAGAAAGGGATTGTAAAAGTAGAACTAGAAAGTAAAAGAAGGACCGAAGAGAGCTATCGACTAGATTTGACACAGATTCATCCTTGTCTCTCTTTCTGTCACTCTGTAGCAGCTCGCCCTCCACCAAACTACACCTTTTATTTCGTTTTGTGTGAATTACTATTACTAACTTCTTGAATTTTGCCTGCAGCTTCTCTCATTGTCATTTCAGTCCGCTTACTTACTTACATCTTGCGTCAGCTACAGATTTCGCATTTTTCCTTGTTGTGACCGCTCGCCATTTCTTTGGTTTGCAATTTGTCAGAGAGCATTCTTGCATCATGGTCAACGCGGCGGCACCTAACGGCGACAAGAACTGCGCGACCGAGGGCCTTGCCCAGGCGACACCCGCAGCTCGTACCACAAGAAGAAAAGCAAAAGCCTTTCACATTTATAACTTGTTTATCATGATGAGTTTTCGCGGTTTTCATACTTGGTGGTGCTACTACTTCCTCTTCCTTGTAACTGTATACTAAGTGAGCCGCATTTATAATTTGATCCCCCTTGGTTTTGTTTCCGTTCTTTGACATGTAACGACAACCTTTCTGAGAAGGTCGGCTTAAATTCAATATTCTGTTCGATTCAATATTGTGAGTTTGCTCGATTCAATATTATGTTTATGTTAACTAACATACGTAATTCAACATCTTTTCATTCTATACGAATACACGAATACGAAACTACAAGAACAATGACAAAATGAATACGAAACAACATCACTGATAAAAGTTGGACTAACGATCATCATGTTCATGGCGTAAGCTTATGCACCATAAATAGCGACATGCATGTTCTTCGTGAGTACGATTTTTCATTAGTCTTCTTTTCATAACAACTGTGCATCTTCTTCGAAACTTGGTGCGAAAGTCACAGAGTATGAGGAGACGACGGCCTAGTTGGCATTGGCCTATCCGTATCCTTATGCTTCTAGAAGTACTACGTTTGTGTATATCATGATGGTCATGTAATCAAGCTATGCTATGAAGATGAGAATGACGAAGCCAACGCCTCTCGAAAAATATAAATTTGTAGATGATTACTAGCAGAAGAAGAGGAAACAAGCAGATACAGAAAACTTATTGCTCACGCTCACCTACTTCGATAAATTCAAAAAAATCTGATGAATTTTAAGAGTTATGGGCTACAGTGGTTTTCTAGTATGTCAAGCCTGCACGTGAAGAAGCAACAGAGATCAATCAAATTCATTTTCATACTCATCAGCATCGACAGGAAGGGGAACGCAATCTTTCTTCTCAAACCGTACTAGTGCGTATATACTCAACCAAAGAATTATCGAGAGGACATCCGGAAAGGCACCGCACACCAGTCTGCTTCCCAACAAAGCCTGAAGTTAGAAATTGAAGGAAGTGGCTGCTTGCAAGTTGTAGCGATAATATTTCAGTGGTTGCCATTCATCTACTGTGTAGAGGCACTGATGAATCGTTCCTAGGTTTTGTTCATACTTTGACCAAGTATATTAACAGAAGTAGATATTGCCGCAGCGACCAAGATCTAGTTGTGATCATCCTACCAACCGACGAGGAAGATGAAGAAGTGTAGACGATTTAATATTTAGCAATAGTACGCGAGGCTTCCTCTTCCTGTAGTCCTCCCATTCCCGGCTTTATTTCACAATGGGCCAACTCAGCTGGCTTGCACACGGTGGAGAATAAATTTTTGCAAATCATCAAACTTCATATCAAAAGCAACCTGGCAAAAGGACAAAATAATGATGAGTGCATGCCTCTTACAATCTTCGGATTGATGTTTGAAGTATTGCTTGGCTGTATGAAAGTAGATGATAGTTTGCAAATGAATTATCTGCGAATACAGTGACGGAGAGGAGGGACTTTGTTTTTCTATTAATGTCTTTCACGACTGTAATATTATGACAGTATACGCTACTTGAGCCGAAGACGTTGACGCAAACAACTCAGACTCAACGACTAAACGTTAGTACCTGTGACCAGTGCAGTACACCCATGATACTGAGTAGTGCTCGAAAGCGAGACCTACTAGTACTACTGGGCTTCTAGTACGATGACGATGGAGATGGCGCGAGCGCGACTACCTCCTATCCTAAGTTTCTGCTGTTTTCTTTCACTTCCGCTGCTTGCTCAGTTTCCCACAGACATCTCCGCTCTCGTCCTCCATGGTTCTTACTAGCCACTACTTAGCCATACTTTTGACTTTGTGCATTGCTGTTGGTCTGCTTCTAAAACTCTGGGTACAACTTTCATCTTTCTCTTCTTGAAGATGTTCTTCTACGCCCCTACTTCTAGCTCACTACTTCCTACCTCTTTCTATAACATATCTCCAACATCAACGTGATGGCTTCCTTCTCCTAGAGTAGCTATTTCCAGCTCTATTAGACCTCTTCCGGGGAAGAAGATGCTGAAGTCTCGACAATATCCTTGATGTTGTACTCCTGTGGTTTATTGAAGGAAATCGAAGCCGTTTCTTCCTTGTCAACCAAAGAATCATCGAAGAAAAAGCCGGAATGGCACCACACACCACCACCAGTCTGCTTACCAACAAAGCCTGAATTTTGATATTGCAGATGGAAGTAATCGCTATCGCCCCACCCAGACGAGGATTTTACTTCGTCCATTAACATCATTCCTCGATTGTTGTATAAGGCTAAGTAGTTCCTGGGTTTTGTTCACCACAATTTGACTTCACAATGCAAAATAATATTTATAATCAGTATCAGAATGGCCTACATATAACAGTAACAGAAAAAATTGCTGCACCAGAGATCAGGATCCTCTATTTGTATTCGTAAGCATCATGATCACCCAACCAAGTATAGACGAAAATTTCAGTAGTTGTACACGCGGATCCGTTCTGTTTTCCCGGTTTTTTTCCGCACTGGGGCGACTCAGCTGGCTCGCACTCGGTGGACAACTTCTGCAAATATTCCCCAGACTGCATATCAGGTACTGGCACAGGTGGCAACCTGACAAATGGACAGAATCTCATGATGAGTGCACGCCTCCTACAAACTTGGGATAGTTTGACTTGGTATTTAATTAAGTCGAATTGTAAATGGATTACCTACAAGTACTTCTAGCTCACTCGTACTTCCTACCTCTTTCTATATTTTCAACATCAACACGATGCTTTCCTTCTCCTAGAGTAGCTATTTCCAGCTCTATTAGACCTCTTCCGGGGAAGAATGTGCCAAAGTCTCGACAATATCGCAGATGTTGTACCCCGGTGGCTTATTGAAGGAAATCGAAGCCGTTTCTTTCTTGTCAACCAGAGAATCATCGGGGAAAAATCCGGAATGGCACCACACACCAGTCTGCTTCCCAACAAAGCCTGAATTTGGATATTGCAGATGGAAGCACTTAATCGCTATCGCCCCATCGAGATAAAGATAGCACTTCGTTGATTAACATTCCTCGATTGTTGTATAGGGCTAGCAAGTTCCTGGGTGCTGTTGTTCACTACAATTTGACTTCATCACAATGCAGAATAATATATCAAAGAACCAGAATCAGAATGACCTGTAACAGAAAAAATTGCTGCACCAGAGAAGTATCTATAGATAAGAAAAGATATGAGTACTTGTACACGGGGCTTCGTTCTGTTTTCCCGGTTTTTTTCCGCAACGGGGCGACTCATCTGGCTTGCACTCGGTGGGCAACTTCTGCAAATAATCCCCAAACTGCATACCAGGTACTGGCACAGGTGGCAACCTGACAAATGGACAGAATCTAATGATGAGTGCGCGCCTCTTACAAGAAATGTGAAAAAAAGGATTACCTACAAGCGCAATGACGGAGAGGGACTTAGTACTAGACTTTGTAGCTTTTCTTTTCATTTCTTTCAAGACTGTAGCATGATCATGATAGCATCTATACGTGTAGGAATTCGGAGACGCGGTAGAGCCGTAGTTGATGTGCGCATGTTCTTTCTTGAAGGAGGTGGACTTGGGGGACGCGCAGCATTTTCCTTTGTTGGTATTATGATTTTTACCGCCGCTTCTGCGGCAGATGATGCGCAAGAACTTCCACAGAAAGAAGACGCAGAAAGCCAGCAAAGCTCCGTAGAGCAACGCGATCGGGCTCCTAAACGCAAGCTGTAGCTGGTGCGATCGCGTGGACGCAGGGCTAGACGTCGACACACTGGCGCTGGACTGGAGAAGCGAAGTTGCAGCTGTGCGCATGCGAAATGTCGGCTCAGCATTTTTTGGGAGGACCATCTTCGTGTCCTCGGTCACCCCCCGCATCTTTATCAAGCAGTTGGCTACTCCTAGCGAAACTTTTCCAGCTTGCTGACGCAGCGCACGAAGATAAAGATCTTCACGATCACCTTCGCTAATAAGATAGCTCTTGTTCTCCTGCTGCTCAAGTTTATGAACGCGGACGCTGTACGTGTACAGCTGAAAATGTTGACTCAGCTTGTGAGCCCCTTGAGCGTTTCACTTGAGACATGAACAGAATGAGAATGCGCGCGCACTGTTGTTGTTTAGTCATGGGACTGACCGGGCCCGCCTTGTCGCTTTTCTTCTGTCTCTGTTCTGTGCTTGCTCAAGGTCATGGCCCAGCCCTTCTTGCTCATCCTTTTCATCACCATGAGACTCAGAACAGCGTCAGGCCCTGGATCACCATGAGACCCAGAACAAAAGTGGAACAGCATAAGAAAGACACACGAAGCCCACAGCCTCAAGCCCATACTTGCAAGATGTGAAGCCCAAGAAACTGATCGCCGAAAGCTTCCGAAAGTTCAGCGCATAGACAGACCTCCAGCCAATCAAAAGGCCGACGCGCGTGGCGTGATTCCCGCCGCGCGCCGCGGCTCTCTTTGTTGCTCTCTCGCTCTGTCAGTCTCTGCCCCCTGTCTTTCACACCGGGCCCATCTTCACCCAAAGCGCGAAGCCCGCTGCCCCTAAGCATGGGCGCGCTGGCTCTTCTATTTGTCAGCCTCTCGCTCACTCTGTCAGCCTCCGCCCCTGTGCGATGGGCCTTCGCCGTCTCCGTGCGAGTCAATGTGTGGGGAGCTACCTCTCTGGCAAAAAACTAGCCAACGAACCCCCATCGCTCGAGGACATATGCACCGACGCCCCCGCGCTCCCTTTCTTACTACATGAAAGTAGGCTCTGACACGACTTAGCTGTTCACTCAGGTCCCTAGCGTAATAGGGCGGCAAGTGAAAAGGAAGTAGCCACGACCTAAGAAGGCCCTATCGGATCACTAAGTAGGAACTAGACCTCGATAATGAGTCACTCCTACCTAGCCTCAAAGATCCCGTCAGATAGAGCGGCTGTTAGGCTCGCGGAGCGAATTCAAAAGTCAAAAGGGAACTGGGCGGGTGGGACGCTCAATTCTGACGATGAGGCGTGGAGGAGACGTGATGGACGTACCCTCACTCGCGCGCTCACCCTCCACGACACTCATATAGAAGAACGCCTTATCATTATGATTCGCGCCGACATTCATCCAGGTGGCACGCACCTTTAGTGGTTCTCACTCACCTGCAATGAAAGTAGGCTCTGACACGACTTAGCTGCTCACTCAGGTCCCTAGCGTAATAGGGCGGCAAGTGAAAAGGAAGTAGCCACGACCTAAGAAGGCCCTATCGGATCACTAAGTAGGAACTAGACCTCGATATTTCCGATTTTCCAACATTCCCAAAACCCCCTACGATTTCGGAACAGCGCTCCCCTTGCTTGCAAGGTGGGTCTGTCGCAGTTGCAATTTCTCCAACGGCAGAGTTGCCAGCACCCACATGCCAATGTCGGACCTTGGCAAGTTCGTAAAACTGCCGTCTTTCTCCATTACGCCAAACAATAGACCACTCTTTTTCAATTTCGCGACGCGGTGGAACCTCGCGTACAGGTACGCGTGCTTCGACTTGTATCGCGGTACCAACATGATGCACGCTGGCCTCTGCTGCTCGGCCAGTGTCATCATGGGAGCAATCTTTTTCTTGAGGAGGGGAAGTGCAAGGTCATTGGAAGGAAACCACCATGAAATTTCTTGATATAAACTTTCATCACTCCATCTAAAAGCATCCTCTCTAATTGTAACAAACCTGGGCAGCGCCGCGCTTGATCCAAAGTTTGCTGCCAGCATATCCACCGTCGGCGTCATTCGCAATCTAGCCCAAAGGGCGAGCCGCGGCCGCTTGAGCAGGAATCGATGTGGCAAAGGGTCTGAATTTGTAGCATTCAGCGCCAGGCGGGATAACATGTCCGCCACCACGTTGTATTTGCCTCTCAAATGTTCCGCCACCAAAGTGCATCCTAACTTTGCGCATTGCAAGGCGATCTTGCGACCGTAGAACGATAGTAGCGAGTTGCGCCCGGCTCCGAAGTTCAAGTAGTGTCGAGTTGTCATGTTATCCGTCCGATAAAGTAACAACTTGCCGCGTGCCACATGTGCGTACTTCGTGAGGAATTCTAACGTCAACGCTAATTCCCTCAAGTTCGATGATGACTGCTCGCCGTTGATGAACGTGAACCCACCCGCAAAGCGGGTCTCGTTGTCGTTGGTGGTCACTCCCCAACCCTTGCCTGACCACGCGTCTCCAGTGAAGGTGAGGAAAAGGGACTCGGGAATTCTATCTATAATTGTGGGATGTTCGACCAACTCTGGGGCGAACAGGCAGCACTTGTCGCCAAGTGTTCTATAAATCCGCAGCGTTGGTGTGGACTCCAATGCTTCGACCCACCACTCGATGTCTATCCTAGCGTGCTCGGATAGCTTGACGATAGGATCGAATCGCCTGAAACCCGCCGTCCATTTCTTCACTGCACCACAATCGCTTAAAGCATCATAGATCGCTCTCAGGTATAGTCGCCCAATCCTCAGCACCACGGTAACGAAACAGAAACGACCAGCGAGCCTCGAGAGGGCCTTTGCCGACAATGTGCCTGCCCTGTCCGATTGCAACACTTCCCTTGCAAATTCCACGTACTTACCTCTTTTCTCCTCTTGCACCGTCACCAGCAACTCGACGGCGTTGATGTGGAACCCAATCCAGTCGAAAGACGTCGTAGGAAAAGTGAATTTATCCAATTTTTCGGGGCGAAAGGGGTGTAGGATTACTCCTAACTCCTTAAGCCAGCAACGTGTTTGCATCATGGATTTATGGACCGACTCGAAACACTTGGGGCTTCTGGAGCAGGTGGCGCGAATGTCGTCTACGTAGTCGAACACGGTGAGCCCCGGAAACAGCTTTGCAACCGCCCTGAGTGTCTCCTTCAGCGCCTCGTCGTTGGCACCCGGCGAGATGCTCAACCCCATTGCTAAGAAGAGTAGCTGCACCATATGACCCTGTTTGCGATAATCTGTCATCCCCAGTAGTCGCCTGAATTCTGGACTGACAAGCCACAAGAAAAAACAATCTTTGATGTCGGCGCCCCAAAAGAAGGCGCCCGGCACTAGACTCGACACCAACATCGCAATGCTGCCATACTGCGTCGCTACATCCGCCAGCATCGGGCTTAGCCCGATGATGGTCCAGTCGTTGACTAGTCTGGCTCTGTGATCTTTGATGATGATGCTGCCCGGCGCCCGCGAAAAGCCTGGCGGCACACAGTCACCCCACTCGATCACCTTACCTGCGGTCGCAAGTCTGTCTATTTCAGCTATGGCTACCTCCCTGTGCTCGTCGATGGCGGGGAAGTCTCGCCGCTCAAACATTGACTGCGAGAGCTTCCTCCGCTTGCGCATTAATTCCACTTGGTCCTCGTCGATAAGCGGCAAGTTCCAACCTCCGAAAAGCTTGCCTCTCATTTCGTCAGAAATACCAATCTTGTCAGCCACCTCCGCCGAAATAGACAAAGCCCGTGTGGCTTGCTCGTCTTCTTTCTTGCGAAAGTCGTCTCGAGGCCCCGGCCTGGACTCGAGGAAAGCGAGTCTTTCGTCATTGCTCTGGGGGATCTTGTGACCGTTAACCATCACTGGCTCCCTCAGCGGGAGCTGCCGTAAGCGCTGCGCCACTATGCCCTCTGCCTCGCTGTCCCATGCCGGTACTGAAAGATCGTAGATGCGCCGAATCTCCTCGATGTCCGCCATTTCCTGCTCTGAGTTGAGTAAATACAAATACACAATTAGTAGTATTATCCATATGACTAGACATCCAACCTAACTCAAGGACATATAGCGAGTGTGCAAAGATGAAACTTAACCCAAGTAATTATATATATGTAGTTGCGCATTAAATCCATTCGCCTTTGCATGACTCGCTTCGCTTCCGCAAACATCCCGACCACCGCCGTGATCCTTTGTGACATCGTTTATGCATCTAATTTCGACTCCGGGCCCGTTAAGGCGGAGTTAATTTCAAGGCATCACGGAAGAAACGTCTCTCACAAAAAGCCCTTACCTCTTGCTGGGGATCATGTCGTCAATAACGCTGTCTAATTGCGATGAGTCAAAAACTAACGAAGCGCACTTCGGCTGCTTCAATTGTTGCCCCCATTTTTTCCATTGGTTCTTGACGAGCCACTTTCTAGTCTTCACTCCCAACAGGTGCGCTACCTTCCCCACATCTTTGTCTTTCAGTAAGACGTCAACTCGCACCCTTGGCCTTGCTGATGCAAAGGCTGCTAAATTCTCCTCTTCCGACATTGATTCCGTAAGTCCTCCTGCAATGACGTCCAGTCTGCGTACCTGTTCCATGTTTTCGAGGATGGACGTCGAAGCCAACGTTAATTGTTCCGGTTGCAGAGCTGCGTAGAACTTTTCCAAAGTCGTCGTCTTGTTGCTCAGTCCCCCTAATTTCAAAGCGACGCCGCGATTGAATTGGGAGTGCAAGGACATTCCTGACGCTCTCAATCCGACCACCCTCGGCGTGCCGCTTTTGTTCTTTTCCAGAAGTACAGTCTCAGCTTCTTTTATTTGTTGCATCAAATAACTACTGAAGCCGATGGATGATATCTTGTTCAAACGTGCCCGCGGCGCGTCGTATGTCACGAACACGTAGTCTTTCTCGCGGTCCACCTGCTTCCCTTTTACCAAGTCTATATTATCAGCGTCGTCGCACGTAGTGACTCTTGGCATGCTCCACGCTTTTTCGTTGACGAGAAAGTGGTGAAGTTGCTGCAACGCGCCCGCAATCGCTTTTGGAGACGGTAGTAAATATCTCGGTGAAGGGACGATCGCGGTGGTGCCTCTCGCCAATCTGTCTGCTTTTGCTTTGACGATGTTGAGGCTTAGCGACCCATCCTCCTTGGCATCCACACACGACCACTCAAGCTCGTACATCTCCGACTTCCTCCTTTCCGCCAGCAAACCAATCCGCAGCGCCAACAACGTCCGCAACACCGCACCAAAGCGATGCAGCTCATTTGCTGTCTTGATGGAAGCGGTGCAACCTTGTCCCTGCGCTTGTTGACCTCGCCGGGGTGGATGAGAGAAGTCTTTTGGAAGTCTCAAGGAAATCCCTGGGATTTCTGTAGAACTTGCGAGCCTTTGAGCAGGTGGGGAGGCAGTATCGCTGAGGGTTTTTCTGCTGTTTCTTATATGATGACTCCTAATGACTGCCAGTGAGTCCATGCGCCTGAGTTACTAGCTAGTGGACTTGTGGTCGCATCTGGATAAGGAGCGCGCGAACCATCAGAGAAGGATTGTGGGAGCAGTTTCGCCTGGAGAGGCTTCTGCTGTGTTGTGATGAAGTCTCTTGGCTCCACTAGGTCGCTTCGGTAGTCTCTGAGGGTCAGAAGATCGCCGGTCTTGGATGTGGTGAAGCACGCGGCAGTTCGGTTGGGTTTTGGTTGAGAGATCGGTGAGAGAGTGAGGCAAGCCAGAGGGCGTGCGCGAACATTGAAGAAGGAGGGAAGCAAAAAGGCTCGAAACTAGAAGAAAAAGGTCGAGCAAGCAAAGCGGGCAAATCGGGCAAAAGGTGGCTGCGTAGGAGTTAGGTAGTTGAGTAAAGCACGGCCTTAGTTAAAGATGGGTCGCTTAAGATAGTCTGGCAGCCAACACGAACGCCCCCGGTCGCATATGCTTATCTAGGTAGAAATAACCTCAATCGCGGTGGTGAAGTAAAAAGTTTCTACTTAAGGCCATGCAAGATTTGAAAGGTTGAGCAAGATGGTGCGCCAGATGTTTGCCCAGCTGGGTGGCCCTGCGGGGCGGCGGCAGCGCCAAACAAGACAGCAGACAGTGGGCGCCCGCGCTCACAAAGCGACGCTTTCTATCTGGGTGGCCAGATGCCTCAGCAGTCGTTATCTCTCTCTTCTTCTTTTGCTGCTCAGCTTGGGGAGCTTGTGCAGCATTCCATGTGGAATGGCAGTCGATCCTCTGCAAGGTGGAGGAAGTGGGTCGACCTCTAGTGGGAACTTGCTCCAAGAAGATCACCAGCTTCCCACATGGCAGTTCTTCAACACGCGAAACCAGCTCCATCCCCGGCAGTTATGGAGGCTTGGCAGCCTTTTGGTCGATGGTGCTTGGGAGGCAGCTCGGAAGAGAGTAGGGCAGGCGAAGTACAACGTCGTGCAGTATCGCGTTGAGAACGATGGAACCACCACCCAGCAGCTGCACTTCCAAAATGATGTAGTCGGCCGACTTCGCATCTTCGCGCATCAGATCATTAGCCTGGTGACAGTGAACTTCCAGCTTGCGGGCATCGAAGAGTCGGGGAGCTTCTACCTACCAGCGCACACAGTGCTGTACCCTAACATCGCACAGTTTGGCGAAGGAAAACGAAACCGGAAGTCTTGCTTTAGGGGGTACTCGGAGGCTTATGAGATCGCCGACCAGATCTGGGCCCAGCATGATCCCGAAGAGTTCTTCAGAGATATCCCCATCAGCACGATCAAGATCTGGAGCCCTTCTTGTGACAGCGGCGGGTCGACCATCAACTTGCTCTTCTACTTGGGGACGATGCTGATCGAGTCACCGAAATTAGCTGGGCGGGTCATATTTTGGCCAGACCGATGCAAGAACCACCAGTGTGCTCTGGCATGCAAATCAACCGCGGAACTCTATCTGGGACTGGCTGGACTAGATCCAACAGCATGGCAGAAGCGTCTCTACCTTCAGGTATTATATATGCACCACATTACTAGACCAAGAACAGGGGCAAAGCGCTTCCCATTGAACTCCAACGACGCGCATGCGCTTCGCCCATCTTTGGCCTGGGAGTGCTGTTGATTTGTGTGTAAGTGTTTTCTGATGTAGTGGCTTCAGGGGTCTCCTTCATCTGTTTACTTTTTGACTAGACTCATTCCCAACTGTGGGCTTTCTCTTATCATCTTCTGGACTATCTCCTACCAATTTCTGGGGAGAGTGGTCGCCTTTTCTCCTATTAGCATCCACACCCCATGCGCTTTCAGTGCGATTGCTACAGCAGAAAGTACAGACAGAGCTGGAGCGTGTAGCGGCTTGGATCCAGTGCTTTAGCTCAAACCACAGCGAGCCCGAACCGCAGGAAGGCCTGAGGGAGTTCTTGGAACGTGCTGGGGTCAGTAAAAAGCAGCAGGAGGAGCTGCTTCGTGGGCGCATTGAGCGGCAGAGGCTGGTAGTAGGCTACGAGGGCACGCGGACCATGATGCGCACACTTCATGGACTCTACAAGGGATGGCCGCTGCCGATCTGGACGAGGTGCGTGGCTCACGGTTTTAGGTGTGTGCTCGCGGTACTGCGTCTGTATGGCGTACTTTTTGGCCCGTGTTTTTTTTGGTCTGGGGCGCAACATCAAGTTTGGCAACGACCATGTGCTCGACCACACCTTCTCCCTGAACTGGTCGAACCAGACGGACAGCCAGTTCGTGTTTTGCTTGACGTTGTGGTTTCTCTGCATAATCATCAGGCCAGTGGAAGAATACATCAAGACGATGCTAAACACAGACCGAGCAAAATCCCGCCGCGACAGGCTCCGCGATGAGTTCACAAAACTCTGGGTGAGTGCCATGAAATACCTCTGGCATGGGGAGCAAGTGATGAAAGACATCATCTTCCTCTTCTGCACCATAGGGGGCGACCCGCTAACGCTCTCACCGGCCCAGATTTCTCTGGTAATTTCTCTCTTTGTAGTTTGTTTTTCTCTGTGTATTTAGGTGATAGGGTGGAGGAGGGTGCGGCGGGTCTATTCAAGTTGGAATCCCTTGCCTCAATAGTAGTGACTTAGTGGTAGTTTGGTTAGGTGTTCAAAGAAGCTACAGCCTGTCACTTGGAATAGGGAACCTAGTACATAGTCGTAGTTTTGTGACGAAGGGGGAGCAGCCTATTTTTTTCAGAGCTGGCCAGCATGTTTATTCTTCATTTCCAGGTGCATTTTCACAGGCAGGTGGCGCAGATAGCCCTTATCCATGCGCGGGTGGTTTTGTGGTACCGGGATGGGCTGAGTGAGGCGCATGAGGCGTGGCTATGGCAATACAAAGCCAACCCAGCTGGCGCAACGACCTGGCTAGAACAGTGGACGGCTGAGCACATCGCCGGCGNGTAATTTCTCTCTTTGTAGTTTGTTTTTCTCTGTGTATTTAGGTGATAGGGTGGAGGAGGGTGCGGCGGGTCTATTCAAGTTGGAATCCCTTGCCTCAATAGTAGTGACTTAGTGGTAGTTTGGTTAGGTGTTCAAAGAAGCTACAGCCTGTCACTTGGAATAGGGAACCTAGTACATAGTCGTAGTTTTGTGACGAAGGGGGAGCAGCCTATTTTTTTCAGAGCTGGCCAGCATGTTTATTCTTCATTTCCAGGTGCATTTTCTCAGGCAGGTGGCGCAGATAGCCCTTATCCATGCGCGGGTGGTTTTGTGGTACCGGGATGGGCTGAGTGAGGCGCATGAGGCGTGGCTATGGCAATACAAAGCCAACCCAGCTGGCGCAACGACCTGGCTAGAACAGTGGACGGCTGAGCACATCGCCGGCGACCCTGGAACCATGGCGTTGCACTCGTTAAAGCAGTGGCACGCAGCACAGCCTGCCAAGCAGAGGCCACACCGTTTGCGAAGGGCGGTCGATTTCCTCCTTGGGAGGGAGAGAACACAGAAAAACTGTGAGCGGAAAATTGGCCGCTTCAAGAACGAGAGCAGGAGGGTCAAGGGGAGCCTCAATTCTACTGCTGGCGCAGATGTTGCGGTGAACAGGTCTGATTTCCGTAACGCGGAGACGCAAGTAGACAGCGAGCTTCAACTTCATTACGACGCAGACCAGTCTGACAAGGAAGAAGAAGCACCTAGTAAAAAGGTGAAGAAGCAGTACATTGCCCCAAGGGCCATCGACCTCAAGAAAAAGGACTTGTTTCACGACACCGCACTACCAGAAAATGGCAGGCAGATCGAACGCACGCACAAGCTGAGCAAGTGGAAAAATAACGAAGAGAAGATTAAATACTTACGGCTATCACAGCAGATCCACAGGAAACTAGTGCAGCAAGAGATAGCCTGTGACGCGTCTTCTAGTAGTGCTGGAGAAGGAGATGACGCTTTGGCGCGTCCTCGTGCAGTCGTACAAGAAGAAGCGAGATTCTACGCAGACACGCGAGCAGAGGTACAAGGGCGGTACTCAGGTGCAAAAGAGGACTACACTCGCATTTTGGCGCAGCGCTGTAGCCGTGTTCATCATCCCATCAAGCGAGAAGCGCCACCAAAAATAACACTTAAAAGCAAGTACATCCCTAGTAGTGCTGTTCTTCTTGCGCGTTGGTGTAGAGCACAGCGGAAGAAGCTGAAACAACTAAAGGAGACAGCCGCAGATAATGTCCCAGTGGGACAAGAGCCAGATCTCATCATTCTTCAACCAGACCACGACCTGGAGAGTGATGGCGAAGGCGTGGGCCTCGATGAAGATTTGGAGCGGGGTGACAACATTGCTGCAGCGGTAGATCAACAGGCCTGCAACATCACAAATCTACTACATCCAACACTAGTGACAACTTTCAAGAACAGGATCTCCGAGGAAGTGAAGCTCTTCATCATACTAGACATCGTCCTCGCGCCTGCTTCTTTTAAGGCTATACAAATGCAGGAGTTCGAGGGGGCGGACGCAGTGGATGGAGAGACAACTTACTTTCCTCGCGGCAACATGTTGAACTCCGACAAGGATAACAATCGCTGGGATCTGGATACAGTGGCGGACTTCTACAAAGTAGTGGTGAAGCCGAATGCAGATGAGAAGGATGTGAGGATTTTTCTGGGTGAGAAGGTGGCGCTCATGCAGTCAGGACCATGCAAAGGACGACCCAAAAAGGATGAACAACTGAAAGAAGTCATCTCCACAATGTCGAAGGCACAAGTCGCTGACCTGCAGTACAACTTGCAGGAGACCTTGCGACCCACCTACTCTTCTGTTGTCAACCCGTGCGCCCGGGATCGAGTTGTGATGATCAATAGACATCTGAACTTCGGCCTGCCAGTGGAAAGCACTGATCCAGCTGCGGACACCACTGGGGAAAAAGCTTCTTCTTCTGCTGAGAAATCTGCGCAGTGTGGCGATAAATCTAATGGACAAAGCAACTCTGAGCAGCATCTAGACGAACCAATGAGCAAGAAAGAAGCTCGTGCTTTTCGCAAGGACCGCCGGGTTGCACAGGCAAGGTTGCTGCCTCTTCGAGTAGACGGCTTTCGCGTCCAGGAGGACACGACCGACAAACGATCTGCAAAGCTGGCGGGCAAGTCTATCGTTCGTTTGAAGGCGAAAATAATCGACCCAGCGCTGTCCAAAACCTTCGTGCAGCTCCTGGGATCTCCGTATATGCAGATGAACTGCGAGGCCACGGTGAACGCGAACCGATCCAGACGGCTGGGAAGCGACACCATGGAGTTCACCGAATCTATCCTCAACATCTGGTCCATACGCAGCAGATTCATATGCGAAAGAGGTACGCTCCACGTGGCTAACCCGCACCTCACACCAGGCAAGCACCATCTGGAGTTCATGCGCGCAGCGTACGACCGATACTGCAAGGACGTGAATGACTACGCCACTATGGTGGCAAAAGGAGACATGCACAGGCTGAAAGAAATCGATGAGGAGTTGTTTATTTCTCCAGAGATGATGGAGCGTCTTCTGCCTGATTTTGGTGGTCAAGAATGGCACGACTTTCCCGCAACAGATGCGTCTGAGCTGGAGGAGGATTGCAATAGGATCATACGCAAGATGCGTGGCAAAACAGGCGGCGCAGCAAGCAGCACAAATAAAGCTGACGATGGAGGCGATTTTGGTGATGATTTCGTGCTGTGATTGAAGAGCGGCTTCATGGACTTTGGAGCTGATATTGTTGCGCAGCGAGCTTATGAAAGGGCGATGATTATATGTGTTGCGAAGTAGTTCAGTGAACCTCAGAAGAATTATTTACTTGACGAAGTTACAAGATACGAGGACAGATTACTAGTTGGCTGAATGTTAATAAAGTTACAATCTCGGAGTTGATTAAACCGATGGAATTCCTTATATTTTTCGCCCTTGTATTTCTTGCTATTATAAGACCCTGGCCATTTTCTCATTCTGGCGCGCTTCGGCATCGGCTTCCCACTGGGCTAGGCGGTGGTGGATCTCTGGCTGCGTTTCCGGTGCTTTCGCTCAAAAGACCCTGTGGAAGACACCTGGAAGTCTTCTGGAAGTCTGGGATCGTTTTGGCTGACCCCTGTCTGGAAGTCTCCTGGAAGTCTCACGCCAATTTCTGTAGCCGGGACCCTTCCACGACTACAAATGGCCGCTCAGATGAGACTTCCACAGACTTCCAGAAGAGGGGTCCAGAGACTTCCATGAGACTTCCAGGAGACTTCCAGGAAGTCTGGCCAGGGTCTTCCAGAAGAGCTTCTGAGGAGGCTCCAAACACTTTCCCGAGATGCAGTCTGGGGTGCCAGTCTGGAATCTGACGGACTTCCAGCAGACTTCCAGCGCATTCGAACGGAGGCACGGGCAAAGGGCAAGAGAATGAGCCCTGCGAGCCACGCAAACGCTCTCGAGGCCCTTATCAGCATGACTTGGGCCTCGTGGGCCAGGGGCTCAGGCTCATCTGCAGGCAGGAAACCCGGCGGCAGGCGGACTGTTCTTGGGCCAAATGATCCCGGACTATTGGCCCAGAAGTGACAGGCGGTCTCTTACCCTGGTTGCCCTCACTCCCACTCCACTAAAACGCTTAATTTTATGTATGGAAATTAGCGATACAACTAAGACAAATACGTGATGGGCAGCACTTCTAGACTATGGACAAACGAAAGAGCATTAAATATGAACGAAATTAGTCGACTTATTCAATCATCTTCTTGTGTATTGTCCGTTTCATGTGGTTACTATATAGCGGGCGCAAGTAGTCAGAACTGCGCTCGAATCTCCTTAGGATTAATGGACTTCTGGCGCAGCGTTGGAGATAGCCTCCTGGTTTAAAAATCTCAACGCGTTAGGCTTCTGCTGATACAGATAGTGACGCTTCAGAAGCAGGACGATGTTAGAAGTAAGGGGCTCAGATCTTCTTCCCGGTGTGGAAAATGATGAGACCACTTTGGAGTCTGGGGCCAGGCTATGCCCTGGGAAATGACTGAAACCAAATAGACTGGTCTGACACGCTTGGCGAGAAGAGAAACGTCAAGCACGAGCACAAGCTGAGAGAAAAGGCGCTAGAAGGATCCGTAGTCTTCGTCCTCATCTCCGTTTCTACTTGCTGACGCACTTCTCGGCACAGAAAGCCCCATCGGTCTCCTTGTTGGATCTCCTTCTACCTGGATCAGGATGTGGGTTAGTATTTGTTTAGATAGACCTACGATGAAGATCCTGCTCCGATTCTTTGGTCATGAGCGCGAGTCTATTCGTCTGAGAATCCAAGCCATCTCCTATATCATCCACAATTGTAGCCCATTTGAGTACATGCGCGGCTTACTCTGCAAGCCTGTACATGTCAAAAACAAGAGGCCCTACTACAAGTGGTTTGTTATACAGTAAACAGGACTAGAAAATACATGGCGACGTTGGAGTAAGCGGATCTGTGCCAACAACCACCACTAAAGAAAGCGCTCGAACAACTACAAGATCAAATACAACTACAACCAACTCATTGATTTTGTTATAGCAGAGCGGCCTATATGAGTTAGTTACCACACTGGGATAAGACAACAAAACTGTTAAAAGAGTCGCAAATAATAACAGAAGAAGTGCTGCCCCTCTCACAACAACTTGCTAGGCTCTCACTCTCATAAAATTGCGGCGAAAATGCCTTGGAATGCAGCTAATAACGGCCCTTATGGGCGTGGTGGTAAGCGCCTGGTGCGTCACGATACAGACTCCACAGCCGAGGAGATTCGCACGCGTTCAGGGCTACCGGTACTAGATAGTCAGGTGCTTAGATTTTCGTACTTAGCCTAGTACTGATTCAGAATAAGACTGATCATAAAGCGTGGGGGTAGCCCAGTAGGATCCTCATGGTTCACCGCTCTGAAATCCTAAGACTCTCGCAGCAAAGTCTTAAGCTGTTATTTAAGTCAAACATCAAAAAAAAATCTCTCATCAACTTATTTCAACCCCTCTAAAATTATCCCCCGACTTTCTAAATCTCACAATTTCCAGAATACGGCCAGCATGATCGCAAACACGAAAACCCTATGCCGTGACCAGGGAAATGTGAAGACCCGTATCAGGGCTCGGGTGGAGAAGCTGGCTGAGATGGATATGGATCTTATCGATACTCAGCTGTCGCTTGAGCATGAGCGTGCCATTGCGAGGGCCCTCAAGCGTGTGCCAGGAGTGATCAGAGACGTTGGCATTTTGACCCGCGCCGACAAAATCTCGGCTAAGCTGGTCCTGTTGCATGACGGCTCCTTCGTGGGTGTGAGCAATGAGCAGACGAACTCTCTGATGGTACTGATTCTTTTGGTTGAACTCCAGGCGATGGCAAGTTTTTAAAAGTTGCTAAGTTCTAGCATTTTTGAACTGATCTCGTTGTGGCTTGCTATTTAGATTTTATTTTTGACCGTAGTCATTTTGGTTGATTTTAGGGCACAAGTGAACTCTTCACCCACTGGTATAAGGGTTTCAAAGATCATCACCACCCACACACCAGACCCACTTGATCGACCGTTATTCTGCCATCTCGGACGAGCAGAATGCGTGCCGTGCGCTTGCTGGTCTGAACCACATGATGCCTCTTCTCCCCGATGCCAACGCTAAGGCGCTATGCGAAGTGGCGGCGGCCCACACGTATGTGGAAGGCGCAGCGAAAGCACGCAAAGGTGAGCGTGACGCGAAGTACAAGACTTTGGCGGTCATGAATACGTGGAATCAAGGAAAAGGGAGAGCTTATTGTCTACAGGCAAGCAGCTACTTGAAGCAACTGGCTGCGAATTGTGATCTCATGCAGCAAGCGATTTGGCGTCGCCGCGTTGAGGTCCTGTACAACCAGCTGCTGCCGTTGATCAACGGCCCAGAGAAGAAGAAGTGCCCTCAGTGGGTCTTCTGGCACGGAATTTGGACGGTAATTCCTCTCCTTGTTAGATGATCCGGAGCCTTTTCGTTCTGGTTTGTCTGATGTCTGACCTCCTTTCGTAGATTCATTTGAAATATAAATATGCACTCCATTCATCATCGCCTACTAAGGTGTAGGTCTATTTCAACCCCATCGCTTCATCCTTTCCTCATCTCCTTTTCTTCTACTGCAGGCCGTCCAAGTCGCGGCCACTTCTGAACGCATTGAAACGGTGCAACTCGCGTGCATCTCCTTCTTGTCCACCAATGGCGCCGACCGTGGTCAAGTCACAGACATCCAGTTCGAGTCCGCGATGGATCAGGCAGAAAGTGGCGAGATGCTCCTGCTGGAGATCTGCGTCAGTCACCTCTTCGGCATGAACAACGAGGTCGAGGCAAAGCACCTGGTATTTTTTTGTGATTTGGATTGATTTCAGATGGGTGAGAGATGAATAAGAAGAGTTGAGACTTCGAGAGAGGAAGATCATGACAATTTTTCAGCTTAAAGCTGACGCTTGCACCTATAACATATTACTTATATCACCCTATCACACCCAAACAGATGGATCCGCGCGTTGTAACTAAGCTGGGCTTAATCCGTACCGAGTTTACCGTCCAGGCAGCGAAACCACATCCGGCTTTCGCATCGTTGCAGGGTTTGTGCAACCGTGTGCGCGTTGATGGGCAGCGCCCGTACCACAAGATGCCAGGCGCAATCACCGAAGGCCTGCCTAATACGTTCCGCACCAAGATCGTCGAGCTTGACGAAGCGCGTGTTTCTGCTGGGATCGAGAAGATCAAGGAGAAGTTGCTTGCCATGTCCGCCGCCTTCGCGGACTACGATCCGAACAATCCGCAGGACACCGAGACCGCCATCACCGAAAGCTGCGACGCCATCTGGCATGATGGAGTGAAAGAGTCTGACCCCATCAAACCTCTCCTATCTGGTGTCCGCAAATTGACCACGGTTTTCCTGGAGACAATGGATGAGGAAGAGGAGAGCAAGGCGTTCCTGGTGTTGCACGAGCAGACCCTCGAGGTGTCGATGGGAGCGTTCCCCGAGCTGCTCCCGCCGTATCAGGAGTTCCTGAAGGCTTACCGTGAGCATGATGTTCGCACGGTGAAAGAGCAAGTTGCAGCAGCTTTGGCAGCAAGTATTTTCTCCTGTTTGTCCTTCGGTTCCATTGTTTCAGGAGTGAAGATAGAAACTGTTATTTCTCTCATTTTGAGCCTCAAAATCTTTACCGCGTCGGTTCTAGGTGGATCCTCCGAGAGATTTGCAATTTTTTAGATTGGTCAGAAGTTTTGTCCAAGAACAGACCTCACTCCTTCTATTTTCTCATCTTGTATAGGTCTCACCAATTTTCCACACCCTTCTCTTCAGATGACTACAACAGTGCTATTGCAGCTTTCAACGATCTGGACGAGACCTGGGACTTCCTTTGCCCCTGCCCGAGAAACGCTATCTATGCCAGTATCAAACGAGCGTTCCCGAACGGAAACAACCCTGCGAACAATGCAGCGAATGGACCACAGCAGCCGCTACAGATGGCATCCGTCAACATCGACCTGGGCCAGTAGGTCAGGAGCAAAATGACGGAAAAAGCGGCGAGCGGAACGAGCTGGCACACATGACACATAACGAGTGAGAGAAAACAAGACCTACATGTGAAAAGAAATAAAATATTTATATTTGAAATATCTAGAAGATTGCAAAACCCTCTACATGAATATTATTGATAAAAATTTATTATATCAGAGTCATGTTCTTCAGGTGTTGGCTGCCAGATGTTAGCAACCTCATGGATCTTCAATGCATTGACTTCATCACTTGTTTCGGTTGTTTTAGTTATTTCTTGCTTGGCAAATGAACAGCTTCACATCTTCCCACCTTCTTTCTACTCATAAACTATCATTTAATTATAATCACAGAGAGATGAGCGACTCGCATTGATATACTTATATATTTCTGTAGAGATTGATCTTCATATAGTTGAAAGATGTCAAATTTTCATTCTTTTTGCTCTTGAGAGATAGACAACTAGCCAGAAATTCACCGCAGTGCGCGGCTAAGTCATATCATTCACGAGCTACATATTCGTCTTCATCTTTGATCTCGTGCGATTTCTACATATTTCACGAGCGTGACAGATGCAAGACACACGGAAATCCGTCCTGCAGGAATGCAGTGGCGGAACAGTATGAAAAAATCAACAACATGATGATGGACGTTTCTACTTGGTAAACCAAGTATAGTCAGGACGCACAGACAACAAGAAACGCGTCGCCATCTGAGTGAAAGAGCAGCAAGTGAAAGCAAAAGCGGAGAACTGGCACCACCGGGCCAATATGGAGCAGCCAGGGGAGCCCATGCCCTTCCTGTAAGTTGAGGCGCTGCAGAAGTGTGCGAGAGATGTGAGAAATCGGGATGAGCGAAGGCGAAGGCATCTGTTGTCACTCTTGTGGCAGAGGGATAGAGAGACCTCCGATGGCTCGGCGGAGGCGCGCACGCAGTTGGTGCGCTCGGTGGATTGCGAGCAGAAGGTCGAAGGTGACGCGTCAAGAAATATGGAAAGTGCGATAGGCGTCTTTTCTCTGTGTGTGGAACGCCTGCGCAGCTTGTGCACGAGGGAAGACGAGCGTAAGACAGAGCGAAAAGCAGGCGGTGGCGTGGTAAGTTCTCTCTGGCCTGGCGATTTCTCTCCTGATGGTGATTTCACTCTCACGAGGCACAGAGATCGGCAGGTGCCGGGGAACACAAAGCCACCTCCGAGGAGGCTGGCGGGAACACAGGACTGAGGGAGACACAAAAGAGGACATCGCGATCGAGTGGTGGCCTCTTCTCCGCTCAGTCTTTGACCACTTGCCCACGACACGACCGGGGGCCATGCGAGCGACAAGCCCACGGACACGCGCGGCGCAGGTCCTGACTGAGCACACCACTACACTCGGAGGAAGGCGGGGCGTGCGGGTGTTCGCCTTGTGCTTGGGGGGGGTCGAGGGTTGTCAGTCTTACAGATTTCCTGGGGAAATCCGGGGGACTTCCAGCCGGCGAAGGCGAACCAGGGCCGGCCGGGTCAACGCTTGCTGCATTCCTACGAAGAAGTAATCAGATTTGTTCGCGTTCAATCTGAAGCATTTCTCAACCTTGGAGAGCAGAAACTTGCTGAGATGAATGAATTGCGCATAGTTCAACAAATTCTTCTTCTCGGTGACCCCGTGGAAGCAAGCTTTCTTCAACGCTTCGCGCAGTCGTATTGTGGTCTGCGCCCTGGCAATTGCCGCGAAGTCAATTTGCGGACAGTGCGCCTCATGGTGGTAACCGACTGCCGCAAAGACCCTGTTCATAAAGCTCCACCGCACTTTGCCTCTGTGCGGGCCTTTCTCCTCCACTACATACTTCCGCTGCTCTAGACACGAGTCGTAGACCACGGTGATGAATGCCTCGTAAACTTCCGATGAAGTTATGGGAAACAACATCGTGACGTTGCCAGCCAACTGGCACGCAGTCTTCAGTATGCTAGCGTAGCCCGCGGCCGTTGTGCTCTTGATAGACGCTTCCTTAAGGCTATCTATCCTCTTTTTCAATGCCACCGCCTTCGCACTACCCACCGCTTCCTCAATACACGACGGAATAGGCTTTGTCAGCTTGTCCGAGATCTTGGCCACGTTCGTACTACTAGATGCCGCACCTGACTTGACGTCTGACTCCGCCCAAAATTCCGCATCAGCCACTGCTGCTCCTAACGTCGCTTCGTGTGAGCCCGCAACCACATGTTTTGGCCCCAAAATCAATCGCGCGGCTCTGCACTCCATCTGCGTGCCTATGTGGGGAAGAATCTGTAGGATGGAATCAGCAGTTTCGTCACTAGATGTTCTATTGTTAAAGGACTTAAGCTTGTTGTCGATTGCGAAAGCGGCTGCGGTCTCGTTCCGTAAAGCCACTTCTGCCGCCTTGGCCTTGGCTGATCTGTCGTATCCCATCTTCATTGGCGTCGTGACTTCACTGTGGTGCTGCCTTAGCAGCATCGCCGCATCCCTGATCTTGGCCATCCACTTGACGAATCGCTGATCCACTACTTCCACCACACTCAACACGTCGGAATCTGACGCGTTCGAACTTGACGCATTGGCTGAGTCTAACGAGACGACTCGCGCCTGTGCGCCGCTTTTGACTGCGGGCTCTTCTAACTCCAACGGTGGAGGATCAACTGTCGGCGACGCCGCGTTCGTTTGCTTTGAAGGCACGTCCTCCTTCGTGATTGGACCCGACTCCAACGCTGCCGGTAGCAACGGCTGATCGTCGTCTTTTAGCCATTCCGGCGTACTATTCGCTTCCAATTCCGCCACTATTCTCCTTCTTGCTCTTGCTTGTTCGTGCTCCCTGTCCGAGTCGTCGCTGCTTTCGAGCAGTGGCAGCTCCTTGGCTCTCTTCATATCTGCGTCCGCCTTGTTGTTTCCGGCAAAACTGCGCCCGCCCGGCACCACCGGTGGTTTATCCGCCTCGAAGAACCATGGATCTGCGATTGCCAAGAATAGATTAAATTTGAATGAGATGAGTTAATATCTACGCCATCATCCGAATCTGAGAAGAAAGACATCAAGACACTGCCACACGAAAGAAATCATAACAAATGATATAAGCCTGAATTACTAGTGTACATCGTGTAATATTGACTATTTAAATAGCAATCCTGGTTAATTAAAACGCTTTTCGGCCAGTTTACGAGAGGTAAGTGCTCGGGCACTCACTTGCGACTCAACACCACATGAGTGACCTGCTTTCACTCCGCCACAGTGATCCCGTGCGGACACTGCGAGTCAAGGCTCCCACCCCCTGACGTGGAGATGCAAAACTACCACGGCGGCTGACATACAACCGCGGAGCACGTGAGCTCCCGCGACGACGGCTCCGACGAGCATACTGCTGGCTTAATCAATTTCGACATCATGAGTGTACATTTGTGACGACCAACGACTTTCGTCTGACTTTGAGTTGTCTGCACAATGTGTAGTCGTCTAGTCGTGTTTAATTTCCCCAGTCCACAAGTGACGAACCTCAGCTAATTTCCCACTCCCACCCGGAGTATTAGTCATTTCCTAAAGAAATCTAGTTGCGCTTGCCTTTTCCTTTCGATGTTCGTCGCATTGCGCGCATGTCACCCTTGACCTCGACACAGTGTGTCGGCCATTCTTCGCGCTCGCCTAAGCAATTGGAACAAATTCCAAAGAACTTGCTTCCCAACACCTGGCACTGCTGGTAAAGGTGTGTGGTCACCCACTTACCCTCGAGCCAGCAGTTGCGACACGCTTTGTACACGTGACCCCACAGGAAAAACGTGCCGTCACGATCGATCTGCATTCCCTTTGTGATAGCCTCCTGCTTCTTCTTCCTGTCCGCTGATTTGTCTTTGACAATCGGATCAAAATGCTCTTTGATGAGGATGCCTGCCCTGGAAACAACGAAAGCCCCCACCTCTTCCTTCGTCGCCTCCTTCAGCCTGTTCTTGCCACCATTTGAAGTTCTAGTAGGATTGTCCCCGTTGTTGCCACTAAGAACTTGCCCACCTAAATTCTGCTTCATCTTGTTCAATTCCGCCTTGGCTTTGTCGGCTTCCGACTGTAGTTTTCTTGCTCTCTTCGTAGCAAGCTCGTCAGCGTCTGCGCCCAAACTCAGACGCTTCAAGGGCCAATCGTCACTACTACTCCCTCCACCAATTGCTAGCGTTACTACTGAGTTGCTCGAGTCTCCTCTGATCATCTTAGGTTCGTAATGTGCCGTGAGCAACATCTTGAACACCCTGGACTGCTCCGAAGTTACGCTTTCGTGCGTGATTGGTCGGAAAGTCTCCCTGATGGTCTGCAGCACCCGCTTTTTGGTGAGTTCCTCCAGGGACTTGCGTTCTTCCACTGTCAGCTTGGATAGAGACTTTGCATATGCAGAGACCGCCGATTCGTAGACCTGCGCTTGTTTGATTGTTTGGATGGAAGGAAGGCTGAAGTCTAATGTTACCCTAGAGGTGAAAAAACTGTACTCTGTGAAAGCATTGTAACTTAAAATTAAATAAGGTTATTTACACTTAAACTAAATGTAGCCTACGCCGTACCATCTTGGTGATGAAGATCACCTCGTCGCAGAGGTCGCGAACAGCCTGATGCAATTCAGACTGTCCTGCCTGCTGCGAATAATAGGTCTTGACGTCTTGATATTCTTGTGTGAACGACTCCAGCGAAGTATCGGTCACCTTTATCTTATCGTCCTGTTTGAAACCCAGGAGCGTAGAAAACTTCACGTGGGCTTTCCTCTTTTTGTGGTCGTGTTTGATCACGTCACGCTGCATCTCTCTCATCAGAGACATGCTGCCGTCTGCCATAGTTTCGTCGCCTCTGGTCATGTTTGCCATCCACATCGATGACGCCATGGCCATCGTTGCACCCTGAGTGGCGGCTGGGTCGACCTCCAATTGATATTTTTGAAGACCCGGCCTCTTAAGCAACGCGTATGCCCTCATGAGTCTACTCCTATCCGCCTTAAGCTTCGCTGCCCTGTGAAGCCATGGGATGGTAATGCGATGCCAATCTCCTTAGCCTGTTTCTCCGACAACATGCCCTGCTGGGAACGCAAATACTCGGCCACCTCGGTGTGGGATGCTTCTAATTGATTCAGTCTGCCTGCAAAAGGCGCAGATAGAAGAAGATGGATTATCGAAGACCCGCGGGAGTACTATCTTGCACAGCTCTCTGCAATCGGAATCCTTCTTACACCCGGGGCAGACCGCTCTAATGTCGCAGCCCAGGCAGAGAAGTCCGCCGTCTACTATGAACTTAGACTTGTTGTCGCTAGTACTACAAACTCCACAGACGATGTAGCTCGCTTGTTCCTCGAGCTTGACCTTGTTGGCCTCAAGCCGTGCTACTTTGTCCTCTATGCGACCGATGTGAGATCGCTCCTCATCCATAGCTGACTTGAGGTCATCAGCTCGCCTTGCCTCCGCCTTGAGTTGTTCAATAGCTTCCTTCTTTGCGTTGTGCTCCTTCTTGGCTTGATCCTTGGCTTTCTCCAGTTGTTCCTTTATTTGTAGCGTGCTGCGCGCGAGTTGCAGTTCCTTTTTTGAGGAACACTCGTTTCCAGTGCAGCTCCTTCTGTTCCACATCTAATTTCGAAAGATCGTCTTTCGACGGATCCTCGTTCCAACCGGTCTCGTCAGAGAACGCGAGGTCGTTGTTAATACCTGCGATATCACTGGTTACGTAATCGACCGAGCGGAGCTGCGGCTCCGACTCGGTATCGGTGTCGTCTACCATGTTCCTTTCTTAGTTACGAAATCGTCATCGGAAACTTAGATATATACTGAGTTAAACCAATTCTATGATACGAGATGGAATGCCTAACGCTATATAATTACTTTATTAGTAACGACCCCGCTGGGTATTTGCATGTACGTCGAAGCCTTTTTTTCCGATTTTTTCAACTTCGATTTTTCACTTTCTTTGACTGGCCTAGGGCAGGACTGTCAATCCTGACATCGCATCTCTCTCAGACAAAAAACTCCACTTGTTTCATCAAGTGGAGGAGACGTGATGGACGTGCCCTCACTCGCGCGCTCACCCTCCACGACACTCATATAGAAGAACACCTTATCTTACGATAGTCGTTCCCGGGACCTCCGCGAGGCGCCAGGGCGTCAAAAAATGTCAAAAAATGTCAAAAAATGACAAAAAATGTCAAAAAATGCCAAAAAATGTCGCCCCCGATGTCAAAACTTGAAATCCCAGGCGTCATAATTTGGCATTTTTTGACAAAATTGGACCCACGACCTGCCACCTTTTGCCATTTTTTGCCATTTTTTGGCATTTTTTGGCGGCTCCGCTGTCAAAGTTTGCCAATTTTTGCCATTTTTTGGCGGCTCCGATGTCAAGACTTGCCATCTTTTGCCATTTTTTGGCGGCTCCGATGTCAAAACTTGCCACCTTTTGCCATTTTNACCAGTGCCAACCCTGGCTCCACCGCTGGGGTGCCCGGGCGTGTTCATCAAGCGCTGCATCTCCCAAACCCCAGCCGCCTCCTTTATCAAACCAGACCCGTCAGCCAAGCACCCGCCCCGAGTTTGCTGGGCTTTGGAATCCAAAAGAGGCGACGCGACCGATCTGACAACTCTGGCCAGGCAGATCCCACGGGCAAGCGCTCCAAGTTTGTCGACGCGGTCCGGCGGGTCTGATCAGTGGGACAGACCCCGGCCCCAAGTAGGAACAACCGCCCGGAGGTCATCCCTTGGCCAAGGGTTCCAGGTTTCTTGGGCTTCCAAGTTTCTTGGTCGAGTTTTCAAGGCCCTCCAATTTTGCTAAATTGTGGCCAATTTTTGCCAAAGTTTGGCAAAATGATGCCAGGGCCTCTTCTGAGTTTTGTCAAAATTTGCCAAAATTATGCCAAAACTTTTCAAAATTATGTCAAAACTTGTCCAAATTATGTCCAAACTTGTCAAAATTTGCCAACAAGTTTTTTGGTCTTTCTCAAAATTTGGCAAAATTATGACAAAAAATGCCAAAAATTTTTTTGCGCTTTGTCAAAATTTGGCAAAATTATGACAAAAAACGCCAAAAATTTTTTTGCGCTTTGTCAAAATTTGTCAAAATTTGTCAAAATTTGTCAAAATTTGTCAAAATTTGGAAAAAATGTTTCTAACTTGACATCAAAAAGGTCCCGGGGTTTACTTTCATAACTTATCATTATGATTCGCGCCGACATTCATCCAGGTGACACGCGCCTTTAGTGGTTCTCACTCACCTGCAATGAAAGCAAGGAGGCAAGCCAAGTTCTATACATGCACACACTTGCCGCACTGCCTAGATGCTGGGCACGGACGTGCATAGATGCGCCTAGAAAACCACGCAAGCGCGCCAAAGTCGACGCGTCTACTTCTATAGAGAAAGGCGCCACAGCTTTCCTTGTCAGCATTTTGCCAAAAAAGAAGCAACAAAAAAAACGCAAAAAATAAGCAGCCGCCGTTCTCCGCTTTTTTCCTTTCTGTTTCATATTTGGGGCTCTCCAGCTTCCGTCTATGTCCGTCTATGTCCGCCTCTTTCCGTCTGTTTCCGTTTTCGTGGGTTTTTTCCGTTTCTTTCCGTCTTTTTCCGTTTTTTCTTGTTTCTTTCCTGCATTTCCGAAAAAAATGGACGCAAAAGGCCAGAAACGTTCAGAAACTTTCGGAAGCAACGAAAACAGAACGAAACGGAAATAGAGAGCAATAGACAGAAGCCCGCAAGCGCCAAGCATGAAATTGAAAACAGAAACAAACAGAAAAGAGCGGAAAAAGGTTGCGACTTGTTTGACTTTCGGAAACTTTCAGAGGGCTTGGCGTTTTTCGTTGAGATTTCGACAGGCGTGCCGCCTAGATGTATAACGGGCAGCGACTTCAAGAAATTACAGAGAGAGGCGCAGACTTTGACAAATTGCGGCGCAGACCTCTCGGCGCGTTAGCTCTGTCCTGTGCCTGTGCGCGCGCGCCTATGTAGTAGAGAGACACCGGAAGCACACCACTAGCCACATGCAAAGAACTTCCCCCCAGCAGTCAGGTGGTAGGTGAGTCTGCTCTCTTTGCTGGGTTTCGTTCTTTACTTAGTGCCATCTGATACATCTAGCTAAGGGCTAACGAGTAAGCGCGCGCGATAGTTTCCACCAATCATGACGGAGAAGAGGCGCCGACGCAACTGCGCACTTATAAGCGAACAGCCCGAGGCTTGAGCACGCGGGCCAGTTCGGTCAAGTATGCGCGCAGCCGTCGGCCACCCCGTTGCTGCTTGGATGGTGTGCCTGTGGATGGCTATGCATATGCGGGGGGGGACATCCGTGGCATCTTGCGGGGGGTGTTTCCATCGGCTCACTGGGTGGCGGGAAGTCTGAGATCTGAACTCTCGGAAACATTCAGAAACGCTTGGCAAAGTCTTGGCCGGCGTTCACGTCTTGCAACCATGCCCATGAAATTTAGACCGTGCAGATTTTGGAGATCTTCTGACCAAATCAGTCCCCCCGCCCTTAATCAATCTGCAGCGAAGCAGAGCAACCTAGTCAAGGCCCTCTATGAATGCGCCAGGGGTGACTTAGTAAGCCACAACGCAAAGGCTTGAAGATGGCGCAGGTGACGCATCTCCACTCTCACCCCCACGCTCCAAGTTGCAAGGCTGTAAAGATGGAAGAGCGCCACGAAGAAGAGAGGCCCAAGTCGCCAACTTCTGCCGCGTGCCCATTATGCCGGCGCGCCTACGCACGCGCCTTCTCTTTTTCTATACTCCTCGGCCCACAGCTTCTCCGTCTAAGGTCATCGAAGTCGACGCCGCTCCCTTCTCCCGTAGGTCTCGCCGCTTGTAATTCCGCCGACCCATAATTCAGAGACGGCGAACTTCTTTGAAAGAACGCGGCGCCATTTGGGGATGGCACTAGTTGCTCCCTTTCCCTCCCCTTTTGCTCGTTAGCGAAGCCTTTGCTGTAGCTCCGTCACTTTCTCCATTCGCTTCGCCGTCCCCTTTTGCTTTCGCTTCTTTAGTTAGGCTTGGGGGCGTAAGCTTCGCGCCTTTCTTCTTTCCGCCTTTGGCTTTGCCTTTTTCCTTTCCTTTTTTCTTCTGCTGCTCCTTCTCGTCGTCGCTGTTGGGGCGGCCACTAAGATGATCGCCCCGCCTATCTGCATGCGGATAACGATCGAAAGCTTCAGCCCTCACCCGTGTCAACTTGCAGCGAAGAACGCCGACAGCTCGGCCTTCGTCGTTTAAGTGCTTCCCGATGCCAACCTGGTGGCGCTTGTGTCTTTTACTTTATCCCGCCACCGTCTTCCCGCTGTCTTTCCGATTGGACTCCCTTGGGGAACGTTTCAAAAAACCCCCGGGGCCCTCTTGGAAAATCAAAATCGGGCCGCCCTTTGCACCTGCAGGCTTTTGCTTTATTGCCCGCTTTGGCGGAAGTCAGTGGGCCGCCTTTGGCCACACCCAAAAAACAAGCGAGACCTATGGAGCGAGGACGATGGAAAGCACTGGAACCACGTCAGAGAAGTTTTCTCGAAAGAACCAACCCCCTGCGTTTGGCAACTGGAAAGCCAGGAGGCTTCCCTGCTGAAAAAGTACACGCGGCACCAGCAGCATGGAAGCAGCGCAATTGAGTGAGCTAGCAGCTGGGCCTGGGCTTACCTATGCGCTTGATTTGCAAGCAAGTGGCGCAGCTGTAGCGGTGGCAACCATTGCAAGGAACTCGCTTGACCAAAATGCACGAGGAGGGCCCGGCGCTCATGGGAAAAACGGACAAGGATGCACTTTTCTGGTGCTTGGAAAGGAGGCGCAGCGTTCGACGATTGCGCGACGATCTGCATCCTGTGGCGAAGAATGCCACAGCTTCCCGGTGGGTCATACTTGGGCGCAAGCATGGCAAACGGCGTGGCTTTGGTCGATGAAGCGCAAGAGCTGAGGTCAGGAGCCCGCGGCCCCGTCAGCTAAGCTGGGCTGCCGAGCTTAGCCGAGTAGATTACACCTTCAAAAGTGTGGCTTGTCTTTGCGTCGCGCGTCTTCGGCAAGGTTTCCGCTTGTATATGAGTGAAGGCGAAAAGGGTAGAAGCCTCTAGCAGAATGAAGCCAGGCCCTGAAGTGGAGGCCATTCACTTCCCACGGGCAGCGGCTGCCCCTTTCTGATCGTCGAAACCACGAAGAAGAAGCCCAGCCCTAAGTCAGCTATACGCTCTCTGGAAGAATGGAAGCGCATGTTTGTTCTGTGCATTGATTAAGCTGCCCCTGGATTGTCCACCTCCACACATCAGGGGACTGCGCCCGTGACATCTTCACGCCGGTGCAGCAAGTTTGCACTTTATTGAGCTGGAGCAGAATTCGCCCAAGGCTGAAAGCCAATAGCTGAAGCCGAGTAAGTTCCTCCCCTCAGTTTCATCGATAGCAAACATCAAAACGCAAGCACTTCGCTTCCCTTTTACTTTTATACAGGTCAACCCGTATAGCAGTCGACTACGGTAGGCGCTTGCGCTATTCGTCGCGACTCACTCCGCTGAGGTATGCGCATGTAGAGGAGCCGAGTACAAGGCAAGAGGCTTCCTGAGTAAGAGACCGCGGCCGACTGTCTCGCGGTGGATGTCCGCGGGAGTGGGTTTGCGCTGGAAGCCTTCACCAATCGAACCGGGGCGAAGAGGCTACGACTCACGCTGTGCAGCGCGGTTTCTTAAAGTAAGAGGCTACATCTAGTATGGACGACGATGATGATGGCGCAAGCTCACCAAGCAGGTAAGGCAGGGCGCCATCTTATCCCTGCGGCTGCTTTACCAAAGAGGGCTGCCCCCTTTTATTTCTTTTCGGTAAAAGGTTGCCCCTACTCGACCCCGCAGGCAGAGACAGAGAGAGGCCAGACCAACGCCCGCCACCTCTTCGGGGGAGGGACCCAAGCAAGCGGGGGGAGCCCATTCCGCTTGCTCCTACCCTCCTGCACTGCCTCCCCCTTCGCCTGGGGGTCTCCCCTTATTTAAGCGGCCTCCCCGTTTAAGCCTCTTTCTTTTGCTGTTCTGTTCCCTTCGTGGCCTTCTTGGCTTCATTTCGTCCGGCGGTCCCTCTGCCGAGCCTCCTCCCTTTCTCTCCTTTCTTTTTCACTTCCTTCCGTCCTGGCGTTGGTTCTTCTTCTCTTTCAGTCTTGCGCCTTGCCCTTGTTGCTGCTTTTTTTCCACTGCGGTGGTACTGCTGGGCGGGTGCGCCTTCTGCCCCTTTCGCGTCTTTTTTCTTGGGGGCTCTGCCCTTTTCCTCCTCCTGTTCTCTTGGCTGCCTCTTCCCCTTCTTTCTTCCTCCGAGGTCCTGCAGCGGTTCCGCCGCCAGCCTCTGCTCTTCTCTCCTTTTGCCCCTTCTATCTACCCCTGGGGGCTTCTTTGCCTTCTTTCCTTCCCTGAGTCCTTCCAGCGGTTTGCCCGCAGGTCTCTCTTTTCCGTCTCTTCTGTTCTCTTTTCCTCTGTCTCTTTGTTTTTTTGAGCCTTGCACTGGGCCTCTCTGCGTGCCCTGTCCTCCACCCGTTCCTCTTCCCTCTGTGGTGTCTTTTTCTCTGGGCCTCAGCCTTTTCCCCCTGCTCTTTCCCGCCACAGCTCTCCTCCTTTTTCTCTCCTGCTTCCTTGCAATGGGTGGCCCAGATTTCTCCTCCGTCTATTCTTACTCTTACCCCCTTCACACCACTTGCCCGGGCCCCCTGCCGGCCAGCTGCACGCTTCCCCTTTGTGTTGGCGCGTCTTCATCTTTGCAATGGGGTCCTAACGCATTCGCTTGGCCCCGCGTCATGCCTCCCGCCTTTTCCCGTCCTTTCTGACCCTTTTGGCCTGTTCTAGCCGCTTCCGGCGCGCCTGTCCCGCGCCGTGCATCAGCTGGCACACACCACAGCAGCGAGCGCCCGACTGGGTCCCCCGGCAATTCTTCACCCCCCAGGGGCACTCCCGCCGGCTATCCTGGTCAATGGTTTCCCCCGTCTTCTCATAATGTTCCCAAACTTCCACAAGCTTGAGGAGCTCCGCCGCCTCTTGCTTGCCTTGGATCTGGATGCGCATGCGGCCACTCCGAATTACCCAAAGCGAGCACCCTTGCACGCGCTGCACGGATGCACTTTCTGGCGCGGGTACGCGAAAGCGCAACGCAGTAGAGGTCGCCAACCTCAAAGCTTCAGCGGTTCTTTGCGTGGCCTTTGCGTCGAGTTTTGCGCGCGGATTGCTCGACCGTTCCGGGGGCTTTGCGGCAGACATTTGCGGCGAACTGCGTGAGCCTTGCATGGGACCGCTGCACGCGTGCGGCGCTGGCTCTTGGCTGCGCCTGCGGCTTGCGACTGAGAGCGACTATCTGAAGAGCAAGAGAGCAGCCCCGCGAGTCCAAGCCCTGGCGACTTGCGAGCGACTAGCACCCGCGAGGCCAGGTAGTTAGGCGACTAGACTGCTAAAGGATCGGCGCCGAAATATTGAAAACAAGCGCGGGCCTTCATATGATTTGAACGACGTAGACGAGACAAGAAAAAGCCGCAGCGCACCCTGGAGAACTGGAAGCCCAACAGACGCTGGAGGCCTCAATATAAGGGAAGAGACTGTCCGCCGTGGTCCCTGTTTGTTATTGAGTGCAAGCAAGAAGAGGGCCAAGGCCCTGAGGGCTAAGGTAGACGCGCTCTCGTGCATTCTCTCGCCACTCATAACACCAGCCAGAACGAAAGCAGGGACGAGCTCGCACAGGTAAGAGCAATAGCCCCCCGCATTTACAGGCTAGGTAGCTTAAAGCTGAATAGCTAAAAGGGACGCTGCAGCCCTTGGCGTTTCAGCCCCTGGGCCTTAGGTGGAGGACACAATAAGGGCCGGGCGCTCGCGCTGACTCTAGCCCGCCGCGTCTGACATGACCAAGGGCACCGGTTCACAAAGTCAGACCCTAGAGCCAGTCACACCCAACATCCAGAAGCACGTGTAAGAGTATAATAAGAGCAACAAAATTCAGCAAGCGCTCCCCCTCCGAAGCCTCAAGCCCAACCTCCAACACCCAAACCCGCAACCTCCGGCGCAAAAACTCCCAAACCTCCAAGACACAAACCACAAACCACGAACCCATGAGCCCAGGAATTTACGAACTCACGAACCCCCAAACTCATGAACCCACGAACTCACGAAAAGACTTCGACTTGGAGCGTTTCCCAGATTCAGAATGACACGCCACGCGCTAAATGAAGCCCAAGCCCTTGGAATACTTGAGAGCGGTCCGCGCGATATGGACGCCGCAGCCGTTCTGACGGAGGCGCCTCCGCCTGGCTGTTTGCCAAACGCGCGCGCCGCCCTTTCGGCTTCGGGTGGGAAAGGGGACCGGCCTCACAAGCATGGGCAAAGCCGTCCCCTGTGCGAATTGGTCTGCAGTCTTCTCCCTTTTGCGCAGCGACTCCCTGAGGTGCTCGAGATCAGTCGGGGGCCTGGGCCTGTTCGCCTTTCTGCCCTTTGGTGGTTTTTGCCGGATGGGTTGCCTGCCCGCCGGAACGCTGCCAAACCCAAAAGCCGACTAGAAATGGGACTGCCAAAAACGAAAAATTTGAGAAAAAAACAAACGGGCCAAAAACTTTGGGCCCTGTTTCTACTTATTTGCGGCGCTTTAAGGCCTAAAAGCTTAGCGGTCCGCTGTCTATGGGCGCGGACTCTGTACGGCTGAAGAAGTTGGCTCACCTTGTGCCCCCCTTAAATGTAAGCCCGGCCTGTTTCATTTGCAACATGAAAAGAATGAGGGCGCGCGCATGTTGTTGCCGTTCAGTCATGCGGCAGATCCGGTTCACCTTGTCGCTTTTCTTCTGTCTTTGCTCTGTGCTTGATGGTCCTGATCTTCTTGCCCATCATTTTCATCACCATGAGACTCAGAAAAGTGGAACAGCAGAAGGCCCACGAAATTCACGGCCTTCTTACTCATGAAATTTAGACCGATCAGATTTTGGAGATCTTCTGATAATATCGGTTGCTTTGGTCTTAACCTGCTGCGCCTCCTGAGTGACAGTTACTGTCGAAGACCGCCCGAGCCCTCTCGTACGTTGTTCTGAACCGCTCGTCCGCCTTTAGCGATTTGCCCTGCATGATCTTCGGTCGGAGGAGGTCGATTTTGGCCATGAAGATTAGTAAGTTCTTGGCTAAATCCATTTTTGTCTCCTCCGATTCCTCCGCCGACAATACTTTCCAGGGAAGGGCAAGACGCCCCGGCGGTGCCAATTTCAGATCCAGCTCTACTATACGCTGGAAGTATCGACTTTTCCACAATGCCTCCGCGACGCTATTTAGGCCCAGTGAGCCGCCTGGGAAGCCTATCAAGTCCTCTATTTTACGTTCGCAGTCGAGGTAACTCAAGTAGTTCAAATAACAAGGGTCATCCTTGTTCTTGCGAGACCACGCAGACCCCATCTTGATCTTGTCCTTGGTTGTGTAGATGTTGTTCTTCCCGACCTATTCGAAATCTTCAAGCTCTCTTCCTACGTACTGCTCAGTGGATTTCTTCGTCAGTAAGCTTGTCTGTTGAGACTAGAAAAGCATGATCCGCCTTTCCCTAGTATGAGGTAAGAAAAAACGATGTAGATGCTCTTGCGAAAGTGAAAATGCTGAGAACATGAAGAAAAGCTAAATCATGCAGCTGAAAGACCAACACTACTAACGAATATGTATATGAATATATGTGGAAACGCATCGAAGTGCGACAGTATCTTCACAGAACGACAGAGCGAAATCCATCTTCATCAACAACTTTGCGTCAAAGTCAAAATTTGTTAATATCAAATGTCTTCGCTCGTGTCGAAACAAGCCTTATCATTCGAGCGACCAAATCGAGCCCAATGTGAGAACTCTCGTTAGCGATTCCAATTCGACCGGATAAACGTGTAAAAGTCGCTCGATCAGTGAGTGCCTAAGTATGTGTCGGTCTTGCACTTTCAGCGATCGCGAACACAAGGCTGACCTCATGTCGCCAATTTTCAGGCTTTGTTGTCAGAAGGCCGCAAGTATAGGTTTCAACTTATGCAGTCACAGTATGAATATATTCTCACAAAGTGTGCTTGTGTTTCGCTCCACTTCAAAGCTTCCTGCTCCCTTGCTCGTATCTTCCTTGAGCCCCGGGAAGTCGTCATGAGTAGCAGCATGACACTCGTCATCAACAATTAGTCAGTCCTTTCCTAAGATGCTCGACCGTCTACTTAGATGAGTGCCTAACATGTACATCACCCGTCCTGTTTGGTCTGACCTTGCTACAAAACACTCTCGCTCCACTCGTTGATCGTTGTACTACAACAAAACATATTATTTCGTCTCTGCCTCGTCAACAAACTCATGAGCAACAAGGACAACCTTTCTGGAAACAGACGAACACTCGTGCGACGACTACCACGACACGACCAGATCAACTCGTTATCAAGGCAGAAAGAAACACGCCGATGCAGCTTCGCCACGATTGATACTAACTTACAAGATTCGGCATATCGTATCCTATAATGTAAGCGATCAGTCTAACAATCCAATCCCTGAATATCAAGCTACGAATGTTTGTTGGACAAGCTACATTTTTTTCAAAGAAGACTGGAAAAGATAATGGAAAATATAATGGTCTTTTCGCAGGAGGACGGAGAGTTGACGTACTAGCAGGGAGAAGCAGGAGATGGTCGATACGCAAGTAAGAATTATGGCAGTATCTATACAAATGCGACTAGGGCAAATGCAACTAGGAAACTCGGTCACAAGAGTCTTGGACGACACAAGGACAAGCCTCAGAATTGTCGTCGAACTCGAAGTATTGAAGGCAATACTTGCGTTGCACATGGGACGCAAAGTGTAATCATCTACACACTCTCACTCCCAAAAGAGTTCTTGTTCTCAATGGTCTTCACGATCACCACTCATGTTATCTTTGTCTTACGCCCTGGAGCTGGAGGGGTCACGCGGATGCGCCGTTCTTGATTTTGTATAGCACGCGTCCCAATTTGTTCCTTACCAGAAATTCCGAGCAAAGAACGTATGCCCAAAATGACCAGCTCTGCCGCGTCTTTTTCAATTCTGATACGGAGCCACATTTCTTACCCTGACGCTCAGTTCATTCTGCGTGTTCTCGTTTAAGTGTACGGTGCAAGCATCTCCATATTAGAGCCACCGAAAGAAGAAGAACAACCCAGCTTCTAGGCCATCTTTTAGCTTTTTGAAGTCCTCGTCAGCAACTCAACTACATGTAAGTAGTTTATTCTTTTAATATGTTTACCGCCCACGTGCCCCCGGCGTGTACACACGCCGGGGCAAGGCGGAAGGGTCTGGCAAATGCTACGAGTTACATAAAACCCATACGGCCTACCGGCGTGCTACGAATTACGTAAAGAGTGGCGGGCTATGGAATAAGAAAAGCAGCGCCGCGCTACAAGCTGCTACGTGCTACATAAACCCCCACCGTCCCTGGCAGCACCCGAAACGCCCAAAAGGAACTACTTCGAACGAATGAGGCAAACGGGTAACCAAATACATACGCCGAGAGTCAAATCCTTGAGCAGATCACTCCAGGCCTGCTGCTTTCGGTTCTCAGCGTAGTGGCTGGGCGAAGCACTGCAGTCGACTCCGCTCACCGTGAGAACCTCGCGCGCCCCCTGGCCCGGGTTTTGGGCGTGGGTCCCCTACTCTTGNCGCCCCCTGGCCCGGGTTTTGGGCGTGGGTCCCCTACTCTTGGAGTGTGTTGCGTCTCCGGCTGGCATGGCAGTGTCACGAGGGGGGCCCCAGGCTTGTCGCTTTCGGTTCTCCGCATAGTGGGCGAAGCACTACGCCCGACTCCGCTCACCATGAGAACGTCTACCGTGGATCTTTTTCGTGGAGAGAACTAGGAGGCGGCCCCGTTCTACTCTCGGCTTGTTTGCGGGGTTTTACTCTTTGCGCCGTTTTGGGTTTTCCATCCAAATCACGCAGCTTTATGGTGTCGCGTTGCTGCCTACGTTTCAGCTGCTTCGCGTTTGCTCTTTGTGGGCCAACATTTACCCTCCCAAGCTTACGGCGAGTTGCGCTCTATCGCTTAGCTTCCCTATCTGCTTCTGGCTTTCTCGAGAGGTGTGGGCATGCGTCACCCCAAGGCCTTGATCTAAGTGAACAAGAACAACGCCAAGCGAGCTGCCCTGCGCTGTGCGGCTTTCATGTGCTTGGGCGATGCAATCTGTGAGCCGCTTGAGCTTTCTGATCAGAAAGCAAGCCCAAGCCTATGCAATGGGCTTGCTGGTTCCTTATGGCTTACCCGAGAGGCCTTGTCCTTTGCGCCCGTTCTTTTCTGATCCAAAAAGCGCAGCGCGATGAAGTTGCTGCGTACTTGTGAGCTGCTTAAGAGGTCCCACCCTTTGGCTCAGTTCAAGACCCTCACCCAAACGGCGCAACGTTGTGAAGCTGCTGGCCCTTTTGACTTGCTGAGAAGGTCTCACCCTCTGAGTGGCCCAGCGCTGCGCAGGCACCCTACCCAAAAGGCACAGCTTTATGAAGTTGCTGCCTAATTTTGAGTGACCTGCTTGAAAGGTCTCGGCTTTTGACTCTGCTCAAACCTGCCCCCACCCAAAAAGCGCAGCTGTATGATATTGCTCTCTACTTTTGACCTGCTTGAAAGGTCCCAGCCTTTCAGTCAGCTCACTCAGAGGTCTTCCACAATCAAAGGGCGCAACTCTATGAAATTGCTGCCCACTTTTGACCTGCTGGAAAGGTCTCGCTCTTTGGCCCAGATCTGGCCAGCTTGGTTATTCAAGGCGCGCAGCTTTATGGAATTGCTGCCCACTTTTGACCTGCTTGAAAGGTCCCACCTTTTGACCAAGCTCGGGCATCCTATCCAAAAAGCGCAACGCCATGGGGCTGCTGTCTGCTTTTGGCTTGGCTTGCTTGAGAGGTCCCGCCTTTTGCCTCTCTTACTCTTTGCTCAAGCTCCTTGCTCAAGACGCGCAATCTATTTCATGAAGCTGCTGCCTACTTTTGGCCTGCTCGTAAGGTCCCGCGCTTTCACTCAGTCAAGTCAGGCGCCTTACTCAAAGAGCGCAACTCTAGGAAATTGCTGCCCACTTTTGACCTGCTTGAAAGGTCCCGCCTTTTGACCCAGCTCAGGCCACTCAAGCATCCTATCCGAAGCGCGCAGCTTTATGCGATTGCTGTCGTCTACTTTTGGCCTGCTTGAATGAAGGGCCCCACCTTTTCACTCTGCTCCAGCCTCTTACGCAAAGCGCGTGGCTTTAATTATGCGCTTCCTGTCTATTTTTGACCTGCTTGAAAGGTCCCACCCTTTGACCCAGCTCAGGCCCCTCATCCAAAGAGCGCAACGCTATGAAGTTGCTGCCCCCTTTTGAGCTGCTTGAAAGGTGTCGCCCTTTGACTTAGCTCAGACCTGTTATCCAAAGAGCGCAACTCTATGCCGTTGCTGTCTGCTTTTGTTTTGAGCTGCTTGAAAGGTCTCACCCTTTGACGTCGCTCAGACTCCTTATCCAAAAAGCACAACTCTATGAGATTGCTTTCTACTTTTGAGTGACCTGCTTGAAAGGTCTCACCCTTTGAGCCAGCTCAGACCTCTTATCCAAAAAGCGCAACTTTATGAGATTGCTGTCTACTTTTGATCTGCTTGAAAGGTCCTCCGAGCCCGCTCAGACTCCTTATCCTAAAAGCGCAAACTTATGGGATTGCTGCCCGCTTTCGAGGTGCTTAAACGGTCCCAGCCTTTTAGTTTGAGCCAGCTCAGACTTCTTATTCAAAAGGCGCAGCTTTATGAAGTTGCTGCCTACTTTTGACGTGCTGGAGCGGCCCCATCCTTTGAGTCAGCTCGAGATCCTTATCCAAAGCGCGCAGCTTTATGAAGTCGCTGTCTACTTTTGACCTGCTTGAAAGGTCTGACCCTTTGAGCCAGCTCAGGCGCCTGATCCAAAAAGCACGCAGGTGCTAACTTGCTCAGCGTATAGCTGCTGGGTGCTTGCGTCTGTTTGCGTTTCTTTGTTTGCATGTGGGTCCTTTTTGTAGCACATACGCAGACGCAGCAGATCTTCTTCATGAGATGACTGGCCCCAGGCTGAGGCGCTTCGCTCTTCGTTTATTTTTGTCCATGCAGCGCAGTCCTTGGCTTGTGCTGTTGGTTCAGGGTTTTGAGGTACTGCCGAAAGCCTTAGCAGGAGCAGAACCGCGGGAAAGTTGTACTCAAAAGCGCGGCACTTTTACGGCGCGAGATGTATACATCTAGCCCGTACATCTTTCCCATGATTTCCGTACATCTCAAAAAAGTGGAATTTTGGAAACCTACTATGAATCGCCCCGGTGTAAGTACATCTCAAGAGAACATCTCTCCCGTGATTTACGTATAAGATATATATCTCGAGATATATATCTCAGACGTATACATCTCGCCCGTACATCTTTGCCATGATTTGCGTACATCTCAAGCCGTAAGCCCACTCCTGTTTAGCATTCAAAATAAGGCTTGGCTTATAATATAGATAATTATAGTATTAGATCATTCGAAGTCCTCTAATTGTTGAAACTAGTTCGACGACCGAAGTTGTAGCACTAGGTAGTAATTAGTATTTTCAAGTCTTCGAAATCGAAACTATACCTGCAAATGATAATAAAAACGGCTAAAAGATGCTGGAAGAGAAGATGGGTTGAGTCTACGTAAATCTCTTACCATTAAAATTGCTACGCAATTGCTATTCCACGTAACTATTCCGGATTCCAAGGCACTGCAAAAATTAGAGCCGACGTGGTCGATAATTCACTTTCATTTTCTTCATGATCTAGGTTCATTCTATTCTCTGAAGAGTCTGAGTATTTCTACAACAAGGAGAAGACAGAGAAAAAATGAACTGTGGAGAGAAAATATCTCCTGGAGATGAATTATTGTTAGTGACCTTAATAAAATCGAGGCCCCCTGAAAGATGTAAGTTCCCTTGCAGCAACTGCAGCGCCTCTGCTACCTGGTGCTTGAAAAAATATAATTAGAATAAAAAGCAAGAAGTAGATTGCGGAGTAGGAATTACCTTTTGGGCTGTAGATTTAGAGTAGGAACACGGAAAGAAAACATTCTCATGGAAGAAGATCAAGGTAATTGTAATCTTCCCTTCTATCATGTTACTACCTAGTATTTCACTTCTTCTATCCTAGTACTGGCTGCTACCTCCCAAGGTAATCAGTTCTATCAATTAGGTAAGTACTACCTAGTACTTTTTTTCCTCCTTGTTCTTCTTGATACAAGTACTAGTGCAGTATTTGATGCAGCAGGCGACGCTGTTGTGCAAAGTTCTCTCCCCGGCTATTATGGTTAGCGACATGTTGGAGCAGATGACGGTTTCGAAGATATCCGTGAGCATATAAATTAGCACACTACCACGAGGACTAGAGGAACTACCAGAGGACAAAGTATTATCCATCAAGATCATGCTCATCACCTCATCTGATAGATCGGATGCTGCCCCTTTGCTGGCATTCAGAAAGTTTATGGCCTCTGCGATTCCCGAACTTTGGCCAGCGACTTGCTCTGCAAAGCCCGTCTGAGCGGGTGCTTCTCCCATCACCGTAACCGCAGCTCGCCCAAACGCACCCACGGCAGCTGCACCAGCGTACACACCTGGTATGATGTTAGTCTTACTAAGGACATGATGATGATCGCCGTTGCCCTTTGATGCTCTCAAAAAATCTATCTATTGCCATTGTAGAGTTAGGCTATTTTGGACCCATATCGGGCCGGGTTGCTCGGGTTGCTCGAGTTGCCAGGCCAAATTTTTTGCGCGGCGCCCCCTTCGGGCGCAGATTTATGACCCTGCGAGAGACCTTAACAGGAGCGCACGACACCGCGCGCCGCGTCTCTGATCCTTGATCTTCTTTTTAGTGCGCCCCTAAGGCCCCAGCGCCTACTGTTACTCTCAGCCGAGTAGTGTGATATCTAGCTAGATGGGTAAGATATCTAGCGGCGACGCCCTATCTACTTACGACGTCTACGTAGTTCTTTCTAGTTGCATACTGATGGCGATGCGCTCATATAAGAATAAATATCTAGCGCGTCAATCCATTTCAATTTAGCAACCCCCTCCAGTATACTTACTGCTATACCCAACAAGACTGGACACGTCGCCCGCACGCTGATGGCAGCAGACGGAGACGCGCTCTCAGCCCCCCAGCAGATTGGCCACGCTCGCACCCGAAGGAAAAAGGGAGAGATCGCCAACGACTCGAAGACGACACACCACGGCGGCACTCACCTCAAAAAAAACAACAGAGAGCAGGGGCCTCCGCTCCTTGTTTTCGCTTCAAACACGCGCCCGCACGCTACAAAAAATGAGCCTGAAAGGCTGCAGAGCCCTTCACACGCGACTGCCCCTCCTATGGGCCCCAACAAAAGACAGCAGCTGCACTCTTCTTCATTTCTTCACTTCGAGCGCGCAAATGCTCCGCAATACCGCCCGGCTTCGCCCCATTTTTCTGGGTCAGGATTCTCCTGGCAACCCGTGGCAACCCGTTCCAGATTTGGAGCCCCTGCGCTTCGGCAACCCGAGCAACCCGCTGCAACTCGAGCAACCCGAAACCCGTTATTTACCTTACTCTATAGTGAATGTAAGTTGTGAAATGTAAGTTGTGCTCGCCAGTAGTACTAGCAGTACTGGCGCTGGCCATAATCATAAATCATGATAATACTCGATGAAGCAAACACCTCCTTCCTCTGCCTCTGCAACTGTATACTCACCCTCATGGAGGTGATGCTAACTGAAAGTGAAATTTTCATAACAATGACATACAAGAACAAATACTAAAACGTAGTTGCTGCCAAAGTGAATCTATCATGTGACTATACCGCGAAACTGCTGGTTCATCATCTGTGACCATGGGCAGTACTGGGCATTACGACATTGCGCGAATCGCGCAGCATTGAACCTCGTCATCTTGAACAAGACGTTGTGTGAACGATGAACTACACGAGGACCATTCTAATATTAGGTGACTCTTTGGTTATTAATGATAAATATATTTACATGATCTTCCACTTAGTAGTAGTAGAAGATAGTTGTAGAGTCAGGAGAATCTTGATCTTGTTCAACAGCCGATACTATTTGTTTACGACTAACTTCAGATTTACTGCAATCGAAAACGAAATCAAGAATGTCATTTATTCATTCGCTTTTCTATCTCTCTGTGTCTCGTCTCGGGACAAAATTTTCCGCTCAGTATTGTTCTCTTCATAGGAGAGGAAAAGAATCCACGTAGAAGAAGCTAATCTTCCACTTCTAGGCGCTTTCAGGCGCAGGCAGTAGGTAAAATCTTCATATATGTGAGAAACGACACAAAGATCAATAGGCCAGACCGATGTGGTTATCGGCTGAACAAGAACAAGATGAAATCATTCCTCCAGCCACAAAAAATACACTGACTAACACGATCACTTGCGGTCGCGTTCTGCATTGATTACGGCCAACGCCGAGACCAAACGAAAAACCAAAACTTTTTGTTCTTCAGGAGAGGACAGCAACGGTCTGATTTGTGAATATCCATAATATCTATCATGATGTGAAGATCAAGATGTGTTCATACACAACATTCAGGTGTAGGTAGTACGCTCACTACTTTGTAATATCTTCTTCATAAAAGTGGACTCAAAAAGCTGCACACAAGATTTTTACAACGATTCCAGATCATCAAACATCAAGCTGATTTTTCATCGTCATATTTGTTATTCCACACTGTCAAGCGTAAGCGGGGACGTTTGATGATCTCAACGAAATACGGCGCCACTTGTCTTCTAGTAGCATATCACAGGCTAGCGCAGGGGTGACGACATCCCTGCGCTGCTGTTAAGTTTATTAAGTCGCTCCGGGCTGTCTCGTGTAAGTATAAAGTCTAGACTTAGAAAACAAGACCGCCAGGCTCTGACATACTGGCCAAGTGCATGACTTTAAGGAAAAAGGGGAAGAAGAGGGAGGAGGGAAATACTGCAGAGACAAGAAAGGATAAACTTACCCGCTACTTTCTGGAAGCGGCCAACGATTGGCAGCAAGATAGAACGTGGGTCCGAACTGAGGGGGGTTATGCCTACAGTAGTGCGCTGCTTTGATGACAAGCGTCGCGCGTGAAAGTATCACCAAAGGGCTGCACGCGTCAGAGCAGGGAGCCTTCGCACGAATCAACTGAAAAGAACCCAGGCGACGCGACCTGACTGCACGCGACGCGCGTGAGAGATATGCGCCGCGTCTTCAGTCAGTCTGTCACACAGTGGCCACGCAATGGCCGAAGCGTCAGCAGTATACTGCTGAAAAAGTTGAAAACTCCCACTCAGCAGAAGAAAGGCCACTACGTTCAGAACCAGACGGGTCTGGTGCTGCTGCAGACAGTTGCTGCGTGTGACATTATTGAAGGAGTTGCAAACTCTTGCGCGCAAGATAATTCGCACCAGATTGAGACAGCGCACCCACTCGAAAACTTTGACCAGTATACGCGAGAGCCCGGCCTAGCTCTTGCCACTGTGTTGCTTGTCCAATGCAGTGAAAACCTCGAGGAGCCTGCTGGCAGCAAGAATTGGAACAATCTTGGAGGCCGAGCGAATCAGAAAAACAAAAACAGCGACCGCCCCACGATCAGGAGAGAACTTGCTCAGGCGCCTCACGCAGCGGACACACTTAAAGGAGAGGACTTGGCTAGCGAATTAATAGAGAGCAAACCTGTAGCACATACGGACTGCCTGGATTCGATAAGCCAGCACTTTGGCCGGCTTGCGCCAAACGAGTTGAGAATATAGCGGGTTGCGCTGTTTCAGATATTGGCGAAACCGTCGCGGGGAAGCTTGTCCATGCTTCTCCACGATACAAAAACCGCGCAACGGGGTAGCCTCAAGGGGGGCCAAAGTGCTGCACTGCTGCAAGGCTTCTGCCTTCTACCATAAGACAAGCGCTGCGCTTATCGCTTTGAGCTCGTGGCCGTGGCTTATTGAATCCCGCAGCGGCTAAAGCAGTAGCATAGTCCAAAGCGAGCGACGGACTTGGTTCTGGTTGGTTCCGCTGGTTTTAAGATTGCTACCAGCGAGGCGAGTGCTTAGGAAGCACGGCTCCGCTGGCTCGCGAGTTAGAAGTAGATCGACGCGATGAGAATCCTACACGTTAACACTGACGAAGCAGCAAAAACCCTGGCGCGATGTGGTTGATGGTAGCACAATGGTGCCCGCTTTCCAAAGTGTTCCCGTGCTTCATGCTCCTGCGTGGATAGTGCTCGCGCCCGTGAACATCATCCCAGCAGCATTGCTGGGCTGGTGTTCTGTTTTCTTTGGTAAGTATCTAACTCCAAAAAAAAAACTTGCCGCAGGTGTCTCCGTCGTCGTTCCCGTTCAGCTGGCGCCAGCGCATGCGCGGCATCTTTTGCCCCAGAAAAAGCACGCCGATGGCATGACTTGCAGCAAAGACATGACAAGAAAGCAGAAGAAAACGCGGAGCGTTTGAATTCGATGCATAGTAGAGAGCAAAAGAGAGGCCAAGCCTGACCTCGATGCATGGCATAACAATGAAGCGCGCAACTCTAAGTAACGCACTCTGTGGCCTTAGTATTTTGCTTCTTTGTCCGGTTTAGCTCCTCTCATGTCGCGCGCAGTGCATCGGCTGAACTGTCGACGCCGATGGCGTCGCTTGCAAAAAATGCAAGAGAACACGCGCGCAATGCTAGACGCGTTAGCCAGATAATGCAAACGCCGCGCGCTGATGTGAGAAGGCTTCTCCTTTGATTGTGCAGCCCTATTAATTTGGCGCCGTGTCATTTGGATGCTTCTGCAGGAAGCGCATGGCATGCGTATGGCATGCTGTGGGCTGGTTGGGCTGATAGCTCGCCAGCTTGTCGCGGCTTTGTTGTGGCGTCCGTGTTGGTCTTGATTCTTAACCGTGTGCGAAGTTCGTCACAACTGTGGCGCCATAATTGAATCTGGGTCCGTCTGGGGGCTCTCCATGCAATTCATAAAGGACAACGCCCGCAGTGATTTACTGGCGCTCTTTCTAATATATCACCGAGCGAGGTACCCGCTTACTGTTCCCGTACGTATTACCTGCGTGCTTTTTCTATATTGCTCGGATGCCTCTACTTGGATGGATGGAAAACGAAAGCCATCAACCCAGCCGCCGCTCTTTGGTTCTCGAACTTGATCGGTTTGCTTTGATTTTCCTGCAGTGATGTCTTGCGCTCTAAAGTCGGAAACCGATGAGAGTGCGTCTATCGTTGGCTTTCGAAAGCGACACGAGCCACAGTGGGGAAGTTATATAGCAAGCTACTCCGCTTCCATGGCCATCATTTTTTTGACAGCCTTCCCCGGTGTTTTGATGGCAGCCTTCTTCGGTACTTTGGTAGCCTTCGCCGCTGCTTGTTTCGGTTGCTTTGTGTTTTTTTTCATTGGGTTGCCCACTTTCGCCATTTTCTTCATAGGGGCAGGCTCTTCCCCAACGCCTTGGGCCTTCATGGCTTTGCTCGTGCTAGCGCTTTTCATCGTCGTGGTAGGTAGCCTTGGGCGATTCGCTGATCGCGAAGCTGGTGAGTTCTTGTGCTTTGCTTGAGTGCTTCCGCGTCGATTTTGGTATCAGAAGAAGAATCTCCTGAGAATGGAAACGCGGCGGGGTATGAATGTGACGAATTCCCTTCAAGCTTTTCGGCTACGTATGGGGTAGCTTCTCACGCAAAGAGTTCGACACTTACCGGCAGCAGCCGCTTGAGCTCGCTGGGAGCTCTGACGAAGAAGGCGCAGAGGGATCGGAAGTAGGCAAATCCGTGCGGTGCTGCGTAGGGGCTTGGGGTGGTTGGTACGCAGCAGCGCCCAGCTTTTCACTTTCATACTTCTCCAAAAAATCGCGGCGGAGCACGTCCGGCACCGTGAGCAAATCAGTATGGACTTGCGGCCTATTTTCGCCCATACTGCGCACGAGTTTCAGCGCAGAGGCATCGCCACCCTTGTGGGTGGTGGCTGGCGTCGCGCACTCCTTGGCGGGTACTGCGGCTACCAACTGCGTCAGCAGACCAGTCCAGACACCTGAAAGGCGGAGAGCCTTAGAGGGCGGGGACATGGAAACTGGAAGCGTTTCGACCGAGAGAGAAACACGACGCAGAGACGCAGAGCGGAGACGAAAACTAACGAAAGCGCCGACTTTAGTTTTTTTGATAAGATAGCAGAGTCCTTCTTTCTGTTTCCTATGAAAAAAAAGGCAGAACGTAACGCCGTAAGCGGGAGCATGCGCACGCTAGACCATCAGCAGAGTAACTAAACGCCTTGCGTCACTCTACGCCTTAGATGTAACGCCTAAAAAAGCAGAAAGGGGGCCAGTCGTAGACGAAGTGCCGACGGATCGAAAACAGAGAGAAAGTTAACAAAAAGACGGCAACCAAATGCATCGACTCGCTTCTTCGTCTACGTTCTGTGCCTGGCTTCTTTGTCTCTCTCATCGTCTCAAGCATGAAAAACCCATCGTCGTGAGTCCGTCTCTCGTCTGTCTTCATGCTCAAAAAAAATCCAGGCCCTCGGGCAAGGAATGCAGAATTTCGCGAAACTCACAATGCGATATAGCTTATACGAGATACTATCTATTCGGGAATCTTCGGGGGTCGTGGCTAACGAATTAAGATGTCTAATCGAGCTGATGAGCCGCGTACAGCCTACAGGACCGCTTTTCCATGAGCGGGATCAAATCATGAGGACTAGCATACCAGTGGTTCTTAAATGTAAAATCTTCCAGTTACAATAACAATGTAGCCACGTCCTCATTCTACTCATCCACATCATGATGACCATGATCAATATCTTCATATATAAATATTTAGTACTACATTCACATTTATATTACAAAAATACAAGAAGAGGAGGATACCTCTTCTAGATATTGCTTCCAAACCGGAACAACCACGACACAAATAAGAATTAACTATTTATAGGGGTAGCAGACCACAATGACACGTGACATTTTTACGAGGATCGAAAAGAATCGAACATATGCTTCACAACTAGTTCTTCTAGTTACTTATTCAAAATAGCCTGTACAAGGGGGATGCTGCGCGTGCGCTGAACAAGATGACATAACACAGCGAGGACAGTGACATGACACAGGCCAGCGTTTGTCCTGCCCTATTTTGGATATCTTGATGGTTCCATAAGATGCCTGCGAAGCTTATTTTCAGTCCACTTTCAGTTGCTTCGCTGGACAAACCATGTTCTTGCCCTCAGAAGAAGCTGATGCACCCGCGGTTGACGTTGAACGAACGCCGAGCCGACTACTTCTGCGCTTTTCTGTGTAGGGACACTGGTCCTTCGCAAAACGGCACTTTGGCTGTCTAGTCCAAATTTGACGGACCGCAGCGACGAAGAAACTGCGCATCACCGCTTCGATCAGGTACGCCACACCACAGAATTCCCACAAGGAAAAAAAGCGGAAGTAGAAGAAACAAAACAAACCCATGCTCCACATGCGAAGGCGTCCTAAGAAACGTTGTATCGATGTAATGGGAGGCAACTTTAGCGCCTTTGCGTATTCGTCGCCGAGGAAAAGCCAAGCGGGAACAGCGACCATGCTCGGCGAAATCAAAAATGTGGAGCGCGGTTTCGCTGTCAAAGATGGGCTATCCGGCTCGACTGTCGGCATCTGTGCATCAGGAGTAGAGCTTATTTCTTGCTTCCCTTCCACCTTCTCCACGGCAGATGATTTCGTGCCATCACTCGTCTTCCCTGATGATCCTGCATGCGATACAACCGCGGCAGGAGGTTGTTGTTCCAGATTTGATGAGGATGGTGTTGAGACACGACTTGCGCTTTTCCTTGCAACATCAGGAGTCGAAGCGCCAGTGCTCGCTGACCCGCTCCCACCGCGTCCCATTAGGTCGGTCGCAAAACCTTCGGCGACTGAATCGCAAATGTGCACAGCGAGGACTGAACTGAGATCTGGATCCGGTTCCGCAGGTATTCCAAAAGTGTATAAACTCTGCATGACCGTTGTTCCATGCGCAAAATTCAAGTTCGGATTCAGCTCATCCCGAATCCCGAACAAGTAGCCAACAACCCGCCACAGGTGCACGAAACCTTCTTTCTGCTTCTGCGGAATTTTTGCGCCGAAACTCATCTCCTCGAGCCCGTGCAAGAGCAAGACGGAACTCCCGAGTAGCGTTCCGATCAGTTCGGCTTGGTTGATGGGTTCGCCGTACTTCTCAAAATCAAAACTATCTTCTTGTTGAACAACGTGCACGCCACCGGTAGCGGTTCTCCCGTCCACGTTGTGCTCACCATCCGGGTGCTCGCTCTCCGTCGACGAAGAAGAACCCAATTGCTCTTCTGCGTCTCCTCCTACTCGCTGCTCGCCCTTGTCCTTAGTCCTTTCATGCCCATGTTCATTTTTCCCATCGCTCCCGAATTTTTTCTGTTCTGGCGATTCCGCATTACTGGGTGAATTTGACTTGGCGCTAGTCGGGCTCCCGCTTCGAAAGAAAGATGGAACCCAACTTGAGGGGCTTACTGGTGGATTATCTGATGCTCTGAAATTTCCTTTCTTGCCACTCTGCGGAGAAGGTGACGCGCCATCTTTGGCACCAGCACTCGCGCCTGAAAGACGTAGAGATGAAGGTCGGTGTCGAAGCTCCTGCTGTTCCAAAATGTAGTTCCACTGCTCGTCGTCCTCTAACAAGCAGCTCGCCGCCGTCCGTTCCAGCGCTTGCATGTACTCGCTTCGTGCGGCGGCTGTCTTCTTCGAGGATCCGTATTTACGCCAGACTCCTTCACGAGTGCGCGCGTGCAAAAAGCGAACTAATAAACAGCTTCTCCACGCTGGTCCGGAGCCCGGACGAAACCCTTCGGCTCCGTGACAGCAAATGTCGTAAAGGAAACACAAAGTTTCCCGTAAGCGGTTCCAGGTGTCGATCTTCCCGGTAGGGCCCTGGTCGGCCCAGTAGCGCGTTTTCAACAGAACCGCGGCTGCAGCCTCAGCGCCGAAACCCCCGACCACTGCCCAGCTAAACTGATAGCTGATCAGAGGCCACAAAGCACGGTAAAAACGGCATCCTTGTTCTAGTAATTCCATGTCGACCCACGGCGCAGGCTTCAGAAGCTCAGGGACTTCATTACTCATTGGTGTCGACGAAGGGGTTTTTCCTGGTGAGGAGCTAGATTGTAGTTGTCCTTGTCTGTCTTGTTGGTCTAGAAGAGGAGAGCCGGCAGCCAGCGAAGCTGGTGTGGTGCTTTTGCTCCTCAGCACATGCTTCATCTTCTCTAACTCGAAGATTGCGTCAATGAAGTGGGCACTCGTAAGGCTGCTTCCGTATCGTCGGAAAAGGGCGTCACCCTCCTCGTCACACAGGAACTCCCATCGGCGTAGAACAGAGCCAGGCAAGTGCTTCTCAGTCCACTCGTATTCCCATCGGCGAAAACCCATACGGAGTTTCGTTCCCACCGGGTATCCCTCTAAGCGACCGTGCGGCGCATCCATTGCTGTAGAAGTCATGTTCTTTGGGAGATCCTTAGACGAGGACGATGCAATAATTGATGGAGGGGTGGAAGCAGATGCGCTGGAAGTCGTTGATGTTAGAGACGGAGTTGTTCCTCTATTTGCACCAAATGCTGAGCCAACGGCAGCCGTGAGTGCTTTGTAATGACCGCTGACCAAATTGCTGACCTTCTCGACAAACAAGCTTACACTCGGCAAAGCTCCATCTTTACGCTGCGTGTCCTCACTTCCCCTCTGATGTTGGCTCGCAGCACCTTGTTTGCGTCGTAGATCCACAAGCAGAAACTGGTCTACCATATACATCGTCAACCACGTACAGAAAATGACGCCGGAGAACCATAGGAAGAGCCCGACGAGGGGCTCGTCTTTCACTACGAGGCTGACCAAATAGACCAAGAGAGAGAGGGGGATGACCGCAAAGAATGCGATCCCGCAGAAGTACTCCGCGAAGACCCGCCCGCTTTCCGTCAGCGAGAGCAGAAGCTCACTTCGCGTCATCGTCATGTTTTGAGAGAAGTGTTCAAATTACGACGTAAAAAAATGGAGCAGGACGAACGTGCGCATTATCACTAGTTTTTACCTTATTTCGATATTTTACAAATGAGGAAAAGAAATCAAAGAAATACAAATTGGGATGCTCGTCGTAGCGACTCCAGGTCTACTTTATCTACTTAATTTGTAATTATTCGTTGTAGTCAGAAAGTGTAAGTAGCGACGAGCTACACCCGAGAAGAACTTAGAACGTAATAGAACGATGGATCATGACAGCGACAAGATCATCCATAGGACAAAGCTGAGCTGCTTCTACTTCCACTTCATCTTCATCTATTTGCTCTTACTTCTTCGAGAAACCAACGATCAACAAAACATTGTACATGATTCTACAAAACAACTAAAAAAGGTCAAGATGGGGTTGGAACCAATGGCAATTTACAAAAACACTACACAGGGACGTGTGTAGGGGACACGGTCGGGCGCCATCTTCAGTTATCATGGTGGAGAAGGTTGTATGGAAAACAATTCGTTGTCAATAGAAGAGGACGAGAAGCCCGCATTCACATTATAATCAAATTCAGTATCGTATAATCGTAAATGTGATTTTATAAAAAATGCTTTATCCGAACCCGACTTGTTCAACATCAGAAGTTAAATTTCGATGAGCAAAAATAAAGACCCTCGTCGCGTCATTGTAGATGGATGGATCACTGTTTCTTGTTGACGTGCCATGAACGAACCGGCCCTCTTTCAGCGAAAAACACATCTTCACGACATCAATGGTTGATGTTGATCATCGTCTTCTTGACCTTTGCCTTTCTACTTCTCGTCAAGAACATCAAGTAGCAACATGAGGGGCGTTTAAAAACTGCTGCTGCGACTAAATTTTTTTCGCTGAGCCGACGCCAAGATGTCCTACTCTCGTCTGTCTCTCGTTGTGCGTGAGTTTATGAAACTACGATGTAGGGGTTGTAGTCGAACACATCTTAATATCAATGGTTCCATAAGAATTAAAAACTTGAAACAATTTTCTGACCGCCGCCCACCGATAAGTTTGAGATAATGTTCTTGTCCAATCTTAGGTAGCATTGGATGAAACTGATTTTTCTCATTCAGCGCCATCATTTGCGTACAGATGGATGCGAAAATGTAAGTGGCTGGTGGACAACTAGTTCCATGGGGAATTACAACTTTCACGTGCAGACGGGGGTATGTCTTACAAGAAATGTCCAGCGTACTTCCATCTTGACATGATCAATCATGTGTCATTATGGATTATCCCTAAGTTTATTGTTGAAACAGAAAAAAACATATCCTTGTTGGTGTGAGAACGGACACGGCTGTGGTTGGAGGATCAAGAAAACGCAATCTCTTTCAGCTCCTGCTCCCTAACGCTCCGAACATCGGTTCAAACAACAAGGCAGAGTAGTTTTAGGCTGCCAACAGTGGTCCATCTCGTTTTACCATCCCTTGCCCCACTGCTTACCTCCTGGTGGCGGTGGTCCTGGCGGAAAACCTTTCGCCCCTGGTGGAAATGGCGGCGGTCCTCCCGGCATACCGAACTTGCCGCCCGGCGGCCCTCCTCCTGGCAGTGGCGGCGGTCCGCCCATGCCCATCGGCATACCACCAGGTGTCATCAAGGCAGCGCCTTTCTGTTGCTGCGCCGGAATTGGAGGCGGAACACCCGGAGTTCGGCCGACGAGCATCGGCGCGGGACCGTCAGGCAATGCTAATCCCTTTCCAGCTGATGCTGTGAATTTTGTAAAAATCGATTATGTTCTTGTGCTTCTCAAGTTCTCAAAGACGAGGAAAGAATGTTCATCAACACTAACACTTCGCAGTAACGCCATAAATATATTAATTATGTTTAAGAAGATGAAGATCATAATTCAATTTTCCGGTTCCGGATCCTCCATTCACCATGAAATAAATACTATCTAAAAAGTCGAAGTACCAAGTTCTGTCGGTGCGGGTATGTATTCGTTTGGTATTTGCGAGGGCTTGTGTGACGCGATCAGTCGTTCTGTTGCATCACCGTGTCGTTCACCACGCGTATCCTTTTTGTAGGCGTATGAAACCGTAATCGGTGCATTGCACAAGAACTGCCCGTTCATTGCCGCCATTGCAGCATCCGAACCCTCGAAGGTGTCATAAGACACGAAGCCAAAACCTCGGCTCTCATTCGTGTCCGGGTCACGCATAACTTTGGCAAACAATAACTGCCCAAATGAGGCGAAAGTGTCGTACCTGTGGTAAGTAAAGTACGATTGCAAGAAGCTAAGCATATTTAAAACACGAACTGACTACCTACTAGATTGCGGATTATGCATTGCAACAATTAGGACAAACATCATCATCAAGAAGGCTTTCTACTTTTCTAAAAGTAAAACTACACTATCACTATGTGAATGTGGATGTGGACCTGAACTTCCTTAAGAAACATCAACAAGTTTTGAAGACTTAATAAAGCTCAAAAGCGGGTAGGCCTACAGAAGCTTATCGTCGCACAGCGTATCGAGATTTCCGACGAAGAGGTTTGCGCCAACGTCTGCTGTTTTCTTATCCGCAGTGGCTTTCGTACATCTTATTGGCTTATTGAAAAGTTTCACCATGTTCATTATCTTACACGCGTAGTCTGCATCCTCCTCGTTCTTGAATTCCACGAAGGCAAATCTGGTGGCATTGACATAATGTGGATGAAGTAGAGGTAAAGATGACAGACAGGTCTTCTAAAAATCGTAGAGATGACGTGAGACGAGATGTTGGAGATGGGGATGATCAAGAGAATGACCATTCTACATCTTTTCTAATGATTGAAGCATAAAAATCTTAAAATCTCGATCACCTAGGTAGTTCTAGTTGTAGAAGTACCCCATATGCGTTCCCGTGATCTTGTCTTTTGGTGTTGTCACTGCTTGTAATGGACCTGCATGAAGAAAGAGTTCCCACAGCACTTCTTCATCAATTTTTTGGTCGACGTTGCCAACATATATTGTCGCTTCTTGGTTCCGGTCATACACGTCTAGCATGCCGGGAACCATAGCCTGTCCTGATGCTGCCATTTTGGGCGGCGGAAATCGTTCTGCGAAAGGAGGTCTAGAAGAAGTCTAAGTTAGTTGTGAGTCCTAGTTCTTGTTCGAGGATATGGCTAGAACAAGTGATGTTATATTTTTCTGCCGTCGTGGAGGCGAAGGTGGATGATCTTGGAATTGTCTACTTACGAGGCGGAGGCTCCTCGTCGTTACAAAGTAATAATTGTGCTTGTTCCACGTACGTCTGTCAGTCCGGCCTCTTCGGGTTCCTTGTCCTTGACCGGCGCAGCAGAAGCTCAACAAAAGTATCGATTGAGTAGTTCCTCGATATTTTGCTTCATTCTTTTGGTCTTGCCGCTTCAACAAGAATGCGTATGATGTTGTCACTTGTTGTTATGGATTCTTGCCCGATAAAAGTCCATAAAAAACATGAACTTCTTAGGTCTGATCGTGGATCACCAACTCACTGTGACACACGAAATGACCTTCTCAACCTGCGATAGATTGCAAAGTAATAACAGCGCGATCGGTGGATCGGTATGAAGTAGCACTACTAACAAGAAGATCGGCAAGAAGGATGTAGCGTTCACAATCGATCATCATCATCGTCACCTTGGGATCACGTCGACCGGACGATCATACTGAGTAGATCATTGAAAAACTGGATGTTGTTCATCTTGGACAGATTATCGAAGGACCAGTAGACGCCGAAGGCAGACACTCGTCCGTAGCCGTACATCCTCACGGAGAATTTTGTTCCTGTATGGCACCAACTGCACGGCCAGTGAGTCAATTTGAATTCTTTTACCACCGGCTCCAGCATGTGGAGGACGTTGGGTGGATTTTTCGTTCTCCTTCGAGTCGGATTCATCACATTGAGAACAATGTATTTGCATGGTTTCCAGTGACACCAGAAGGTGAAGGGATCAAATTGAACATCAATAAAAAACAAAGTTTCAAATTCCATGGAGACCAGGAAATTACTTGGGCCGCGGGTAAAATCGCATTCGTTTTCTCCGTGTAATTTCGTCTGTGCAAAAACACGACTTCGAATTTGGAGGATGAAGAACTCTGAAAAGGGGTCAATTCATGTTAAGAACAAACTTCGAGCTATACATCGATATTGTTGAGGCTGCTCCTGGGTGTCATTGTCTCCGGTTGGTGTATACTCCTACCCACTGTGAAATAACGACTACGATAGGAGAAAAACCAGGAAGAGCCAACAAACTTGGCATACGCATACTTAGAAGCCTTGGTACTATGTTGCTGCTTGCTTATGTTTTCTTACTTCTATATGAGGGCAAACGCAGTTTGCAGCGCGAACGAAGTCGCATACTCCTCATCCTTAGCACTGCGCCCTTCTTCTACTTGTTCTTCATTTGAACGGGTCGTATTCACAAAGATACAAAGTAGTCCCTTTTTGTATTCAAAAATGTTATTTGACGACATTCTTTGTAGGAATGATTTCCGCGCCCAAAGGCGAGTCGTTGGATGTGAAAGCGGTATCCTTCAGTTTTCGAGTAATGGTGAAAACGCCGTAGGTCGAGCGTGTGGGACGAAAAATTATCAGAACGTCCGTTGGCATAGCACTCGGCGCCAGATACGGGATGTGTAAGGTCTGAGTGCAGTCATCGAAAAGCATTAGAGGGTTATCTTCTTATGATGTTGCCGCGACCAATGCCAATCTGCTCGTCGAACTCCGTGTCCGTGGCGCTAGGACTAGCTACTAAAACTTACTATTACTTGTTATGCTTTCTTCATACATACGTAATTGAAGACGCACTCTGTTCATTTAGAATTTTTTGCCTACTTACCATGTCGTCCATATCCATAATTACAATGTTTATATAATGTTAAAGCCTCTGTTCTCCATAACTCCAGTTCTGAGAAGAAGGACGACCAATTACTGATAATGCGGTATTTGCATCTTCGCATCTCGAAAAAGCCAGGTAGTGGTTTCTCGGTAATCGATTGGAACTTGCCGTCCTTGCGCTGGATCCCTTTGCGAATGCTGACAGGATCCTGAAAATCACCAGGTGCAAAAAGCATACAACCCTCGTAGTCTTAGAGGAAGATCAAGATGATGTAGTTCCTCCAGAGTCTGCTGCAAAGTAAAAAGGATGACGATGATGTAAAACAAGATCTAGGTCGTGGTCAACGTCAAGATGATAAAATAGTATCTATGATAGCTATAGCGACGACATATCAGCACGACAACTCCGTTGCCTTTCCGTGACGATGTAATCATAATAGTTTCCCGCATGTTGTTTGTTCAACTCCTGGAAGCGTTCTCGGAAGTTGACAGACATTTCAACTAGCCGAGCACCGGTCATTCTACCCCAATAAGCCGTGAGAATATCGTTGGTCGAAACGAAATCTGTCCCGCTTGTTCCTGATGAGCTACTTTTCTTCTTTTTAGAAATCACTTCTGTGCGATCACGAGATGACTATTCTGCCAACATACGCATACGAATACCACGGCTTCAAATGAACGACAACGACGTGGACAAATTCTAATTCTACTTGTATCTTAGTCATCACCTTGAGCACATGGATATGTCAGTAGTTGTATTTATCATAAGTGAACAACATCTAGTGCACCATCAGCATCAGGACGAAACGAAGTCAAAATCTACTACACGATCACGATGATGATCCTGCTTTATCGCCACTGCTACACCTACTGCTACTTCTACTAAACAAGAACTAATAACAACACAAAGAAGGTGGCTCTTGAAAAAATAGCCGTATCTTTCGCTTTTTGCACTTTCGCCGCATCCACATAGAATGCTTTCGCGCGAGGTTTGCCTCCGAACAGCATATTACCAATGTAGTTCATGATAAGCGGCGCAGAGCCCAAATACGTGGCATAGACATTTGCACCCACTGCTTCTTTGAGCCTTGGTACGAAACTGTGCCATCTCTCGGGATTCAGCGACACAATTTCTTCTTTCGTGGACAACATTTGGAGCAGCCTGTAATATGTGTATCCGCCGTATGAAAAGGAGTAGAGTTACTGCTTGTGGTAGTCGTAGTTCTTGTAGTGGACGTGTACTATTCGTGGTAGTTCATCTATCATGTTGTAGAATTAAGTGTTACAACTTACGTGAAAGAACGTGAGTTGATTTTACTGAAACAACGAGTAGGGGAACAAGTTGCTTTACTCAATGCAGTGTTGATGCGGACCCTCGACTACAAAGAAGTTCTGGACTTTCCTGTTGATAGAGTGTCATCTTCATAAATCAGCGATGACGTGGGAAACCGAAAATATCAGTGCCCACGCGGAAGTCGCGCCAACCGCCGATCCCGAGTTACTGCTCGGTCTTACTATCGTCAAGCGCGCATAAGGCAGGCCTTTCTTCACGAGACCAAACCCGTCTTCTTTGATGTGACCCTTGGTTTTTCCGACCTTCTTGACGAAGGCCTCGCAAGACGTGGGCATCGCTCTTTTGTCCGTAGAAAAGATACCCATTTCGATTTCGGACACCAGCGTTAGAAGCAGATCAATCTAGCCTTACCATGATACTCATACAGCCAGATCTTGATTTTGGATAGACATGAACAAGTTCAAGTACTTCTTCTTGTTGTTGATGACCTTCGAGGATCATGACAACAAGAATCTACCTCGTAAACCTCTTCTATTCTTTTCGATCAAATAAATTAGTGCCGTTGATTACCTTCACCAACAGCATAGGAGTTTCTCCACGATTTTTTCTGGTGCTGCTGCAACCGTGTCGAACGACATTTGGTAGACTGTTTTCTTTGCTTTCTTCTTGACCAATTTTCCCGCTACCCAGGGCGACTCTTGCACGACTTTCACGAGTCGCTCTTTCACCTGTTCCAAGGGACACGGACCATCGAAAAAAGTGACTGTAGTCACGCCGTCCAAGTACATGAAAGCCTCTGATTCCATGTCGAGGAGATCGACGCATGTCGTCCCCGAATCAAATTGCGGGTCGACAGACATCTTCTATAATATATGTTCGCTAGGCTCCTGTTTATCTTTTTAAGTACAACATGTAGTGCAGGCGGATGGACATGAAGCTAGTGCTACCAACCTAGAACAACGAATACTATATATAACTAAAATTTTAATTATGTTTCTAGAACAAGATCTAGATCTACAAGAAACTGAAGCTCAATCTCAAATTGTCCTAATTACTTCAGGTACAAAATATGACCGACGACTTCTACTTGATTCCCAAAGTCAAACCAGTCGCATGCTGGAGGCGGGATAGTGAGTTTTATTCTGAGTTGTACCTACTTCTTTCTCATTGCCTTTCAATTTTGCTTGGGAGAAATACCCATCGGGGGACCGGGTTTGACGCTAAAAAAATCATGGTCACACGCAGGTGCAGTAAAATTTCTAAAAATATCAGTAAGTATGCACTACTTGAGGTAACATCGTGAACCGCAGCAGAAGAACTTCGTGACATCAATCAGTAGGTACTGTTTGTTGTCTTCCTTGTGTAAAAGTTATTAAACAGAAACCTTTGCTAAAAAAGGTGGAGGCTCAGGGAGGATGAAAAAAGTCAGGAAGGATTTCGAAAAATGTTGATGAAGCGAGGAAGACCAAAGGCACGATATTTCATTAAACTGTTTAACAGAGGACCTCGCCTGTTCAACTTGAAACAAAAAATTTCAAAAAAAAAAAATATTTTCGTCGTCCTTAATTAAAATTATATCCTGATCCTCCTCCTCCTCCTCCTCGTTGTGTCGTCAGATCTTAGATTAGCCAACTACATCTGGTTCCAGCAAACAGAACTTTTGATGCTCTAGAGTTTGAAGATACTGTCTCCCTCTGAAAGAGCCACAGATTACTAATGATCGAATCAAGCTTTTACTTGTAGTTGATGCTCGCTTTTCTTCAGCTCTCGTCAACATCCTCTTATTTCTACTTCTTCTAAATAAACATCACAGCCTCCAATCATACAACTGCTTTTGCTCAGTGTTCTCAGCGCGTAGGAGGTTACTGTCTCTTTGCGGAATCTCTGTTACAACTTCTCTTTTCTGGCTGGAGCGGCGCACAATCGAAAAAAACCTTCAAAGCCGGCCCCACACGTCAAGTATGACCGATAATGAAGCAGGAGCAAGGTCCGCGAACTCGCCCACTGCTTCATACAAGAAAGATTTGCTCTTTGTGTTCAACCTTGCTGGGAAGGGAGTCCACGTTCACCACTTTTTCGTCTCTGTTCCTATTCTACATGCATTATTGCGGGGTTAAAAGCCACTCACAATGATTCCCTTTCGTTTTTCAAGGCAAGAGCATGTTGAAAAACAAAAAGTACATTTCTGATAGGTACTTCATTTCGATTCTCCTGTAGAACAAGATGAAATCAAAATAATGTTAAAGAAAAATACCTTGATAAAGAAGTATTCATATTCATTTTTTTCTACGTTTTTAGTTTCTAATTCTATTTCTGTTTCTAACATCCATAACAAGCACATGATCGATGTTATGTTGTATGATAGTCAACAAGAAAATAGAGAAGCAAAATTTGACATTGAAATTGCGATGTAGGTCCATCTTGATCTTCTGAGCGTCTATGCATATCTTTAGCCTACCATTCGATGAACAAATCATCCTTGTGCTGTTCTTTAGATCTTTCCGTGAGCCTTCTCGATGAGGGCTTCCACTGCGCGCTCGCGTTCTGCAACAAGCTTGCGAATGTCGCGTCGCTCTTCTTCCAATGCTTTAATTTTGGCTTCTAGAGTCCTGCACTGTTGGTTGCTGGCCTCTAGTTCCCCTTGTGATCTTTCCAACTCACTGCGTAGCTTCGCCGTTTCGCTTTGCTCCTCCTCAAGTGCTTGGCTCAGACGCTGCTCGCTCGCCTCGAGGGTTTTCTGCGCACTTGTGGAGTGCACGAAGAGAGACTTGATTCGAGCGGCGCGCTCGATGCCTTCAGTCACGAAGTCACTACGGCAGCCGGTCAATAAGCGCAAGACATAGCCGACCTCCTCCGCAAGCTGCGTCACCGCAACACTCTTCGCCTTCTGATGCTCCACGTGTTGCTGCAGGACCGAAGACTCAACAGAGACCCGACTCGCGTCGGATACAGTAGTCGGTAGTCCTCTACCCGAAACATCCGCTGCTACTGGAGCCGTTTTTACGCTGCGGTACCTGTAGTGATAGTGAATGAGTTTGTGTTTGCATTTGGACGATTTTCAGGGAACATCAAAGCCGGAAACTACTTAGAACTACAACTCTTCGTCTCCTACTGGATAACACTCTTCATCTCTTGCTGGATAACAGTATGGATGAGTCTCCATAAAAATATTTGAATGATTCTTGCTCGAGCAGCTGTGTAAGTAAAAGTATGATGTTAAGCTTAAGCTTAAGAATTACCTGTCCAACGCCGTTTTCACTCTCTTGAGGGAGAGAAGAAGGCGAGCACCCTCTGACATTTGGAAGCTTGTGGTGCCCCGCACGTCCTCCCATAGCAGCGCTTTTTTTGAGCCACTATCGTAAAATTTACCACCGCTCAGCACACTTTCCAGTCTCTGCAAAGCCGGTTTGATGTGTTGCTCTAATGTGAGCGCGTGTTCCCTTGCAGCCAAAGCGGTAGGACTGCGGTCTGCTATGATGTCATCACCCAACTCCTCTACGATGAAAATGTCAGGTGCGGTTGCTACGGCCCCCAAACCGAGAACGTCCGGGCCAGAAGGAGCAACTATGAGACCACACGAAGCGAGCGCCTGTAGCATGTTCGCAACCATCGCGTTCAACGCAGTGCCAAACCAAGAGACCTGCGTTATGCCGCTGCCACCAACACGGTGCAAATTTTGGCTGTCGATTACAGCGCGGGCGTACTCGAGCGTATTGTAGCCATTTCTGTAACCATTTCGCAACATCATCTGCTGAGTGTCTGGCGCTGAGGTATCACTCAACAGAAGTTCACCATCGGGTAAGAACGCTGTCCTCGTGCTGCCGTTCAAGTTGTTATCAACTGAGCCTCCACCAAATGCGCCAGAACTAAAGCCATTGATGTAGTCCTCCTCTCGATCTACGCCGCCATTTGCAAGGAAGAACAGTGCAGTTTTTGTTTCCACAGGCGGCGGAAGATTTTTGCCGGCAGAAGCGACTTTCGAGGCAGCCGACGCCCTACCTGCCGTTGAGGGACGGGCCGACCCCAATCTAGCCACGCTCGCGCGTCCTCCAGAAGCTTTAGTTTCTTTTGGCGCCGGCGCTGGTGGAGAAGCGTAGCCTTCCGAAGACTCGATTCGCGCGACGACGTCTTTACTCCCTAACGCAGAGACCGCGCTCATCAGGCCGCGCAAACCTGAATTTGTCTTCGCTGGAGTGGCCACAATTCCATTACTGCCTAAGCTGTTTGGCAATGCTACTAAAGCCCCTTGCTCTGCGGTTCCGCTACCAGGTGGTGAACAAGCTGCAGGATCCTGTAGTGCAGCTAAAGCGCTAGCTCTTGGAGTTTGATCCGCGAGTGGACCATACAACATGTAGTGCTGCATTTGAAATAGGGTTGTATTCGCGCTTTCGTATGCGAATCCGCGCAAGGAGTCTGGAATCATGTCGATCACAGTGACAAGACGAGCACCTACGCGAAAATAGTAAAACGTCGTTCCCAGAGGCATGTTACTTGAAGACATGATCACGTTGCCTCCTGCAGCTTCTGCTACGCCCCCTATTGCCATCAGAGCACCATCGTCTTCACACTTATTTTCGGGAACCAGCGTTGTGTGTCCCAAACTTTTTCGTAGTTCCTCCAATGCTCGCTGTGTCGCAGCCTCCTTGTGGATGCTGCTCTTATCGGCTCCGTTAGATCTTGTGTTCAACATCATATCTTCATCATCACCGTCATCTTCATGCTTTACAGCTTCCTCATCGATGTCTTCCATGCATTCCTCGCCAAAAGGCGTGGCGCCAGTCACCGTCGCCCGTGCCCATTCGATGCGCTGAAAAAAGTCAAGAAGATCGAAATCGCCAGCTCCTGCTCCCCCAACACTTGCAGTACTACCGTCAAGAGCGCTTCCATTGCCTCCCATAGAGCCTGATAGCATCGCAGAGGCTCTCGAAGTGCACACACGACTAGTTCTTCCTGCAGGATTTAAGAAAAGTCGGTCGTGTGGTCGAGACATGGGCAACGACTTTGCGACCGCCCGTCTGTGGCCGCTTGACGGCTCAAACTCCGCAGGGTCCAGCTCGATACCGCTTTTCCCCAAGCTATAGCCTATGTCATCCAAAAGGTCGAAGACTATAGATGACTCTCCGCTGCCAGAACCACGACCGCCGATGCTAGGACTAAGAGCACTAGCACTATCCTCAACGGAAACGGATACACCACCGGATGAAGGGTCAGCATTTTGTTCTTGCGCGCCCTCTCCGAGAGCAGGACCAGCGGCAGATCCGAGGCCTCCAGCTGGTATTCTGGGGACCGGCGCAAAGTGCTTCCCAGCGGCACTTACGGGTGCGAACACTGCCTGGAGACGCACATGGAGGTCGCCTGCGGTGCGGATGAGCTCACGGGCTATTTTTACGAGCAGTGGTGCGCCGTACCGAGCCCCAAAGAGGCGCTCCTTGAGGCGGGCTTCGCCGTTGAAGATCATGGTGACACTTGCTACACTCGGTTCACTAGAAGGCTGCTGTCCTGGGGCAGTCGGAGGACCTGTCCCCGCTCCTGGCGTGGCAGGGGACGCCGTGTTCGCAGCGGGTTTACTGGCAGTTTCATTCGCGCTAACCTCATCAGGTTTCGTGCTGTCGGTGGATTTAGGAGCGGGCGATGGAGCAGGAGCAGCTGTTTCGGGGGTGGGTTTTGACTCATGCAACAACTCGGGTCTTAGCCAATGCGCACAGACATCTTCGGCAATCACTTCCGCTCGGCCTCGCAGAACGTCAGCAAAGGGACCATATTGGCCCCCTGGAGGCGGTGCGACTGGAGAGGAGTTCAAGCCTTCCGCTCCAGCACCCGAAGCCGTTTTTTCATCTGCCTTTTCAACTTCCGACGTCTTCGCGACTTGGTGATCTCCTTCATCCACAACAAGTCCTTTCTTGCCATCTGGTGGTCGTCGTGCCCTATGATCCGTTTCCACTTCATCAGGATCTTGAATCTGGACATACAGAGGTGCGGTTTTCTCGATCAAATCGCCATGAGATATCAAGATTGGCGTCAGCCTAGGTGGTTGGAAGATATCCACAACGGGTTTTGGAAGCCGTGGGGCACCTTTACCCCCTCGAACGGGTCCACTAGCTGAACTGCGCCGCATACCCGGACTAGACGGTCGCGAGCTAGCACTTTCACTTTTTCTCGCGGTGGCCTGCATCTTCTTGTCTTATCGAATCAAGATGAACCAACATGCCAGACGAGTACGTTAATTATTATAAGTTGATAGATAAAAAACATAACAAAAAAAAAATCTATATTATTAATCTATATTATTAATCTATATTATTAATCTATATTATTAATCTATATTATTAATCTATATTATTAATCTATATTATTAATCTACATTATTAATCTATATTATTAATCTATATTATTAATCTATATTATTAATCTATATTATTAATCTA